TTCAGAGAAACAGCTGCAGGAGTGTGAGGCTGCTTGGCGCTGCCATACACCTTTTTTTCAAGTAAGGAGGTGTGAGATGTTCTGCCCAGTAGTCAGGAGCCAAGTCATGACCTGGAGTGCTGTAGTCTGGAGCGGGAGGATCAAGAGCTCGAAGCTTATCTCGAACCTTGCTATCGGCCTCGAATACACCACCTAAAAATGATAGATTCCCACATTTGTATTGTCGTTTTAGCTTTGTAAAGGAAATACAAAGCAACACATGGTCATGTTGTAGATTCAAGCAATATACTTACGAATTTCGATTTCAGAGACAGTAATACCAAGCTTACTCTGCTGCTGTTCAAGAGCCGAGAGAATGTTTTGTGTAAGCGTGGATTTGTGGGCAGCAGTAAGATCGCCGGTGAGTTCAAGCTTGGCGACCTCGCTGGCTAGAATGTGGCGAGTGATGGACACGAGAGTACGCTCAGAATCCTTCTTGTTGGTCTCAGGATTGATATAGTAGGCAGACTAATGCGTCGAATCATTTGAATTGGTAAGTCGACATGAAAATCAATGGAAACAAGTTTAAACTTGAAAATCAAACTTACCTTTCGAGCGTCGGTCACTTTGAAGTAGACGACAGCGTAGACATCAACATTGGCTTTATCTGAACAGAGAGTAATGATCAGTCTTGCAATAAAGAGTATCGAGATTGGCCAGAATGTACCAGATGTGACTAGAACTTACTCTTTGTAGATACATTGGAAGCCATAACACCAGACACAACAGTGTGAGGAGATTTGACAGCAAAGACCTTGTCAACAAGTGGAAGAAAGAAATGAGCTCCAGCAGACAACACACGGCTGAAACTGCCAGCTCGCTCAACAACCCACAACTCGCCTTTGGGAACATGAGCAACAAACTAAATCAAGTTGAATGTGCCATTCAACAACATGCAGTTAGAATAAAGCAAATCGAGAAATTCAACAGAATATGCAAACAGATCTGGCTCAATAGATATTCGTTCGTATTGCTTGATCAAGCATTTATCCATTTCGGCCAGAACAATCCCACACAGTATAGATATAAGCTTACGATAGCAGATGGTTTGATTTCATAAAAGGCTGGACTGGTGGACCAGAACTCCCAAGCCTTTTCATTTTCAGTAAGCTCACGGACTTGCTTAACAGGAACACCATTCTCAAACTTGGTGCATGGAATATGAGCATAAGGAACAATCAACGAATGACCGAAGCGAGTCTAGTATATGCATTTCAACACATCAGTGCGGTTAGTACAAGAATGCAGAAAGTTGCCATCATGCAATGGCTTGGCGTTAGTCATGATGATTTGCAGCCTGAATTTCACAAAAGATGTACAGTGAAATCCTACGCTTGAGCGAATAGGCTGTATAGGAAAGCATCACTACTTTTCCAGTACATTGACAAGCAACACTATTAATAGCTGGATTGCTAACTCGTCATGTTGAAGAAAAAAGTCGAGTAATGCATAATGTCATAGAATCGACATGGCTCACTCATTGCATAGTAAATAGTAGTAATACCTGCAGACGGGATCTAGCAGCAGAGCCAATGAGAGAACGGTTGATAGCACCAATCATATTATTCATATTCTTGACAAAGTCCGTGCAGTTGTTTTACAGCGCTTTACATCAATCTGACCATTCTGATCACGTGTGTTTATTCATTATGAATCTGTCGATTTCATCAGTTTTACTTCAACTACTGTTTAGATCCTGACTTGCTCTTGACCTTGTCAAACACTGCCATAAGCTGCGTTACCATTCCTGCTGCATCCCCTACATTCGCTGGCACAATAACCGTGTTTCCTTCCTTTGCGATCTGTCCAAACGACTCAATGTACTTTTCTGCAACGCCAAGCGACACTGCATCGTGTCCTCCTTCTTGCTGGATCACTTGCGCCGTACGTAAAATCGCTTTAGCTTGTGCATCTGCTCGCATCCATATTGCCTCGGCTTCTCCCTTGGCATAATTGATTTGCTTGGCTTGCATGGCTTCAGATTCAAGAATCACCGACTGTTTTTGTCCTTCAGCTACATTGATTGCCGATTGTCTGATCATGGTGTCAGATTCACACATGCAAGAGTATATTTTCAACCGTTAAACTCTTGAAACCAGTATGATACTATTCAAAATACCTTACCTAGAACCTTCACTCTCTAAAATTTCGGCTCGCTTTCTACGCTCAGCACTCACTTGCTGATGCATTGCAGCTACAACATTTTCTGGTGGATGGATATCTCGAATCTCATATCTTAGACATCGGATGCCCCAATTCTCGGCTGCAGTGTTCATTACATGTACAATATTGGCATTAAGCTGAGTACGTTCTGCCAGAGTGCGATCAAGCGACATTTGACCAATCTCTGCTCTCTAAACTCGTAATCATTCAAATACAAGTAGGGTAGTTTAATGAGTACACTGTTGGGTCATTGACGCAGTCAAGATTTCACAAGATGAATCATTTCCAACTACACACATACCATTGCTGTTTTTGCCAACTGAGCAACTGCAAAATCAGCATCCTCTACTCCATAGGAAGCCTTGTACGGATCAATCACTCGGTAGTACAGCACACCATCCAGTTGAAGTGTAACGTTGTCTACTCGAAATACAAGACTTTAATATTCTAATGCTTGCAAAATAGGTCTGAATAATAAAACTTACCTTGCGTAATGGCACTTTGAGATGGAATTTCAACAGCAACTTCTTTAAGACTTTTGACGTACGAAATACGGTCTAAAACGGGAATCAAAATAGCAAGACCTGGCTCAAGAATGCGATCAAACTTGCCCATTCGCTCTACAATCCAAGCCTCTTGTTGTGGAACAAATTTGATAATCTAGCAGTTTAAACCAGTATAATAGTGTAAGAATGATAGTAAACCTGCAATGGTAACTGGGTCTTTAGTGGAAATGTGTTTAAAAATGATCTATTTGGAATCCATCAGACATTGCAGTCAAGAGATAAACCAAACCCTCTGCCCATACAAGAAAATATACACTTACAGTATTTGTTGGTAGAACATGGTTACTACTTTGGCTCATACCCCATGCATCGCTAGCTGAATTGGAAAATCCTTTTGATAGAATGCTGGTTGGCAATCGAGTTTGAATTCTTGTTGGATTCAACATAGACTGGGCTCTGCATATGTGGATGGGTCTGGTACAAACAGATGCTAAACTACTTTTGAAATTCAAAGATGCTGTAGGCATGGTAGTAGCAGATCTGCTACCATGAACAAGGATCGACTTGGATAATTTTTGCATAGTAAATAGATTGAAGGAAAAGTCTGACGTGTCTGCAGATCAGATTTTATGTTGCATTTTACGTGAATGCAACACTGAATAAGAAATGTTTAATAAAAGCAGTCTCAAACAATTGTGAATGTACTGGAAAACACTGTTTTGTAAAGTCTTTATTGATCTGTTCATCTTTATATAAAACAACTAAGCAAATGCTTGCATTGAAATTACAGTAAATTTCACGCCGGTTCAAACTTCACTTGTATTCTAAAAACTCGAATACGCTCTAGTTCAAAAGAATACATTCTAGTTCAAGAGAATACGCTCTAGTTCAAGAAAATACATTCTTATTCACGATCCAATTCCCTAAAGAACGATTACGATCACACTAACACGTGATGCAATTAAAAAACTTTCGTTTCTTCATGAACTCGAGTGACCAAAGCAACCACACTGATTGAAACTGCCAATGGACAGACTGATGCGACACAGAACCATCCCAGTGTCTACTGCAGCCATCACAGGTCAAAGAGCAGCATTTAATTCTATTTATAGGCTAAATGTGCTATCCCACCAATGCTCAGATACAGCCAGATTCATGTCATCTACAACCAACGATCCCAAACCCACCATCATCGCTCAACGTCTTCCCCAAGATACAATCCCAGCATCCATCAGAGTTACCCATCCAAAAAGTGTTTTCCGTGAACAAATGCGAGTCTTGCGTCGTTCATATAAAGAAGAGCATTTACAAAAGGTTCATGAAGCAGCACAAGTAGCAGTCCAAACCAAAGCCTTGACTGAAGAGACTGAGCATCTCAAACAAGAAGATATCAAGCAATTTAAAAAGAAGCGAGATGCTTACATGCAAGGTATCGATGCGTTCATTTCACCTATTCCATCACTCCCGTCTCCCGTGGATGCAGTGCTTGCTCGCAACAATAAACAGTTTAGATCGGATACAACAGACGCCACTGATGAAACATTTGAATCTCGTAAGCGTTTATGGAACCAGTTTATTGTTGATCGACGCACTCGTCGATACAAGAATCTCGTTACGTTTAAACAAGAGGAATCAAAGGTTCGTCGTGATGCGTTGACATATCTCTACCATTCTGCAGCGGATTTTGTGTCGTATAGAAACATGGATGCCAAGATAGATGAGGTATTGAAAATGAATATGCTGTTATATCGGACTTTGCCGGAACTGGCTATGGCTGCCGATCAGGAAGAAACTGGCAATCCCACTTCGAAATCTACTAAACGTCGTGAAGATACTCTAAAGGGTGAACTGCTGGGAACGTTTGCTAATGGTAGAATGACCTCGGATACCATTTTAAGCAAGCAAGATGCTACACTTGGTCTGGATTCAATCATTCCTGACAGCGAACAGTTTGGAAAATAAAAATGATTTTATTATGAAAGCCACTGATATCGATTGTTGAAAATATTCGAGTTGTCAATTCCAGTTGTATTCACGTAAAATGTAACCAAAAGTGTAATAAATGGGTTTAAATATTAGAGTTGAATTAATACGATTTTTGTTGTTGGATAGAGCGTAAATGTGAGTTTAGAATATAAAAATGAATGACAATCAAACTCAATATTTGATAATCGTACAATAAAAACATAATTTGTACTGCACGACACTGTCAATCTACAATAGAAAAACAACATTCAACTCTATTCCAAAGCAGTGATTAAGAGAAATACAAGTGTTTCATTTTACGTGAATAACGGCTTGAATTAGAACTCAATCCCAACTTTCTACAACCCAAACACTATTGTTCCTAACACGACCAAAGCGACCTCATTCTAACTCCAACTCATCTTCTTCATATATACTACGGGAATAACTATGGCAAGTAGACTTACTGCTGGTTTCGTTGCAGGTGTTCTTGTTACCACCACAGCCTATTCACTCCTTCAGGCTCGCATTGCCAACGATACAGAGCTACTTAGATACAAACTATCTAATAGTAAAGAGCAAGTGGAGTCTGTTTTGCCTGCACATTTGCAATCACAGGTATGTAGCTGTACAAGTAAAGCCAACTGTTATTTGGAAGCAATTTTGTGGCTGCCATGTTCTATCTTGCCTGTAGAACACTCGGCAACTTTGGCAAGGCTATTATCTAACATTGTTCATTTGCATGCATATTAGGATGTGATTCCTCATAGCTCGCTATCCTCGCATTATTCTTACCCAGGATCATTGTGGCCAGGATCGTGGCACAAGTCGTCCGCTACTCCGTTGAATTCATTTACATCTGCACTTCAGTTCAACACATTCAAAGAAAATTGGAATGGCATGATCCGATGTATCAGCACCTACTTGAACGGAACCTCTGATTGATATGCATTTATATAGCTCTGGCAAAAGATGAGCCTACATTACTGTGATTGATGTTACTATACCAAAATAAAGGTTTTGAATATTCATTTCTAGGCTGTAGGATCAGATTGGGAAGATCTATTGTATTGATCAGTATTGGCTCGATTTGTATAAACAGATTTAAATGGATCTAATCAACAACTGTCAATCAAGGCAATGATTGAATTTGCACAAATATGTTTAGTAAAAACTTGATTGCAGCTAGCAACAATGAGGTGATAAATGGAATCATGTTTTGAATCATTCTGGCAGTATCAAGTACGCTATAGCATTTTAGAGCAAAAGGTTTTGGTTTGTAACACTGCACGATTGCTTCAGATTAGCGTACAGACTTGAGATGGAACATCGAAACTCGTGTCAGACCAACACCAAATGAGAAATATTGTCGTATATTCAATCGAGGCGTAGCAGGTCATTCAGCAAACAATCCATCGATAGTTGCCAAGAATTTCTTTATTTCACTCACCGTTTTATCCTCATTATCGCCAATTAAAAACTCTTGTTCAAGTCACTAACCATGACAGAATCACTGTTGCAATGGTGTACTGCTCATAGCATCCAACCTCGGCATCCTTTAATTGATATCCGTCAAACAGATACGGCTGGGTTTGGTGTTTATACCACTCCACTTGCCAAGACTATTTTACCAGAAACTGTTTTATCAAGTATCTCGCTAACAAACTGTATCACGGCTCAAACGATATTCATAGAATCACAATCCAACAATCCCTACACTCAGCATCTGCATCAATCCATAACTGCCCTTGAATCCCTCTCAGCCCTTCATTCAGATCGTATCTATATCATGTTGTTTCTGATTTGGGGAAAACGATTCAAGCAATATCCTGACATGAAATGGTCAGTGTATTTCAATCATCTTCCAAAGACATTTACAACACCCATTTACTACTGTCCAGAATCAATGGAATGTTCACTATTAGCCGGCACTCCATTATCTACAGCTACCCTAGCAAAACAAAGCAAACTTTTTAAAGAATCCGTGTATTACACTCAAGCCATTATTGCTTTGGGTGAGGGAGATCATCATGCAGATTGGTGTTGGGCAGATGCAATGGTTTGGAGTCGATCCATGTCATTTCATACAGTTGATCCTTCTTTTGAAACAAAATCCGATTTACATATTGTGCCGGGAATTGATTTTTGCAACCATGATCAAACTCCAAACGCATATTGGAAAGTTTCTTCTGTAGACAACTGCGTGAATCTGATTGCGTTGGATACGATTGATCCCGATGTGCAGGTGACAATATCCTATGGGTGCAAACCCAACTCAGAGCTATTGTTTATTCACGGTTTTGTTGTGGATGAAGGCTATTCCGATTGTATCACTATCCCGTTGGAGTGTATTGAGGCGAGTGTGGTAGAGACGGATGAAAACGGGATTAAAAATCTCAAGGCATTTATGGACAGGAAACAATGTGTTTTGGATATGTTGGGTATATCAAAAATGGTAACTATTGCATCGAGTCAACCCGACAACTCACCCAACAACACGAACCCAACTCAAGGAATTCTCGATACCAAGGGACTGGTGACGGCGTGTATTTGTTGTATGGCTATAGACGACGAGGTCAATACTGATCCATCTACTAAAACTAAAAGTCAAGGGGCGATCTGTCTTGCCGAATGCACCATCACACCAGCGACAACTGTGGACGATATGCTTCAACTACTCACTTGCTTACCCAACCGTGACATTCTTTTCTTGCGTGCATGGACTATTTTGCTGCAGGATATTGAGGCCAGACTAATAGTGATGGAAGAAAACGATCCTGTAGATGAAGCTGATCAAACCAAATGGTCAGAGACTGTAAAACATATTATTCAATATAGAAACGGTGCTCGTCGTGTTTTGTTTGATGCGTATGGAGTTTTTGCTGGGCTGCAAGAAGAGTATGCCCAACTACCCAGCGTACAGACATATCTGAGTCAAATGCAAATAAACTAGCACTCCAATCTCTACCAATATAAAAATAAGTATATAGGGATATAATATCAAATAGATGTTATTTAAACAATAAAATGCAGTGTCAAGGATCGCACTAGATATTACAATTTAATGGATTGGCTATAGTACCGAATGGGCTCGGCTTCGCCCAACCCTGCAACAAACATTTGTGTACTTGTCATTGAAGCAGAATAATTGTATTGCTTTGCAGTGGATGGATTTACACCAGCACCCAAAGCATATCCACCAGCTTCCAATACAGTTGATAGCACAGTTTCGTCATCCAACCCATCCAATTGATTTCCTTCATATCTAGAAGCCAGCTCCATCAATCCTAAAGATCCAAAACATACATCCATGTATAGATTTTGTAGTGCTCGAGTGGTGGCCAGTTTTCGATGGGATCGATCTGGGATGAACTGATTCAAATCTCTTTTTTCCAACCCTGTCGCTTCTAGAATACCCGATGCGTAGTGCTTACCAGACGAATTGTATTCTGTTTGATCAATAGCTCGATCTGTTTGGTTGAAATCAGCTTGACTTGCAGATAGAGTGTTGCGAAGGTAATCGCTCTGACTTGCAATGCTTTCATGAAGTGATGGCATGCTATGGAGACAAAGCATTGGCAAGCAGGATCGGTTGCCTTTTCGCGTGTCAGTAGTATCGATGGATCCGGTATTACCTAAAGTATGGGACCTGAGAATGGTATCACGTACTGTTCGTTTTGTGGGAGCTGAAGAGAAGATGGGTGATTCAGACTTGCGATGAAGGGAAAAAATACGGCGCAGACGTTCAATTAGTCCCATATGCTGGTCGGGTTGTTTGGGAGGAACAAATGAAGACTGAGAAAGTGGTCTTGTGGAAGTGTTATGAAGAGGAATGTTGTCTTGACTAGCAGCATCATATGGATGATTTTGATGATTGATGTTTGAGTCGCCAAATGTTGGGGTTAGCTCATATTGCAATGCGCTGTGTTTAACAGCAATTCCCTGATCCATCTCAGATGTGAATTCAACGGCCCTCAAATCTTGATAGGACATGGGTCGAGGTCGGGTACGATAAAGAGATGTATCAGAAGCAAGAGATTGCGACACTTGACTAGAATTGATTTGATCACTGCTCTTGCAAAGACTAACGCTATGCCGAGTTAGCGAAGAAGATCGAGGGAAAAAGTTTGTTGGGTGAGATACAGGTTTGTTGGGCCGAATCTGAAAAGTAGAATCACAATTTTCAACGAGTGAAGACTGAAAGTTGGAGATGGATCGAGCTGGATTGATGGTGGTAGTGTGTTGATTTGTACGATTGTCAAGACAAGTTTGAGAAGGTCTAGATTCACTAGCAATATTGGGAATAGCACGAATGTTTTGTGGTGCAACTGTTGTCGTGGTTGAAGCAACTCGAGTAGTGGAAAGGGAATTATTTATAGAGTTGTATTCACGAGATATAGGAACCAGTTGGCAAGCAATATGCTGTTTAGAATTATTTTTGATGTCAGACTGCTGAGCACTATCAATGTCGACAAGATTAGAAAGAGGTTGATCAGCAACAATCGCTGTGGGCATGGAAGGTGGATCGGATAAAGTATAATCCAAAAAGAAATCTGTCGGTATAGAGGTCAAACGACGAGGAACACTAAAGGTTTTAGGAGCTGATGCGGATGTTAAAGTTGTCGATGCTATATCTGATGCACGATTATGTCCAACAGACCCTAACAACGCCTTATTTTGAATGCTGCTTTTCTCACTATTATAAGCCGTTAGTGCAGGAACAAGAGCAATGCTGCTCATACTTTGGCTGATTCTACGGGAATTCATACGAGTATGAGTAGGATCGAACCCGTACAAATGATAGGGTATCGAGTCTGACGCGTTCTTGCTTGTTGGCGTAGATGTGTTGTCGGCGTAATAACAAGCAGCATCTAATGAGGTTCTGGCATAAGGATCTGTAGGAGAAATCAGCGATTTACCCGCATTATGTTCACCTGGAAACTGAATGGAGAAAGCAGAAGTAGGCTCATGAAAAGAGGGCTTGGATGGAGTATTAAAAGGAGTCGAGTCAATGATTCCATTGACGGCTGTTTTTTCGATAGTGAATGGCAGATTGATACTACTATCGCTTAGACAGATAGAGCTGTCGGGTTTAGTATGAGAGGATGCGGTAAGATCAGTAAGAGATGAGCACGAACGAGACTTGGGTAGCTCAGAGGTTGTCCGGTTCAATTTGGGTTTGTTCTGAATACAAACAGCCGTAGCTTTATTGGTCTCGGTAATACAGGCTTCAGGTGTTTCCATATGTGGCAATACATTCGTCACATGAACAGGGTCAGCAGTTTGCACCGAGTTTGGCATGCCGTCCTTATCAGCATTTTCAGAATCTTTCGTGGCGAGGTGTGGCAGGCTTGAATGCGATAATTTCGAAAGAGTCGTTCCCTGGTTCGTAAAATGCAATGCCTTGAGTCGAGTCTTGCTTAATGCCGTGTTGGGCGTTGATGGAAACCCTAAAGACCTGAGTTTTTTTAGTTGCGATTGGATCGCATTGGGTACAGAGAGTCCCAGCTGCGTTGCTGAACTACCCAGCGAGGCAGAGGAGAGTCGTTTAGTAACAGTTGAAAGCTTGGATGTTTTAGCTGGCTCTTGGTGACAAACTTTGCGCTGCACAGCTTGGTCTTGCTCCATTGCACTGAGTGCTAGAGGAGATATTGGTAAGCGTGATCCACCATTGAACATGGTGCTAGACTGTCGGATACGAGCGAGCTTTGCCTGCTGCGTTTCTCTTGCTAGAGACCCAGCAGAGTGGTGTTTCCCACTAGATTGATCTTGGTTGATGCCATCTCGATTGGATAAACTGCGATCATGACGACGTCGAGATCGTGGCTTATATTTGCGGTTGTTGGGTCGCATGTGTGGAGGAAGATACGCTTTGGACGCAATGAGATTGGATTGGAAATGTTCAACAGGAGAGGATCCATGTGGAGACAATCGGCTGTTATGAGCTACATCGGTATTTCTGATACTGCCAGCAGTATCTGAATGAATTGATGTGCTATTGGATCCTAATCGTTTTTTTGATCTGCCTGCATGGTGACGATTGGTGGATGGAGTAGAGGACAATGCAAATGGAGTGGATGGTGAAGCAGAAGTGGAGCTGATTGATTTATCTTGAGATGTTTCCAGCCCTTGAAGTCGTTTCCACAGTGGCTGATTGTCTTCGTCGCTATCACTATCAGTTTCACTGCTGCTTTCGCTCCCACTACTTTCGCTGCTACTCGTGTCGTTTCTTTTATTTAAAACAGCAGTAGTGACAGTATCTTGAGATGGTGGAGTAATAGGTGCATCCTGATCGATGACAGAAATAGACTGCAATGGAGCCTTTGTTTCATTAGAAATCGATGTCGTAAAAGTGACCAAGTCTAATCATCATATGTAGAGCATTAATATATACAATTTTAGGGTATATTGTTTAAAACGGATGAGTAGCCGATGCAATTGCAATGTACTGCCACATTCATCCCAAGTTGTGCTTACCAGGTGACGGCGGTGGTGAAGGTGGCTGCCTATTATTACTTGGCTTTACATACGATTGGGCATCTCCAAGAGCCATGATTGTCATATCGTCATGCATTGAGGGCTTTGAGTCTAATTAATATCAAAAAAAGGTTTACAGGCGACCTCGAGAATTGAACAGTAACCCGAATGATATCGTGATGAAACACCTATGCTTCGACTGAAATAAATTGAAGGCTAGATGGCAGAAAGACAGTTAAATATATTGTAATGAATGGTTAAAAAAAGATGGGTGGTAATCAAGCCCGCTGGAAAGTGTCGAGAGCGTTATTAATTAAGTCGACTCAACGGGTCTGGCAGGTAGAAAACACTGCGTTTTATTCGCTAATTAGTTTGTTGATTCTCAAATACACCGGCAGGGCTTGTGTATGGAAGAATTCGGTTCTGAAAGGGGTCGTATCAATATATGTGTAGCAGCAACTATACGAAGCCAAATAGATTGAGCAAGATGTCTAAAGATTATAGTGGTTTAATGAGGTGTTGGCACGGCCATGTCGGTATTAATAGTCTATCTGATTTCTACCAACTCAGCAAAGCTTGACTTGAATCCACCCAATCAGACGTAGTTCTGCTTTGCCGCACCTTGCAATGGTCGTCAAATGGCTACATGTTTCATGTCCACTACGTCATATATGGTTCAAGCATTATTGAGTAGCGCGCAGCGCTTCTAAAGCAGCTACTTGTTGGACAAGCTTCAAGTATTTGGTTGGTCAGCAGAGTTATATTGCAATTCGCTGTTTCGGAACACAGTTTGGCTGAAATAAGCTTATTCCAACTTGCAAAACATCTAAATACAAGCACGAATAAATGCATTTGCTTTATTAGTCATACTCACATGGATGGAACACTAAATAAAGGTACCAAAGTGCATGATAAACAGTCAATTTCATGAAATGATTGGCAACAGTTTACACCAATTCGCTCATTGGCCACAACTCCTAACAAAATTCACTGGTCCTTCCGATGACTGGCTTGAAAGCAACGGTCGCATTCCTGAAACGTGCAATCCTTTAAATGAATTGAAAAGATTCAAAGTCAACATCTAGTGGGAAAGCCAACAAATATTCAACTATTATTTATTTTGAAGCAAAATAAAGATAACCACTGCAGATGGATGCAGAAACATATTCCATTTTACGTGAATACGGTTTAAAACAAACTATCAGGAGTTCCGGATATAACCAACTCCTAGTTTCTCTACAACTCTGTCCAAAAGTGTCCCAATCAACCGCCGCTGATCATCTGCACCGGCAACATCTACACTCAGATTGTATAGTGCGTCCATGCCCATCTTAACAACTGGTACTCCTTTACTCAGATCGATTAAACGCATTTCCATTCCAACAACAATCACACAGCATGCCTCGCTAATCAACCGAAATATAATAGGCGGGGTTTCGTAAAAAAAGGGGTTGGTTTGCATATACCGCCTAACAATTTCAAGAAGCGAAAAGGCAGAGTCAATACATATGTGGTTTGCTATGGGAATGTGGGAGTGACGAGATGAACCAGGCTTGTCCGAATGAGCAGATAATGGCTGTGAGACATCAGCATATTGTGGTTCAAGTGGTCGCAATGTGTCTTTATGCAACAGAATACGAGAGAAATTAAACCAAACGAGAATAAACGCCACTCCCCATGTGAGCCGATTTAAATCATCAAATTCTTGAATACCGCCTCCAATGGAAGTTTCGGCATTTGCTCCGTGAAGCGAGATAAGATTTTCTCGCAAAAGTTTTGATGAATGGTGGGATGTGTAGACATCATCATTTGCAGGAGCAGCCGAGGTAGATCCAGAGACTGAGGTAGAGGGTAAAGCATTGCTTTGCACTGCACCAGGAGACATGGTTTGCATGCTTCGTCTATCATTATTACTTGATAGCCAAGCAGTCTTGAAGAATGTATCTAAAATTGCATCTGAAATTTGGTACCCATAAGTCGATGGAATAACTCGCCACGCTACAGGCAGGTTTTCAAACCACCTCAACAAATCCTGATCAATAGCCCATCGATGCTCATCTCTTGCAATCGAGTCCTGGGCTGGATCTTTTGATTGCAAAAAGTAAACCACACGGTCGTATATTTTAACAAGAAGAAGCCGCTGGGCGGTAACACTAGGAATAGAGGCCTGTGACGGTGGTGGTGGTGTGCATTGTGGGTGGGATTGAAGTTGGGGAGCGTAGGAATGATGGGGATACCCCTGCGTGTTTGAATAAGGGTGAGGATCAGAGTGTCCTTTCTCTACTAAATGTGGAGGCATAGAGCCACTATAAGAAGGATGAGACGGACTAGTAGTATTTGAAGGATGGCTTGAATAGGGATATGATTCTCGGTGCAAGTAAGGTACAGTGGGATCTACAGTGGATGATGAATGAGAATATCTACGTTCACGCTCGGGTTGATTTGGCAAATAAGGTGATCTATGGTATGGTGGATGGTCGGAAGTCGAGGAAACAGGACGATTGGATGCCATATGCTGATCTGCATGATGGTATCCCAAGTCTTGAGTATAAGGTGATGAAGCCGTGCGCTTAAATTGTGGTGAGTGATTTCTCGTTTCCATATACATAGGAGGAAGCTGTGGGGGAGCAGTCGGCTGAGATTGGGACGGATGTGAATAGACATGTGGAGACATGCTTGGAGGAGGCAAAAAGGATGGACCATGTGAACGGGTTGCTTGCTCATTGTGCAAATATGCAGAAGAGGTTGCAGTCCGATCTACTGTAGGCCGGACAGGTCTATCATTATTTTTTACAAAATCAGCCAACAAATCTTGAGGAAATCCTGGCACGTCACCATTAACGACGTCTACGGGATACAATGGAAGGTTATTTGCCAATGAAGTGCGACGATCAGTCTCATAGAGTGACCACCATAAGCGACGAACGAGTTCCTGTTTACAACTCCGAGGATACGATTGTCCATCATCCGGCTCGCAATCCCTTAGATACAACTGTATTAGTCGAATAGCAGCAGATGTGTAGAATGGGCCCTCTGGTCTACCACGAAATGTAGCCAAATTACCCAGCAAATGCAAAGCAAGAATATTGTGATATGAAGGTGACGACAAGGCCTCGGATACAAACGATTTGGCGTGTTCATAAAATGCCTCCCCTTTGCTTGAATGAATCATGCCTCGATGTCCACTGATCAAGGCTGCGTTGGATTCCTTGGGAGACGATGCAAGTGCAGCCTGAGCATATATCGCATTAAGCAGGAAAGGTGGCTGGGCACTCAAATCAGTAAGCAGCCAAGAAGGAAAGATGAGCACGTTCTGTCGCAAAGAGCAGTATCGAAACCATCTCTCAATTAAATCAATACGAATTGAAGTAGGTGGCTGTAATGGATAAGGGACTGGATGAGTGTATGGAGAGTGCTGTATATTGGAGTTACTGCGTGGTGAGGGTAGAAACACTGGACGCACATCCGTCATATGATTATCTGCTCCAAGCGACAGGTCTGCAGTAGGTGGCTGAACAGTCACTGTGGGTGTATCGAACCGTTGTGAACCAAAAGGCACAGACATGGTAGTCACTATTTCTCCTACAGGGGCAGCGATACTTGCATGGTTGAGCAAGCCGGATCTTGACTTGGCTGGATTTTTTCCCTTGGTAACTACCACATGTTCCAGAGACTCAATTCGTTGCTGTAGCTGCGCAATATACTCTGTTGGTTTTTTTGGTTTAGACTGTCTGTTGAATACACAACGAAGCCCCCTCTTGACACAATTAGGGCACGATCCAATTGGGCCATGACATCGAATTTTCTAAATATTCAGCACCAGAGATGATGTTGCAGGGAAACATATGAGTAACATGGTATTAGATGGAACAAAAGGTAAATCATACAACCTTGGAGTGACAATAGTCGCATGCACTAGATTGTCGAGACCATCTTGGCTGTCTAATATGAGTAGTGATGACGGAGACAGGAGTTTCAAAAGTCTCAGTAGACATAGGCTTTGGCTCGGTGGAACTGATCAAGGACGAAGTTGTGGATGTAGTGTTTGAATGATGTGACCCGCGACGATGAGTTGGATATGGATCAAGCGTAGCAGACGAGGCAGTGGAGTGTACAGGGTGCGGAAATTGTGAAGTATGATTGGATGAAGCAATGTTTGAAGAAAGTATTGGTGAAGTGGGTGAAAGCTGAGATGAGATTCTAGAGGCGGATATACTATTGTGGTGATTGTATGTGTGAATATGATTTGGTATATGAGCTTTTGGAGCAATATCCACCAACACGGCAGTAGTAGCAGGATCTGAGATCAAGGAATCAGTCAGCAGAGTGTCACTTTTTCCAAACTGTGGCAACTCCGAAACTACTGAAAGTTTAGCTGTAGCAACAATGGTGGGCGAGGTGGCTGTTGATGAGGGATGCAAAGTTTTGGGTAGAATGTCGAGCGTACCAACAGACGCATCGCTAGTGGTTGTTGAAGAAAAAGAATCAGGTTTGGCTTTGAATTCAGTATCATCGGCCGATATTGGTGATGAGCCAGCCAGAAACAAATTTCGACTTTCCATCAACGGAAGCTTCATAGCACTAAAGTGCATTGCATCTACAGTTGTTAAAAGGGCCGAAACCGAACTCATTGGTGTTGTAGTGGTAGAAGAAACAGTTTGGTAAGATGTATTATTTTGAGCAAGAGAATTTAACGAGCCACGATCACCAGGAGGAGTTACTAGGATGGTAACATGTCCAGATTGTTGATACGAGGTGTGGGGATGTGGCATGCTAAGCGAGCAGGAAATTTCCTTTGTTTGACTCACAGTTTTGTTTCTCTGGCGCTTTGCTTGGTGCTGAGTCGCATCTGCCATTTGGTCCTCCAACACCGACTGCATTTGTTCATTACTGCAATGCTTACGCGATGCCTGCTGTTGCGTTATTTGGTACTGTACAGCCATGTTTAGCGGTGCCCGAAACTCCATCTCTTTTGTTACATCTCCATCGTGCTTGTCAAAAGATACCACAACTTGACCGCTACCACAATCACCTTTTGGCTGTGGTGATGCTGGTTGCGCCAGTATGGATTGGATACATGTGTGACGAATGGCTGGGACCGCGGAATCAGGTGATGTTAAAGCTTCCTGACATTCAGGGGCATGCTGTCGTTGTAGGTTCAATATGCTTTTATTGCTTTCGAATTCCGGGCCTGCTGATATGGATGAGTCTCTATGAATATTATCCGGATTTGTCCATGAACGTTCCAAATCAAACTCGGCGTTTGCTTGGGAGTCGTTACTGTGCTGGGTAAAAATCCGATTTTTTCTTGAATCAATGGCTGGCATCGCCTCAATGTGAGAGTGTGGGATTTGTGTTGGCGATACGGCGATGCTTATTCTGTGGTCATCTGGTGCACCAATATTATTTTGAAAATCAGTGGGTGTTGATGCTACTGCAGCGGTAGATGTTTCTAGAATATCGGTGGTGTTGGCAGCGTGGCGGACAAATACACTGCCATCCAAACCCGTCTGGTTACGCTTATTAGTATCGGTGTTGAACTTGGAGTTAATGCAATGAGTGTCATTGAGCCATGTCATATTATCTTGAGTAGGCCGTATCAAGACCGTTTTCATTATTACTGCGTCTGAATCATGGGCTTCTAGAGTGGGACAACCCTGATCATGACCCAGTTCAATCACTTGTGGCTCTCCCTTAACTGCAACAGCGTCCGCTGTTACATGTATTTTGCTGCTGTGATTGCAAGAACTGTGTATTGGTTCGTCTACATTTGTATTGCCTTTAAAACCAGAGTCGGTAGAGCTCATAATCAAATGACCACTTTCCTTAGCCGCACTACCGCTCGCCTGACTGTAGTTCATGATAGTATCTTGTGCTTGTGTGCTTGACAGACTGGTATAGGCACATACATCAGATTTGTTCTCTTGAACATGATCAGGTTCATCAGACGGGGGGCATGGAGTTTGCTGGACTGTAGAAGTTGTTACTTCAGGAAATGCATCTGCAGGTGATAAAATGCCGTTTTGGTATGAGCCAAGTTGTTGTGGCTGGTGATGCGGCTGTTGTTTTTGCTGGGCATAGTAGTCTGTACAGTCCATGTCTATTTCAGTTCCAATCAATGAGTTTAGGCCAAGTGCTGGAAGCTTTTCAGGTCTTGCTGGTGACTGTAGCGATGGCTGCATGTACTGTAGATATAAATATGACTCGTGGCGGAATGTGCAATGAAAGTAATGTCCTTCAAGCTGCAATAGCTATATTTTTGGTCTAGAGGATATAATGCAGATATGTACAAGTATGTTAAATACAGGTCTAGCAATAGTGGATATATCAAATAGTTGGGTTTGCAACTTGTATGACCAAAGTTTATAAACTATGTAGTAATACTAGGCAAATAAAAAAGGCTGGCTTAATGAAGGATTTGCTCAGCCATATACAGTATAGAATTTAAATCAAAATCTAACATATATCACGTTGGGCAGAGACTAACCAGAAGTTGTAAAAAAACGGATGAATTTACAATAGATCGATACCAAGTGGAGAAGTAGTCGAGATGAAATCCGCCAAGAAACGATTTGGGAAAATCTGGATAATAGACAATTGAATTGGCCGACAAATACAGGCCAACAGCTGTATAATTCCGCCAAGGAACTCGTTAAAAAATTCCTTGCAAGGGCGAGATTTTGACCGAAACCATCGGTGCGCAGTGTGGCCACTTGGTAAAGTGTTTTGGTAATAAAATCTGTTGTTAAAGCAATGCTAAGCAGTAAGCAATGAAGAAACACGAGAAGGTGTTATTGCTTGATTGCAGCCCGAGGCCGAACACTTCACCAATAATCATCCGCACAACCCTTTATTTGGTTACTGCTCTGTATGGCTTGCCCACCGATTTGTCAGCATTCGTTTGAACAGCTTGGCTGAATAATTGTAGCTGAATTTTACATTGAATTGTCCTATTTAGATTTGGTTTTCAAACGGCTTGTTACATACCGTTCGGGCCGTGTTGCTATCTTTTTCGATTTAGGTATATATAACTAGAGAGTGGTTTATTTGCATTATCTAGCTTATTGCGTAATCCCAAACCATTTTACAGCAGCTAAACTGTATTATAGGTTGTAAACCACCTATCAGTACCTTGTATAGCATGCCTATGCGCATAATGCAAGCTCTATAAAAGCAATGGTTACATTATACTCGCTTTCAAAGTAAAAACGTCTCGGTCATATGCTTCTGCTTAGTTACACCTCGTGATTAGTCCTTCGAGTTCCATGTTCCACCACTTATTTGATTTGGAGGTCGGTGGCCCGACCCAAGGCAATGTCATCGTACGATGACTGTATCGAGTCAGGGGTTACTCAGTATTCTTCATGATTCGTATTTACAAGCGTGCTGATGTTTTGCTGAACCATCAACAAATTATAGGTCGTGGTTCATTAGTGAGCCTGGCTCCAGCCTAATGTTGTTCAAATGGCTATGCATTGGTTGCAGCCTACAACGTAAACCTCCAAACCCAACCATACGAAAAAGCACTTTTTCATGCACATAAACTGGTGATAGTGGATGACAGTTTTATTAATTTCCGTTATCTTGCCCTGTCGCTAGCTGCGGACCTTGTTTCCCAGCTATAAAACATTTTAATGGCTTGACAGAACGCAACGCTCAAACGAATATGATGGAAAGTGGTGCTGTGAGAAATGAAGCCAACCTTTTTATAGCCGTGTAGGACTCTGCACGCTTCTGAATGACTGGAGTGTCAGAAAACTGTTCAAGGAGTTCGACTTCCTGTGCAGTAGCCACACTGGATGGGTTAAAAACGAGCAACCCATTTTCCATCGGGTTGGGAACAGCAGTAGTAGTTTGGATCAAGGCTAGACTAGCAATAAGAAATGCTGAGAGTTTCATTTTCGACAGCGAAGGGTAGAGCTTTGGATGGTTTGATGGAACGGGCCTCTGGTATATCAAAGACGAGTCTAGTAGGAAGGGTATACTGATATCAATAAATACCAAGATAACACTGGTAACAATAGACATTATTTGATGGGCTTATATATCATTGGCACCTGATATGCCTTTTGACACTATGGCGCATACATTGAGATCTAGCTGGGAACCATGGGAACACTGTTCTACTTGCATTGATTGTGTTGATAGAGTAAATGCTAATTAGAATATTTAAACGTGGCGCTAGATGCGCCGCCATAAACTCTGACCCAACATTACAGTTGCAATTCAATCGTAGCTGATGATATTCACATCTATCGGCTTAGCACCTCACACTCCAATCACATTGATGCAGACACTGCTGTGCACTCCACAAACAGACTATTTGTAAATCGCCTGTTTGACATGTGTCTACAAAGCAGCTTTCCAGCCGAGTTCATTACCCTGGGTCTCATTAAAAACAGCATGGCTTGTTTAATGGATTGTTCTAGACTGGCAATTAGCATACACCTATACCAAACACTCAAATTCCATCATAGTCGGAACTCGGAGTCAAACTATAGTGTTGTTAGAGTGTAGTTTATTTGATACCAACTATCATCCTTGGTATTTCATTCATGTGAATTCAGCTGTATAGTGAGTAAAGCCAAGGCTATGATTAACAAGAGTTGATCTCATGGAGCGATGGGTGCCGATTTTCTGAGCAATACCGTACGCTCTGGGCTCAGCAAAACTAGATGGTCGATCAAACATAATCTGCCCAACCATTAATAAACAATGTAAAAGTAAAGCTTCGCTACATTGCTTCATATTATCCATGTTTAAACTTTGCATAAGATTGCTTTTGCATAATAAATGCCATGTATAGCATGCGATGATAGATGTTGAGGGAAAATTTAAAATGTTTATTTGAAGCAGTGCAATCGATTTTTAGAGCAAAGCCAAACGAATATTTAATTGTCTATTCCAAAGCAAAAAGGCAGCCACTGTAGAATAATACAGAAATGTCTTCCATTTTACGTGGATACGGCTGAGAGGCAGAAATTCACAGTAATCAGTTTACAACCCATTCAAAAAGTCAAACACAATAGTTATCGATTCAAAACTCACTGGATTTCAATTATGGCATTCCTCGCTTCGAGAGATGAATAGGCTCGCTTGACATTATATGTCTGACACGACTACGTGAAATTGGAGAGGCAAGTACAACGGTAGTACCAACAGTGATCAGTGCAAGAAGTGAAAATTTCATTTTGTCAAGATAAATGTTTAGATATTGGTTTGGCTAAATCGATCGCTAGCTGAATTGTTTGATTAGGTGAAGATAATGATGATGGATTATATAGTAGTTGATATAGGCAGAGGGAACAATACTTGATGGCGTAAAGACGCGCTTTGAATAGCTTATTCATTTAATGTATGAATAGTAATTGCCACAGCTTATTGGCACATGGACCCATGGATTGATCCATCAATGGATGGCAAAAGTACTCATTAAGCAAATCCACTCACCGTGCATCTAGTACATGCTTTGAACTACCAACCAAGCTTTTATATGAAACGGTATATTGATCTTCAACTCTAACCTTTGATATTTTATAAAAGTAGTTGAGCAGCAAAAAGTGATGCCAAAACCTTGTATATTGAAGACGTATTGTCTAGTTGTAGTGTATACTGTACTGTTAGTTTCTGTAAGCGTGTGTAATCGATCGGTACGATATACTCTAAACCCACTACTGTCAAATCTACTAGCATAATAACCAATTTACACTCAAATATACCTATAAGCCATCATGCAGTAGCCATGATACACATATTGTCATGCCAATATGACATCTAGTTCAAGATCTCAATATCGTGATGTTTGAATGCAGCGTTCCTAGGTTCAAAACTATTCCAGTAGTTGGCATATATCAATTCAACAACATACACACGAGTATTGTTATTGCACTGATCATAATAACAGTATGCAATATGCAATATGGAATCAAGTGAATACATTGATTCTAGTGTACGAGTCTTGATGATAGTCTGTAGATACAATGATATGATGTCGTGTATTGATTGATAAACGTAACAATGTATAAACTTGCAATCAAAATCAGTTGAAAATACCAAAACAGGAATCAATAAGCATGTTCATGTGTCCAGCGTTGTAATGATTAGTAACAAATAACTCATGAACTGAATGTTCGGCAAGATCTGATAAATTGACAATATCTAAAATCAATAGTATCAATACTATTTTACATAATATTTATTTCAAAAGCCAATATTACATGCAAAAAATGCAATCATACAAAATGTCGCTAATCTATACAAGAGCGACCTTGACAATCAGAATCAACCATTAGCACGCATGACGTCCAATGGGGATATCCCAAATCCAAATGTGTTTCAATACATCTAACCCAAATGTTAGAGAATTCGCACAGTCTTGGCTCTCGACAGGAAGGTCATCTTCCTCGTCTAGCTTGGTCACTACTTTTGATTTAGAATTCTTCAAAGCTGTCATATCCTCAGTTGCTGGACATACGTATGTTGTGCCATCACGATTCGAGACCCATATTTCGGTTGGGTGATGAAAAAAACCAAGAAATAGTGGAGGCAGGTGTGGGGTAACATCGTTTTGATTCACCACCCGTAGAATAGCTTTAAAGTTGACCGATGCTACCCATTGAACGAATTCGAAATTTCCAGTTCGTGGTTGATTGATGGTATAAAGTAAAATTCGTTGTGGATCCTAAAGTTTTAAATCAAACCATTACAAAGTTGTAAGCATGGTTAGTCGCGACTGATTTGGCCATCCAAATAACAAGATCACAGGAGATTAACATTGAATCAAATCATTAGTCAAGCGTGTATCAACCATTGCATACCAGTCCAAGCAATGTGACCATTTCCATGGATGCCATTGTCGTCAAGGCACCTCCAAGTGAATGGCCTGTAACAATAATGTCGAAATCAGGAAAGCTACTGGCAAGAAGTTTGACCTGATCCAAAACCTCTGTTCTAATCTGATTCCAAGCCTGTAGAAATCCTAAATGAACTTGTGCTCCAGGAGGGGATTCGGGAAATGGCGAGTCAGGTAGTGCAGTTGTGATGTCCTTGACCCAGTTGTCCAGATTCTGAGAGCCTCTAAACGAGACAATGATGCGACTGGTAGGAATATGTACGGCAGTATAGCAAAATGAAGTGAATGTAGGATTGCCAATAAGAGTGATGTTTGTAGTGTGTTCTGTTGCACCTCCACAAGTTGTGCATGTCCAAGTATCCAATCCATCAATGCAATATGCTGACCGAGTATAATTCAGCAAATTCATCATGAGATCCATTAATGCAGGCGGTGCTTTTACAGGCTGATACTGCATAAGCTTCTCAGTCCCGTGCATAGACTGCAAAGGCTGTTGCTGTCCATATGATGGTCCAGACCGAGACTGGAATTGACCGACTGTTTTGCTATAGTCCTGTTGGAAATTGGCTTGACGCAGCTGTTTTGGCATATTGGCAAATGCTTCAGAATAAGAGACTTTCTCAACAAAAGCACCAGTGCTGGATTTAAAAGTATCGGATTGCTTATTAAAAGGTGATGCCATTGCAGGACACACCAAGACTATCATTGCTATTAATCCAACTGCAACACAAGCAGTACGATGACGTTGTCTAGCACCAGTCATGCTAATAGCAGTCCAAAAAGAATACTCGAGCCAACCAAAGTAGAGCAAAGCCATCAAGTATACAAATATTGGTAGAATAACAAGTCGGCAAGTTTTGTCAGGAAATAAGTCGAGATAGCATTGAAAACGCGAGTTTATTCTGCAATAAAGCCGACTTTTTGGTTGGATTTCTTTCCAACTTTCCAACTGACGCACCACTAAAAGTCCATTCAGTCCTATAGAGCCAGTGCTCTGTTATCTTGATCATGACTCTTACAATTAATCTTGAATTTAGTGGAGGCATGGAACTCTTGTTTGATCATCAACGCAGTATAGCAGCGACTCTGCCAGACACATTTATTGCTGGCACATCTACACTGAGAGACCTTATTGCATGGACTGCATCCAACCTACTCAAAGAGCGTCCAGAGTTGTTTATTCAAGGCGACTCAGTGTTAGTCTAATTCTTTCAAGTCAATGCATGCTCATTAACCAAACCTGCATCTGATTTTATTCGATCAACTGGATTGCTGATTCTACATTGAATATTGTATCTTTATATAGACGGCCTGGAATCTTGGTACTAATCAATGACGTTGACTGGGAACTACTGGGTGAATTAGATTATGTCTTGTGTGACAAGGACACCGTTGTTTTTATTTCGACTTTGCATGGTGGTTAATAGTGCAGCCGATTTCTTGATCTGCTTGCATATTCCAGGAAAGCAGACTAGGACTGACGATTCATAATACAACTTTAATAAAGACTATGCAAGTGTAGAATTGACCCATTGCATCTACACCTTGCTTGTCATCCTTTTGTTATAATCAGACTACAAATTCAAGATTTTATCGAGTCGCCAGTGCAATTAGATGTGCATTTTACTCTTGTTCAAACAGAAAATAAACTCAATATTCAAGTACAATCCTTCAATAGACTGTAAATGCATTGATGAGATTGAAAAAGTGCAATCTAGGTCCATTTATCAACTCGTGATAGTTTCAAAGTCATCGTTGTATGCTTTGCCTGCTCATTCACCAGTCATTACATACCAACCGACTTTTGCTATTCAACCAACAGTTCAAGTCATGTCAGATTCAACTACTTCAACTTCTAATGGCAATACGAAATCCCCAATTCCGCTCTCAAGTCCATCTGATGTGACTGCAACCCCAACTATTTCGTCTTTCAAAAACAAAGGAAAAATGCCTGTACAGAGTTCACCAGGTCCCATGGAGCAAGATGTCCGGTCAACCACTTCAAGCACTCAAGTAGAAGCAGCCGAGACTGTGGACAGTTTTGAACTTGAAGATGATGACGAGGAAGGCGAACACGAATACAACTCGGATCTGCAAGATAGCAATAGTTCGGCTTTATCTAGTGACGGCTCAGGATCCAGTCAAGATGGTAGCAATAGTGATGATGAAGAGGCTGAATTAGCGGCTCTTTTGAATGAAGCAGAGGAAAATGGAGATGGCAGCGAGATGGTGGTTGGATTACGTTCAGGGAATAGTAGATTCAATTCAAGTGCTAGAACACATTTTCGAGACGATACTCAAGCAAGTCAGAATGCATCAAATGAAGGTTGTGCAAGTGGATCTGCACCTGCCTCCAAAAAACAACGATCTTAGACTATCAAGGTCATTTTACAAACGTAAGCTTACTCATCTAATAAATGGTCACTTGTCCTTGGTTAATAAAAGCTTATTATACTCATATTAAATAGTTCCTAGTCTGTAAGCTAATGCTAATAATATTCAAACACTACAGTGTGGCTGGTTTACTCAACTTGAAGCTTTTATTTCAAATACCAATCTCGAGCTACTTTGTATAAGTGCAGTTTTGGTCATATGTAGTAATTATCAGATCTACCATTGCAATAGAATAATCGGTATCTAAGCCCAGACACTAATCGGATATAATGCAATAACCACATCCACGTTGACAGAAAAATCACTATTGAGCATTGCAACCAATCAACCAAACTTTAAATGGTTTTCGTAAAATTTAATAATCTAAAGCATTACAAATATACAGGTTAGCCTTGACATTCTATCACTGCCAATACTGCAACCCAAAACTACACATCTAGTCATTAGTACCTTTTGAGGACATTTAGCATTGGCAACCTTGCTTGCAACCACAATCTTTTTGCCATCGTTCCAATTAATATAAACTAAAAGATCGTCTGTGCTTGAAGATGCCATCTCCATGGTTTCAATACTTTCCACATCATTCTCCCATGACAATTTGTCTCTCATTTCTGCCGTAAGAGCATCGGGAGAAAGGTATATCTTTTGCAAAGATTCGCCTATATGTAAATACGTCCCAAAATACGTTAGTTTATAATGAGACTCCATTGATAACACAAAATCCCATGCATCAAATATATACGACTTACTTGATTCCTCTTCTTCTATAGTCTTTTTTTTGCTGGATGGGTTCGGTTTTGAAGCAGATTTCGAGGTAGCTCCTTTTTTGCTGGTGCGAGAAGGCTGTGATGCGGATTTACCATTTTTAGCTAAAATATACCGTGATAAAAGTGTATAATAAGTCTAATAAGCCACCAATTGCATAGATGCAATGTAAACACTGCTAAAGTCTATAGATCTCCAATGAAACTACTACTTACCAATTGGCGTTTTTTGACGCTAAACAAATCAAACCACAATGAGTGAATTTAGCCCATGCACTCCAGTCATCTAAACAGTTGAATACATTTTTAATAAAAAATCAACATACCTTGGGAGGTGATGCTTGAGGTTCTATAGCACGAGATCTAGATGTGGAAGTTCGCGCTTTTTTGCCTTTACTTGCCTGAGTACTCCAGAATTCTTTGACAAGATCAGGCGCCTGTTTATAGATTTAGTAAGCCGATTAGCAACATGCATTGGACTACTATTTGATCAAAGGCTAAACCAAACTCATCGATCTTACATCCACAACATCTAAAATAGCAAACCATTGTTAAAAAAATCATTAGTTATTTCAAAGATAATGATAAATATTGGTATTAGATTTGTAATCAATGGGTCAAGATGGAACGTCGCATTTAATACTACTTGGCACGATAGTGTGCAAGTGAGTACAACTAAAATTATACACCAGGCCATCAAATATAATGTGTTTTGATTGTATCAAATTCAAGTAGTACTGAGGCACCAAGTCTGAGCCCACGATAGATAGTGGGAAACAGTGCAGACTAGTCCAATGAAAGAAAAGATCAAGCATACTCGAACAATGCCAAAGTAGATAAAAGGCAATTAAACCATTTGGATGGATTGGATTTGGAATAACATACCAGTGGGCTCCCAAGTGTTATCTGAATCAGGATATCCTTTCCACTTGATGTAGAATTGTTCTACTCCCTATATTAAATGATTTAATCCCCAAAAACTAATAAGTACCATCACGTATATACAGACAAGAGTAGATGATGTAGCTATAATTCTATGCTACAAAGGTGTAAATAGTGAACCCCACATACAGAGTAGCAAACACAATAGGAAAGTGAGGCTCAGTTATACTACTGAACTAATCAATAGCTATATTGCAGTGTGTATACTGTAATATAGCTATTTTACCCCACAGTGACCAGAGTTAAATCAAGGTATCAATTAGAAATAATAGCTGTTCAAGTGTACACTATTATATCTAGTACGTTGGCAGTCTGGACACACCTGATGCTTACGGAACTTGATAATTCTTTCAACCTCAAACTCCTCGTCATCAAGGGACTCTTCAGAGCTGCCATTCTTTGAACTCTTGTCAGATGAGGGAGTTCTTTCATGCATACTATCGTCGCTGCTTTCATCGGCTACTCCCATGATTTGAGTTGTAATGGAATAAAAGCCGAGTCAACTTTGTCGAGATTTTAACCATTTGCACTTGCAAAATCGTCAATTTATCAGATCTTGCCGAACATTCAGTTCATGAGTTATTTGCTACTAATCATTACAACATCGTACACATGAACATGCTTATTGATTCCTGTTTTGGTATTTTCAACTGATTTTGATTACAAGTTTATCAATCAATACACGACAGCATATCACTGTATCTACAGACTATCATCAAGACTCGTACACTAGAATCAATGTATTCACTTGATTCCATATTGCATATTGCATACTGTTACTATGATCAGTGCAATAACAATACTCGTGTGTATGTTGTTGAATTGATATATGCCAACTACTGGAATAGTTTTGAACCTAGGAACGCTGCATTCAAACATCACAATATTGAGATCTTGAACTAGATGTCATATTGGCATGACAATATGTGTATCATGGCTACTTTATGATGGCTTATAGGTATATTTGAGTGTAAATTGGTTATTATGCTAGTAGATTTGACAGTAGTGGGTTTAGAGTATATCGTACCAATCGATTACACACGCTTACAGAAACTAACAGTACAGTATATACTACAACTAGACAATACGTCTTCTATATACAAGAAAAACTGGCGGGTTTGAAACCCATTAATACTCAACACAATCGTCAACTAGAGTTTATTACAATTAGGAATGCAAAATCGCGACCTTGAATTTTGTAAACTGAGTGAGTAATATAGAGTAAAGGTTTGGTTGTCCAAGTGTCAAGATCTGCCTCGTTAATCCAAGTATATGTTTAAAATGACTGTCAAGACTAAAATAGCTAGCCAGATTGGTGACATTTTATAATGGAAGATCGATTTGGTTTGGATGCAAATGTGTATATGTAGCAAGAGTCATTATGATATGAATTGTATGAATGTCACAAATGTCACGAATGTCATTAAAATAAAATGGTGGATCCAACAATTGTTCCCATGTTGATCGGAATCAACAGCAGTTGGCCATATTCAACTGCCAGATCAATCATTACATTAGTCATCAGTCATGCTTTATTTTCAACGAATCGTGTTTCTAAAATGCCAGTTCAGTCAAACTCGGCTATAGTTGTAATAAAAACAACAGCCCAGGTTTATTTCCATCAAACAATTCAATCCATGAGCTTGAGTCTGTCACACACAACAGCCATTGTAAATTGATTCAACTGCAAAGTGTTTATTTTTTGTGATCAAGTGGATACTATCAATAACACAGACAATGGTCAGTTTTGCACAAATGTCACATCTATGCCTGATGTCACTCGTTGGATATCCAACTCCAAGTGATTATTTACAAACAAATAAAACCATCTGTTGCAGCTTATCCAAATCAATAGCATGTCGGTCTGAACATTCCAATGGTGCTTGTTTTTTCAAATATTTCAAATCTCCATCATTTGGATACAACTCATCCATGTGTACATTTTTACATGCGGTAGATCTCGAGTATAGTCCTGCTTGAACCAGTACATTTCGAGATGCTTCCAGTCGTGTTTGAGTCGACAATTGCAAATCTGGCGCGCGAGATTGTTGTGTGGTGTTGTATTCGAAAATGATGGATTGTGATACTCGATGCTGCCGATGCAACATTGCTGTCGATGGAGCATAAAAACATAGCCAATCAGATGTAAACGGTGATAGTCCACCAGCAGAGTATCCCATTTGCCATCCCAGAATTCCAAGATGAGCAACCATGAGCCGGAAATACGCTGTAAATGAATACGCAACAAATACCCATTCCGATGTTGATTCTACTCGAAACCAGACTGTTGGCAAAGATGGATTGTATGCAAGTGGTCTTGTATTGTTTGGAAGGATTGTGTCAAATCCATAGCATAAACACACTTGGCCCATAGATTTACATTCATCTAGCACAAATGCTCCAAAAAGAGATGGATTCTGTACATATTCAACTAATATCCAACAGTTGAATATAAATATTCAGTCAATACACCAACTTGATATATGCGTATCAATAACGTACCACGATCAAGACTTCTTGGAAGCAACGCAGAGTCGATTTGAATCATATCGACCAGTGATTTGATATGCATTCTACCCAATATGCGACTTGAATGCTCAATCTCTACATTCCATGTAAAAAGCAATCCATCAGAACATTTCAAAAACTGAACCAGATCGGATGGTAGTGTCAATACGTTTTGTCCATGAGTACAAGTCCATCGCGACACCAGTGCGTGCGGACATGGTGGATACGCTGCTATCTTGAGGTCAGTCACATCTGGACACGACTCGAGATATGGAATGACACCAGGCATCCATTCCTGATACATGTGTAGTGCAGATGAAGTGTGTTGCATATTCATACTTTCTAAAGACATGCTTGATGTTTTTGACATTAAATGCAACGATATCGATGTGGTGAATTTGATTCAAGTTGCAGTCCAAGTGCTGACATCCTAATTTGCATGCTAAAAACAACCGAGTTTGACCAACACTTGATTTCCAGTATAAAGCTGACTACTTTTACTGGTGAACGTACTCTGCGGATCCAGATAGTATAGAATGACTGCTCCAGCTACTCAAACAGTAATTACCGTTGGACAGACGCTCTACATCAACAATATAAACGACCGTATCCGGAAAAAGGGTACATTGAATCAGCAGTATTACTAGCTGGAATGAGAAATGACTGGACTTGCCAACTGCTCATGATTGCAGTGTCAACTGACATTTTAAACTGTTTATTCTACATGCTGTGATTACATTAGAACTAAGAGAGTCGCTGTACTATTTGTTTTCACAACATGGTCGAGTACTGGATATTGTTGCTCTCAAAACCATGAAAATGAGAGGTCAGGCATTTGTTGTGTTTGATACTGCACCAGCTGCCACTGTTGCCATGAGAGAACTGCAGGGATTCCCATTGTATGACAAGAACATGGTAAGACTAGAGTTTTGCAGATCGTCATGTTGCATTGATATTTCAACTGGATTTGGTTGTTAATGCTTACTGTCGAGTAGAATGGCTGTAGACTAACATGAATGTGTTACTGTTATTTGGCATGTTTGATTATCACTTGTGAAACCCAGCAAATTGCATATGCCAAGACAAAATCCAATGCAGTCAAGAACCGAGATGGCAGCTACTCGAAGCGATCTCGTGCAGCAGCTATAGAAATGAATGGTAATGAATCTGATGCATCAGATGATGATACACTACACAAGCGACAGCGTGGAGATGAATATGATTCAGTAACTACAGGACGACATTTAAAGGATAATGAGGAGGAAATGGAAGAAGGTGAGTTGCACTTGTTGACTCTTGAATGCATGGATTCAAGTACGCTTTAAACTGTAAACGGATATCTGATGCGTTTATGCATTTCATTTAGATGACACCAACGCGATTCTTTTCGTCAGTCAGTTGCCATCATCCGTTACAGAAGAGTCGCTATCGACGTTGTTTGCACAAAATGAAGGATTCAAAGAAGTGCGGATTGTACCAGGTCGACCAGATATTGCATTTGTCGAGTATGCATCATCAGCACAGGCAGATCAAGCACGAATGGTATTAAATGGATGTCAAATCACTCCAGATCAAGCCATGCGGGTAGAGTTTGCACGGCGGTAAAGATGTTGCATTATGCTGATTGACAAAAATGGTATTGTTGAATAAACAGATATGTTTTGGCATACATCTGATATTGATTGGTGGATATGCATCCAAGCCAAAAAAACATGGTGTATTGTACAATGGATATTTTACATGCCATGTATCGATTGTGATGAGTTGCACATTTTGCTTACTGTTCAAGATCCAGTGCACTAATCTGTAAATAGGTAATGCTCGAATTGTCGATACAACAATCTGGCATTTGTCATTGTGATATTCATGGAATATCTTGGTCAGTGAGTGTATCTGCAGTAATCCAGTACACACCTTGGCCAACTGAACTCGACAGTGAAATACCACATTTCAATTACACGACTGCCGAATCTCTGATGTGTTGATCAACCATTCAACAACTTGAAAGTAATTTTAAACACTTGTATCATGCTGAACAGTATCACTACTAGATTGAACAAGTTGCTTGATAGTTGTGTACTTTGCAATGCAGCGTTGCTACAAAAGTATGCACTTGACATGTTTCCAAAGCTGAACTTGGGTTGTCAAATGAAACACCAAGTTACAGATTGCTCAACAGTTGTTCAAGCCAGATTGTCAAATTAGAATACCAATTACACAATTTCCGGTATTTTCACAAGCAACGAGTGGTATGATTTGATATACACACTCGAGTCAAGATGCTACGAGACCAGTCTTGTTTAGTTTTTGTCAGGATTTTGAATGAGATACAGCCAGAATAAACATGAATGCATAGACTAGCCGATGCTGGAGTTTTGAATAGTGAGTTTGAAGATATTCGTGGTTTTGCATCATCACACTTGATTCAGACTATGAATAGTTGGTTATCCATGTGTCATTATTGTGAAGAGCAACACCATGCATTATTTGACCTGTTGTATTTCCATTTACTAATTGTGTTTTTGATATTTCATATGCCATTGCCGATTCATCAGAGTTTATTTGCAATATGCAAAGTTGGAACGCGCAAGATAAACTTGACCCAATATCCACGCCAATTCACATCCACGAACATTCTTGACCACTCTGTATCTGTAGTCTCTCCATCCTTTGCAGCAGTCGTTCCCGTATAACCATGAATAAATCATTGAATCACTGCCCAGTTACTTTACTTTTAGCATTCCATCAGAGTTGCCAATCCGACTAGTTAACCTCCACATCCGACAACCAGAAATCATCCTTCAACGCCAGAAACAACACTGTCTGTTCAAGACTTGATATCAACAATTCAAGACCACTCATATCAGCACTGAAATGCCTGAACGTACACTGTCTGCATTTGCTACACCATCTGCAATATTTCTAGGAATCGCGCTCCATGAGCTCATATCAACCTTCTTTTTTCTAGTTTCCGCATCCAAAACCTCGTGGAGCACATCACTATTCCAGATTTCTGTTGTGGCATGGAGTTTATGTATGCTGCAGTCAATTTTACAGATTGTGTTGCTGGATTACACAATATCGCCGTATGAGACTGCCAATCATTCCATGGCATGGGTTACGATTTTTGCTATTTGTGCCAACTTTCTAACCAGTACATCGTTGGCAAGTACCAACTATGGCAAATATTGGTTCATTTTGCATGTTGTGTTTATTTCTGACTTGTTGATATTCAATGGCATGTTTAGCTTGCTGTCATGGTGGTTCGATTACGAGTATTTCATTCGGGATCATCCTTGTCGTTATGGTTACTGTCATTTATTGGGTTTGCGACCTTTTGTTTTTCTGTGCCAGCCAATATTCTCGGAATACTATCCAACGTTGATGTCGTTGCAGATCGAAGTTCCATATTTTTTTCCAGTCCGCTGATTGGAGTAAGCCATATCGAGTCCAAGTATTAAACATGCCATTTCAACTTTATTGACAACCATGTTTTTTTGCAACTACTGCATATATAGCTTACTCGCGAGTTGTTTGCATTCACATTCGTATTACAAGGTCTGTTTACATCGTTGGCATCAATATCATTTCTCTGGTCACTCTGCAAATCCATTGGATTTACAGGAAAAGGATTCGTGTATCAAGTTTTGCTAAAACGGGAAGGTCCTCGATTTATTGTCATATTTGGACTCAACATCATTGTTGCTGGATTTGCAGTGCATTCATTCCTATATGATCCGACGCATGTTACATTTTCTGGATGGTACATGCCTCCCATGATTTATGCGATTGAGATTTATACGTTTTTATTGACGAGTTACGTCGAGCCTAGAAGTTTATTGCGACAAGTGCAGATGGAAACAGAGTATGATGGAAACAACATGAAAGAACAAACTACTGATGTAGCGAGTCAAACTTACAGAGTGCCTACCAATAGTCCATATGAGATAATATAGTTTTGAATAGTTTCATTATTTGATTTTGAAATAGATGAACACTGCAGAAATGAAAATCAAATTGTATATCTGCCATTCATATCCAATTGTTGATATAGCGATCCAGATCAGTTTCAAGCAAACATCCATTAAAAGTTTAAACCATTGCATTAGATGTACACGTTTGTGTATAATATTGTCAACGAGTTTGAACACAATGACCATGTCAACAATCTCGAACCAGTGTTTTTGGTTGTTTCAACATTTACATTATTTTGTATTTATAATTCCAATTACTGGATATATTAATTTAAATACCTATTTTTATATCAACCAAAAACGGTTTACATATCAACTGAAACTATAAAAATGTTTATTCAGCACTCTTTTCATCACGGGCTTGAATTTCTGCAATACGCTGTGCAAATGGATCAGGTTTGGGCCATGCAAAAAAGTTTTGTCCATCGGTAAGACGACGATCTTCCAGACGGTATTGGTTAGATCGCTCTGTTTCCCGACCACTCCAGGATGCATAACCACCCATGAATCCAAACAATGCAGCTTGCCCAAATGCCATTGCTGGGCTTCGACCTATCCAAATATGCGTTGAGTTGAATGTTAATATGTGTAGATAGGAGTGATTTGTTGTGATAATCAGCTTTTATACTTACGGTAAACACCATTCAAAAGACCAACCACTGCACCACCGAATGCCGTGTTCCAAAAATCATCTGTATGACGAATCTTGGCTAAGAAAATGCTGGATGCGCTAAAGGCACCTCCAAGACCAGCTATGATGATAGATCAGCACGCATAGCAACCAAAGTTAGTGTAAACAGCAATCCATTGACAAGACATTCCAATTGTAATGATACAACATTTACAAGTTGCACAACTCGACAATATACAAGAAGATACATTCATGCTAATGACTGTATCAGAGGTTCGACTACTCACCAAGCAGAGCACCTCTTGTCTTCATTTCACTCATCATAGCAGGTCTGCTGCTGGCAACCCACCATCCAAACGCTCTTGCATAGATTACACCTACAGTCAAGCCAACCATTGAAGCCTTTCCGACTTCAGATAGCATATCAGCCTCAACAAGATTGTCTGCACAGAGAGGTATGCGGTTATCTACAGGTTTGATCAACTTCTGAGGGGGTTGCTGAGTCATCATGGGATGGTCTGTGGAAGTCACCATGGCTGTAGAGTTGATGGAAAGTCGAGTAAAAGAAAATTCAACCATCAGTTGGCCCGTTCACTCGAGTTGATGTTCCAACAAACTCGAGTGTTTCTACTTGAATCTGAATACACTCACAATGCAAATATAACTTGTATGAATACTCATGAATAAACTGGATTATAAATCTGTAGTGCGTAAATTCAGTCGGTTTGAATTCAACCATCAGCAAGTGTAAAGAGTATCAAACTAACAATGCATGCTCAACAGTTTATCACATTCATGACTCGATGGTTTGAATAATAGATGATCAATAATTGTATATGTAAATAAGCTTTTCTCTTGAAATCCTAAAACTCAATTCGATTCACAATTTGCTTGATTTTTATTGGCATCTGAAATATATTCCATCAATGTATACTATAGTCAGTTATTCAATGTACCGTTTTGGTATAAAGTATCAATCATTTCATGAGACTGGCTGTTTATTATGCATTTTGGTAGTCTTGTTTTACAGCCATAAAGAGATTCTTGCTTATTAATAACCACTGAGATGCATGGTTGAAATACCATTCGAGATACTCACACATTACAATAATTCTGATTCAGTTCAAGAACATTCAGAGCAATGCCAGCCAAGAGTTTTCAAGTGCTGCAAGTTATCTGAATCAAGACATTATTCAGTGTCGAGTTTGATTAGAAAATCAAATGCAAATAGTTGACTTGTAATGAACTAGATTTGAATGGTCATGACCCAAGATAATCATAAACGAGTGCAGTTGGCCAACCTACACCATGTCAAGTCAGATACTCCAAGTTGGAAGGATATTCCAAGGTTTGGTCCTAATCCTGCCAAGCTACTAGCGCAGCAGCAACCTATTGCAGATTTGTTTCCACCACGACTTCGTAGATATCTAAACCATCATGTTCATGAGCAATATTATCCACCTCGTAATTGTCAAACCAATTTGCATACTCAACGACCTCACAGTAAACCAATAATTCTGTCAAGGGGAAAGCCTAGACCATCTGGCCAACAGTCATTTATACCCAACATCTCTACCGCCACGTTTATTCCTACTGAGCCTTTAAACACAACTCCTAGCCATGATGGCATAGATTATCATATCGTCTACGATACTCATAAGAAACATGCTCACGACTTGCCATTTCCTGGTAGCTGTAATGCATCCATTACTCATCTGCGACAATCTGATCGTATACGACTTGCTGCTTTGATTCATAATTTGGCTACAATTCAAACTCAGCATAAGCATCTTGCACTTCAGATGGATACGGTCTCGAAACAAAAAAAAGAACTGGAGATTGAGCTAGGAAAGGCCAGATTTGAAAATACCGGATTAGCAGACCAACACAAAGGTACTCTTGTCATTGTAGCTGTTGAAACTCGAAATGCGAGTGTAATGTGCGACTTATACCCTGACGGATTTAATATGATGCATACTGTTTTCAGATGTAGTGTGCGAGCTTCTAAAATCTAAAAAGCAATTGGAGTTCTATGAATCTCAATTGCAAGATCTTCAGTGTAAAATTGCTGAAAATCAAAATCGACAGGATTTAACCAAAATGGATTCTCAAAATGACCGATATACTCAAATGTGCTCCAAATCTACATCTCCAATGAATGTTCCCAAAGATAACTTTGAACCCGAGTTACCACAAGTGCAGGTTAGAGGATACTTTGACACTGGACGTGATTTGCTTCTGTAATGGCACTAACTTGCTTTATAAATTTCAATAGAATGGAATTGAACATTTAGACGCTACTTCAGCATTGTCTAGCCAAGACAGGAACATATCAAATCCATTTAACAAGACAATGGCAGGCACACATGGTGCTATTCAAGATCAAAACAATATTTATAATCACAGCCTAGAAAAAGCAGAAGACAGTCGTATGCATAGTGACAAGTCTATAATTGAACGGCAAGCCGAGCTGGAAAAGATTCTAGATAGTCACGATAACCCCAATTCATACAGTGATGCTTTTCATCAATCAGTATCAGATTCTGCTACATCAGAGCAAGAGAATTCAGAACACGCTGGAATGAACCTGGAGAATATTTTGTTATCTGTACTTCGGCAACGTGCCTCCAAGTCTACTAAACGTGAAAAGAAATTTGCTCAAGCAAAGTATTGTGATCGCGCAACCAGTCCTAATATAGCCGATGATAATCCAGCAGATTCATCAGAGAAAAAGAAATGTACTATAGCCGAGCACATTGATCGACTTTTGGGTCAGCGCTCATACATTAATACTGTTTCTGAATCAGACGATAGCTTGATTGCCAATCAATCCCAATCAAATCCTTATATAAACACAGACAATACACGCACTTGTTTGTCAAAGGATCAGCAACCTAAACCAGAATCCTATAATACTCGAAACTCTTATGTTGGTATCGAGTCAGAAACTAATGCAAAGCGTCAATCACCTATATTGGTTCCGCAACAGCCACAGTTTTTAGATCCATCAGCAGCCATTTCTTTTGACAATACAGTGCATTCCAATAATACTAAATTGAATAGTGCTCAAACTGTGCATAATGGACAGCAGGATCATGAAAAATCGAGTCGCCACTCTACGAATGCTCCACAGATGAAGCAGCATTCTAAACAGTCAATTCACTCGTTTGTTACTCCTATATCATCATCTGGATCATATCTTACGCATACTGGAATTTGTACGTGTGCATGCATGCAATGCATTTCTGTTGATTTATCAGGAACACCTACTGTAACAACGATTCCTTCGTCAGCATCGTCTTTTACTACCATGTCAATACACTGTCCTGTATGCTGTGGATGCGTATCACACCACTCATCTCAGAAATATACATCAAAGATTTGCTCCAAACAGACGGGCAACGACAGTTTAAAAAGTCAAAAAGAATCAAGCGAGTCAGAAAAGGTTATTGTAGATGCAAAATCATTCAAGAAACCAACCAACATTTCATTGCAATCCGTTAAATCTCCCTCAGCTACACGGATTATTGAAGTGAGTGGATCGTCAGTATTGTATTCAAATGGCTCTTTAACATCGTCAGAGATAAATAGACCCAGAGATGACTCCAGTGGTTTAGGGTATACTCGCTCATTTAGTGAAGCATTCAAGCTTATACCACAGGATGCAAGTTTTTTATTTGCAAACGATACATCCATGCTCAAATCATTAGCACAAATTGTTTGTGAATTAGAAACTTGACTAATAAACGACTGCGCTAGTGGATAGCGTTATTCAGGTGATAGAATGGGCAGCTTTGCATGAGGATTAAAAATGGAATTTTTACAAATCCGATATGCTTTATTAGTCATATTTCACATAAATGAAACACAAGATGCTAAAGTGTATGATAAACAGCCCATTTCATGACAGTTGTCACCAAATTTACTGGAAAATAGTGATTTGAACTCAACGAGTTGACTGATCTTTATTCATTTTGTATAGCTAAATGAATGTTGACATCAGTTTCAGTACATCCCACACGTATTCAATCTGTAGCTGTTTTACAAAGTCACCATTATGACATTGTACGATTAGCATGAAAACAGTTGCATTCCTCGGACATGCAATCACTTTTTTTAAAACTAGAGTGTATCTGTGGTTTTAGGATGTAATTGCGGGGTTTGAAGCTGGATTGACAGGATCAGAATAGATGCCCCAATATTTGGATGACAGTGGATAAATCTGGTGACTGTACAATGCATGGCTATGCTAAATGTGAAAAAAGGGAAATTCGATTCAATTCAAAACTACAACATGATGGTCGTTGTGCTTTGAAACAGTCAGTTTCTAATAACGAATCTTCAAGTGTTTATTCCAGAGCAAAACAGTTATTACAAGATAAAATACAGAAAAATGTTGAATTTTACGTGAATTCGTTTTGAAAATTTAAAATTGAATGCTGACGATAGCGGGATTTAGGATAGCTGTGATGGGCTGGATGCTCATGCACTGTTGTGTTCCGATAGTGGCTGGAGATGGGTTATCGTCGAAACCATTAGTAAGCGAATTCGGTCCGAAACCTAAAGAGTATGGAGTGAATGGCATGCGAGTTCAGCCAGCTGATAAGTTGAACTCTGACAAGCCACAAGCTGGAATTTATGGTCAATGCATCTGCGGGCCATCATCTGATAACAGCATTACTTCACTGGACTCTAATCTATCGTTTCAAAACAGTCCGCATGCTAATCCATCGTCTTCGATTTTCTCGTTGAAAAAACATACTGAGCCAGTCACTCCGTTACAGTATGGACTGACGCTCGTTGCTATTGGCACTTTGGTTATTGTTGGAGGGATTGTTGCAGGTACATGTATTGATGCTGCTGGTGAATGAATTGTACTTTTGGCTTTTAGTTTGAATAAGCTATGTTGAGTGTTGAGTCATTCAACCCATCACTGGTCTTGCTCTGTCCTTATTATGGCTTGATTACTAATTCATAATCTATTTAATTTGTCATGAATTGATAGGATTGACTATTGGACTCATGTCTTTAGACGAAACCAATCTTTCTATTCTAAAGATTTCCGGTACTCAACAGGAAAAGGCTTATGCTGCTCGCATTGAGCCTATTCGTAAAAATTCTCATTTATTACTCGTCACTTTACTCCTGACCAACACTATTGTCAATGAGACTCTTCCCATTATGTTCGACTCCATTCATTTACAGGGATGGCAGGCTGTATTGTCCTCGACTGTCTTGATTGTCATTTTTGGAGAGTTGAGTAGTCTTTGATGTTCAATGTGAATCCATCAAGCAAATATTGACTTGAATATTTGTTATTATTGTATTTGTTCAGAATCATTCCACAGGCTGTTTGTGCAAGATATGGACTTTTAATCGGTGCATTTTTTGCATGGCCTGTACGTATTCTTATCAACGTTGCATGGATCGTTGCATACCCAATTTCAAGATTGCTAGACTTGGTGCTGGGTCATAAGAATGGTGTTGTGTATCGTCACGCTGAACTCAAAGAACTTGTAGCCATGCATGGAGAAGATCAATCTGGACCACTTACCAGAGATGAAGTCTCGGTATTGCGAGCCGTGCTTGAGCTGCGTGACAAGTCTGTAAAAGATGTCATGACTTTACTTGGCGATGTCTTTATGCTGCCACTCTCTGCAAAATTGAATCTAAAAACCATGCAAACCGTAGGTTTTTGTATTTTCATATAAACATGGTCTTGTAATATATTTTGAAGCTTACAATTGTTTGATTGAATCACATCATAAAATCAGATTATTCAAGCTGGACATTCTCGCGTCCCGGTGTATGACACAGAAAATCAGCATACCGTTATTGGCGTAGTTCTTGTCAAGCAACTTATTGTATTTGATCCTGACGAAGAAATCCCTGTCAGGTCGATAAAAATTCGATCTCTTCCTCGTGTTCTTGCTGAAACACCATTGTTTGATATGCTGCATATTTTTGAATCGGGTGGTTCTCACATGGCTCTTGTTGTGGAAGAAGTTTGCACTGGTGACGACTCTTGTGTGGATAAATGCGTAGATGATTCCTGCACTGATGAAACCAAGCCACTTTTAGATCATATGAGCGAGGAAGTGGGCAGTGGAAGCACCCATACTACACCCGTCTCAAAACCAAAAGAATTTCGTGCACTTGGCATTGTCACTCTGGAAGATGTAATTGAAGAATTGCTTGGTGAAGAGGTAAAGTATTTATTTTTTGATGACCATATTGCGACTGATCCTGCATTGATGTTTGTAGCTAATTATATAAATGATTGTACAGATTATTGATGAAACAGACGTGTATGTAGATATAGCATCCAAAGTCAGAGTTTCAAATACGGCTCGAAACCAAACATTTTTTCGCCATTTACTCGTCTCTCCTCGCATTCATTCAGCCGAACTGCCTCCTACTTGCACCAATACAACCGAACACGAACCAGAAATCGAACGCTTGTCATTTCTTCCATCCCCTGCCATGATCCGTCAATGGTCTTCCCCTCGGACTCGTGGCCATAATGGGTCCGAGCGTATTCGCACTCTTGTGTCGCGACTTGATTCATCTCAACTGACGGTATCTTCTACGTCCGAGAAAGGCACTACTGTTCCGCCTATGCCTAATTTAATTCTTACAGCTGCAACACCTCTAGATACATCTTCTGGGTTTGACTCGGCACCATTATCTACTTCAACTCATAAACCTCATCATCATCATAATTCCAACTCTCAACCCCCGCGCAATGCCTCCGTGCCAGGTGTTCTTGACACATCCTCGCTTTCTCCTGTTCCAATCACTCAAAAACAAGTAGCAATGGCAGCAGGGATATCGTCTGGGAAAATAAAACGCAGAAAGGACAAGGATCTTGTTCCTGCACAAGACCTAGCCACGATGTTAGCAGCCAATCCCATGCAAGTGTATACTCCTGCTCCTCGTCGACACTCTGCATTCAACTCTGTTTGTAATTCGCTCATTCAAATGGGAGATGATCATGTTGTAGACGAAGCACCATGTGACCAAGGACATGATGGTAGCACAGAATCCCATTTAGTTACCATTCATAGTGACTTGTCGTTGAATACAGGCGTGCTGAATGAAGACTCGCGTACTTCTAAACAGATGTATTTGCCGATGCAACTATCTATATCTCCAGAAAGTATTCAAGACGGATTGCCAAAACGTATCAGTACCGAAAATATTCTATTTTTAAATCAATCGCCATATACTGCCTTGTCGGATTTTTGTTTGAATGCTACTGCTTCAGAGTCTGTTGTAGATTCAAAAACTACAGAGAGCAAAAAGTGATTTCAACACATTCTTTATCCATTTTCTTATATTCTGGCCAAACGTATATGAATCTCGATAGTGTATGTTACATTTTATAGCAAGTATTTAGAAACTCTTGAACTATTCACTGATTGGCTGGTATGGTCTAATACTGAATAAACAACTATATCACCACGTTTCATGCTTTTGTTGAGCTATAGATTTCATCTTCAAAAAGTAGTCATATGTTGTATTCGACTACATATTTGTACTTGCAAAATACAACAGTCATGATATCTTGCTTTTATTGGTAGTTTGAATGATCGATTCATAAGATCTGCCCTATGCATCCATGTACTCCCAAATTCGTACGATTCCATCATCACCTGCTGAAGCCAAATAGTTTTGAAATCCTTCGATAGGACACCAAACAACGCTATTAATATCATTTAGCCCATGTGCATTGACCAATGTAGTCAGTTTGACGATTGTTGCATCACATAGGTCTGGATGTTTTGGATCCATGTCCTGGTTGATATTGTTTTTAGGCTGTATGCTTGATACACATATGGTGTTATCACCCGATGCTGTGGCGATCAATCCATGATGTTTTGACCACGATACAGAGTATATGGTTCGATCGTGATGATTCAAAGATGTAATGTAGGGTTGATATTTTTTTGTCATTGGGTCCTGTTTCCATACCCTGAGGGATTTATCATCCGATACCGAGGCTGCCATAATATTAGTAAACCAAAAATGAGTTTCAAATGCAAATCAATTAAATTGCAAGATATTAGCTTGTTTAAATATACTAGATTGCCATCATAAACAGTTTGCTATAAAAACACACCTATCATATCACCCGATTGATTAAAATCAATGTTCCAAACTGTTGATGTGTGCCCAGTAAGAGTATCAGAGCAATACCAATCAGCGTCCTCTTCTTTCCAAATCTTGACAGTATCGTCGTATGATGCACTAGCCAGAATCTACAAGCCATCAATCACGATCGTTAGAAAACAGTTGGATTGACAACTGTTGAGTGGTGACAGCCGATTTGAAGGAGTGAAGTTTACCTCTTCAAAAGGATGCCATCTTACAGCTTTAATATCCTGAGTATGCTCTTGTAATACGCAGCTACATTCGTATTCATCATCTCCAACAACTAGCATTTAATTAGCAGTGATATTTAAAACCGAGTTACAACTTCAATTAAATCATACCTTCCCAGATCCACACGCTCTTATCTCTACTACAAGTAGCAAGCAGTACGCCTGATGCTGACCATGCAACACACTTGACCTCGTTTTCATGCCCTTCCAATGATGCAACGCATTCCATTTCTACAATGATATAAACATGCATAGCAGAGTTGGATTACAAAATGATTTAACATTGACATAATCATGGATCGTTGACATCCAGATGATCCAACAAGAACCATCATGATTGTATAAACAAGTTATATCAAGAGTATTCAATGCAAGGTTTCATTTGATTCTACCTTTGCTGTTATCTCGTTCCCAAATACCAACTGTTCCATCAAAGCTGCCAGAAGCAAATACTCGACCATCAGGATTATATGCGACACTACGCACAGTGCGAGAATGAGCATCATCAACAACAGTTGAACAAGTCCAGTTGCTTTTATCTGATTCTGAAGCAGGTTTCCAAACTCGAATTGATTTATCTCCAGATGCAGATATCAATGCCAGAACAACTGGAGACCAAGATATTTGCCATACTCTGTCAATATGACCATGCAATTCAGCTACAGACACAAGTCTAGGTGCCATATGAATAAAAGGAATTCTGTATAAACAGAATCTTACACCAACAAGTGATCACTACTCAATATCAAGAGTATTGAATAGAAGGAAAGTCTTGAATTTGATATTTGGTTTTAAAGATTGAATTCTGTTATTCTTGCAGATTGAATGGTCGAGTCGAGTATCACCACACACGATGGTGCGATACTGCGTTATGTATTACACGGAGAATCTGAAAGTAAACCACCAATCATGCTGATTCCTGGTCTGATGCAAGTCAAGGAAGACTTTGAGTTGTTAGCATTGGGTCAGTGAGTTGAGTGGTATTATTCCATGTGCAATCGTATTCCTAGTCTAACATGATCCATGTGTTTGTAAACCAGCACTCTCAAGCAACAGCAGAGTCTGTGTGTCTGATCTTCGAGGAATGGGAAAGTCTATGCAATGTCAGCCTACACCTCCATCTACAACACCACCAGACATCACTCTACTCCAGCTTGCTACAGATGTGTTTGATATTATCCTTGCGTTGGGCTGGAAGTCTTTTATCCTTTTAGGATTGGGAATAGGTGGAACAGTAGCTATGCATCTTGCATTAATGCTAAGAGGTCGTGATGATATCACTCTGCAAGGGTTGATCCTTGTAGCTAGTTGTCCCATGACACCCTCTCGAGGTAGATTCTTTCGATCGTCATTGGCAATGGTTCAAGCAACAGGAGACAATGAATCTATAACTCATCATCTGGCTCAGGAATGGATCAAAACTAATCTATCGTCTGCATTCTGCAAACTGCCACATATGGTAACAGAACTGGTGGATAGATTCATGTCCAATCTTAGAAATCCAAGAATCGGAGGTGTGTTATCAACCTTGTAATCTCATCAGATATCCATTCGACTAATTCAATTCATACACCTTGATTATAGAGGAGCAAGTGTTTGCAATGGAAGGCTTGAATCTTACAGATCAGATTGGTCTTGTTGATGTTCCAACACTCATTCTACACGGCAAAAACGATGCCATGATTGATTCATGGTATGCTAATGTGTTGAACGATATGATTCCCAATTCTACGATGGTGTTGATTCCAGATGCAGGTCATTGGTATGTCATTTTGTATTGAAGTTGTCAATTTAAAGATGAATGGTTTTTAATAAGCTTTTTTACTTTGGTAGGGTACATGTCATGGCTCAAACTCGTTTGGTTGCAGAAATTCATAGATTCATGTTTGCATTGAAATTACCGTCTCATTTATAGTGTCTGTAATAGTAACAAACCAAATCTAGAATGTCATGTTCATCATGTGCATTGTAAGAATTACGACTGCCATACTAGCAAATTCCACATCATTTCTTATTTGAATATGATAAATTACTTGGATTCAAAGGTATTTTCAATATATTTACACTTGATATAAAGATCAAAAAGGTGTTTATTTGAGAAAAGATTGATTGCATTCAAACAAAGAATATATTTATAAAATCTGTCAAAATAGCTGGGTTTGAAAGTGTATTTGAACATGGATTGTGTATGTAATAAACCATCACCTCCATTGGCCACTTGGAATAGCTGAGCGACGAACACTTGCAGAATTATTGCGAGGTTCAGTAGTAAAACCGTGTGTAGGTTCTGCTGAGAATCGATTCGACTGTAGGTGATGAGTAGATGATCCAGTCGAGTATTGGTACACGCCATGCTCTGTAATAGATGGGGTTCCATCGAATTGATGGTACGATTTTCGGTTGCGTGAGAGCTTGTGACCATTGGGCTGACGAGAAACCTGCCACGGAGCACAGTTATGGTTGAGAGCAGGCTCAGATTGCATTTGACGCAAGCCTCGATTAGGAGCTTCGCGGCATTGGCCCCAATCACCTGGACGATCTGGACGAACCCATTGCTTTTTGGGTTGCACCGGTGGTAAGGAAAATAAAGTATTGAGTAAACTTTGACTAGATGTAGTTTAAGATTGGTATAAACAATAAACATTAAAATATTGATTGTAAGTTTAAAGTGTCATGATATAGCTCACTGAGCACAACATATAGATATCCGATACAACTAAACAATCATACGCTTTGTACACGTCATCATGAGATTCTCCAATAACTTGAATGGCGTTTTTATCTTTAATATAGGCAATGTCGGTGAATGTATCCATGGCTATTTTGCTATATACAATGAATGAAATTAAAACATATGATTTTAACGATTCAAGTAGTCTTACTATTTGACTACAAAGGATGGAATAGTAGCTGATTGGTGCACAATTGTGTAGTTGACGATTTAAATGGGTTAAATAGTATGAGGCTTTGAATTACCTGATGGCAGCAGCATCAGTTCCGGTGCGTAATCGCATTTCGTTCCAGCCAGGAGGACAATAAACGTATCCAGACACATCTATATTATAATACCATCATCAAATCAGCACATTCAAATTAGAATTAGACACTACACACGATCCTAACCCTGAATCTGCTCATACGAAGCAGGAAATTGAGAAGACTTGGTTTCATTCAACGAAGAATACTGCGTTTCTTGTAAATTATAACAAGGTTGAGATGTATGAGGTTCATATTGAGATTGTATACAAGGCTGAACAAGATGAGGGTGTATAGTTGACTGATGATGGGGCACAGGAGATGCTCCCCAGCCACTAACAGGACCCGAACAGCTTCCACTGCTAGGTGTGCAGCAACTACTGTTGTTGGACGATGAGGCCATTGAGCAATATATAACAACTGGAAGATGAAGTTGACATTTTATTTTTACGGGTTGCTACAGTCAGCAAGACAGATTTGAAGAGGCGTTGAACACGCGAGAGCGAGTCATGAGGAGTCACGTGTCAAGGAAAGTTTAAATCTGGTCAAAGAAACTCGACATCAAGTCTTGCCTTGACAATGATGGTGGATGCTCTGGTTTATGATCTGGAAGACATTGTGCATGTTGACTGGTCAACTGAAGACTCTCGTGCATTGAATGAACATGTACAAACTAGTTTAGATGTTGACGATTCTGCCTTCACACCTCGGCTTCTGGCATCAACTCCAAGCGAAAATAGCCTGGCTAATGCACCCACAGACTGCGATGGAATGGGCTCAAATAGCAACTTCAAGGATAATGAAGCTATTCATGATAATGACAAGCAACTAACCAACAACCCATTGCACAACTTGCTAATAACGGCCATGACTCAGTCTGCAATGGAGCAATTTGAACTTGTCACCTATTGCGAACTGTTCCAATCAGCCAGCGCAACAGAACAGGATTCATTCGACCCTTGCATTAAACCGTTTATTGAAAACGATTCTGACAAGTCGCCTTTGCATCAACAAACAACATCCCCTGTTTTCAGTGCTTTACCAGATGATTTTCAAAGCTTAACCACACCTAGTGAATATGAGACTCTACCGTCCACGGCCCATAGCAATGATACTATGGAATCAAACTCATCGTTTGTACACGATATTGGTACTGACATGACATCCGTCTCGAGCATTACTGAAATGGATATCGAAGAGTTTGAAACAAACTCTGACATGGAGTATACCGAATCCACTCTTGAACTAGTGAGTGCAGTGCAGACTGCTCAACTCGTGAATGTTGATACTATTTCTGGGCCAGATTGTGCTCCACTTGAATGTTTAGATGGTTGTGATATGATGGCTGCGGTAAATACATGCGATGCTTTTGCAGAGTCTAGCCAAGATACATGCAAATCAAGCGCCAGTTCATTCACGTATGAACATGCTGTCACTCCAACCAAAACAGTAAATACTGCCGAAAATTTGGTCCATAATGTCAATCCGACCATTGCTACGTGCTCTTCAAAAGTTGTAAATATGGCCCGCGAAAAACAAACTCGCCTTTTATACTCTGTAGTTGCTGTGCTAGAAATGATATCATCCAAGGCTAGATTTGCTTCAAGCGCCATCAATAACATCAAAGAAGCATTAATATACACTGTGGACCTCGTTGTGGCAGACACTGATTTTGGCTATTTTGTATACATGCTTGCTATCTTGGTGATCACGTTGTGTGTTAGCAATGGGAATTCTACTCTAATGTTCAAAAAGCATATCACCATTGATGACATGAATTCAATTGTTTCTTCAACCGAATTTTCAGCAAATATGGAGGTTTTCATATGTGGCCAAATTGCTGATCCTGTATGTTCTGCTGCTCTTTCTGCTCAACGACTCGAGTCGGTCCAATTACCTCCAAATGATACTCACAAGGACACCGTTGATACAAAGATTTTCAAATCGCACCAATCGGCCAATGTAGATCCAGTAGACGTGTTTAGCATATATCGTCCACGAAGATTACGAGCAGCACCCACAGTGCCTGTGCTTTTAGATGAAACCAACTCATACCTTTATGGTTTTGATCAAGCTTTGATGCCTAGTCACCGTGCTTCATTCAAAAAATCAGTCATTAAACAAGCCATGATACTGGGAAATTCAGTGAAATGTGCTACCAATGATATCATTTCAATGCTAGAATCACTGCACCCTACTTTAAAATCATTTTTCCCCTTATTGCCACCATGTCATTCCACTCATGAGACAGACTACGTGAACCAACTCTCTGATCAGGCTCAATCTGGCACTACATTTGATGTGCATCAAAAATATTCGACATATGGTGACCAAACTATACAGATCTTGGGCTTTAAAGTATCAGCGGAATCGGTTTTGGCATTGGTACCAATTTATCTACAGAGCAAAGCGCTTTCCCAATTTGTTAGGTCTCTATTCAACGTAACTAGTCCTATTATTGAGCAAACACGAAGGAAATTACTAACCATCAAAGGAAATTTCAAGGATAAAGTAATCAAGGTATCTCGAAGAATAGCTCATATGGTTCAACGTTTTGGTATTTTAATTTCCATGCCAAAGTAGTTGCTGCGGTGTTTATAAATTCAAAAATATGACGGATCCAAACAAGTATCACTTTAGGAACAGTTTGATTGTTTTGAAAGTGGCAATATTAGCCTTTATTTAAACTTTAAACTGATTGCAATTAGGAAATAAAAGGTTGATATTTTTGAAAAACGATTTATTGATTCTGGTTTGTATATGCAGACTATTATTTACAACGATAATTATTGAAAAGTATGCTAAATGTTGTGGTTCTAATTCATATTAATTTCAATAAAGTACAGACTATATGATAGCATTACACTGCTCGATCCTGTCACTGATATCACAAATGATTTACAGCCATATTCACGTAAAATGGATCATTATCTTGCAGTCTTTGTTTTGGAGTATCCAACAATTGGCTCGATTAGATATTTTTAATAAACACAATGTTCATACAACACAATCAAGTTGTAGTTTTGAAAATTATATTATATCCTAAAATCACAGATATGTTTGCGCTCTAATCCAAAAACAACGGTTGCATATTTTAAGAATTCAAGTGTTATTTTCATGTTGATTGCTAGAGAAAACCAGTCAATTCTGTCCAATCATTTCATGAGATTGGTTGTTCAATCAATCTGGATTATAACTTGAACATTCCCTCAGGAATACACATTTGCGGATATTTAAAGCAAGTTTTTCTTTTCTTCCAACTTGATTATTTTCTATTGCTGATCCAACAGTAAAAGGTTCGTCAACCGTTGCTTGCTCAACTCGTTACGTATTTGAATGCAGAGGGAATATATGTGGCGGATGATGACCACGGTCAATTGACCACCCCACTGATGTTGTACTGACGATCAAAACATGCACCACCAACCGACGTCCGTGTATTCCTTTTGCTTTATTCTATCTGTTGATTCTTATTGTGCTAACTGTTTATGTTTCTATGATAATTGACCATAATCAAGTAATGTGTGGGTTGTTGGGTTTTAATGCATAATGGTTCATGTAAGTTGAATTTGTCTTTGTATATTTATTGAGTTTGAGTGCACCATTGGGGATGATGATATTTTGGAGTACACATGCCAGTTCTGCTACCGATTCAGAGTGAGGAGACCGTACCTTTTGTATGCCTGACTCAAATGGTTGCACTCGAACTTTTCATGTTTTATTGGTCGGCTGTATTCACGTAAAATGGAATGCTTGTTTTGGAATGTGCAATGGGGTCAAGCCTTGCGCTTCTATTAGAAATTGAAAGGTTCAATTCTTTCAAAATGATGTTCATCGTATGATGTACACAAGCTATTCCATTTTACGCGCATGCGGCTGTAGATGCATACGAATAGTGTTATTTTATCTAACATGATGTCCTTTTGTAGATCACATTTCAATGTAATGCTATTCTGCATTAAAACTTGGTGATCCAGATCTTATACTTGTAAGTTTTATTTTGGTTTACATGTTCTATTCTTGAATCTACCTTTATGCAGTATGCAGTGTATATGACGAGTTTTATCATTCCGTGTTTCACCTGAACTACTTGATTACATTCTATGAAGCTGATACACATGACTGCAATGCATTTTGATTTTTGGCGTAATGTTTTTAATTATATTCTGACGATGCTTTTTGAATTTACAGGCTGTTATCATCTTGTGATTGGTTGCAATATACAACGGTTGAGCGAGCACATGTTGCCCAGTGAATTTGGTGGAAATCATCATTTCACGGGATTGGTTTGCCGTGTATTTTTTGACGCTTTGGTATTTCATTTTACATGAATACGGCTGTAGTTGAATTGATACTACCCGAGCTAAAGTCTAGTCTTGAGATTCTATTCATACACTAAGATTCCCGTTTGGAACATTGATGTACGTTGCCTGTAATTTAGAATTTTTTTGCCGTTTTACATGGGCATTAGAATGTCAGATGAGGCCAACATTTTAGATTTTGAAATAAATGAATTGTAGAATGATTTTTAGTTTTAAACTGTTTAAATTTGGGGTCGATCCACCAAATATAGGGTTGCTTTTGCATATCAAAATAGAGTCACAAAACGGCTGATTCTTGATTTACAACCGAGTCAACCCAACGATTACTATGAGCAATATGGAAAAAACAACACCTCTTCGAGTGGACATGCATACTCATATTCTTCCTAAACATCTGCCTGACCTATCTCAGAAATATGGTTATGGCGGTAAGTGATTGCACTCGAGCTTATACTGCTCGCAATATTTCGTAGCCAACGGACATTGCCTTGCAAACTGCCTTGCAAACTGTCTTGCAAACTGCCATCAAAACAGTAGTTTAATACTAACCGTTTTTTGTAAAACAGGCTGGATTTCAACTGAACCACTTCCAAATGTGAGTATCGGTTTAAAACGACCCATAATTAAACTATTATTACCTAATATACTAGTCAAACCACCGATTGACTCTTGATATAGGGACAAGCGAGAATGATGCTAGATGGCAAACCATTTCGAGATATTTGTTGTAATTGCTGGGATGCAGACGAGCGCATCTCAGACTGCAAAAAAACCGATGTTGATGTACAAGTGATTTCAACCATTCCAGTTTTGTTCAATTATTGGGCGAAACCTGAACATTGTCTTGATCTTGCCAAGTAAGAAATGTGACCTTGAGTTTGAATCGGGGTGAAACGGGTACTGATGTATGGAATGTAACGTGGGAGTAGATATTTGAATGATGATATTGCATCTACTTGCGAACAGAATCCTGGAAAGTTTATTGGTTTGGCGACTCTTCCTATGCAGGCACCGGAATTGGCAGTTAAAGAATTACGTCGATGTATAGAAGAGCTTGGTTTGGCAGGAATTCAAATTGGTAGTCATATAAATGACTGGAATTTGGATGCTCCTGAACTCGAACCCATCTGGACAGCTTGTGAAGAACTTGATGTTGCAGTCTTTATTCATCCTTGGGATATGGAGCAAAAAGGTCGTATGTCCAAATACTGGTTTCCTTGGCTGATTGGCATGCCATGTGAAACGACTATTGCTATAGGTTCACTCATTTTTGGTGGAGTGCTTGAACGTCATCCCAACTTGCGTGTCTGTCTTGCTCATGGCGGTGGATCGTTTCCTTATACCATTGGTCGTCTTGAACATGGATTCAATTGTCGTCCTGATTTGGTTGCAACACATTGTTCGGCATCTCCTCTATCGTATCTCGGTCGTATTTGGTGTGATTCACTCGTCCACGATGCTGATAGTTTGGATTTGCTTGTTAAAAAAATGGGAATCGATCGAATCGTTCTAGGCAGTGATTATCCCTTTCCATGTATGTATGATTCTATCTGTATTCATAAAGGGTATTTAATCTATCGAGTTTCATGAATCTAACTCTTATGATTTTCAAGTGGGTGAGCAGAAACCAGGCGAGTTGGTCCAACTCAGCAAGACATTGAGTGATCAAGACAAGGCTAAAATTCTTGGCGAGAATGCCATCAAATTCTTTGGATCCAGAGTTGATGCATCGCTATATTTAAAAAACAAATAATATCCAAGATTCATGTTTGGAATAAAAATGTATGTTTACATGCCATCTCTGCCGTATTGACTCGGAATAAAACATATCTAGCCAACGCAATGTAAAAGATTTATTTCAAATCCTCAAACTCCATTCAGTCATTATCAAACCATCTACATTTTAATATGAGATGTAGAGTACTGGTTTTTGATGGGCTCAAAAGGCGCACTGTAAAGTTCACCAGGTCGGTAATGAAGCACAAATCGACCAATAGTTTCTTCGATTGTGTGAGGAAGAATATCAAAGTCCTTGAATTTCATAATGTCAGAGTGGTCTGAGCTCACCACATCGCTGATACATTGCTAAAAAATAGTAAGTAGGCAATCATTTTGATGGTTCACAGCATATCCAATCACTCACTCTTTCAATGTCATCTGGAGAAATAACGGGATAGACAAGGAGTTGATCCCAGATTTTAGCGGCAAGTCTATTTTACATGTAGAGTAGAAATCAGTAGTATGCAACATCTTGATCAAGTTATTGGCAAGTCATACTTGGCAATGGGTTTTGGGATATTGAGAATAGTTCGCTCGCGCAGGACAATTTTTTGAAATAGGCCGACAAGAGTGCGGTAATGATACTCGCGAGGACTAGTCAAATGCAAGCCATCAAATACAATTAGTTTGGGTTGAAACACAATATCTACTTGGAAATACCATTTGGTTGTAAACAGCCAGTGCATACCCGTAGAGTTCAACCATCTTTCCAACCGAAGCATCGTTTTGGAGCATTTTAGAAAGAACAATGGCCACATCACCCACCTATATATCAACAGACTGGTTAGACTAATCATGTAGGGTAAATAAAACGATGAATCAAGCACATAATCCACTTACATAGACAGGACGAATTCGTGCCTTGCCGTTATGGACAACTGGAAGAATAGATCCTGGAGCCCATTTGGCAAACCAGCCCATACGGTTCCAAAATCTATCCTCATCACCATACATGGTGGCTGAGCGCACGATTGTAGCATCGGGATATTCTTCCAAAACAGCCTTTTCCCCAAGTGCCTAAGATATCCAATAAAACACACGGTGCAAGATCGTAACAGTAAACAGCTGCAATGACAAGGCTAAAGTATCTAGCAAGCCGAGCAAGACATACCTTTGTGCGCAAGAATTGTGAAGGAGAGTTTTCAGATGCATTCAAGGCAGACATATGAATAAATCTAGCGACACCATTTTCTCTGGCAATACGAGCGAGTCGACGTGCACCTTCAACATGAACTTGTTCAAAATTAAAGTTTCTAAATGTATCAAATCAGTGAGATTTGAGTTGCCAATAAAACCCATTTCAAGCCCTTGATATGTACGAGTATGGAGATTGTAATACCAAATCAAATTCACATACTTTGTTTCATAGTCACGACCAACCAAGTTGTAGACAACATCCGAGTGCTTCAGACATTCTGCAATTTGTTCTTCACGACGGAGATCGAAGCGCTGCAGTGAAATGGTCAGATTCAACAACTGGACATTTGTATTTTAAAGACAATGGTGTAGTAGTAAAGCGTATTCAACTCACCAACTGAACAATTTGACCAAGATCACCCATATTACGCAAATGTCTACGCTCATCATCCGATCCACGATAAGGAGTCACAACAGTGGTTCCAATTTTTCCTATAATGCCAGATAAGCGACTGGATTCCTTGCCAACACAGTAGGGTTCAGATCCATTATTCTTTCAACCCAACAAGACTCACCAAGATTGTTGACCACATATCGACCCAAGAATCCAGTAGCACCAAAAACAGTAGCAGTTTGACCTGATCATGACAAGGTTCAATACATATGAGATAACATGCTATAAAAACAAGTCTTATTCAACTGTCAAGATGGTGTCAATTACCCGAAGAGGATGACCGTCCACCTGGACCAAGTGAAGTATACGTCTTGCCCGTCTTTTCTCGCTTGACAATGTCATGCATTGCTCGCTACAGTCCATCATGCAAGTAGAATGGTGTTAGTGGTTGATACTGCTTTTGAGATGGATTCAACGAGTCAATGGCTAGAATGCTATAGAGTTGTACGGATAGAACCTATCGTGCATTTGCCATCATCAATGTTGAATAGCATGAACCTGCCAAAAAGGATTGATGAGTGTATTTCATTGGTTGTACCATTTGCGTCTTGCATGCATGAATAGAAGAGCGAGCAGTTCTGGGCAGTAAGGATGCTTGCAACATGTTGGTTTTGATAGCGAATATAAAAAGTCGAAATGATTTCCTCAAATTGGCAACTCGCTTTCTGATTCTTACAAACTGCGTGTATTCTATCAAATGTTTTTAAATCCAACTCAAACTAGTTTTACTCAAATTTTTTAATCTCTTTGAAACCTATTTCTTTCCTCCTTTGGACTTGCTGCTGGCTGAAGATCCATTCGTACCTGTCTTGGTACCAGTCTTGGAATCATTCGTTTCTGATAAAGACTCCTTTTGCTCACTATCAGTAGGAGCAGTTGTAGGGATACTCACCCCTTTGCTTTCTAGACTCGCCTTGACTTGTGCACGCGCTAATGTGAGATCAAGATCAATTGGAAATACAACTCCAGGGAGCTATAATATAATTAAACATGCATATTCAAATCGATTAAAACACTAAACGTTTGAAAATGTTTAAAGTGCATTAAACCTACAGTGCGAAGTTCGGCAGGTGGCTTGGTGTTTTCAGCAAACTTTGATTTGGTTCGTTTGATGTCAGAAAAGGCAGCATAGTCTTGCAGAGCTTGTCCAAGAATGTCAAGTGAGTATCCAAAGAGATCTACTTCACGATTAAGCTCAGAGAAATTGGTGTGCATGTATCGCTGAATATCCTCGCCCTTGAGAGAGTAAGGCTTTCCAACACCCATACGGAATTGAATAAAGTCATGGCTTTTAAGAGCAGTAGCAAGACGTCCAATACCATTATGATCGTGGGCTTGACGAGAATCACCACCACCTACGGGAGTTGGATTAAAAGTTACAAAGTAGACCGATTCAAATCTTAGTACCCACTCAAGATGCAGTAAAATAGGGGTTTGTACATAAACTACAACGTACTATGGATAGAAATACCACCACGGTTGGTGTTGACATCATCAGCACAGACAATGAGCTGTTTGGATGGGTCCTCCACATGGAACTTGTCAAGGATGTTTTTGAGTGTAGTAACAGCCTCATCCATAGCTCCACTAATAGCCTTGTGTGGCTTGACAATGACAATTCGATACGATTTCTAATGCATCAAATGAACATGCAGTGGATGAGAATTCTTGGCATTTAAATTGTTTGTTCATGGGTCAAAATAAGCAGTATAGTACCATAATAATAGCTTCAGAACCAGCCTTGTTGCCATCTTCATCTTCAACTGCAAGATCTGCCTCGGTGAGCGAGAAAATAGAGTCGAAAAAGTCGGCTACATTACAGATAGAAAGGTGGGTAGAGTGAATACCAAGCCAACAGTGGTATCAACACAACTTTTAAAATAAATACCTTTGAGATCCATATCACGAACAAAGACAGGACGTTGGAATTCAGCAGGAATCTCGGGAACAGTAGTGCTGATAGAGTCTTCACCAGATTCCTGGGCTTTCTTGAGAAGAATAGATTGCATACTAATACAATTGGCAAGGTAATCGGCAAAAATATAGCCAGCTAATTTGGATGGTAATTTGATTCCAGATATTAGTACACGGTAGTCAATAGAGATCAGGTTAGATTAGTAAAATAGAGATCTGCAAAAATTAGCCGTCACGCTCGTTTCTATAGCCCCAGACTAAATGTCTTGAATGTGGAGCAATATCATGCGGTGATGGAATGAAAGAGCGGGTCAACGCACAACATGTTTGAAAATCTCCCGTTGTCATCGGATGATGCCAGAAGAGGCTTAGATGACACCCATCAAGGATAGACAAGACACAAGTCGAGTACATGCTTGATTCGCAGACTGTTTGCAGTCATTATGCAGGATTCATACATTGAATAGAGCCAAATAGGTTCACGATAGACATCAAAGCAGTACTGTGACGGGGTTGCTTATCAACTCAAGCATCGTCACAGATCCAAACACACAAAGCATGCGAGGAATTCGCCTGTAAATCATAGTGGTGAACAAGACTCAATCACCATTCAAATAGAATACAACATGAATGGACATGCATGGCTTTGAACAAGGGATAAACCATGTTACTGAGTAGCACAGATTAGACCAGGAATCCGTTTGCAAGACATGACTTGTAATCCCAAACGAGACTGCAATCGCCTGTTTAAAGTCATACAACCGAACATTGATTGTATTGAAAACGACCCCATACACAATGCAAACCCACAACCCAACTATAAAAGCAACCACATAATAAACAAGACTCTTATAGAATAACAGTTTATAATATGAATACCAAGAAAACACCAAGGGGAAGACTTTGAAGCGATTATAGCAATGATTACCATTCTGCCTAACTACTTCATGGCCTTTTTTAGGATTTCCAAAGCCAATAACAAGTAAATCAATGGGACCAGAGGGACTAACAGCAACTGACTTGGACATAATCAAATAGTATTCTGGAGTAAGTCTTGGCTCAACTCCACGCGCCTCATAGTTGGTGTTTCGTAATCGCATCACGTGGCTATCTAAAGCAATCATTCCATTGCTTCCAGTTCGTCTGTCGCATCGTCAACCATCTCGCTGTCTAAATCCATCTCGGAAAGATCCACAAATCCTATATTCTCTTCTTGAATTCCATCTTCCAAGTCGTCTTTTTCATGCTTGTCCTCGTCCGCGTTTTGCGCTTCTTGCTGACTGGATTCTTCGTCTGTATTACCACAATCATTTCTGTCCCCATGGCTCCAAGTTTCTGTACTTGAATGACGCCTATTCTCAATCTTGGCCGTGTCTAGCTCAAACTCTTCCAACGAAATCATTCCCGCATCGCTCTGTGCTTCACTCACTGTCCCTGCCTTGTTGGAATCTATCGTAAACGAGTCTAGTATATCGCTACTTTGAGTATCGGTATTCGCTTCTGCATTGTTTATAGCTACTGCAATCGTCTTGTTTTTTGGTGAACTGGCTTGAATCGTATTTGTTTTACTAATTACAGATGAAGCAGTATTTGATTGGAGTGCTTCTGTCGACATATTACCCCCTTCCTTTTTCCCATCGCCATTGTATCGATGCTCCATGTACTCGTTATGCACCGCTAATAGTTCTTTAAATTTGTCTGTGTATACTTTCCGATCCGCGTCTGATAGTGCCCGCCATTTGAGTCCTAATTCTTTGTTGATATGAACATGTCCGGCATCTTCCTCTGTTCCTCCGTGGGTTGCTTTTAATCGCTTTCGTTCCTGTTTGATCAGGTCTCGTTCTGTTTCACAAAATACATGAAACGAATTCACAGGTTTTTTCGGTGCATTCGCATCAATAACAGATTCATCTCCACCTTCAGTCCCTCCATTATGAAGTGCTTGTGAAATATGTGTTCCATTAGTAATTGCCTCGGCTGCGTCGGGATGTTCTCGAAAATAGTTGCTCAGTTCTAGATCATATTGCTTGACTTGCTCTTTAAATAAATTTTGATAGTATTTACGTTCAGATTCTGTTAGTCCCCGCCATCGATGTCCCAGAGCCTTGGTCAGATTACTCAGTGCTATTTCTTGCTCACTTCCTGGCATATTCTTTTGTAGCTCTTTTCGTTCTTCTTTGAGATTTTCTCGTTGAAGGTCACAGAAAAGCATAAATGCATTGGCCGGTCGTTTCGGTGCATTTGGATCAAGAAGCTTAGGTCGTTTGCGTCGAGGAGTTTTGGGCTTAATCAACACTTTAGTAATCTCATCCAATGCAATATCATCCTCTTCACCTCCATCCTCCTCATCGTGTTCGCTTTCGTCTTCATCGCTGTCGCTTTTGGCATGCCGGGTTTGTCGTTCGTCCGCTTCAATCTCCACATCCTCAAAACTTTCCTCACTGTGGCTGCTTTCGCCATCATCCTCTTCGTCAGTAGGTGTCAAATCTCCGTTGTACTTGTCGTTATCTCGTATTAAAAACATTTGCAAAAGTACCCGTCGCTCCAACTTTAATTTAGCAATTTTCTGTCGAGCTTTGGCAAGAGAGTTGGTGTATCGTTTTATTTTATGGTCAGAGATCTGGACCAAAGCCTTCAAGGCAACATATTTTCGCTTGTATTTTACTTGCTTTTCATCTATGGTGTTCATTGAGTTGAGTACAGGTGACCGCGATGCTGTAGTAGATGCATGACATGTGGACACGTGTTGGCCTAAACTTCTAGATTGCATAGGTTCGTTTTCTTTTTTATCTTGATTGCTATCAGAATGTGCCTCTTCTTCATGAACCGAGTTCACTATGGATCCATTGGTATGGGGCTGTGATGCTGTGGGAGAAAGTGGGGATTGCATCCACTGTTTTTGAGTTAGATCTGGTCGTGACGAAATTCCAGCGGATATTGGCATAGAGTTGTAGTGATTCATTTGGATCATAGCTGGACTAGCTGTAGATACCCCCTGAATAGGTGTTAGCGCGGCCATGGGTGTAGAAAATCCTGTGGTCATGGCATTCATTAAACTAGACCCGCCGTGCACCGGTGTGGATGTGGAGTGTGGAGTGTGTGACATACCCCCGAGTAGACTGGGTTGCAATATATGGGTACTCGAAGTCTGAACTGTGTTGGGTGTACTGGGAAAAGTGGAAGTAGAATTTGATAGCTGTCGTTGGATCTGCTTTGCCTGATTCAGCTGATATTGCAAATGAGCAGGTTGACTGATCTGTAGCGGATTAGCCTGAGTTAAAAAAGTACTCGCAGAAGTCAATATGTTTGATCTAACACCGGTAGAAGCAGATCCGCCATTCGCATCGTCACAAAACCACTGCCCTTGAAATGCAGGCATAGTAGTAGTACTAAAAGATGATTGAGTTGGATTTGTTATTGCAATGTTTCCAGGAGAGTGTATTGAAGAGATGTTTGATCGTTGAAATGCTTGATGCTGAAGTTTGTGATCAAGTAGCTGCACTTGTGAATGAGCAAATGGCTGTACTTGCGATACAGCCTGTTGATAGCTTGGCAAGTGTGATTGTGATGCAGATGGCACCACATGCAACATTGGAGCTGTCGCTAGCAAGGGTGTAGTAATATCAGACGATATTGCAGAGGGTGTGCCAGTACTTTTTACAAGAGTTATAAAAATCAAGATGCAGTGTGTAAAATGGAGTTAGTCGCTGACAAGCACACGTAACATTTACAAGACAGTGAGCAAGCTTAAAAAATAATCAACAGCCAAAGACGGACTGATTCAACTTTGAAATGCTCCAAAACATTATGATCAACACGGTAAAGCGCAATACCGTCAAAAATAAACCCATGAAAATAGCTTACATTAACGTTTCATCGATGGATTGACACAAACAGCACTGACATTTCTTGCTGGGTTTACCATTTTGAACTTGAATTAGCCATAACAAGTGAGGCAAAAACTCACTCGGAGGATCAAATGGCCGACCACTATAATAATGCAAGAGTCGATTTATAGAATTAGAATCTGGGCTGAGATGGAAATCCATACCACAAGCAAGAAGGATCAATAAATAAATCCGAAACCCAAAGCCAACTAGGGTTGAACTCTGACATATCCACACTGATCACTAATGGAGAGTATCGATACCAAACGAATACAATTGCACTGTATGGAGAAGGATCACTGCAGTCCTCTCAGCCAACCGCACTTTATAACAGTTTCTACTGCGTGGTAGAAACGAAATAGACAAGCTTAGACTACAACAGAGTCAATATGGCTTAATAGGAATGCATAGAGCATGCGTATAGACTTTGATGCAAGTGGTAAGAGAGAATCAACCTAAAACACCATCCGGTAGGAACGGCTTACCTTGGATGCCCGACAATACACAATTGAACACCATGAGAAGAACTCGCTTCCCATAGAATATATGACCTGGGCAGAGCAGCTAGAGTGGCATCCGGTAAGATATGAATACCGTCATGTTTTTTAGAGTCCACGACATAGTTGGATGACGAGTCGATATAGCATTTGGAAGGATTCTCAAGATAATACTTTGAAACAGGCGGAGTAAGGAATACCAGCAGTGATAGAAGGGTAGATGGGTCCGCTACCTTGAATGGAAAGGGTGGTGCTGCAGTGGGGATTCCATCAGACCAAGATGGTGGTGGAATAGACCGTAATAGCATGCTCGAGTTATATGAATGTCCTTGTGAATGATCTTACTATATATCAACTATCTTCACGTAAAATGGAACACTAAATAAAAGTGCCAAAGTGCATAATAAAGCAGTCAGTTTCATGACATGACTCGTGTCATGTCAATTCAACTTGTTTTGTAAACTAAAAGGTTGTTCTCATCAAAATAAAATCAGTATTTGAACTGCAATCAATGAATCAGACGATCGTATAATCTGTCTAAAAATACTCGGTTTTAAATCATGTCTTGTAGGGTTGTTGTGTTTGGAAATTGTTCAAAAGAACTGTACATACTTTAGAATCTTTTAAACAATGTCACTTTTTAATATTCATTTGATTCTAGGTCTACTATTTCATAAGGATACAAATGTATTGATGAAACACGGTATGTTGACCCAACAACAGTGTCGCGAGGTATATCTGTAGTTTGTTTTAACTCCAACACTTTACTGTCGTATTCACGTGGAATAAAACAACTAAACTATATGATAAATAGTCATGTTGGATTGGTGCTAATCTTATACAATATTGTCTTTTATACTTATTCTTGTACAAAAATAGAAATGTTTACATTTCTGTTCCACATCCTAGACATCTTTTCAACCAACTTTCCTTTAAACATTGGGTGATCGCATAGAAACAACTGTTGCATTATCGAGATATGTTAAACTAGAACATATTTGATAGTAGAATACAAGAGTTTCAATAACAAAATACACTTCCAATAACAACGGATATGTAACGATTGTTTATCCCAAAACAATCACTGCAAGATCAATACAGAAAAGTATTTCATTTTACGTGAATACGACTGTAATAAGAAATGGATTTGTATGGTAGTTTCAAACATTGAAAATGCCCATTACAAATGGTTTCAAATTTTAATCAGATATTGCATACCCAAATCTTAACCTGCTCACCCCAATCATACTCTATTCATGCAATAACCACAAACTCAAGACTGCATTATTTTTAATATAGTGATTCACGACAAAAAATAATAGTTGCATTACAGGATTTGCAGATGACGGCTGAATAATAAAGATGAAATTTGAAAAGCTAGTGGAAACAACAGTTGAATACTGAAACCATGCTTATTTGGATACCTTTTTGCCAAACATCGACTTGAACTGATCATTGACAAGTTTCGTGTCAAAACAGCAATAAAAAAAGTTTTAAAACAGTAAAATAAACCGGGTTAGCAAAACCAGTCAATGATCACTGCAAATCCAATGTCTTTTGTGAATCTCCTCAAATAAAAACATACCATATCTCCGATACTCTGTCTTTTACCGACATTTTTCTTTCCAAATGGCAGCGTAGAGTTACGATTGGCTCCTTGTACTTTGGCACCAATAGCACCAATAGCGCCAACAGTACTTTCAGCAAGTGTGGCCGTGCTAGCACCTACACCTGTCTTGCTCAACACATCAGATGGTTTGGCTTGATTTACATTGCAAGGCTTATTGAGTACACTGTCGGCAGATGCAGATGCTGCAATATTTGATCCCACCAATGGTTCAGTTTGGGATGTACCAGAAAAAATTGTAGTTTGACGCTTCATGTCATTCATCTTGGACATTTCCAACACTCCAGCAAGACCAGAAAGTCCTGGAAGTGTTTTTTCAGACAATAGAGACTAGTTTGCGTTGAATGAAATAGTTAGATTGACCTGATCTTACAAACTATGGTTGTGATATGACAAGTTACCTTTTGTGAAATCAGAGGCAAGGAAGAATCAATTTGAGCCCCAGCTGCAGATTTGGCATTTTCAATAGCCGAGCCAATCGATGTAGAGAGCGTTGGAATAGAGTGGGATGCCAATGTGGCAGATGATGTCACGGACTCAGATGCTGATTCGGCAGCCTTTTCTGCTGGCTTGAGCAACGAAGGTACAGCAGGCTGGGGTTTATCAGTAGCAGCTGTGGGGTTGAGCGATGGAATAGAAGGTAGACTGCCTTTAATGCTAGTCGTAACATTGGATACCGCATCATGGACAGAATTGGTGATGGGAGACAATGCGTGTTCTGCATACGGGATAGACGACATGGCAGGTTTAATGGCTGTAGCAGCTTTATCCACTGCGGTATGAATAGAAGTGGACATTGTAGACATTGCTGGAGCAGCAAACTCGGTCACTTTGGATGAGATCGATGGTGGAATCATCGATACAGCTCCAGCAGCTAAAGCACCAATTCCAGCTCCAACTCCTGCAACTACTGGCGCAGAAACAGATCCAGTGCCTGGAGTTTCAGAAGTGGTCATGGATGGGAGTTTGGAAACTGCTGGTTCGATCGTCAAACCAGTATCCGCATCCTTGGGTAAACCCAAAGCTTCCATAGATGGAAGTTTAGGAACTACTGGTGCAGAAACAGATCCAATGCCTGGAATTTCAGAAGTGGTCATGGATGGGAGTTTGGGAACTACTGGTTCGATCGTCAAGCCAGTATCCGCATCCTTGGGTAAACCCAAAGCTTCCATAGATGGAAGTTTAGGAATCTCAGGGATACCTGCAGACAGAGCAGCAGATGCTTTAGAAGCTTCAAAAGGCACTGAAGCCACATGGGATGGACTGGAGAGTTTTGGAACAGATATGTTTGGGAGTGATGGCATAGAGGCAGCAGTTGATGGAAGTTCTGATAGATCAGGAATCGACGGGATAGCAGAACCAGTTAATGGCATTTTCAAATTACCAGCTTTTATAGTATCTGGTACTCCAGCAATAGCAGAAATGGCATGAGTTGTAGAAGCCCAAGATTCAGATGGGGAGAGCGAAAGGTTAGGAATCTTTGGAGCTTCAGCAGAAACAGAAGTATCAGGAAATTCGAGTATATCTTTGCTAGAGGGTAAAGCCATGACTCCATCCAAGACCTTGACAGGAGCCGCGTCCGAGATTGCAGATGCAACGGCTGGTGCACTCGATCCAACAATGGGAAGGACTGAAGAAAGAGTGTCTTCAGTCGACAAAGAGGAAATTTTAGAAGCATGGTTTGGTAGTTTGGCAATGGATGCTTCAACCTGTGCAATAGGAGAAGCAATGGATGTTCCAGTTTGCGCAATAGGAGAGGTCGCAGATAAACTAGGTAAAGCAGAAGACGTCGTTTCCTTTTTTAAAGAAGTCTCAACAGCAGGAGTTTTGGGTTCAGATTTGCAATGAACTGAATTAAAATAATTAAGCAGGAAATCAGCATCAACAATGGAAACCCGGCAAAGCACTCATTCAAATATGGTGCGCTTCACGTGCACTCGAAAGCTTAAGGTGATGCGACTTACTTGACTGACTATGAATTATCATAGTATTATTAATGTTGCCCAAAGGATCGGTTGTAGTGGAATAGTCTGACGACAGCTGCCAAACCCCATCAACAATAAACTTGAATTCAAGATAGGTTGAATCATCAGGAAGCTCTAGCATGGCAGAGAAACGACCATCATTGCCCTGTCAAGTTTCAGGATGTAAAACAAGTAGTTTCAGTGAATTGGCAAACAAAAACTAAGAAGGGAGTAGTGTTGGACTGCACAGGGTGTTTGGATTTTGATCAGGAATGGCAGCTACCATTTACAACATGACAAATATCAGGGCTACAATCGCTGATCTAGCCATCATTCTACCTGGCAAGCACAACATGTAGCACGACTGCTCCAAATCCAAACCGGAAATATGCACCTGCTACCCATACATTACTGGCATACCCAAACTGCCAAGCATTCCCCATCACATTATTCAACATAAACAGTAGCCAGGGGAAGAGTATGTCCTGCACTCAAGGTGAGCAGTATTTACCTTGATGGCAAAAATGGTTTGTTTCCAGTCATCAAAGTTGCCAGTGATAGTGACCTAGTTAAAATTAGTATGATTAGTAAGAGTACTGTGAATACAACAAGTATCAGTTCAAAGGACTACAAGAACCAAAAAAATAGCCATACTACTGCTTGATACAGTGGTAGACACTGTATCAAGCAGTAGTGATCAGACGTATTGTAGGATAGAGTCGGACCATAGTAGTCTTACAGAATACATAATGATCTCTATAACACATACTACTCAGTGTTTAACCCAGTTGTCAGCCATTAAGATGGCAGACTAACAGAAAGTCTTGATAATGATCATACAGAAACAAGGACAATCATACTGATCAATAGTATAGAAACCAACACTACCTGTTGAGCATTTCCGTCCCAGTAGAGAGTAACATACATGATGAATAAAATAAATGGGTGAAAGTCGTGATTGCTTCTTCACACTCACGGCTAGCGACAAACATGAAACTTGAATTCACAGCAATCCAAGTTATGATTCTTGCATTTGGATTGGCTGTGATGGCCATGAAATGCTTTTCACATGGCATCGTATTCTGAATGTGCATTGAAACAAATTTAAAATACTTGGGCTGATAATACTGTGGACTCCAAATCGACGGTTCAGCAGTCTAGCCATGTCACAGTTGATTTGAGTGAATACTTTCAATCACAATTATAGTCACGCAACATTAATTAAAATGATTAAATGTCAGTTTACTACCCAGTTTGTTACCTAGTTTACTAACCAATATCATGTCAACTCATTAGTCATGTTTGCATAAAAACTGAATCTTTATTATTCTGACAATCCAACTTTAATCATTGTCGAGTTATAGCGCGAGTGTAAGAAACTAAAATAGAATTAATTCAATCTCGGAATCTGATTGCACAACACATGGCAAGACTGCAGTTTCATTCTACGTGAATATGGCTAATATAATTCTTGCTAATTTCAGCAAAACCAAAAATTCAAACTCTGCTTTAGATTCTATTTCCATACTATAATGGCCACCAGCAAGAACGCTTCCTATGACTATCTGATCAAGCTACTGCTCATTGGAGACTCTGGTAAATAGCTTTATACTGTTTATCTTGCTCTTGATATGGGGCTGTTCTTACTGCTGAATGCTAGTGGCTTTTACTGTTGTATTATCAATGTAAAACTCCTTTTTATCTACAATGCTGTCATAAGCTGTAGCTTTACCTGCCGGAATAAGGTGTGGATGCGCTGCATTCACTTGATATCCCACTATGGAACTACTACGGGCTGAATGCAAATATACTCCATGCTCAAGTACTGTAAAGTCGATACTGTTGGTCAATATCCAACACGACACTTGCCCAACTAGTTTCTCAACCCTTGCCGCATCTTAGTCTCGCAATGGACAATATATGGCTTACGTATTTACTGCTGGTTTTTAACCATGCAGTAAATACATGTTCTATTCACCATCCCTTAAGCCTTATTCTGCCCAAAGAAAAGCACAAAGATTTATTCTACTCCCAAATATCAAACTTGGGCTCGTGCCGTATTTTCTGTGGGGTGTAGATAAACGGCTCTAGCATAAACAATTTGCCGTTTCTGATGTGTTGTAACATCTGTTTGTTGGCTACTTTCAATTGCTTTACTGATCTTTTTCTATTGTAACTCTGTGTTTACCAACATTGTTTGCATTCAATGAATTGCCTTGACCTGTCATCAAACTCTTGGAAACTGCAACTACTGTTTATAATCATGTTTATCTGGATTGGTTGAATTGATTTCTGTGGTTCGGACGGCACTATCTGGCTTTTTATTTGTCATTGCTTTACACTTTTGGCTTGTAATGTCATTCACCAATATAACATTGTCTTGATAAATGGAACCATCATGATAAATCCGATTTGGTTTCCTTCAAACTCGATACAGGCGTTGGAAAGAGCTGCTTGCTTCTTCGATTCTCTGACGATTCATTTACGCCATCGTTTATTACAACCATTGGTATTGACTTTAAGATTAGGACAATCGAACTGGATGGCAAGCGTATCAAACTTCAAATCTGGGATACAGCTGGCCAAGAACGATTCCGCACGATTACAACTGGTGTGCACATTGAGTGTTTATTTTGAATTGGACTGCTGTCGAGTTGGATGACTAGCTAATTTTGTGGCGCTTGATGCTTATTTTGTCAATCATACATGATAGCGTATTATCGTGGTGCCATGGGTATTTTACTCACTTACGATGTGACTGATGAGCGCTCATTCAACAGTATGTTGTTTGTCTTGATTTACATTCGTGTTGTACTCGGACATTATTGACATCCAAATCCTTTATACTTGATGTGCAGACATTCGCAACTGGATTCGTAATATTGAACAGCATGCCAGCGAGGGTGTCAACAAGATCCTGATTGGAAACAAGTGTGATATTCTTGACAAAAAGGTATCACCTGTCATTCAACTTGACTGGCTATTGTAATATCCACTTTATTGTCTGGATTCCATCAATTTTTTATCGACAACTTTTTGAATCCTGCAATCTAGGTGATTTCCAAAGAACAGGGTCAAGCTCTGGCTGATGAACACGGCATCAAGTTTTTAGAAACCAGTGCCAAGTCTAATATTGGTTTGTTTTCAAAACACTCGGTCTCATTGTCTTGTTTAGTGACATTCAAATATCTAATGATTGGTTTACTGTATACAAATTCGATTTTATTTTCAGGTGTTGAAGAAGCATTTTACATGCTAGCAAGGTATTGACTGGCTTTAGAATTTCTTAATTATGGCTGGATTGTCAAATGTTTAGTCGAGTCTGGCTTATTTTCTTACTTTGAATACTTTACCACGCTTAAATGTTGCAGAGATATTAAAAAAAGGCTAATCGACACAGCTCAAGAAAAGACTGATTTGAAAACGGCTGGAAATGTCAATGTCAATCAAAAGGGAAATGCCGCTACTGCTGGATGCTGTGGTATGTTTTCGAGTGCTCTTGTTTAAATACATCATTTTATTATGCGTTATTAACCCTACAATGTTTTTTGGCTCTATGTTGTAGGTTAAGTCGTTTTAGTTGAACGACTACTTGATTCATACCGTTGCACTATTCTTTGTTTACGCAAGACAGTTGAGATTCCAAATGTGTGACTTTTGGTCCATCTGTCCATTTATATCTCGGCTTCAGATTGCTTTATCTTTTTTAGTTGAGGCTTTTCTATTTTTCTTTTGCTTTCCTATTTCACCCCTTATTCTCTTAGCTCTGTTTGCTAGATTCAAGAGATCTATTTGTTTGGATATTTCTTTCCACCTCTCCCAATAAATACGTTTTTGCCATGATTGCTATGCTATCGAGTAACACTCTGTTCAAGTCCGAGTTTCATTACAGTCCGTCAATCCGATTTGTCAACATATTGGTTGAATACACGTGATTTAAACTGATACTTTAATATTTGGTAAATCTTGCCGCCCATCCATCCAACAGTAGATAATGCTAAATCCAAGACATGTTAGTGCTGTATACAGCCGAGTATCTGACATTTACGGCCGTGCCGTAAGTTATGACACTACTTTTTAATTGAACTCATGTCCTACCAAAGCGTCATGTTTGCATTCCAGACTACTGACAACGACAATCCTTGATGAATGCACACCTATTGGGATAGGCAGTTTACTCGACCATTTAAAGTTGAATCGAACATTTACTTACCAGAATGGTCAAGACTATCTTGTCGGACTATGACATCATGGAATAACCCAACACTTCAATCTGCTCGTCAAGCACCCAAAGCCCTTGGCATCCCATACGTTATTGAATCATCCGTAAGCCTATGCAGAATCGATAGGGTTGAATAGATCCATCTGATCCCACCCCTTCTCATTAAAAACAGTATGGCTGGATTAACCTATTGTTTTAGGCTAGAGGCGAACGTGTCTTTGATATCTTTTCCCGATTGCTCAAAGAGCGTATCGTGATGTTGAATGGAGAGGTAGACGATTCCGTTTCAGCTATTATTGTCGCACAGTTGTTGTTTCTCGAAGCTGAAAATCCAGAAAAACCCATCTCGTTTTACATCAATTCGCCTGGTGGTAGTGTGACGGCTGGCATGGTAATGTTGTCTGATGCGTAGATAAGCCTTGGGTTGCTGAAAGTCGATTGATTTATATTTTGAATGGTGCATCTAGGCAATCTATGATACGGTATTTATGCTTTGGGTTGATATGGATTGGTTTGAGTGTTAACAGAGTGCTAATGACTGGACCACGTTGCTGTGGATTGAATACTTAGATGCAGGTAGGTTGGTCATGGAGTACTGTTTTAACAAGATACAAGGGGAAAATGATCCTGTAGATCCTAATGCATTTTTTTATTGGAAATAGTATATTCAAAGCCCTGTCGCAACAGTGTGTATGGGTCAGGCATGCTCAATGGGATCGCTTTTACTTACTGCTGGTGAACCAGGACATCGATCTATTCTTCCTAATGCGCGAGTCATGATCCACCAACCTAGGCAAGCCATTATAGTATACACCACTTTGTACGTAGATAGTAGACTGATACCGATTTAAATCATATAGTGGCGGCGCATCAGGACAGGCATCCGACATTGCTATTCATGCCAAAGAGATTTTAGATATTCGAGAGCGGCTAAATCAGATTTATGTTCATCACACTCACCAATCCCTCGATGTCATTGGTAAGTCTTGCACGCTATTCAACAGATTGTATCATAAAAGCTTGAACATTACTGAGTATAACCATTCATGATACATACTCATTCAGTCAACCGGATGGAACGGGATCATTTCATGAGTGCTGAACAGGCACTTACATTTGGACTGGTTGACAAGGTTCTTGAAAAGCGGCCATTCATTTCCATAACAAACACGGCAGAAAGTTCTACTCCAAACAATAGTAAAAAAACTGAACCTAGCAGTACTCCTCAACCCGAACCAGCCAGAAAGCCGTAGCGTTCAAGTGCTTTAGTCATTTGAATCGTAAATAATAAAATGATGATTAAGCATGTGTTGTGTTTGGTATTGTATGAAATGCTTCATCAAACGTGATGGCTAGTGAATATGTATTCTCATGCCATGGGGATTGACTTTAAACAGATCCATGATATCAACAAGAGGATATAGATTCATTCAAGCTTATTTAATTTGGTTGTATTGGTCAATCCCTAATTTAGACTCGGCCACAACATCACGGTGCAAGAACCATTGCAAAGCTGCTACAATACCAACTATAAAATAGCATGAAACAGTATTCAAAACAATACATCGAGTTTATCAATACCGAATTAAAATAAACTGTTGAATCGATTCACCCGTTTGATGGATTATGGTGGCTAGGTTTAAATTACTTTCCACGCTTCATTTTTTTAATCTTTGGTATTATAACATGGCCAAAAAGTTATTGGCAGGCAACGATGTAGCAGAATGGCGCAAGGCGTTGTTTGGATACAACAAGGCTATAACTGCCCTTGCAGCAACCAAAAAGAAGGCAGTATCTGGCATTGACCTTGTACACCTCGACACATGGAAACTCACTCTTGATGCCAATACACTTTACGATAAAGCAACAGTAGTAAAAATCGTTCAATGGAAGTTATTGGTAGGTTGAATGAATGGGTTGTGGGAGTGGAAGTGTGGGAAGTTGTGTTGATGTGGTTTGATTTAGAGAGGAACTTATCGACCGAATTTACTGAATCGGGTCATGTCCAACTCGGTCGAGTCGATCCATTCAGCAATTTCGGCTGCTCAACACCACTTGTTAAAAGTAGGATCTTCGAAAGAGGATCACAAGATGATTTTGAGTGCATTGGAGAGTCTTTCGGAATTGGCGGGAATAGGTCCAGCAACTGCCTCGGCGATATTGTCTTGTATGAGCAGCGCTGTCCCTTTTATGTCAGACGAGGTGATTGGGTCACTACCAGGAACGGATCCAAAGAAATTGAAATACACGTTCAAGCAGTATAGAGAGATACTGGAGACACTAACGGCCAAGTCTAATGCACTCAATAAAGCAGATACTATGGAATGGAGCCCTCGATCGGTTGAACGTGCATTATGGACGTGTCAAGTCTTGAATAACCTTGGGCTAGCATTGGATGTATCTGATGAATCCGTGGAAGAGGCAAAGCATGATGGTAATATTGCATTGGACACGAAAACCGAACTTGCACTTGATGCATCCACTGTTCCTGTCAAGATGGGAAAGAAACAAGACAGTATTTCAGCAACTGAATCTAAACAGAAAAGCGTAGAAAAGCAGACAAGAAAGAGAGTTGCTGATTCAAACCCAAAAGACAAGCAACCTGTTCGTAGATCCGCCAGATATCAATAAACTCGTTGGCGACTAAAGTTGCTAGGGTAGATATAGGGAATGCAAGGTTTTATTATACAGTACAGTCTCTATATTTTTGCAGACTCCATACAACAAGTTTGAATTGAACGAAACTTGAAATCTGTTAATTATCAATTACCGAGTGCATGTCTGTATCGTATTTGGAGGTAGTGCTGTCTTGCTTTATTCTTTGTATAGACAAGTGTCTAAATCAACCCACACATTGACGACTGATTTTGCAATGTGTTCATCTCAACTTGGTGAAACTTGTTCAACGCTTGACCCGACTGTCAAACTCGACCAATTCACTCTTATATTTAGGACTATTTGGATAGTAAGTTGGATATGGTCATGGCAGCCATTTAATAGTCTAGTTTAAATGGAAAGTCGAATCGTTCACTAAAGCATTATATTGGCCAACTATTAGCCATTGAGTCGTTGCCATTGGAGATGGCACGCAATTTCACTCTGGTAAATATGTAGTGCAATATGATATTAGGTTAATTCCTGTAGATTCAAAATGTAGAGACCTTGGTTCTAAAATAAATGTTATTTCAATACAATCTAGATCCACGAGCTAGACTCGACCTCATACGGTATATATTGCACATCTATATTTTACTGCATGCCAGTTTAGACTATTCTCCAACGAATCTAACCCAATGCTTGCTTGGTTCATCTGTTAGAGGTAATGCGTAAAGTCAGATTGGAGACCGATGATTTTATGAGCAATGTAGTCTCATTTACTAAAGAAGAGCGGAAAGCACGTCTTATCAAAATATCGGCCTTGTTCAAATCATGTTTAAAACATGGTCATGATAAAGTCGAGTTGGCTGTGCAAACATATGATATGGTAACATGTTTCAGTGGAAATGCGGGTATAGATCTAGGAGACATACTGATAGTTGAGACATTTAGGTTGATCGACATATCCGGAGATTAGATGATGACTTGATGAAGTTTGAAGAAGAGCAGATGACAGGACCAAAGGTTTTACCTTCTCATTCTCAGCCTAGAGAAGATCCTAGACAGTATAGATCTGAAAAGTTGACTAGGGAAACTGGTTCGTCACGATTATCTCGTCGAGCTCAATCAGGAATAGGTAGTGTGATTTAACAACGAGCCCAGGCTCAGTATTCCGTTGCACACTTTTGAATTGAGATGTAACACATTGTAAAATAGGTCAAGTTGCTTTGCCCGAGGTAGATACACCCACCAAAAGTAAGATCAAATCATTTCGAATAGCATCAAGTTTTGCAAGCTGATTATGTTGTAGTTGATGCTAATTCAACTTGTATCATCAGAACGAAGAGTTCCAGATGATGAACGGCCACCATTGAACGAATCTCCTGTAGCGACACCTGTTTCCAGCACTCCCCAAAAGCCCATTGTAGCGCCAGTACCCAAGCCGTTAGTTTCAGCCGTGTCCAAAAAGTCGAGCATTAAAAGCAAAAAAACATCGACGTAAGCGTACTAGTATATCTGTGACATTGGTACACACGCTATGTGCTAATATTTTTCGTATCTTGACACTGCAGAAATGTGACGCCTGTACCTACACCACCCATGGAAGTCAAGATTGGCAAAGAACTTGTTCCTGTAGATTTAGAAATTGATCCAAACGAGCCAACATACTGCATATGTAAACAAGTGTCATTTGGTGAAATGATTGCGTGCGACAATGATGATTGTCCAATCGAATGGTTTCATTACACATGTGTAGGGTTGACAGATCCAGTCAAGGGAAAGTGGTTTTGTCCAATCTGTGTCGAGAAACGCAAGATATAAAACGATTGCTTTGGATAAACCCAATGTTTTCCATTTACCCCAGTCTGGATGTAGAATAGGTTGGGTGGATACTTTTTCTATATCTTGACTCCTTGAGTCTATTGAAATGAATGTACTTGCCTTTCAATGCTATGTTGCACACATTCTGGTAAAGGATCACAAGACCAACTTATTGGATGATGTGGATTGAAAACTAAAGTATTTGGACAAAATGTGGGTGCAAACCACTACAACTAAAGTACAGAAACAATTAAATCTCAAACAGCTTGCGCAGTATTTTTATATTGCCACTCATTCTACCCTGAGATGGGTTATATTTAAATATCATGGTTCTCCAACATCAATTTAAAGTACTCGACAGTTTCCTCGATACCTTGCCGAACAGAGAATTTGGGCTCCCATTGGATTTCCTTTTGTGCTCGGCTGATATCTGGACGACGCTTTTGCGGATCATCCAAAGTAGCAGGCGTATGGATGATTTTGGCTTTAGGGTTGACCTGATCTCGAATTACCGTGGCAAACTCGGTAATCGTATATTCTTCAGGGTTGCCCAAGTTTACAGGCTGGGTGAAATTGCTATTCATGGATTGGATTAAGCCGTCTACAAGATCGTGAACGTACTGGAAAGAGCGAGTCTGTTTGCCATCACCGTAGATGGTCAAATCGTCACCTTTAAGAGCTTGCATAATAAAGTTACTGACAACACGACCATCGTTAGGGTTCATACGAGGACCAAAGGTGTTAAAGATACGAACAACACGCACATCGACATGATCCTGGTTGGCATATGAATACGTGAGGGTTTCGGCCACACGTTTGCCTTCATCGTAGCAGGCACGAGGACCAATTGGATTGACATGACCCCAGTATTCTTCAGACTGTGGATGGACTTCGGGATCACCGTACACCTCTAATGAAGATTGTTTATAATTGTCAATGAATTGAAGCTCAAGAGAGCCCATTAAAACAATTAAGCTTACCAGAAGTAGAAGTCAGCAAGAAACGAGCCTTGACACGCTTAGCCAGACCCAGCATATTGATGGTGCCCATAACACTAGTTTTAACGGTTTTGATGGGATTGTACTGATAATGCGGCGGAGAAGCAGGACAAGCCAAATGGTAGATCTGATCAACCTCCATCATGAAAGGGTCTAAAAACAAAGATGTATATCAGAACAATGCAGTAATGAGATGAACAGAAACAAGAGTAAATACAAGGAATGCAATTCACAGTAGAATAATAGCGAATTCATAGGCAGACCTACCCACAACATCATGTCGGACCAATTCAAAGTTGGGATGACCAAGCCAGTGTTCGATATTGCGTTTGTTACCAGTGAAGAAGTTGTCCAATACAGTAACCAAATGACCCATCTTCATGAGTCGATCAACCAAATGAGAACCAACAAAGCCAGCACCGCCAGTAACAAGGATACGCTTTTGGTCATTCAGACCAAGACGTTTAATAGCAGGATAAGTCTTTTTGGAAGAGTCGTAGATGAGCATATCAGAAATGGCATCAAAGGATTTCCCAGATACAGGGCCAATATAGAGAGGACGCAGTTCAGAAAGACTTATATTAGTGTTAAACTTGATATGGCCCACGGAGTGAACTTGAGCCTTGTCGGAGCCATGAGTAGTAGTGGAAGGAGTGGCAGGACTGGTGGCAGGGCCAGATATGGGATTAGTGATAGGACGAGGATGAGGAGGAATAGCAGACTTGATATCAACTTGAGGTTCTGGATTGGACACTGGACTAGACTCTGGGTTGGGCATAGCAACAACTTGTTGATCAGGTTGAATGCCGTTTAGGGCAAGTAATAACAGCAACGACGCCGAGAGAGTGGCCAACACCAGCAGTCGCATTGCTCGTGGTTTAGTGAGCATTCGTTTGATAGACATTAGGCCCTGTCTAGCGGATGTCTTTCTCATGGAACTGTTCAATAGCCGGTCATGCTGCTCATGATTATCCATCGAGAGTAGATCTGATGATAAGGAAAGAATGCGATCTTGTGGATGCTGTCTTCCCGCCCAAGCTTCTACCATCCGACATGAAACCCGACTCTCCGTCCATGGACGTTATCAAAGGTAATCCTGGTCTTGCTTGATTGCATTCTCGTCACTAACGTCTCCCAAGAGTCCATCCACCACTTTAAAGTACTAGACACCCGTCATGCCTCACTCTTGAGCACTCTTCACTCCACTCTTGTCTCCATGCACGACCTCTCTCTTTCCCTCGAGCATGCTGCAGATGTCCGTCGCTCTTTGCTGCTTCAACTCAACAACAAGGCATCTGAATGCTCTCATCTTAAAGCCCAACTTGCTTCTGTCTCTGCTCTGCTCGAGTCTGAACGTGTCCTTAGCTCACAACTCCTGCAACGTAATCTTCCCTTGGAAACTGAATTGGCTCAACTAAAATCCGTCCAGGCTGCTGATCGATCCATATTGGATGAGCAGCTCAAGACAATACACAAGCTGACTAATGAAAAAGATGTCGAGACATCTCTTGTTACTAAGCTACAAACTACATTAAAGGATCGAGATGCATTGGTGTATTCACTGCGAGCTACCGCAAGTGATTTGTCTCACGAAGGTCATTCATGTCTTGTATTATCAACTCACTATGTTGTTGCTGGTGCTTCATGACTGACTTTTTGACTGCTGTTTTCTATAGTCCGCCAATGTACCGAGAAAATTCAGTCCATGTCAGTTTTGAAATCTGAACACGCTCAACTAATGTACGATAATACCCTCTTGGCTCAGAAATTGTCCAGATATGAATCAATGCACCATCGAGTTTCACAGTCTTGTGTCCAGGCAGTTGATCACACCTCGTCTCTTAAAGCAAACCATGCTGCCGTATCTGCAGAGGCAGATCTACTTGTCTTTGAAGGCTTATCTGAAGTCGAAAGACCTGCATTCCTAAACGAAGAAGAAAACACCGCTGATAGTGTGTTGCGTCATTTGCATGATCACGTAGAGTCACTTGAGCATCAGCTCCTCACCCCTCATTCCATACCTACCGACTCTCTCTAACTTGTTTATACACTCTTCCGTTTACAGTACCCATACAATCCCATAATATAGGTAAGCTTTTAAACGAGGTACCCCGAGCAAAGATAGTAAAAATGGGATTTTTTGTAAAATATTCAACTCTTTTGAAGCACCTTGACAAACGCTGCCAGATCCACATCCTTGGCTGCTATTGTCACACAGAAAGCATCCGCCAACAGTTCAGAAGGTGTGGGTCGTGTAGCTGGATCTTTAATCAAACTGCGTGCAATAAACAGTTCAAACTCATTGCTAAAGTGTCCCGGTGGAAGTGTTGGCACGGGCTCGTGCACAATATACTCCAGTAATTCAAAAACGGACAATGGTTTTCCATCTGGAGGAAAAGGAAACTTTCCTAAAACTAGTTCCATCAGTGTCATCCCGAGACTCCACACATCCGACTGCACCGAGTATTTTCCACCTTGAATACGCTCGGGCTAAATAGCAACGTTAGATATTGCACAACTCCAGATATAGTATACATGTTTCAAGATTCTACTTACAGACATGTATGCACTGGTACCCACAAAGGTGTTTGCAACAGAGTTGATGAGTTGCCCTGATACGCCAAAATCTGCAATCTTGATTCGGCCAGCAGAGTCTAAAAGAATATTGCTTGGCTTTACATCTAGATAGATACACATGTGAGCAAGCCCATTTTCAGTCAAAACACTGCAGCAACATCATTCCATACCTCGATGAATGATCCGATGCTCGTCATACAGATACACAAGACCCGACAGCACAGCATGGGCAATCTTGCCTGTCACATCCTCGGATACCGGACCTGTTTTTTTGTAAATATTATCGAGTGATCCACAGTTCATAAACTCCATACAGATTGAAATATCTCCTTCGTTAAGAAAAGCGCCATAGAATGATACAATATAGGGTGAATTGCATTTGTGCAAAATTTGTAGCTCGCGGAGAATCTGTCTTCTAACACTGTTTTTGGCCTCGACATGGATAATCTAAAATCATGGTCAAGTAGATGATTCCAAAATGGTCAGATGGGTGAAATCACGTTGGATTAAAAAGAACCATTTCAACACAGCTTTCAAAATGGTATATGCAAATGACATTCAACACAGTCATGCACATTGCCAACATGCCGTTCTGATGAATAGTGGCATGCAAGAGTGACTGTAACCCATGACGTATCCAGTCAAACTATACCAAGCTGTGTTCTCAGTAACCAAAACCCATAGTTTGTGGTCCAGTAATAACCCTCAGAAGCAGAGTTACAGCAGTGATGAGTGATATCTGACAATGATAGTGCAAGACAATATCTGGATGGAACAAGAGTTGTAATTGAATGCCAATCCGTGCTGATCTAAATAGATTGGATGGAATTGAATTTTAACTATTGCAAATAGCTAAAGCAATCAACAGTCCAACCATATAGTTTATCCATTAGACTCGAAGCAGCGTTTTTATAGCAGTGGTGCTGTTTCTACCAAACGGCAAAATAGAGTCTGGTAGTGGCAGCCCCTGGTATAAAGACTGGATGTTCACATACACTCGCACAATCAGATATGAGTAGTGCTCCAAATCCGGATAGCTATAATAGAAAGAGTACAAAACCAACCGATACAAAACTGATGGGATCCAATTCCCTCAAGCAACAGCCAGCATTCAAGGTTCCAGTCTACACAAGCCTAAACCAACAGATAGATCTACCTTGCGAGCCATGATGGTATTTGAAGGCTTATGAAGAACCTTTGAAACCGTTCCACCCGAACCAGAGCCCAGCTCTTGCAATATTTGAATATCATCTGCTTTGAGATCCAACTGTAGGTTTTTTGGGATAGAAAGGTCAGCAAGTTGTGGAGCAAGAACAGAAGAAGGAGACTCTATTTCCTGGCCAGGCACACCGACACCACCGGGAGTGATGTTTCCCTGCTTTAGATTAAGTCGTACAGGCTTAGGTTTGCGAACAGCAGCAGGAGATGCCATTGAGTTGGAAGTAAAGTCCGATGCAATGGGTAACGAGTCGCAATGAAAAGTTTTGGTCGTTATTCACGTAAAATGAAACACTTGTATTTCTCTTAATCACTGCTTTGGAATAGAGTTGAATGTTGTTTTTCTATTGTAGATTGACAGTGTCGTGCAGTACAAATTATGTTTTTATTGTACGATTATCAAATATTGAGTTTGATTGTCATTCATTTTTATATTCTAAACTCACATTTACGCTCTATCCAACAACAAAAATCGTATTAATTCAACTCTAATATTTAAACCCATTTATTACACTTTTGGTTACATTTTACGTGAATACAACTGGAATTGACAACTCGAATATTTTCACAATCGATATCAGTGGCTTTCATAATAAAACTGCCGAGTTTCACTTTTACATTCTACTCGAGCCACTTGCACTTGATAAAACTGTTTTGGATTTCAAATGTCAAAGCATTCAAGTTGGTTGCATATCAACTGATTATTCATCTGAATTCAAAAGTCATGTTTTGAATTCCTACAAGATTTGCATTTCAATTAGATATTCAACTTTCCACTTGTTCAGACCTTGACTAAAAGAATGACTCGTGCTGCAACACAATCCAAATCTCAAGCCCAAGAAGATTCTGATTGCAAGTGTCTTGTATCTTGATTCTTGTTTGTTTCTACGCTAACCATCCAAGCTTATCTTGGTTTAGATCAAACTGTTATTGTAGCCTATCTGAAGAAACAAAACCGACCTTACAATGCTACAGATATCTTTAATAATCTTAAAGGATCGATTGCAAAAGCATCGGTCATCAAGTCACTGGCTACAACTGCTGATCAAAGTAAACTCATGTCTCCCTCTTTCCAACACGCTTACATCATTCTAATGTTCCATGTTGATAAATAGAACTCATCTTGTCCAAGACATATGGAAAACAAATTATTTATGCTCCGATTCAGAACCATGAAACATCTGCTGATATTGAGGATATGGTTGAACTAGAAGCTGCACTTGAAACTGCTTTAAAAGATCTGGCTCTGCATCGTGAGATAGTAAGCGCGTATCTCACATTTGGTTCTATCGTCCTGTAATACACTACACATCATGACTTATACAATGACATGTTTGTTTAGTTGAAAGGATTGAATAATGGTGTGTGTTGATCATTGCGTCATATCTATTGTTGTCTTGAATCTGCATAGGGCTGAGATTCACTTTGGATCTTTAGAATTGGCAATCCTGACAAAGTCTCCAACAACCCATGACATGCAAGTAGCCGTAGAATCTTTTACCCAAAAGGTTAGTTTATTTACTGGAATGATAATAACCGAATGGGTTGCAGTTAATAGCATGCGTGGTGGTGTAGAACCAAATTCTTGATGATCGACTTCAAGTTCTATCAAGCGGTCAACAACTTGTACCACCCAAACAAATCCAGATGATAAAGTCTCAGTACATTGCCTACAGACAGGAATGGAAATATCGATACAAGATGTTTAAAAATGCATGGACTCAAATTTATGATGGATCGCGCAATGAAGAACAAAAACTCATGGTAAATAGGCTGTATCCATATACTGCTATAACTTTAGATGAACTCATTTCTTTTTGCTTGGCGTTGTAGTCCATTATCGGAATCGAAACTGATGCCGATGTAGGCGTCAAATATGAAGAATAAAATCAGGGTATTCATTGTTTCATCCTTGGCAAAGAAATCAATTTTATAGTATAAACTAGACAAAAATATACCTTTTCCAATATTGGAAATCATTTAAAAACAATACTTGTATCGATACTATCTGCCAAGTGACAACAGGGCAAAAGTAGTCAAAGCACCATACATTGCTTTATAGACAAGCTAAATGCAAAATAAATGTATCATTGAGCTATTTTCACAGAAACTTGACGAGGTATCATGGAAACAACCACCTGCGTCAAAAAAACAATGTCAGCACATACAACTCATTTCAATCAAGGCAAAGCAAAGCAGTCCTACTTGGAAAAACTCGTCGCCCATAATTCTTCGACACAGAGTAGCAATGCGAAGTGTAAAGATTGCTACGGCTTTTATGGCACTTGACACATAGACGGATGCGCCTGACGCAACCGATGTCGAAACAACCTCGATTTGAGTCATGGCTCCAACACCAACAGCAGCAGTTAGTCGTCTTTTTGCGTACGAAGAATACCGCTAACCATTCATAAATTGAAATCAGCGTTTCCATTGCAAATCCATTCAAAGTTGGAAAATAAGCTTACCTGAAGATAGGAACTGCCATCACCCATCTGGGCCAAGAAATACTTTTTAGAAATAATATAACCTTTTGGACAAAAATAAGCACCCAAGATGGACACCGTTGAGACCAACAAGGTAAACGACTGAAATACAATGCGAGAAACAGGATTTGATTTACGATGATCAGAATGTCGCCATGCAAGGTGTTGTGATGGGTGAGGATAGTTGATATGCTGTGTTACAGTGTCTGTACCAAGAATCACTCCGTCGGCTACAGGATGTGAAGAGTGTGACGTAAATACATGTAGTTTGTTATTTAAAGTTTCAGGTTTACATCTCGACAGAGATATTGGAGCAGTCAATAAACTTTCATCCGATACGACGGTCGCCATGGTTCTATTATCACACCGTATAAAACAGATGGTGGCATCCTCTTTCCTGATTGCTTCCATTTGAATCCAGACATAAGTGCTCTCCATATCAGACAATTGGTCCATACAGTCTGATTGTAGAGTTGAGAGGACGGTAGATCCAACATCAACGTGACTAGAAGTTGTGGGTATAGTCTGAGGAATTGGATCATTTGAGAAGCTGTCTGTGGATAGTGGCAGAGATGAGTCTACATGTTGTGAGCAAGATAATGCTGACATCAAGTCTAGTTGGGACTTTTGACTTGGTCCCAACTCACCATGTCGTGGAATAACCAACCATCTGATTGCAAGTCGAGCAGTGGCTAGAGTAAGAGACTCGGCATCCGATACTTGCTTTAAAACCCTTAATAATCTGGACAAGTCATCGTTATGAACAAATGCCATGATGGGCTTGTGCAGGACAGCACCATTGTTGGAGAGATAATGATATTGCCACGATGACAGAGTGACCCGATTCGTATCGACACCCCTGTCGCTTTGTTCTAATCGAGGTGACTCTTGTTTATCTCCGATACAGAAAGACGGTGGACCTCTCATGGCTTTGATAATGCCATACTTGTTGAGCCAAAGCGCAATATCAAAGCCTTCTACATGCTTACTAACAGCCGAGTTTGCGAATGTAGCTTCATTCATCCATGGCTGCAATGAGTTACACGCATCCAAGATTAATGGTTGCGAATGAGTGGTAGGTAAACTATCTGTTAAAGGAGAGAACACAGAGCCTCTACGTCTAGAAGTCGGAAGCAAGCTAGCAGACCGACATGGCTCATCCAATTCAGTAATTGCTGAGTTGGATTCTATCAAAGTACTTTTAGATGGCAGAGACTCAAGCGAGTCTTTGTCAGTCAACACTAGAGCTGAATCAAAACTGCTTTCCAAAGTATCGTTTAAAAGAATGTCCTGTTCCAAGATAGATGAATGCGAATCTTGGACTGGTTGCGTCAATGGAGTTTTCATAGGAAATGGTTCAAGTAGTGACCGATTAGTGTTAGTAGAGGACAATGGCTTCAGTATCATGGATCCTTGAATTGGAGTTTTTGTCGTAGAATTACTGTAGATGGGATTATTAGTAGAAGACATGACCATCCAAGAAGGCACAGGAGTTGCTGCAGTATGTCGCAGCTGCATTGCTGTAACTTTCTGGTTGAATTCAACGTTTGGGCGGAGTCTCGAGTTTAGGCAAATTTTGCCCAATTTTCAATTCGCCAAATATTCAATTCAAAATCGGTTTATTTTTTTACTAGCTGTTAATCTTAGTGCATTATGCCAAAGTCTACAAGAAAGAAGAAGCTCAAGGCACAGGATTTTCAGGCATGTTGACTCAACAATGACATGATCTTGTGTTTTCAGTTGGAATGCATGCTCTTGCTCTTGCTTTTGCATTTTACATTTTCAACTTGCTATCCAACTCACGAGTTTATCATCCTAAACAATGTTGGTAAATAGAAAAAGAAACTCAAGGTTGGTAAAAAAGTAGCTCCTGCAGACAATCAAACCGATGTGACATTCAAGACCCAAAAGATTTCATTGCGACCCCAAAAGATCGCCATGGATCATGAAGAGGCTGCAACTGCTGCTGGAAAGCAACAGAGATTCAAGGATCTGTTGGCACAATGTCGGCACTACAATACTCAAAGCAGAAAGGGTAGATTTTTTGGATTTATTATATCATACTGCTTGTATAAATATATTATTGACGCTTGAAATCATGTGTTTGTAGAGGCTTTGGCTCAAATTCAAGATTTAATGGCTGTAGCGGATCAAGAAATGATTTCATTGAATCTTGGTACAATTGCAAACGACATTATTGCATTGATTTTAGACGAGGTAAATTTGCATCAAACAACACTCTTAAATTACCAGCTAATATTCTTTGACTCGTTAGACCAATTCTGTGCGTGCTGCTCTGATTGCATTCGTCACTAGCTTTTTTGGACGTGTTGATGAGGTATATGACTAGACTAGATGTATCAACTATTAGAATGCGTTCACGTAGGGCATCTTACAATTAAACCTTTATTAAATAATATAGATTTCCATCATGCCTTTTGATGCAGTCATTGTCGCATATACCACGTCCGCCATGAGTCATATTTCTGATAGCATTCGTGTGGATGGACTTTGTCTGCTTAAACTCTTGATTCTTCAATTTCCAAAAATCATTTCCAAAAACTCGCATTCTGTAAGTCTAGTGCTTGATTTTCATAACTGGTATGCAGTATTACACACTGCTGATTACTGTTGCATTCTAGATTCTGCCTCATTTTCTGGATCTGCTTTCATCCCACACTAGAAACCAAGACAGTAGAGGTGCTACATTTGGCATAAATAGCGAGTTGATTACATTCAAGGTGTCTAGTAATTTCTATTTTTTAAATTTGTAACAATACTCACATCTGATTTCCAATGCAAAACAGGGTAGAGAGCGGCTTTTGGATAGTTTTTATGGATTTCTTTGTCTTGTGATTTTACCAACCAAATCAAACCTACGAGATCAGAAAGTTCCAGGTGGAACCCATGGTGAAATTGAATGGAACAAGGTACAACATGTAGTTTGTGTTGAATTCAAAATACTGTAAATAGGATTCAAACATTTGATTGACCAGCGTGATTTGCTTCTAGTACCAAAATATGCTTTTATTCAACCGACAAAACGAGATTGAAAATCGGAATCAAAAAGTACCTCATCTAGACTCTCTTTTTACTGAAACAGTAGTATTCAAGTCCAATGATAGGTTGACTGTATCAGGTGTATCTGCTACCAAAACAATCAAATTTAGATCACATTCGCTTGTTACGGAAGCTAATGTTCAGGTAAACTATGCTTTAGTGCACAATATACTTTTATCAAATTTACTGATTGATGGTATCAATGCAACTATTTTCAAACTACTTTTATAGCAACTTTTCGAGACATTGTATCCTCGCCTAATTGACTTTTGGATCGAGTCCAATTCTATTTTTAAATCCCCAAACCTTGGCTGGTCTCCTAGTCTTAGGATTTGTTTGCTAGTGATTCAAGTCTTACAAACTGTGATGCAGACCGAGTTTTCGGTACAGTAATACTTTTTAAATGTTTAGTTTGTAGTATGAATACTCACATTTTTCAATAGCTCCAGCCAAATTCGTTGTCAAAATGCAGAATTGCTTTCAGCAAGCATGTTTCTCCATTTTTTCCATTTGGAGAAGCATGCTCGCTATTGGATGACAAAGTTAGTACTGGCTACGATTGTGGATTTTTGATTGCTTTTAAAATACTTATTTATGTTTTGAATTTAAATAGCTCTACAAAACACTCATGCAGATGAATTTGGGATATTGCAGGATTATTTTACAAATGTTGGGCCAAGAAAATGATGATACTCAGATGATGGCTGGAATGAAACAAAGTGTATCTCAATACGTCGTGCACACTTTGCAAAGCAGTCAGTCTTTGACCGCGTACGCCTCGAATCTGGATATGGAGGTGCTGGATAAGATTGTGTTTGAACTGTATACTAAATTCCATGATTTGAATACTTTACAGGTAATTTTTGCTACCAAGATGCAGTAGCTGTGCATTTTGCAAATATTCTACATGAAGCATGACAGAGTCTAATTCAACTATTTATTCATCTAGGCAATGATTGGGTTCCAAAACACTACAAAATCCATGCAGTTAGCGTACAATGCATTTTCTATTCTTGCTCGACTTGATGTATGAGCTTGTCTTTAACCATATAGATTTTTTGCATACTTGATAATACCTAACTTGGATATATTTATTTTTGAATGGTTCAATACAGAATGCTCTTGGATCCGAAGACTATAATAAGTGGGCATGCGGTTTACCTTTTCAGCTCTATCAGCTTAAAATATGGAATTTTGAGTTTTCCAAAGTATGTATTATGGGATTTTCAGCAATCAGCACACCACTGTATCTAATGTATTGGCTATTTGTGAGATTAGGCAATATGCGACTTTTTGACGTTGATTGTCAAGTCTGGTAGTGCGGAACTTGGACATACCATTATGGCTAAAATTGTACCATTTTTCTATGGGTCTGCAAAGAAATCCAAACCACCTCAGTTTGGACCTTTTAAAGATTTACCTGAAACTGTTCAAACGGCGGCAGTAGCACTGCTGTACTACCTTCCCAAATGGAACGAGGAAATGATTCAAGCAATTGTAGAGTGCTTTACACGTAGGCTTTATTTGTCCATCAGCAAGATCTATATTTAATGGACTATTCCGACTGACTTCATGTGATTGTTTTTAGTATGGACGCCAGCTACTTTGGTTGTGATTTCGCTGCTAGACGTGGCTAATACAAGACAAAAAACATTAGAATTGGCACTGTCACATTCTGTGTATGCTAGTTTGCTCATGACGCTTGGTGTAGGCTATACAAAATCTAGTTTAAAGCCAATTCATACCGATTCTCTTGGTACGACAAAATCATATATTGTAACTGTTGAAAGCTTTTGCAATACATCGGAACGTCATACACAGGTATATTTGAATGGTCTGATTTGTTTTTAAAATGATTCTTTAAACTAGCTTTACTGATTTATATGTATTTCAGATGAATAAAGATCAACTATTGTCCACCTTATGGAAACGTCGACAAGATATTGTTCGTGCCATTTCCACTTTGGTTGATTCTAAACCATTTTTCACAAGACTGACTGACATGTTGGTGAGGTTTTATTGTCATTTTGATCAACTGATATGGATTGCTTGAAATTGACAGTTTTTGATTATGCCACTTTGTATTATGTAGACCACAACGTTGCCTGTCGATGGGTATTTGGGTGTATTTTCTCTACTGTCTTGCATTACCGAGCCATCTTTGACCAAGATTGTCATGGATTTCAAGCTACATTCTCTACTGTCTGTTCGATTAACCGAGTTTGAACAGTACATTGTTTCAAGAACAACAGTACGTGGCATCGATTTAACTGATATTTATTTTTTGATTCTAGACACAGCGAGTCAATACTAATTCAAAATGGATTGACTTTGATTTAGCCTACGGATGAAATACGGCGTGAGTGTGTTATTTTATGTGACATTTTTCGTAGTTTGTGGTTGGATAAAATAGAAACGGATCAAAATAAACTCGTTTGAGCTGGCCCAATTTTAACACTTGATTCTTGAAAATGATGGATAACAAACAACTATAAACTAATTTTATTGGCTATACGCGAAGTCGAAATCCTACTCCAGCATCTGAGGAAGAGTTGTCAAAGAGTGATCCGGTGATGGAAGTTTGATGCTCGGCGTGAGGTGCATGAGGATCATTTTTTACCCGTCGTTCGCCTGCTGCCTTGCTTGGGAATGTGGGAAACAGATCCGGATCTTTAGGCAATGGACTGGAACTGTTTGCACAAAAAGAGTCAACCCACACATCAGTACGCTATACAACACTACAACAAACTCATCACTTACAAAAAAAAGGGATGATTTAAAGCATCTTCGGCAGTGATTCTTGTTTCAGGATCATATCTTAGCAACTTTGACATCAAGTCCAATCCGTCTTCGGGAAGGTATGGAAATGTCGATCTTAAGCCAACACACAATTGCCGTTGGAAATTAACAGTTTTTGAAAGGGGAAGATCGGAAACTCCAGGCCACGTTTTTTCGGTAGGTGTACCCAGTAGCTTGAATATCTTGGCTAGTTGATCCATCTCACCTCTACCCGGCATCAAGGGTTCTTTATTGACTAGTTCACCAAATATGCAGCCAATAGACCACATATCTATTGCTGTGGTGTATTTCTTTGCACCTAATAGCAATTCAGGTGCTCTAAAAAGAAGTGAGTTGATCCATACTAAAACCTGAAGCAATCTTATATTCATAGGAAACCATGGAACAATTCGACGCCATTTGGTTTAAAACAAGAATGGAGATCATCGATTGCCTACCTATACCAAAGCGTGACGACTAATTGTGTAATGGGACCTAATGGACTTCCATACTTTCTTGCTAATCCGAAATCAGCAACTTTAATTCTTCCACGGTTATTCATCAGCAAGTTTGAGGTTTTTAAATCTCGATGCATGATCCAGTTGCGATGCAAACAAGCTACTGCAGATAAAAGCTGCCTCATCAATGTTTTGATTTCAGATAAAAGAAAGGGTGATGGCATATCTTCCATGAGTGATTTTAGATCGTGGTCTAGATACTCCATCACAATAAATATTCTGGATAGATGAACGAGTGCATGGTTGTAGCATTGAACACGGTGTATCGATAAGAATAAAAGGTATTGGTAAATGTCAGATCCAACCAGAACATACACTCACAAGACCTCTACAATAGCAAAGACTGTAACATTACCCAGACATGGATGAAGTAGTAACGATTTCCTTGACATTCACAATATATGGATGTTTTGCAATCAATAGTGTATGAATCTCTCTCAATGAAGTGATGGGGAATCCGTTTGTTTCTTTTTGTAGTTTGAGTTTCTTTAGAGCAACAATTTCTCCAGTTTGGCGGTCCCGAGCACGATAAACTATACCATATGAGCCCTCTTCAATACGGTTGAGTTTTTCGTAAAGGTCGACATTACGACAGCCTTGAAAGAATGGAGCTTTGGGTAAAATTCGTGGTGGAATTGGGGATAAGTTATGTGAAGCAGATGGTGGATGAGGAGTATCAGAGTGATGAGTTGTCTTTGTTCGTTTGGATTGTACATTAGATCGATGTGACTGTCTTTGAGGTTTCTGTTCATCCTCTGGGTCAGAATCCCATCTTGTCTGGATTTTACTCATGATTACAGCAGAAATCAGGAAAATGAAAACAAAGCCTTTTGGCTATTCAGCACTTTATTACAGCGTGTTCATGGACTGTTTTTTCAGTCATCTTTCAAAAAACTGTTTTAAAACAACAATATGTGTTGCGTTGAATAAGAATTGATTTGAATAAACAAGTTTGTCATGCAATACAAACCATTTCTTTCTTTCAAACTTTATTTTATTCTAAAAATTCGTGTCTGCATTCTAGTTCAAGATTGCAACCAAACATGCCAATCATTAAAAAACTGATGGATTTAACAATATCATTTCATGATAGACTGTTTAGTGTTTCATGTCACACGAATATGACAGTAATACTGAATTGAACAAGATTTAGTATCGAGACTACACTCCAAATGATTACGATTGTATCGAGTTTCAAGAAATCAAAAAGTTAATCTTGATTCTCTCAAATACTTGTATTCCAACCTATTTGATGGATTCGTCTTCACAGGGTGAAAGTCATGCAGGATCTACTGAGGCTACCGATTGCATGTTTCTTGAACTGGATAGAGTTCGTAAGATGCAAGCAGAGCTTTCACTCACACATCTTGCACAAGCCAGACAGTTTCCTACATCTCTGTGAGTTCAAATACGTTCAATTTGATACTAATAAGCAACTGAATGAATATTTATTGATGATTTTGTAGTGGAGAAGATGATAAAGATGAGGATGCAATGCAGACCTATAAGCGAAACAATGAGTATGTGAATGACAAGGAAGACAAGGTGAAGATTCTAGTTGAAAGACTGAATGAGCTTACAAGTATCATTGACAAGTCTGCAGTTGCCAATATGCCCGCTCCAAGCAAACCTTCAAATGGAACCAATACGTAGATTTATGCAATGAATTGTTCAAGGATTGAGTTTGCAGTAAACGATCATCTAGTTTACAATCGTATTCACGCAGTATAGAAATTCAAGGATTTTAATAAAAGCCAATCAAGGATTGACTCCAATTCATTAATACTGTTTTGTAAAATCATCAGTAAATCTATAACTGATCAACATAATTAACAGCAATCTTATGAGATTATTACTGCCAAGACAATCATTAAATGAGCTGCAATTTGGTTTAATTTTCAAGTCGGAAGTCGAATCAATTCAGCAAATCTGTTCTTGGTTTCCTTGCTTCAAGAAACATTAAATTACATGTATGTTGTTGGTGATTAGCAATGAGCTTGTCATGCTGTCTGTATTATCTTTATGTTATAATGTGTTGGTTGCTAAACACTGATAAATCTATCAGATAACACTGCACTGAATCTGATTTTATGTTCAGTCCATCAATGATGTTGGACATCCGATCAGGCCATTCGTCTGTTTTTTCTAACTCGTAACTATCTTGATTATTACCAACACAATTAGGTCTTCTGCTGCTGTTCAACTTGCTAATCCAAAGTCTGAAGTTGCCCGTCGAGGTCAGGCTCTGCAGCTCAACATCAATGCTGCTTTGGGCTTGCAGGAAGTTGTCAAGACCAACCTTGGTCCAAAGGGAACCATCAAAATGTAAATATTATCATCAATGCAGAAGCTATGATTTCATTGTTTGTGCATGCATCGGATTCTGTTGGCAAGGTTTGATGGAGTCTGGCGGTGAATTTATTCTACGAACATCGACGCTGTTCACATCCATTAGTATGGATCGTCTGGACACTTTCCATGATATTCCGTACATACTATTGAGTCTGTTTAATCCTTACTGCATAATCACATTCTTTTATTATATCTTGACTTACATATCTGATCTGTCTTAATGTTCGCTATTCAAGGCTTGTTGATGGATCTGGCGGTACTAAACTGACCAAGGATGGCAAGGTCTTGCTCTGTGAAATGGTATGCTAGATTGTGTATATCATCCACTCATTCAGATACGATTCTCCATTGCTTTCTATGCTGACACTGACCTGTTTAATTTGTAAATTCAAGCAAATTCAAAACCCAACTGCTACAATGATTGCTCGTGCTGCTACTGCCCAAGATGAGATCACTGGTGACGGCACTACTTCCAACGTACTCCTTATTGGTGAACTTTTAAAACAAGCTGAACGTTTAGTCTCGGAAGGCTTGCATCCTCGTGTCATCACCGAGGGATTCGAAATCGCTAAAAAAGAGGCTCTCAACGTAATGTGCATTCTTGTATTGGCTGTTCAATCTTGTTTACATATTTCCCTGCAACTCCATTAATCTGTAGGCTATACTGTAACTAGTTTCTGGAAAAGTTCAAGGTGTCCCGAACAATGGACCGCGAAACTCTCATTAGCGTAGCTCGTACTTCTCTTAGAACCAAGATTCGTCAAGAACTTGCAGATTCCCTTACCGAAGCCATTGTCGATGCTGTCATGTGCATTCATCAAAAAGGAGAACCTATTGATTTACACATGGTTGAAATCATGAAAATGATGCACAAGGATGACATGGAAACTCGTCTTGTCAAGGGTCTTGTGATGGACCATGGTGCTCGTCACCCTGATATGCCCAAACGTCTTCAAAATTGCCATATCCTCACTCTTAATGTCTCTTTGGAATACGAGAAAAGGTGCTTACATGTGCACTGACTTGCAATCGTCAACCTTTTGAATTACCAATGTGTTGGCGTACTCATTTTATTTTTGCTTGGCATACCATTTTTGTATCACCTAGTGAGATCAACTCTGGGTTTTTTTATAGTAGTGCCGAGAAACGTGAACAGCTTGTTGAATCTGAGCGTCGATTTGTCGATGTCAAGATTGCCAAGATTGTCGAGTTCAAGAATCAGGTCTGTAGCAACTCGAAAAAAACGTTTGTCATCATTAACCAAAAAGGTATCGATCCTCTTTCTCTCGATGTGCTCTCCAAAAACGGCATCTTGGCTCTTCGTCGTGCTAAACGTCGAAATATGGAACGGTGAGTATATACTTGTTGAAATGATGCCTTTACCATTTGTTATACTGGCAATATTGAAGCACTGCGTTTCAGCTACAATGGGATACTTATATTCGTCTTGTCATTAGTCTGCAACTCTGCTGCGGTGGTATTGCACAAAACTCGGTTGATGATTTGACCCCAGATGTTCTTGGTAGCGCTGGTCTCGTCTACGAGCACGTTCTTGGCGAAGAAAAGTTCACCTTTGTTGAAGAGGTTGCCAATCCCAAATCCGTCACTCTTTTACTTACTGGTCCCAACTCTCACACCATTGGCCAAGTCAACGATGCTGTTCGTGACGGTCTTCGCGCTGTTAAAAATGCCATTGAAGACGAACACCTTGTTCCTGGTGCTGGTGCTTTCCAGATTGGTCTTCATGCCCACTTGATGAAGTTTAAGGATCTTGTCAAGGGTCGCACCAAGATGGGTGTTGCTACTTTTGCCGAAGCCATGCTAATCATTCCCAAGGTTCTTGCACAGAATGGTGGATTTGATGCTCAAGATGTTATTGTGTCCCTCCAGGTATTTAATGTGCTTTTGAAAAACATTGGTTTCACTATTCTAATGGGTGTGGTGTATAGGAGGAGTTTGCTCAAGGACATATTGTCGGTGTTGATCTTGTAACTGGCGAGACGCTCGATCCTATCATTGAGGGTATCTGGGACAACTACCGTGTTCACCGTCAGATGCTCAATTCTTGGTATGTTGGTGTAAACCGTTGGTGGATTGACTGCATACGCTAATCTACCATTGATTTTATGAATTCGTTCTATATAGCTCTGTTATTGCTAGCAACTTTTTGCTTGTTGATGAAATGATGAGGGTAAGGGTTTTGCTCTAGTATGTAGTTGCATCAAAACTAGAATGTATTTTTAACACCATTCTTATATTGACACAGGCCGGTCGTTCGAGTCTTAAACAGTCGAATGTTGAAAACTAAAAATGGTTTTGCATACTAAATAAACAATTGATTCTTATGTTCTATTTCATCACTGTTGGCTTGACAAAATATTTGAATAATAGTTGAATAGAAGCAAGTCAATGAGCTAAATTTGCCTATACCAAGAAAAGGTTTGAATCCAGTAACCAGATGGTTCATTTACCTGCTAAAATGTACTCTGTCTTTAATCACCGATTTTGATTGCAATGATACAAGTAGCATCTTCAAAAGTCGGACCCTTGAACAAACAGGTTCAAATTCCATCATGAATAATGCACTTTACATTGTGAAACTTGCTACAACCATGCAAGTCGCGAAACACGAGTTTAAAATACTCGAGTTTCTTCAAGAAACCAAACTTTACCTTGCAACGAACAAAAAGGCAAGATGCTCTTACCAAAGAGATCTGCTGAAAAACCCCCTATTATATCAGTTCAGAGTCCTTTAAGCCAATCCAAACTACACGATACACCGCCTCACATTAACCCAAATGACAGCGGTCCTGAGCTACCTCCATTAGTTGGCAAATCAACTCAAAATCTTGTCGGTAGTTTCGCATCAAGCCAAATGTTTAAAGGATTAATGGTATGCCATCAATAATACATACATTTTTATAGTCATATGGGAAATACTCGAGCGTGTCTACTCCAGACTGAAACATCCAAATCTAACCAAAAATAGTGTTACTATAATACTCTAATGTTTAGCTAAGCAGTACTGGACGACTTGATGGCACTCCAAGTCTTTCAACCAGTAGTTTTAATCCTAGTCCGTCAACATGTTCAAAACAGCCACGTTCTGCTGAATCTCATTTGAATCCACTTATTTCTGCAGAAAGTCAGTCGATATCTCACCTTCTTGACGCGACACTCTTGGAATTTATTAAAGCATTCGATTACATGGACGCACCCATCAAAAAGTTGAATTCCAATGAAGAGCTGCGTAACGAAGCAGACTTGTTAAAAGCTGTATCTATACCCACTCTGCCCAATGAATTGATACCGCCCGTCTCAAGTAGACGCCCTTCAATGATCTCTCAAATCGTTGACAGCAACCATTCTTGCACTCATGAAAATAATCTTCGAAAAAAACTCATTTGTAGTTTAAATCAACTTGAGCCACTCAATGGTGAAACCCATTTGAGTAAAACAGCTGTAGACATTGCAAGTAGTTTTGCTGGTATGAATCAAACAACTTTTGACCTACCCCAAGAATCCAACAGCGAATCTTCAACCATATCAAATACAAATCAAAAAGAGAAACAACAGAAAATGGGTATTATCCTGTCTGATTGTGAAAAGAAAATATCTACTATGCATCATATTCGCGATGATATGCTCGAGTCAAAACACAGGGCTGAAAATGATGAACGTGAACGACTTGCCGAGGCATACAAGGGATTTGATGCCAAATATCAAGCATCTGCTACACCGCTTTCCAACACAGTTCTCAAGTTTAATAACGAGACATTTAGAAACAATGGGTTGATCTCGTTCTCAGCCGATGTGGAAATTGAACATGACAAGCAGACGCATACACAACGGTATCAAAAAAATCAGAAACCTATTCGGCAAATTCGCAGATATTCGTTTCCGCGTACTGATACCAAACTAAACCGATTTTTGTTTGCAGAGCAAAAGAACCAATTGCTGGAACTCGATGCTGTAGATGTTCTTGAAGTAGATTATGAACCAGATGATTGGCGCACTTCCAAGGCCAACACAAAAGAGCAATCTTTTACTGAAAGAGCAAAAAAACATCAAGCCAGTATTGCTTCTATAACTGAGGAAACTAAAATCAGGAATCGTATGAACAACAGAATTTACTATCTTTCTAACCCTAGATTCCCAGTTAAGCAGCCTTTCAAGAAAAATACAATCAAACAGTTTCTAATCCCATCAATATCCCACAATCAAGATTCAGGCTTAACTTCATGTACCCCTATGATCAAAACACCGAAACACCTTCACTCTACCTGCGGAATCATAGCCGAACCAGCTACTATTTATTTTAGTGACTATACACCATACTGTAGATATGACAAGGTGCTCACCATTCGCAATACATCCCACGTTGCCCACAGATTTCGTGTCAGCACGGGTACACCTTATCATTATTCTCAGTTTTTTAGTTTTAAGCTTACTCATTGTCCATTAGATAACAATGGACTAGTTGCTCCAGGACTATCATGCGAATATACCATTTCATTCACACCCAACTCGTATGCTGATTTCAGTCAATCATTATGCATCAGTACTGAAATGGGAAACTCGTTTACTGTAGATATGGTGGCAAAGCGCCAGCCACCTGAACTGACACTTCCAAAAATATTGGACTGTGGTCCATGTAGAGCCGGATTTTTCACGTTGCGTCAATGGGATTTCATTAACAAGGGAGGCCCAGCCAGATTTCAGATCATGAGTCCAGAAGAAGATTTAGATCCATTCGTGGTATTTGACAAAATTGGTGCAGGAAACCACTTGACACCTGAAACCATTCGTGTAGGTCCATTTGAAATATCACCTTCGTATTTCTCACTTGGTTCAGGTGAATCGTCTAAAATCTCTGTCAGTTACTCCCCTTCAGATACGCAAATGATAAATCAAGATCGCACTTGTTTGAATGCACATGAAAATGTACTGCGTCGAATCGATTCTACTCTTCTTCGCGTAGCGTGCGATAATTGCCAGGTGATTGAACTCCCTCTTTCAGGAATTGCTGAACAGCCACGGGTGGAGATTGTGAGAATCGAACAGTATGCAAACCAAGTTACCACGCATGCCAACCTACCACATAATTCTCAATTCGACTTGATTCACAATTTTGGCGATCAGAACCCACATGGTATCAGTTCCTTGATCATTGTAGTGCGGAACTTGACGCCCCTGCTTCTATCTTTTAGATGGGCTCAAAGTGATAACATTCGAAACAAAAGTTTTGAATTGGTAAAACATATTACACCCAGCTCATCCTTTAGTATCAGAAACTCCAAAGGATGGCTAGAACCCAATGCTGAAACAGCATTTACAATCGAATTTAGTCCTGAAGCGATTCGATCGTTTGATGTCGTAGCTGAACTTATATTGCTTATGGATCCAAACTCCAGGGAAAGCCATGAAAATATTCCTGGAATGCTGGGTGACATTGACGAACAAAGTCTCCTGACACTAAGATTGCTAGGCAATGGGATTCCATACAATGCCCAACTTGACACACATCTGCTTCACATTCCCAAAGTACTTTTAAGTGGAGAGTCGTATAGTACAAAAATTAGATTAACTAATCATAGCGTGTGGAAACTGCCTTTTGAATGGATGCTGGAAGGCATCGATGAGAAATCAATGAATGTCGAGGTTTCTGAATTGAATGGAACAGTTGAACCTCAAGCTTGTCAATACATCAAAGTTGTATTTACCGGCGGATTTCCCAGCACTGTCAATGGCGCGTTGGTGTGTAACACCGCACATGGTATGGGTCCATTACTACGTATATCTTTGAAAGCTATAGTTGAACTACCATCAAGATCGCTTGCTTTTGATGTTGATGTAGTGGATTTTGGATTGCTAGCTCTTGGAGAGAAAAAAAGTATGTCAATCCCGTTGGTGAACAGCACCTCCATGTCCATGATGTATGATTTTATGGCCATGAAACGTACGGGGAAAAATCAACCTATCGACAGCTACTTAATCTACAAACCGTCAAAAGGAATTATTTCTCCATATTCTACACAGGTGATTGAGCTGTCCTATATACCCACATGGTATCAAATACTCCAAGGCTTACTAGAGTGTCGTATTCACGCTATATGGATTAAAGGACAAGAACCTATTTCACCAACCTTGGATGAAATCAACAGTCTTCCCTGTACCGTGGCATCTGCAGTCGAAATTATCTCTACAGTACAGACACCTTGTATTAAAATTCTTTATCCGCAATTTCAGTTTTCATGTTTCTGTAACGTACCGTTATCTATCCAGTTGGATTTAAAAAACCAGACTATGCTTCCAGCCAAATTTGAGCTTCACTCTTTCAGCAACGATATATTTATGGCAACGTTTACTCCGTCAGTGGGAAAATTAGCTGGAGGAGAGTCTATTGAGATTCAAATCAAAATTATATTTCATGTGGTTGGATCGTACACTTTACTGAAACTATTTGGAAACGTTGAAGGAATGGTTGAAAACCATGGAGAATTATGTATGAGCATGAATGTAGATGTCAAACCTCTTAAAGTATCTTTTCAAGTTCCTGAAAACGAGAAAGCAATGAATGCCCGTGCCGTAATGCTACATCCTGAAACAGGAAAACGCCATGCAATGCGTTCATCTAATCTAAGATTTGATTTTGGAACCACATGTCCTATTTTTGCCACTCGGGCTCGAACGTTGATCATTCGCAACCATTCAGCAATGGTGTCGCCATTCAAAATAGGATTTGACAAGTATACCACCATCGCACAAGTGGACACGCTAATTGAAAATTTGGCTGATGCACCACTTGACGATCTACAAGAAGAAATAGCAAACAAGGAGCCTTTTTTGAATGGACAAGCATCCTCAGCACCACTATTGCTTCGATCCACCAAGGCTCAAAAAATTGGGTTCAGCTCAAAATCTGGACAAGGATATATTGACAACATCAAAAAGGTTCGTCAAATAATTCAACGTATGCAAATTCTTTTAGCAGATGGACGCGGTGCAGCATTTCACGCATCTCCCAATCAAGGTGTTATTCAACCATGGGGAGAAGTTCAAGTCCGTATTACTTCCTACAACAATTTAGTTGGATTGTATGAAGATTACCTTTGGTGTGAGATTGGAAATTGGGTTAAACAGCGCATGCCAGTGCGACTTGGTGTTTTTGGCACGCCAGTAAAATTTACTGGCCCACATCTTGTGGCAAAAAAAAGAAAGGATGACAAGGAAACGGAGCGTGTTAATTTTGGATCAAGAATCATCAATCCCGGCTGGTGTGGTGGTGACGGTGTGCGTATAGGATTACCAGCATCACATAAACCAGAAACACCACTTCAGTCCCAAGCCATGCGAGTTAGTTCTTTGTCAAGTGGACTAACCAAAGACCCAAACATGTTGACCGCCTTTACCAAATCTATTCTAGTGGAAAATCAATCTCCTCGTGATATTATTTTGAAATGGAAAGTTTATATCCGTCATTCCAATTTACACGAACATTCCAGCGATAACATGGACGCGCTGGAGGTTGACCATGTTATTACCGATCGGTATCTGGTTCATGATGGTGAAATGGGTATTTTGGAAGTATCACCAAATGTACTAACCATTCCTGCATTTAAAGCCGCACCACTAACGTGTCTATATCGAAGTGCCATGCTTGGTACGTTTGATGCACTCGTTGTTGCTGATATTGGATATATTGAATCCAATGGATCTGTTCGTTATGCACCAAGAAGATATGCAAAACATCCATCAAATGGTGATCTTGAGCCAGGAAACAGTATTACAATCCAGCAGTTGGACACGGTTGCAAAATTACACATACAAGCCAGATGCATCGAGCCAAAGCTTTCTCTAGACGGTGGTAATCGAATACGTATCAAGCAAACACCTAGGCCTACATCAACGGATGGAGAGCCGATTACAAGCGACAGCGTCATTGCATTTCTTAAAAATAACTCGGATGCAGTATGTGATTTCACCTTGGAAGCTATCCCCGCCCATCTATTTTCAGTTACTGCATCCAATCGTTTCCTCAAGCAAGAGGATCTACCTGATAGATGTAAACCATCTAAAGGTATTCATTCTTGCAAAAACAAAAAATGCAGCGCAGGAGAATCCAAAATGTACGAGCTGAAGCAAACTCAGCAGCTGATGATAACTGTCAAATACTTTGGATTGCTTGAAAAACTGTCTGATCTACCTCAGCCCACAAATCCCATTATACAGGTACAACATTGCAACTTCGTTTTGCCAATTGCAGCAGCTGAAAGTGATGTATCTGTTACTCCTGCATTAAATGATGCTGCTTTGATGGATTGTGAAAAAGTTGAGCGTATCGAAACACCGAGTAGTCAATCTCAGCAGGTCACAGCACTCCCAGCTTCAAAGTCGGCAGTATCTTTTAAATTATACGGACAAAATAAATCCGTTTTCAAATCAAGCAAATCAGTATCAATCATTGAGCCAGGCGAGGCGCAAGCAACAACATCAAAACCCACCGAGTATGCATTCATAGATCACAGTATTGCAACAAGTAACACATTGCAAATTGAACCAGCATCATTTAAAGCAAGACATGGTTCTGAGCAGCTTGATGGATCAAACTTGCCTTTGATCCAATGCATAGCACCGCCATCTCCAACTACTCAATCGATTGACACGTCAGATAATCAAACTGTCCAGATACCTTGCGCTGCTGCAGACATTCAGACAGAAAGATCGGTAGACTCGGCAAACAGTTTGTTTTCTAAAGTTGTTGATCCATTGATAGAGAGCAGAATTGAGTCATACCCGACTGATAACCTGATTCCACTACAAGAGTGTTCAATCTTGTATGACACTGAAAATGATTCTACATTGTCCAGTCAGTCAAACCTGATAAAACCGGACGAGTCTTTGGCAGTGTTGAACAAGGCTTCTTTTATTAATCCAGATACCGCGCTTGATCATTCAGTCATTCAGCGACAATTCCGCATCATTGCAATGGGTGAGATACGCATCACATTTTCCAACAATATGGTACAGAATATTCCAATCGTAGTAGAAAAATCATTTTGAAAAATGGAGTTTAATCCAGGTATTTTAATAAAGTATATGCCAACAAAATTGGTCATACTATCAAAAACACAATCCACATAAAGATATGGAATAGTAAAACAACCTAGACAATTACAAAAGGATCTTGATCACATTTGCTGACAGTTACATCAATATGAACATCTGCCTCGACATCTAAACCAAGATCTACTTTTAGCAAAGAAAGTAGTCTGGCTTGCAGCACTTGTGATAGATATCCACGTTCTAAAAACATGTGAGTTGGTTTGTTGCAAATATCTATATTCACAAGAGATCGCTTACCTGTATTTGTATGCTCGCAAAGAATGACATTTATGCCCTTGGACACACCTCCCAAAACCTCATGGTGCGACATTTCACCTAAAACAGAATCATGTAGTTATTGAGTAAAGTTGTATAAAAGGAATCTATGATTTGCAAAGTGCATTACCTGTAAAATACACATCGGCTGTAACACCATCTAGCACCGAGAATCCTGTTGGTTATTCAACCCAACATGGACATTACAAGCGACATTAGTCAATTCAATAAAAACCAATCTAGTATATGGATCAGCGTGCAAAATATTCATACCCGATCCAGCACAGATTGCAATAGTAGAAACAAGCTTTGTATCGGTACGGTAGTCAGCAGCACGAGCCAGACGAAGATGGTTCAGGTTAAGATGGGACTTGACTCTGCGAACAACTTCATCGAGAGAGACTGGAGTATCTAGAGTATGTAGCCGACCAACACCGCACCCATCCTGACCTGGAGGAGGATTCACATTGACCGAGATGGGAACAGTCCGACCTTTACCAAGACCACGCGAGAGCCAGTCGTTGATTCCACCAACACAACTATCCAGAGCCGTATGCGGAGAATAGATTGATATTCCTGTCGCAGCACATTTCAATGCAATACTCTGTCTGTCATCATTCAAACACAGTCGCTTAAACGGCTTGAAGAGTGCAGGATGGTATGCAACAATCACACCCACTGCAGGGTCTTGAATTGCTTCTTCAAGCACCTCCTAGTTTGATAATTCACCAGACAACAGTGAGTAGATCTGTGCAACCCAGCGAGTCATCAACACAACATGAGTACCTGAGTAAGATCGATGGTTAAAAAAACCTTGCTGGCATTGGGTCGAGGAAATGGAGCCTCTAGCAACAGCCCTGTATTATCCCATGCAGCTTCGGATAAACTCAGAGGTGCAATCTTTTCCATAGATCGCATAACCCTCTGAAGCAATGATGGTGTTCTCTTCATCATTGTGGTTTCTCGATGTTTTGATGCGAAAAATCGAAACCTCAAAATTGACGGATGCTCGCCATACAGTCTGGCATGATCAACACCTGGAACGACGACACTTGCTCATCTCATACTTCTTCCTGCCGTGCCTTTCCTCAATCCATCCTAATCCAGCCTACTATCAATGGTTCTTCACGTGACTGGTTTCATTATGCAATTTGAAACTAAAATTCCTTTTTTTTGATAATTTTCTTTTAACTACACAATGACCAGCAAAGACTACTACTTTGACTCGTATGCTCATTTTGGTAAGCTTGCTGTTGGACTGTAGTTGAATCTGTTATTTATGGATACTTTTAAAAAGTGTCATTCAATAGCTACGATCCTGTTTTTTATTTTACTTTTTGATGATTCTTGGTCTGCACTATGGTTTAAACTGAATGGATGCGCAGTGTGATATCTGTAACACCAGTTGGTATATCTACAATTGTATATCCACTGGTTTTTTATTTGATCATCCTGATGTCATACCTATCCACCATGTACATGGTTTTGGATTCTTTTTTTTTAAAATTGTTGATGAATCTAAACTGACTTGCCTGTTCTGTACTGTTCTCAATACCACTTTCTGTCATCATATTGTACTGTTATCTAATGCTGTGTAAAAATGTAAATATACAGGCATCCACGAAGAGATGTTAAAGGACGAAGTCCGAACCATTTCGTATCGCAATTCCATGTATCAGAACCGTCATTTGTTCAAAGACAAAGTTGTTTTGGACGTTGGCTGTGGTACTGGTATTCTATGTATGTTTGCTGCTAAAGCAGGAGCAAAGATGGTGATTGGTGTCGACATGTCCAACATCATCGACCATGCCAAAATTATTGTGCGCGATAACCATTTGGATGACAAGATCACTTTGATCAAGGGCAAGATGGAAGAGGTTAAACTGCCTGTCGACAAGGTTGATATCATCATCTCCGAATGGATGGGATACTGTCTTCTCTACGAGTCTATGCTCAACACTGTTCTGCATGCTCGTGACTTGTATTTGGCACCTGGCGGTCTCATTTTTCCAGACAAAGCAACCATGTGCGTTGCAGCTATTGAAGATGCTGATTACAAGGAGCAAAAAATTGGTTTTTGGGATAGTGTGTATGGCTTTGATCTTTCTCATATCAAATCGATTGCTATTAAAGAACCCTTGGTCGATACTGTTGACCAAAAGTCGGTTGTGTCTGATGCATGCGTCATCCGTGAGCTCGATCTCTACACAGTCACTATTGAGGACTTGAAATTCGATGTTCCATTCCAGCTCAAAATTAACCGTGCTGATTTTGTTCATGCAGTCATTTGCTACTTTGACATTCAGTTCACTGCTTGCCACAAAATGATTCAGTTTTCCACTGGACCTCACGCAACATACACCCACTGGAAACAGGTATGCTCGTTGATTTGATTTTGTTTTTTATCAATTCTAACCTTTTAACCTGTATTTCTTGTTAGACTGTGTTTTATTTGCATGACGTTTTGGCTGTCCGTGAGGATGATGTTATTACTGGCCAGTTTTCGCTTGCACCCAATGCTGATAACCAACGTGATCTCGATATTAGAATTCAATACAACATGAATGGTCAGGAAGAACAAAAGTCTGGTGATCATTCCTACAAAATGTGCTGATTATAATCATATCTATAAACCTCAAGTTTCTTTACCTAAATTTCCTTTAACATCACAGCCGTACTCACGTAAAATAGAACACTTGTATTTATCTTGCAACGACTGCCTCTATTTTGCTCTGGAATAAAAATGGTTAAATATTCGTTATACTTTGCTATTAGAAATAGACACTCAACTTTTTAAAGCACACATCATCATATTTACAAAGTGTGATTATACAAACTGATCACTTTTGGCACAATCATTAAACTCATTCATTGTAATTCAGATATTAAACTTGATGCCATCAATTCAACTCGGATACGTTTTGGTTCAAGAAAAACTCACATTTTTAGTGAAGTTTGCACATCAATTTTGTAAAACATCAAAATTGTTCGTGTATTTTTGCACTTTGCGTGAATACGGCTGTAAAACCAAGTCTTCAATTCTAGTCATGACACTGTATTATCAGATTGTGTTTGCCATGTTGGTATATGAGGTATGGGATCAACTGATAAAGTACTTTAGTATGTTCCGAGTGACTAATATGACCTATTTTAAGATGGCTCTCTTTCTACTGCTATTAGGTACATTAGTCTGAATTCCGACTGTTGATGGAACTCTTGTTGGGTATGCCAGCAACTGATCAATGCATTGAGACCATTCTTTTCTTATGTAGCACCTTTTCCTACTACCTGGCGTCGAAGTATGCTGGTCAGTTGTTTTGTTGTAAATCTTGAGTAATATCTTCACCCTGGCAATGTGGTCTCAACCTCGACATGCTGGATGCGTGGTTACTTACCAAACCATTGATGTTGAATAGAAATGGGTGTCTAATAGCAAGATCGTTGTTAAAATATCATATGTAATGCGAATCATGTTTGTGTAAGTTACTGCTTTGTGGTTCTGATTGATCTTTTTGTTGATTGCTAATCTGCTATTGATGTAGCTTTGTCGTTGTTCTCTTTGTCGGTAGGCCATGATCTTCCAGTCATTTGAATCTTGTCACTATTTGTTGAATCTACATGTACTTGATTTTTAAAACATGTCGCCTCTGGATGTAGATAGTTTAAACAATGTAATGAAGAAACATGAACATGATGAGCATGGTCATTCGCATGCAGATGCTCACACTGAATCCATGGTCAGAGCAAAGATGTTTTATGCCCAACGCAATCTTTACTTGACTGGATCAGTCGTGTTTCTGTCCCTCGTGCTCAACAGATTCTTTGCAATGGTTTTCGAGCTCATGAAAAACGAAGAAAAGTCCGAGGTGAGTTCAATGTCGTTTGAGTAGATGCAGCTTACTATAAATTATTCACTTGTTTTTTGGATTCAAGGTTTTAAAATCGCAAGCTACCAAGACTTCTAAAGAATACCTGGTAAATTTCGCTTCACATTCATCGAAATTCGAGAATATTATTAGCACAACTAACGTCTGTCAATTACAACTGCAATAGAAACTGCTTGATGGCGATCACGACAAGGAAGAAGAAATAAAGCGTCTCAAGGAATTGGTTGAGGATGCAAAAACTAAACTCAAGGATCTGGAGGTTGTCAAAAAGCAAGCAGCACAAACAGCTGATGAGTACATGCGACTCACAGATCGTTATGTAGAACTTGAGAAAAAGTTTGAAAACAACTCCGAGTTCAAAAAATCAAAATGAATTATCAGTCCTTGTTATTGATTCAATCTTATTTCTTGGCTGCAGCAGGCTTTTCGCCCTTTCCATCATCACCACCACTACTAGATAGTGTCAAAACAAGCATAATCGGAATAATATAGTACCTAGAGAATTAGGGTGTACATGGTGTCAGTATGTTAAATGGACATTCAATTCAAAACATAAGCACTTGCCAGTATTTCTGGATAAACGACTGCTCAGGAACAGGCTCTTGCCCATCTACTGTTTCCTTGAGTTTTTCAAGTATGGGTCTAGAACAACAATGTTACATTCGTCAATCATTTAACCAGTCTAGTACAACTACATCAGATCCGCCATTTTAAAAAGCATATTTACCTTGGTGCGTCGGCAAGACGACCAACAGCCACAACAGTTTTAAAGTGCAGCGTTTTACCAAACTATTTGCATGAACAGGTTATAATTATAGGTGAGAAACAGGTACAACATCTTAAAGGAATGCTAATCGGTCAATGTGATCTCACATCAATATCTGGCAAGCACTCGTTTGCATTTACAAGGTAATCCAAGTGAAACGGTTTCCCTAAAAATAAAATTGATATTATGATCCTATGTATGAGAAAAATACAAAGTAGGGCAGGATCTAGACCAAGTTCATACCATGGCTATCTACATGAACAGTAATCATCTCGTGGAATCGCGAGGTTTGGAGCATGCACTGTTTAAATGGCATGTTAGCTGCAAATACAAAACATGACAATTCACATGCTCGATCTAGACTAAACTCTTGGTGGAAAAGCATACCAATGGGACCGATGCCTTGAGTATCTTTTGATTGGAAGCATCACCAATTTGGATCTCGTACCGAGAGCCTTTAGGTTTAACAGCAGTAACAGCACTATCAACGGCAGTAGATGACTCCATACGGTTTGAACTGCGTTTAGGAGAATAGGGATCCAACACAAGGTCACCTCTTCTCACTGGCTTACTACCATCAATGCTGTAGAAAACCTGCAGCTTTATTGCAGTGGATGGCGCAGTTTCCGTATTGCTTGAATAAATGGTGCTTTCATAATCAATGGCCGAATCAAAACTCTCCTGTTTCCCTTTAATACCATCTTCAGCGACAACAATCCCTACAAGATACAGGCTCAACAGGGCACAGATATATGGTTGCATTGTTTTGGACAAAAACAGACTTGAATGCGAGTCAAAATGTGAATATGTCACGTGAATTTGACTGTCACGTGAGTTTATTTTTCATTTGTCGTTCTCGTTAAAAACTGCATTTGATCGAGTCTAATGGATCGTCTAGCATTGGTTCTCAGGCTTATACACTATCCAAAATCATCCAAACCGACTTAACCAAAATAAATGGACAGCATTCAATCTGTATTGGGTTTAAATAATCTACCAGAGTTTCCCCTGATCACTTTTCCACCTGTGTTTGAACCTACCGAGCACCCAACGGTTGCTGTTTTGTATGTGCTTCCAGCATCCAAAGAGCATTTTACATCTCAGGACTATCAGTGTCTAAAATATCAAGTATGTATATTATTGACAGTCTTGATGTGATTTTTATTCTGGAAACTGCTGCTGAGTCTGTCGTTGGTTTGTGTGTGGCTTTTATCGATCAATCTGTATTTTAGACATATCTCAAGTTTGCAAAGTATCCTCATACGATTAAAGAACATACCGAGCATAGTTTTTCTCCATCAGGTGCGTTTGGTTACGCGATAGATCTGATCATTTATCTCGTCTAAATTTATTTACGCAACATTAACTCGAACTCATGAATGTTGATACAATAGGTAAACTTCCTGCACTTCTCACTAGCAGCGGTCGTTTGCTAAGCGGTTGTGAAATTATTTCCGAAGTTAAATCAAAGGTACTCAAATCCATTGTTTTTATATCCATCATCATTTAAGCTACTGCGTATTAAACAGCGATATTACACTTGTAGAACGGTCTAGAATCAAATGCTTCAGCAGAGGACAAGGCAAAAATGGATGCCTTTGATTCATTGATTGAATCCCATTTGAGCTTTGGTTTAGTAAGTCGATTCACTGTTTTAGTCGTGGTACTTTTTATATTAAAAACGTCAATTTTTGTCAACTTGAACTGAATAATGTATTAAATAGGATTATGAGCTTTGGTACGAATCAAGTCATTTTGAAAACATCATTGCACCAATCATAGGTGCGTATTATCCATGGCCACTCAACTTTATCTTGCCTCGCATTCAACGATCACAAAAAATTGCATGGATGCTAAGCAGAAAACCAGTATTAAAAGCAGAAGAGGTGGGTTGTTTTTGTTGGGTTTATCAACCATCCTGTTTTAACATGACTGATGTTTAAACCATTTTAATCCGCATTGCTCCTAATTAGATTTATGGGGAGACTAACCAAGCGCTTGGAAACCTTGAATTGGTTCTTGAAAATGGACCGTATCTGTTCGGAGCCACGTAAGTAGCGTATTATCTCCTGCAAAAATGGATAGATTCAACTTAAATACTATCAAGCATTGATCCTGACAATGTTGTTTGTTTCTCGAATATAGCCCAACCTTGGTCGATGCCTCCTTGTTTGCCTATCTGCATATAGTCATGACAATGCTGAAACACTCATCCATGGAAAGCCAACTCACAAAGTATGTGCTGGATCGCAAGAACCTTGTCAAGTATTTACACCAAATCCGGAACGAATGGTAACAATCATTTTATAACCTTTTCAGTATATGCAAATCAAAATTTCAAGAAATCAGCCAAGAGCTGTGGCTGACATTGTAAACTCCTTTGTAAACCAGGTATGGAAGCTACAACGAAAATTCCCTCTAGCAAGTCATTTTTCTTAATCGTGCTATTAAATGATTTTTTTCGCACATATATCTGGTTGAACAGACATGTTTACAACTCATGTCAGTTTGAGTCTCGTGAAAAATTATATAAATGAAGACGAGTTTTATAAACTTCAAATCGTCACTTACAGAGCTACAAGCAGCGCAATGCCACAGATGACTCCAACGGCCACGTGAATGAGTGTTCCAAACAGTTTTCCCCATATCAAATACGCAAAGCTGCTCCAATATGTAGCAAACCATGATAGACCAAATAAAATCCAAACGCTCATACGAGCAGGAATGAGTGCGATAGGTGACAACATTTCTTGAAATGTGCAAGACAGCTTGTTACGTTCTTTGAGTGGCAGCAACACACCGATCGAGTTATTCAGCTGAAAAAAATGTTGAATGAATACAAAACAAAATATGATACGCATGCTCATATTTATGGCATTGGAAACAATCAATCCAACTGTGCCCATCTGTACTATGGATATCAGAATATATGATGTTGAAACAAACACTGCCCAAAACCAAAGCATGTAATAGGATTGGCGACGCACAGCTGCTTCCTCGCCGACACCTTGAAAAAACGCTTCTAAAATACCATTGATCCCCATAATTGGCACGTAGATACAATACACACCAAGAACAAACGAAGTTGTTGGATCAAACTTGTTGTAGAGTTGAAGCAGAATATGTGTATAATTGGGTGCCAAAAATACAAAAAACCCGCCCAATATAATGTGTAGCTGGATGACCGATTGGAGATATTCAAAACTTTCACAAAGTGTTTTTGAAATATCAGCAGCTACAGTTGATAGATTCAGCAAGTTAGATTGCAGCAACCGTGTCATATGAGGATTACTTTGAAAATCAATACAGATTCAACCATTTCAAGATCTTTTACCTGATGGATTTGTGAGATTTTTTGAAAAGAAAGCTCTGCTAGCTTCTTCAATTGGCTGAAAAACAATTCTGGCAACCAGTGATCCTGACATCAAGCATCAGTATACAAGTAGTGAAAGTCGATGGGTAAGATGGTAGAATAACTATTTAAACACGTCACTCACCCAAATCAGATACAAGACGGTATGTGCCCTGGCTAGCATTTCCAACACCTGTGGCTACAAGAACCAGTCTGTCACCAACAGTGAGTAGGTGCTTGACAACTCCTTGAAAGAAAAAAGTCATGGCAATATTTGCGTAGTATGGATCCAAAAACACCCTAAAGAAGTGCAATAGCGATCATGGTGTAACAGTAAGTTAAAACACGAAACAATAAGCAGAATGAACAAATTACACGCTTTCATTGGTGGAAAGCTTACTTTGGAGATCCCTGATTGATGCCGACCATTCGCAAGGTTCTGAAAGGCATCAGTCTAGTATAGTGTGCATAGGATGTGTAACCCACAAGCAAAACAGATGCAAATACAATCTGGGCACATGCATGAGCCCAGACTCCATCGACAACCGAAATCGTATTATCCTTGCTTGATCTAGTCAGAAATAGGAATAAAACCATTGTGGTAAGACACTGAAGTAGGAATGCTGCACCTTCTGTTTTGACTCTTTCAGCATATAATAGACCGCGCTGTAATAAAATAAAACTAGGCTCTGCAATGAGTTCGATGAGTGCAGCGACTAAATACATATATTTGGCTACAGATATGCTCGCACCAAATAAAAACCAATTTGCAGAGTCGTAGAGAATGCAACCACCCACAAACATCGACGCTCCAATCAAAGGAATAACGGACATGTTGAATGCCAGTTGGTTTTGAATCCCATCGTCAGTTGAATGTTGGAGATGGACAGAATCGAGTTTCTTGGATTGATTCTTGTGGATAATGGATTCCGTTGAAGTGTTTCTTAACAATGCCATGCGAATACTCTCTCTTGATAAAAACAGCACAGTAGCCATTAAAAGATCAAGCTTATCCACTATTCCAATCATTTCTACGGGAGAACGACGGATAAGAAACATATTCATGGAAAAGGTCATTCCTCTGCTCAAAAGCTGCTGCACCAACATATATCTGACTCCTTTAAAGGTTGAATTAAGCGATTTACTAATAGAGTCTGATTTTAAACCAACTTCATCATTGGTTTCTGTCCGAGTAACTACATTCTGTCTTGGAAAATCCTTGTCCAAGTGCAATGGCTTTGTAGACTTTCTAGAACGCTTCATGTATTCTACTCGAGTTGGTGTCAAGTTGCGATTTTACAAACTTGGTCAATTACTTTTGAACCATCTGCACAATCATGCTAATCGAGGTTAATCATTGATTTTATACATTGTGTTGGTCATCAATGAGTGCTAATTCATCTTGTGTTGATGTAATTCGACTCTACAATAGGAACTGGAATCTCAAGTTGAACAACTAACTCTGCGTATGTAACTCGTCTATAAACTCGAGTGTTTGTATATCAAACTGTTTATTAAATATTAACCTGCTCGGATATTGTAGGTTTGAGTTCAACCCAACTGGATTCAAAACTATTGACTGATAGAGCATTGGCACATGAAAAACTGGGCCACATGGACAAAGCATTCGCTGATCTGCGAGCTGCACTCTCAGATGGTACGGACAATCCCGAAGCAAAACAGGCTTTAGAGAGGGTTTTGATGTGCATTCAGGAACGGCAGGCACAGAGCACAGACTCGCTCTATGACCTTGTTCGTATTGCAACTAGTAAAACAGACATTTTATCAAAGCGAATCAACGCTGCAAGAAATCTAGCATCGCTTTCTCACGAAGCCAAAGTGTGCATGCATATTGTTCAGGACAACTTGTTTGAACAACTTGTTGATGCTGTTTCTAATGAGCCTGATCCTGTCCTATCTCGTGATTATGATGAATCCATCGATCCATCACTTCGTCTTCTCCTTCTGCACACCATCAGTAATGTCACTGCCATTCCCGATGCATCGGCTATTGCCTCGAACTGCTTTTTGCGAGGTAATGGCGGTGGTTTAGAATCATTTATGGGATCTGAAAGTCCTTTGTGCACTCGTATTGCAACCGATTGTGTTATATCTACTATCACGTTTGCAGCAACCTGTAATAAAGCCGAAGATAGGCTTTCTATAGCAAGAGCTACAATTGCTCTCAAGGCTATCGCTGCAAGATGCGGACTAAAATACAGCGCTTCCGTTCAAAAAACATCGCTGGTCGCGTTAATCAAGGCATCTGCCAACCAAGATCTGGTGTTGGCCATTTTCACTTTGCCCGAGTTTGCCCTTGTTCTTCAGCATGTTGCAAATGAAGACGAAAGCTTTAGAATGTCTGTTTCTGCTCTTCTTGCTCGCTGCTTTGAGCATATCTCACCCTCGATCGAAGTCACTGTTTTAAATGCATTCAGCAAAACCATTACTGCTTGCTTGAATTCAAGTTTGTCGGCAGAAATATCGTGTGGACTATTGGCTCTTGCTGCAGTTTTTGATGCTCGTCCTAAATTTGGCGGTGAACTGTTTAAAAAAACTAATCTTTTAACTACCATTGTTGATCTCGAAGTAAATGCGACTGCGGAAACCAATCTGCATATTTGCAAGGCCCTCGTGAGTGCATGCAATGACTCGTCTACGCGCCAGGTCATTTCCAGCCAATGTGTTTCTCTTTTACTAAACTATCATCGCCAAACCAGCCATGTCGAGTTACGTGCTGCATCTTCGTTGGCTTTGATCAAGCTTATGTATATCAACAAGTCTGTTCAAGAAGAGCTTCTAAAAAGCGATAAAATACTCGACTTTTTTGCACAAATACTCAAAGATGAAACCAAATCCAGTCTGCGATGTCGGGAAATGGCAATCGAGGCATTTTCATACCTTTCCGCTATTCCAAATATTAAAGAGAAGCTTTCCACCAATACTGAGATACTCAAGCTGTTGAGTAGCCGTAGTATAGTGGATCAGGGTCGTGCTATTCAGTACGGCATTGCAACCATTTTGGCAAACATCACAGCATACCGCAAGCAACTTACTGCCGAGCAAAAACATGCGCAAAAGCTACACGAGTTGGCCAATGCACAAGCAAAGCAACCTACGCAAAATATATCCAACAATGATCCATTGGATGAAGATACTGCAGTTGCTGCGCGGGTCAAGCGAGTTGCTACTGCTGGAACACTTAATACATTGGGCACACTTTCAGGCTCAGATAGCATCAATGTACGTGATGCTGTGTCCCAAACTTATCTTTCGATTGCAACAGATCAAAGTATACGTGGATTGGTGATTCAACAAGGAGGGTGTCGTTCCTTGATTGAACTGGCAACATTAGGATCCGATACAGGAAAAACCAATGCTGCCCAGGCTCTTGCAAAAATTGCCATTACGAGTGATCCCAACCTTGCGTTCAAAGGGCAGATGGTGTTTGAACTAGTACGTCCCTTGCTTATTCTTTGCAAAGGATCGTCGCAACTCTGCCAATTTGAGGCATTAATGGCCTTGACCAACATTGCAAGTGTTGGGGATGAAGTACGAGCACATATTTTTACCAACAACGGTATAAAAATAATGGAGGAACTTCAGTTTGCTGATCACATTGCGGTTCGTCGAGCAGCAACCGAATCCCTATGCAACATGATGTATTACTATAAAGTGATGGAAATGTATACTGACTTTGGTAGCTCACCGCGTCTCAAGATCATGGTTGCGTTGTCGGATTCAGAAGATTTTGCTACACGTCGAGCTGCCTCGGGAGCTATTGCAGTGCTTTCAAGTGATGAAAAGGCAGTGAATAGCATCGTAAAACAGAATCGAGTATTTGAAATTCTGGTAGATTTGGCCAAGGAAGAAAGTCCAGAGTTGAAGCATCGTGCGATAGAGTCCATAAAAAACATAGCCATGACTAGCAAGGAAAATGCGCAGATGTTTATAAATGCAGGTGTAGTGCAAATTCTGACACAACTTGCAAAGGGAAATGACCCGAGTATTGCTGAAGCGGCCGTTTACGCTTTGAAATATGTGGTATAACTTTCGATCATGTAAAAAATCTACATTGGGATATATGAATACTAGAAAGGCCAAGGGGAACATGGCTTGATTTTAACCATCTCTAATGTGAATTTTAATGAATGCGTTCTTTTTGATTTACTGAACATGGGTAGTGTAATTGAACAAATAAATCTGTTTTTGAAAACAAATTCATTATTACCAGTCATACCATTTAAAGGGTTGTGAGTAAAACCAGTCATACATTTGATGTGAAATACTGTCAGCATATTGATAATTTGGAACTGTCCAACTAGGTTAGTCACCAAAGTTTGAAACGCCAGTTTGTTCACACCTTTTCCAAATCCCACCAACGGCATATATTCAACTCCGACACATATCTACGCTTTTGCATAACGTATCCTATGAATTCTAACGAAGAAGAAGATGTTCATGGTATGATACAACAGACTATTCAATAGTGTTCAACTCATTTTCATATCCTATATATCCAAAACATAGATATGCTTGGCAGCCATCCAATTGGAGGGGTGTTTAGCGAGGAACCTGTACTGCCTTTGTATATTATAATGTTGGATATTTAGATGCAGGGTGTTTCATTCGATATCAGCCAGCCATAGATGTATCTACTTGGTAGATGGAGATGCGAGATAATAGTTTACACCCCTCGACCATCAAACATTTAAATTTGTCGAGCCAATACTTGATACCCGAATCCAATCTTACTCGACCACTAATGCATCTTTTTAAAACCAATTATCCCTTCGTGTTCATCCATCTATCCATTCATGCTTCTTGATAGCTGCGACATATTGTCGCGTGCCAACATACTTTATGCCCACGCCACTTTGTTTGTTTAAAATGTGCTGCTAGATTTACCAACCAGGCCAGTGTTATTGGGTTACCTGAGGCATGGTGTTTGACCACAAATACTCGATTCATCAGCCTATTTGATGACCAGCTAATCCATCTCATTTTAAAACTTATCAACTAACTCGACAATGACCGTTTCTCTGTTGAATAACCTGGGGTTGACTATAGGTGTTCATGGTCGACATAAATTAAAAAAACACAATGAAGATCAAGCCGATGGTGGATGGATCGAAAAAGAACGTAAACGTATTCAAGCATACGATTATCTTTGTCATATTGGTGAAGCTAAAGAGTATGTCATGTTGCCTTGTAGTTTGGAAAAATTTCAATATTTAGCAAGTTGCGTAGCAATAAGTAAATCTAACTTAGCATACATGTATTTGAAGATGGATCGAGGCTTGCATTGGACAGATTATTCCTCCTATTGATCAGCTGGAAGAATATCTTCGTAACGGTGTTGTGCTGGCTCATTTAGCAAAGGCATTTGAGCCCAATGCGGTCAAGCGTATTTTTGAGGTAATACCATGTTATTGTTTCATATTCTGTAGACTATGCAGACTGCAGGGTCAGCAGAGCTGATGTACTGTAAACGTATCGTGTTGGACGTGTCGATTTACTAAAACTTTGCATTACATTCGAATAACAGGATACATCCAAGTTGCAATTCAAGCACTCTGATAATATCAACTATCTTTTCACGGCAATGCACAATGTTGGACTTCCAGATGTGTTTTTTTTCGAACTTACTGACTTGTATGATAAAAAGAACATTCCCAAAGTGATTTACTGTATCCATGCGCTTAGGTAACTATAGATTGAAATCAACGGTGTTTTTAGTAGGTGGATGAGTCTTTTATTTAGTTTTAACTTTGCGTTTTGGCAGTCATCTTCTTGCCAAGAAAGGATTAACTCCTCATATCAAGAATCTTGTTGGAAAGCTTGAATTTACAGGTATGGCTGTATGGTTAGATCAGATCTATAACTAATGTAGACACTAACAGTTTCTTATTGTATCTCTAGACGAAGTTTTACATGCCACAGCACAAGGTTTAGAAGATGCAGCCGTTTCCATGCCTGCCTTTGGAAACATTCAAAGCGCTCTTGCTGCCGAGTTAGAAGAAGAGATATCTCCTGAAGAAAGTAGGTCAAGGATTGCACTTGTTATAGTTTTTTAAATTGATAAGCATGTAGTAATTCTCGGTACTGTTATTTATTTGAAATTGGCGTTTATTATAGTCCGAAGACAGTTTTTGGAGAGTCACGAAAAGGACATTATTAAAGTACAAGCTATTGCTCGAAGAAGAGCTGCTCGTAAAGCGCATGTTAAACGTCTTGCTCATTTCTCTGCGCATGAAAAAGATGCTGTACGTATTCAAGCGGCATGGAAAGGCAAGGTGCAGCGTCGTGAGTACATGCAACAGCTGCAGCACTACAAAAGCCACGAATCACTTTTTGTCAAGGTATGAGTAACTTTATGCTAAATTGGTTTTCCGGGTATTGTGTTGTGATTTACGCCATGCTCAACTCCTGATGATGCTAGTTACAAGCTCGTCGTAAAGGCAAATTGGCGCGTCAAAGTTATTTGGAACGTCTAAAGTTTCTCAATGCCAATGTGGAATCAGCAATTAAAATTCAAGCATGGTTCAAAGGAAATCAAGCCAGACGCCAGTTTCTTGCACTTTGTAAGAATCATAAGCAGCTCAACTATTTTGTAGTATTTAATCATGTGGCTAAATCATCTATTATTGTAGTGCATGGCAAAAATGGCACTGATCCCAAAACACTTCAATCGTATATTCATCTTCTTGATGATGGCGTCAACGATTTTGACGAAGAGCTAGGTAACCTATATTTTATTGCTATTACATTTAGCCATCAATTGCAACTGCTCTATACTGATTAATGTTTATAAATACTTTTGACTAATGGTCAGAGCTCCAAAAGCTACGTCGTCAGGTGATTAAAGGAATCCGTGAGAATCTCCAAGCTGAACAAGAAGTGACTGAGCTTGATATGAAGATTGCTCTCCTTGTCAAAAACCGGATTTCGCTTGAAGAAGTGATTCACTATACCTCAAAAAAAATGCGTCAAGCACTTGCTGCTGAACATGTTTCTCAAGAAAAGGAATCAACTTGGACTCTCAAGGGAAATGATAAGGAAACCAAAGATCGTAGGCGTCGATACGAGCAACTCTTTTATCTGCTGCAGACCCAACCTACGTACCTTTCAAGACTGATGTTTACCATGAACAAAAAGCACGGTGCAAGTGTAACCAAGTTCCTTGAGCAAGTTGTTCTCACATTATATGGTTACGCACAAAATACTCGTGAGGAGTACCTGTTTCTAAACCTAATCGATGTACGTTAGATATGTATTTTCCTCACGGTGTACCTTAATTTCTTTAAATTACTGATCGATTTACACTTTAATTTTTGTTTTGGCACGAATAGTCTGCTATTGGGGTTGAGCTGAACGATATTAACAAACTAGAAGAATTTTGGCGCGACAATCCATTCTTTATCAAACTGGTTCTTCAATACACTCGGTATAGTTTTATTGTTGGATTGACTTGATGGGTAAACCGTTTAATGTACCAACATTCTCTATTTTTTGGTATGATGCATTTAGTGGTGCCAAGGAACGCCAATTTCTGCGTGAGCTGCTGCAACCTGTTTTAAGCATTGTTTTAAACGACAATCAACTTGAACTTGAAAGTGATCCCATTGCAGTATGTAGATTTTATCTGGTTGAAAAGTGTGATGGATTGCACAGCACTCAAGTTATTGTGTGTATATAGATTTACAAGGCACAAATTCGTGAGGAGGAATCTCGAACTGGTGAAAAATCCAGCAAGCCATACGATGTGACTGCTCAGCAGGCTAGCCAGGATGTTGACGTAAAGGAAGCTCAGATTAAAGGTAAGATTGGGATTCTGAAGCAAGTTTGAGCGCACATGGATTGCTCATCTGGTTTACACTTGTCAAACTAGTGTTGTCCAAACAGAAAAGCATTACGGATAAATTTCTTACTGCAATCATTGGATCTCTCAAGAAAATGCCATTTGGTATTCGTTATATTGCCATGAAGATGCGCGAGCATATGAAGGTCGGTTATGTTACTGCTTGGCATAATTTCAGTTGTTTATTTCAACAATGTAAACTAACTTTGCACATGCATTCAACAGAAAAAATTCCCTGGTGAAGAAAATGAAGAGGAAATCAACAAGATTGTTGGAAGCTTGATATACTACCGTTACATGAATCCCGCCATTGTGTAAGTTTTTGTTTGAATTTTAAAATAGATGGTACAATGTCGTTGCATACTGAAATGAGTTCTTGATTGCTTTTACAGTGCCCCTGAAGCATTTGACGTTATTGATGTAGCCATCTCTGTTACGCAGAGAAAGAATCTTGCCGAGGTATGTTGATTATATTTGCCAGTCGAGTCAATAGGTTTATGGTGATTTTTAACACCAATCCACATTTTTACAGATTGCAAAAACTCTGCATCAGATTTCGCTTAATAGAAGTATTGCTACCACTGAAAGCGATTACAACACCCAATTGAGTGCTTACATTAAAGTCTCAGGCAAGCGCTTTGCAAACTTTCTTCGCGAAGCTGTGACAGTAGTTTCAGCAGAAGAGCATTTTAACATGGATGAGTTTGTTGAGCTCAGTCGTCAAGAAAAAGCCATCATTTATATCAGTCCAGATGAAGTCATTCAAGTCCATCACAACATTATTGACAATATCGACAGCTTAACTACGACTAAAGATGACCCACTTCGTATTATTTTGAACGATTTAGGTCCTGTTCCCCCTGCCGATGTGGGTGCTAAAGGGCCTGGCACAGAAATCACTTTGTCTTTGACCAATCGGTTTGCTAAAACCGAAGATGAAAAAGAAGCCAAACTGCGACTTCTTATCAACGAAACAAAACGCTTGATTCTTGCAGTGATTCGCATCAATGTGGGTAAAAGTTTGTTGGATATTCTGGAAGCTGCATCAACAGAGCAACAAGAGCAGCAGTTTGCAGAATATCTCAAGCAGGAATCAGCCAAAGGTTCGCGTAGTTCTACATGTTCAAGTATGCTCAAGGGCAGTGATAATGCAATCAACAACAGTTCTCCAGCAACTAATTCTCCAAACACTCCAGAGTCGCATACCGTCAATGACAAACTGTCTAATGCCAATATTGTTGGTATTTTAAAAAACGCGGATGGGTCAGCTATGACGTTTTCACAGCTTAAAGTCAAAGCTCTTGAGAATATGGCACAGATTGAAATGGCTGGCCAGGCACAAAAGGCAGATGGCTATCAAACCATGTTGAACTCGATTGTTGCTGATATGCTGAACAAGCAACGCCAGCGTGCTCAACGACGTCGTGAAGCCCAGTCATTACAGACCACGCTCACCAATTTGGATGAAAAATCCAAGTTTTTAGCTGACCAGAACAAGAGCTATCATGATTATATTGATGCATGCATGAGCCAACTGTCCAACAAAAAAGGGTAGGTGATTGAGTTGGATATGCAGTCATGAGTGGATTGGATCCTCACTGTTGAACCTTATTTATGATACAGAAAGCCAAAAAAGGCACCGCTGTTCAGCAAGCAGTATTACCATCTACGCGATCTAAAAAAGGAAGGCAAGGTTCCTCAGTTTGGGTCGTACAAGTATTCTGCTGCTGAACTGCACAAAAAGGGCGTGCTCATTTCAATTGACGACTACAGTCCTAAACAGTAAGTAGACAACTGACACGTTTATAGTATGCTTTGTGGGTGTACTCATTTTCTGTTATCCATCATGTAGATACGGCCAAATTTCCCTTATTCTTTCTTCGGACGAGGCTGGAGTATTTAATGTCGAAGCATCTTTCCTGGGGGTTAAGCTGCCAGAAAAGATGGAACTTAGACTAGAGGATCTGCTGCAAGACCAGTACAACAAGGTGGATGTGGTAACACTATTTGACATGGCCAAGGTCAATCTCAATCTGCTAATTTTCTTGATCAACAAAAAGTAAGTTTTCATTTGAATGTCGAGTGGTTGAAGATATACTTACTTTTGGTTGGAACACATTGATGATAGGTTTTACGTTTAATTTATATTTTGAAGTTTCAACTATTTTCAATCTTTGAGAATGCCGCCATGTGTGGTGCAGTTTATCTATGCGCTCTACCTTGGGGCTATCCAAATCTATTTCTGAAATCAGCATCTATTGCACTTTCAAATAAATGTTTTGCCAAAAACAAATCATGATCAAGCTCAGTTTAGGTTTACTTGACAAGTTGAATGGAATACTGACTAATATGTCAAGCCAATTAGAGTTGGAGATGAACCCCAGAGATTGAAGGAGTAATAATAATGCTAGGACAATTTTTTATTCATTTGAAGCATTCAATAAAAAATTTAGTGAGCAGCAGCATCGCGACCGGCAATGTAAAGTACAAGGTCAATGACACGGTGAGAGTAACCGTACTCGTTATCGTACCATGCAACAAGCTTGACAAAGGTATCGTTAAGAGCAATGCCAGCCTTGACGTCAAAGATGGAGCTGCGAGTGTCAGAGATGAAGTCGGACGAGACAGCCTCCTCGGTGGTGTAGCCAAGAATGCCCTTGAGATCACCATCAGCGTGTTTCTTGATGGTAGCGACAATCTCTTCGTACTTGGCAGGCTTGGCAAGCTTGACAGTCAAATCAACGACAGAGACATCGGGAGTGGAGACACGGAAAGCCATACCAGTGATCTTGCCATTGAGACTAGGAAGAACCTTGCCAACAGCCTTGGCAGCACCAGTGGAGGCAGGAATGATGTTCTGACTGGCACCACGACCAGCACGCCAGTCCTTACCAGAAGGACCATCGACAGTTTTCTGGGTAGCAGTAACAGAGTGAACAGTGGTCATGAGACCCTCGACAATACCGTACTCGGCATCGATGACCTTGGCGAGAGGAGCAAGACAGTTGGTGGTGCACGAAGCATTGGACAAGACCTTGATGGATGGATCATACTTTTCCTGGTTGACACCTAGCAGATTGAAAACCATTCAGATCTGGAATGAATCAAGACACTGAGACAAGATCAAAACATACCCATGACAAACATAGGAGCATCATTGGAAGGAGCAGAGATGATGACCTTTTTAGCACCACCAGCAAAGTGAGCAGAAGCCTTCTCAGTAGTGGTAAAGACACCAGTGGACTCGACAACGTAGTCGGCCTTGGCAACACCCCATGGGATCTCTTTGGGATCCTTGCAGGCAGAGATGGAGACTGCCTGACCATTGACAACGAGTTTGCCATCTTTAGCCTCGACTTGACCCTTGAAGCGACCGTGAGTAGAGTCGAACTTCAAAAGGTAAACCTAGTTGATAGTAACATGGGTTAGGGCTACTTGGACTGACAGATGATCACAATGCATTGATTGTAACCAATAATTTCACCGCACAGATCAGAAACAACAAGTTGAAGCTAGGGTTGAAAAGAAAGCAACCAACTGCTCTTGAAGTGCAACTCATTGCTGACATTCATAGATCATGAGAGATGCAGACAAGTGATGTGCAGACAAGGGAGATCAGACAAGGGTGTTTGGATACATGGAAAGATCAGTCAAGATACGATTATAATACATACCATGTAGTCCAGGTCGATGAAAGGATCGTTGATGTGAGTGACCTGAACAAGAGAAGACTTTTCAAGCGAAGCACGGAAGACTAGACGTCCAATACGACCGAAACCATTGATACCGACTTGAACGACCATTGCGATGTTGGGTAATAATAGAATTGTGAGCGAGTTGGAAAGAATGGAATTTGTTGGATTGACAGTTGATTGCTGCTGCCCGCACACAACCCTGAATGCTTCAGCCACATTATTGATGCTTGTTTCTGTTGTTGATGGATTAGCCAGAATGCATTTAGACTCTAGAATTAGATCTAATCTTGAATGTTATTCTTGGTGTTCTAATTCTTATCATTCTTAAATTCCTTGTCAATAAACTCGACTTTGTAATCATCTTCATTTATACACTACTATGCTTTACGCTCTGCTCATCATCAGCAAGGCTGGTGGTCTGATATACAACAAAGATTACGGTACTGGTTTATCTAAACTCACCATCAATGAATATCTGGTATTGGCTGGAACCGTTCATGGGTAAGACTGTCTTGTTCCAATCAAACCTATAAACACCTGGATACCAGAATCACACCAATAACTCGGTTCATCCTCTGTCTAGTGTTCATGCTATTACCTCTCAGCTATCCCCTGTTCATGGATCCTCTGGCTTTGAACTGCTAGAATCTGAAGCTCTTAAAATGTACTGCCATCAAACTCAGACAGGTATGGTCTTCAATGCAAACTCGGTCTATTCATGTATTACTCCTGTCATTGATCGTCTCTTCATGATGGAAACTATATAATATATTCTGACATTTGAACACCTTTGAATGTTATAATGCAGGTATCAAGATTGTCATCATCACAGATGCGGCTCATACCCAGTACGAACCCGTTTGCCGTAGAATATATGAACTGTATGCTGATTATGCTATGAAAAACCCATTCCATACACCGGAAATGCCTATTCGAGCTGATCTGTTTGACCTGAGCATGTCTAAATTAATAAAAACAATTAATGCATAATCTTGCCTTGTCAAATAAACTCTAAACTATGATTCCTCAAAAATAGTTGCTGTAGTAATGTTTTGAATTTTATTTGCTTGGAATATGCGTGTATTCCAATACACTCCTACCATGATGGCCTGTGCGATTCGGCCAGCAAAAACGGTGCTAAACACCAGATCTGCGATGTAATTTTAGATGGATCGTCCGTGACTTCAAATCCGGGCATACCTGCCTATTAAACAGAAATATAAATGCATAACCATCAAAATTCAATGCCATGAAATCCCTTTTAAACATACATTGCACTGACCTGTTGCATTAAAGCCTGCTGTTTCCGTCGAGTCTCTTCCATCCTTCGAAATACTCCTGCGTCAAATTTACGCAGCTCCTGTACAAATATAGCCTCCTTATCTTTGATTTCCTTTTCAGTGATTTTTCCAATAATCTCTTGTGCGTCAAGCTCTCGTCGTTTATTCTCCTGCATCTCAATATACTTTGCTCGCTCTTCTAACAATGCCCGTTCTGTTTCACTCTATATGTCATATTGTAGAATTGAAATACAGACACGCCATGTTGTATGGGATCATAGCAGTGAATTAGATATTCAGATTGATTCCTTGCTCCAAAAAAACTACAAATATAAAAGAATGCCTACTTGTTTATAACGTAAATCATTCACAAGATCTTGAAATTTAGAATAGGGTGGATACTTTTCAGACCCATTTTGATGCTGATTGGAATAGCCATTTTGATGCTGATTGGAATAGCCATTTTGATATGATTGACCTGGTTGGTCCTGTTGCGCAGGTTGTTGGCCAAACTGTTGAAAAAACGAGTCAAGACCGGGTAGATTAAGGTGCTGATTGCTAGCTTGTCCTTGCGTAGAATACAATTGTGGTTGCTGAAACTGCTGATTTAGAAATGTACGTCGCACATCCTCGACCATGTTTGGAGTAAAGGCACCCAATCCCAAATCAACAGTGTTGGATTGAGGTTGTGATGGAGGACTCGGCTGGGATTGAGTCGGTACACTAATGGTAGAAAGCATTGACAGCAACGATGTCACTGTATGTTCCTGTTTTGATGGCTCCATGCTTAATAACTACTAAAATTCAAGACTCGAGTCTATCCTCAGTTTGAATGCAATAGTCTGATAACCTGATGATAAACTGAAACAAACTTTTAGAACTTGAACTACTATTCTGTCCAAATGCCACTATTATTCATCCACTCTTTGATCGGACCCGACTTTGACAATAGTTGTACTGGTGTTTTTACTCTATTCACAAGTGTATCAACTAATGATTAATACAAACGACATGAGAACCAAATATAAAATATTTATATTTCAACGGTCGATTCCATCATATTTTCAAAACATTCTGATAACACAAACAAGCAACTGTTGCGACACTGGAAACGTGAATTATCCATTCGTAAAATTGTACGATTGTTTCAGACTAATGTGGACTCTAAATAAAACACCGAAACCTTGGTGTCGGAACAAGACAAAATGAGTGACGTTATTTATATTGAATCGCAAGGGACAGCAGACTGTTCAACAAGTCAAATTGTCACCTCGATATATGAGATACAATCAATAAACGTCCCTGCTATTCGAATCAACAGACAAATAATGTACCGACATTTGAAAAATAGGAAATCTGACCACACTTTTGTGATCGAGTTTAAATACATGATATACATTGATAGTTGCTGGAAATCTCTCATTTTATTTTATATATCCATTTTCATCCCCTTGTTGGTAGCCTTGGTTGCAGGGTAATTTCAAATCGTTTGGATAAATTACTCCAATGGGATATCGGGCTCAACCCATGCAAATTGTCGCTTGTCAACCCGTGGACTTAAACTTTGCCTTTTAACTGATTCATTCGAGACTGCATCGATACACACGAGCGTGTCTTCACTTGTAAAGTCCATGTGTTCGTCAGTAGGTTTTAGTGCATCAGATACAACGCCTGCTGCATCCGTATTGGCTAGAGAGTCGTCACAAACTGCAAGATTGATTTCCTCCAGATCCACACATTCTTCAATGAGGGGCTTACAAACGGTTGCAATTTCGCCAACGGGCTCATGCTCTTTTAGCGTAGTATGTGCAAGCTGATTCATCAAGCATACACTAGAACATTGCTGTTCAACTGGTTCGATTTTTACGTGCATATCGTGAGATGTGTCAATCTCGGACGAGTTCCGAGCATCAGAATCACAAATCTCTTGAATCAATACTCGGGAAGGTGAGCAACCAATTATAGACTCGCTCAAATCAATGTTTTGATGCTTGTTTTCTAAAATTGGAAGACTGCATTCCACTGGGTAGATACTTTCCTCAATGGTCTGCTCAACCTCCTCAAGTATATTAGCCGAGTGATCAATCAACACAGGAGTTGCAACTTGGTCAGACATTTGATCATTCATCTCGTCAGTATGATTGTGAACTACAGTTGTAATTGTAGGAACAGTATCTTCAGTGGAAGATGTATCATCAATTATATTGAGCATGTCATCTCGCATTTTTTCCAAAAGTGGTGGAAAAGAAGGATCAGACGTTTCGGGTCCGTATGCTTCGAGCCTTTTTTGCTGGCCACGGAGTTTCATTTGTTGCATTGCTGTTCAATAGACAAATGTATAATTTAGCAGATTTTTAGGATGAAATGATAATTGGCTTAGCTTGGTGGGCAGTATACCTTCAAAGTTGCGGTTTTGGGCTTCGATTTCTTCTTGACGCTGCCTTTCGCGCTCAGCACGCTCGGCATCTACACCTCCAATAGCCCTAAAGCAATAACCATGTGTTGGTAAATTCTTAAACAAACCATTCCTTGAGTAGATATCAGTCATCCACAAAGCAGACTATACCAGGCTTCAGTTGAAAGACGCTCCTTGGCAAACACCGGGCGATCATCTAAATATGTTAGACTCTTGCATCGGGAAATCATGGTACGACGATAGCTTTGGATGGATCGAATAACTGGGTTTGCCATAAGATTAAGCACAGCCTGTAGGATAGTTGTACATGAACAATTAGTTTTGTTTCTATTTTTAAAGCAATGCACGCTCGGACTGACAAATAAAAAATAAACTTGCCAGGTTAGGCATCTGTTCCAAAATATCCACAATGGCTACATCTTCCAGCTTATTATTGCTTAAATCTAAAACACTACCATGATTTGCAGGTCAATTCAAACGCTTTGTTATTCAAATCCACAACGTATACATTCATTGAAAGCAGTTATGGATGGTAATAAATACATACGTCAACGAAGGACAATGAGCCAAAATCTCAATGTTTTGAGCGCTTTGTAAAAAGTTGTGTGACACTTGAAGGGTTTTTAATGCACGTAGCATATCAAGATTGGATAGATTTTTAATCAGATTGTTGGATAGATTCAAAGTGTCGAGTCTTTGCAACTGGTCAAGATTCTCAATGCAATCGATGCAGTTTTGTTGTAAAAATCTAATTGAAATCAAACATAATTCAGGTTATAGAAGCCAAATCGTGTTTGGACTGTATAATTACAAAAAAGTGATGAGCACTTACAGACATCGAAGTTCGGTAAGCTTATCTGTATGTAAACAAGGTAAAATTCAGCAAGACATGAAAAAATCAGTATACTAGAGATACTCTTCTGAAATGACAAATACAATGCTGAGCTGCGTTACCGATATTTTCAATTTTTCCAATGCCATTTCCTTCTAACCATAGACTTTTGAGACCATAGTAGGCATTTAGATTCTCGATTTTAGCGAATCCTAGATTAAAGATCAAGAAAATATAAAATTGAAACAAGGATATGAGCAGAATTAGTACCGCGAATGCACGAATGGAAATCCAAAACATTAAATACCTTTAAAGTGCAAGTAAATGATATCATTAAGCTCTGGTGTCTGATAAAGTTTTTGTTCCTTGCATAACTGTTTGAGATAGCGAGGGGTCATGAGAGTATTTCTGAGTAAGCAGTTGGATGAACAGAGGCATAGTATTATGGTTTGATAGCATAATTAGTTGACATGGTAAATTTTATGGCTATTCACATTAAACCAAGAGTCTACAATACAGCAGACGACGGTTGGTTGAAAACATACCCCTGCTCGTCAATCTCTTTAGCATCTTTACGCAACCGCCTAGAAGCAAGGGCAGCATTGAGGGATTGGTGCTCACTGAGCATTTTCAAAAGTCGAGGTAAGTCAAATTAGCCTACTGGCGGAGTTTCGGGGCTACGGCTGAAGACAGGACATGAGAATCAAGTACTCGCGTAAATCTAATTAACCACTTTTGTGTGGTCGGATTTATTTGTCGCTTCTGCAACTCGCACCGCCAAACTCAGTGCCTTTTTAGAACTTGAGAGATTTTAAGAGCAGGCTTACAATATTGTGGATTGCAAGTTCGCGTCGCCATTAAAAATGAGATGAAAGGTTTCGCATGCATCCCAGATTCGTGCATAATGCAGCAGTGCAGTCAAACATACACGGAAAGCATTTGGATGCTGATATACGATCTTTTGGACAAGCAGCGAAATGAGTTGTTTCTTGAGACTGACCATCTCGATTTATTCAATGAATTGTCTGCTCTCACAACTGCATCACCATCTTTATTAATGGTGTCAGATCTTGGATTTTGCAGTTGCTAACAGCTCCTCGCATGATCCTGCAATATCACTTGTGATAAATGATAAAATATTACTGTTCAAGCCTTGGCATTGTGCTCACAACTTTGATAATAGTTGTACTGGTGTTTTTACTCTATTCACAAGTGTATCAACTAATGATTAATACAAACGACATGAGAACCAAATATAAAATATTTATATTTCAACGGTCGATTCCATCATATTTTCAAAACATTCTGATAACACAAACAAGCAACTGTTGCGACACTGGAAACGTGAATTATCCATTCGTAAAATTGTACGATTGTTTCAGACTAATGTGGACTCTAAATAAAACACCGAAACCTTGGTGTCGGAACAAGACAAAATGAGTGACGTTATTTATATTGAATCGCAAGGGACAGCAGACTGTTCAATAAACAGGCCGTGTCAACAATCTAGATTATCGTCACGACACACGAGACACGATCGATGGATACTAATGTCATTCAAATCAACAGATGAACAATATACCGATAGTTGCAAAAGAACATCAAACATAAACCCAATCACACACAAAAGTATAGTGAATGAATTTTACGTAGCTGTATTCCAGTAAGCAACACTTTTAAAGTGATCAAGTGGGGAATAATGCCACAAGGACTGTTTCCTCCCCCTTGTTGCTAGCCGTGACGAACACTAATGTTTATTGGATAATTATTTGCATTGATGGCATTTCTAAACAATTATAAAGCGCGTGCATCAGCATTGAAACCATGAAAGTCAGGTAGAATCCAGCTTGAGTGGCACGAGGTAAGACGTTTATTTATTACCTCGAGTATTATGGAGACTATTTACAAGATTAATAAACAACTCGAAACAATCAACAATGACATGAGAGTTAGATTTGAAACATAAGCTATTAGACACGAATTGAAAGTGATAGCAAGACATGATAGACCTGTAGGATGGAGTGATGAACGATGCAGTTGATTACTTTCAGCAGAGAATACGATAATAAGAAACAGTTGATTGCATTTGAAAGCACGCAGCAGCTGAGCAAGAATGAACTTGCTGCAGATGGAAGTGGCGCAACAACCAGAACGAATCAACCCGATACTTGTGGCTCTGAAACGACCGCTGAAATGTGAGTAACGCCTCAAATGCAATACAATAAAATGGGTCCATCAAAGTATTATAATAGACGGCAGACAGAACGGTTGAACCAGTTATATAAACCCTATAGTAGTCGGATATTCGATTGATTTAGCAAGCCTGTACATTTATCTTGTAACTACTATACCAAGTGACTCAACAAGCCAAATATATATATTAGCCGGCTTCCATTGATCATAATACTTGAACCATCACACTAATGACAACCACCGCTACCGCAAGAGGTTCTACTTCCATGTTGACAGACACAACAATGTCCGCCCCCACGTACATGGCTGCTAATGGTCCTCTCATGTTAAATCATCCAACTATGCAGAATGTTCAAACTGACCAGCAGCGTCGACACTCTCTACAACAGCTGCAACTGCAGTTTCATCAGCAGCTGATGAACTCGTCTGTATCCCATCCGTCACTTCAGCAGTCTGCTGCTACTGGAACTACTACAGTGTCCACCACCACTGTACCCGAGTTCAGGAGTTTTAGTAAGTGGTCTTTATTTTTATTTGATTTGTAGACCAATACACATCCAGTGTGTTGGGTTTACTGTTGTATTCACGTAGAATAGAACACTTGTGTGTCTTGCAACTATTGCTTATTCTAAAGCAGTGGTTAAATACCCATCGCACAATCCAACTAGAAATTGATTGATTGCTCGATTAGCCTTCTCAATTCTTTAGTAGACAACACGTTCATGTCATGAGACTGTTATGCACTCGACACTCTTGATGCTTCGTTTTACGTGAATACATCCGTAAATTACTTGATATTTATTGCTGAGCTATAGCCAAGCAGATGTATTATATAATATACTTTCTACAATGCTTATCTAATACTATCAATCATCTTTTAACTCGATACTTTTAATACGACTCCTTGCTACGACTCGACTTGAATCAGATCGTAAGCCCAGTATGGAACTATCTCCTTTGGATTTTCCTACTGGCACTTCACCTTCACCACTGCCTACTATTGAACAAACCCCAAATAGGTTTTTGGCCTCCTTATCGAAACTGGACCTCGAGGTTAATCCATTCGAGGCTTCTTTGCAGAACTCTGCCATAAGTTCATCTATCGACTTGCCTGATTCTCAGATCGCATCGCAACAATTGCATCCTCACGCTGGGTCGACCAATATCGACCCACATCTAGCACATTTGAAGCTAGAACATGGTCATTCTTACATTAACGGTTCTACTGGATTCCCTTTTAACAGTACATTGTCTGCTACCACTCCAGCTTCTACTCATACCGCTCGTTTCTCTCCATTAGAAATTCGCCGTCTTAGTAGTCCTGTTTTACGCACCATTGCTGAAGTCAAAGAACATGCTTCGACTGCCCAACAACCGCCAGCTCACGGTGCCTGTGTATCCAACTTTTCTTATGAAGCCCCCACATTGCGCGATGATATGCAGGTATCTCTAGGTGGACGTCGAGCATCATTTCCTGCTCGACAAGTACCACAACTCTCCTCGCAACATCTTAGTGGTCAACAGTTGGGCTCACATTACCAACAGAATACACTCTCTGGGCAGTCGCTTCAGCATATGCATTCCAAGTCGATGCAGCATTTCCCTCAAAATCAATATTCGCAGCATTTGAGCGATTTACAGATTCAGGCAGTATCCTCTCCTACCAATGTAGATGCTTCTGCAAGACCTGTAAAAAGACAGCGACAACTATCAAATGGATCTCAATTGTCGCTTGTACCCAATTCAAACATGGCTTCAAATGGAAACCACTGTATGGATATTTCTTTAGGAGCTGGCTCTATCTCTACTGCTATGCCTATATCGTGGCCTTCGTCTGCCACCTCGTCACCCCAAAACACACCCCATCATATTTTAACATCGTTTGCTCCTAATACCGACAAAAATGCTCACATGCGATCGGCATCACAGGATGTCTACGAAGCTCCTACCACTGTAAGACGATCCTCTGAGATTTCGTCGTTTGATGGTTCAGAATATGATACAACCTTGGTCGATGCAAACCCTGACCATCAGTCCTCGGAGCAGTCTGTCGAAGAGGCAAATCCTGACAAGAAACGTCGCAACTTTTTGGAACGCAATCGCAGAGGTGAGTCGGAGTTGTTTAACCCACACACTACACATTACTAACCCTGGCATATTTTTACCATTGTATCTATAGCTGCTCTAAAATGCCGTCAGAAGAAGAAGGAGTATATTGCTTCATTGGAGGATAGCGTGGTACGACTTTCATCGGAAAACGAGCGACTGCATGCCCAGATCCAGAAAATGAATCAAATGTCACAGATGCCTGCTATTATGCCTGCTTACAAAGATGGTATGTCTTTCCAATCACTTGAATCGTGTATTCAGAGCATCAGCTAATTTCAAATCATTCTCTAATTCTCTCATCCAACCAGCCATAATCCCGGCCAATTTACAACTGTAACAAAATTGAACATCATTTTATGATTCACCCTCTTGTGATTTTGTATTTATGTTTCTTGTTGAAGCAATGGTGGTGCTTTCCGTGAATGGGTATGGATCACATGCTGGCATAGACGTCCCGCCACTGTCAGCAGAGGCTGAGTCGGAAATATTACTTTTAACATGAAACAATGAAGTCCGCTGTTGGATCATACTTTGCAAAAATGACAATATATCATTGTGCGTCCTCTGTTCGTCGCTGTCTTTTAGACGGTACAGGGGTCGTGCGTTGACTTTTCGTTTGCTTTTCTGAGACTGGGAATTCTGCAAGGTGGTTGCAGAGTCATCTTGATTACCATTACTGTGAGTCTCACTCCAATCCGTGGAGGGTCGTTGCGATTGGGTACTGTGTGAAAGGTCAACGTCAAAGTTACTGTGTGGCATAGATTCTAGATTGATGCATCGACGTTTGTCAGCCATAAGACTTTCCAACAATTCATCCTCGGCAGAAATGGCCTGAGATGATGTGGAGTGGCCAGAAAGCTTTCCTTTTTTAAGATGATAGGCTGAAACCATTTCAATTACAATGAGTGACTTGCAACGAGATTTAAACTGGAAGATGATAATAAATAGCATTGTATTCTTACCGAGTCCATTCACAGTCTTGTATTGTTTATTGCAGTCAGCATGTGGACAAACAAGCATACGTTCAGACGAGTCTTTAGTATCCAGTTGTCGTTTTCTTGATGATTCTTTAGGAATTGGGTCGGAGAACAGTCCAGGAAAATGACCATTTTCAAGATGGTAGGCTTAAGGCAGTCACCATGATATACACCCATAGTTAGTACAAACGCAACAAGATGGAAAGTATGCGTACATGGATGCATAGTTGGGTATTCCTATTTGAATCCGACTCTATTCATGCTAAAGGATGGTTTATGGTTGCATTCAGGTTATCCATGTATGATTTGGAGGGAAGCTACTAGTAGATACTAGTAGATACTAGCCTATTGACACATGAATCTATCCAATTCAACACAGAAATGGAATACATTCAAACCATACAAGACACTCCATCCTCAGCAACCCAGCCAACATACTACTTCAAACTAGCTTCCAAGCAGTCGGTTTACAGATTTGGCATGTCGGAAATTCAGACTTGACCCACTCATAGCAATTCAAAATCAATAATGAGCTTACCCAGTCCGCCAGCATTCAAGTACGACTTGTCACACTCTGAAAACGAGCATTGGAACGGTTTGTCTGGACTCACGTCATGGTTTTTACTTATAGTGTCTTGGTGAACTGCATGACAGTGTCCAATGAGTCCACAGAGTTTACGATAATTCCTAGCGCAGTCAATGCAATAAAAAGGACGTTCAGCATTTTGGTGAGGTCGATAGTGGCCATAAACGGATATGGCTGATTCAAGTTCTGGCGGAAGCCATAAGGTCTTCATTATTTTTACAAGTTAATTGCACTTGCAATGTCCAGGATTTGAATTATGAAAGAAAAAAAAAACGTTTAAATTTTTTTTGTAGGGTTTTTAACCATGCTTTGCAGTCTAAAATAACTGTGACGACTGTTGAGTGGTTTGAAGGCATCGGTTAAATGTCGAGTTTGTTGAAATAAATCAAGTGTCTGTGGCACATTTTTAGATTGTCAGACTGTATGTCTCTTGCAAAGTAAACTCTGGTTTTAAGAACCTATTGTGACAGAAATGATTCTAAATATTGCATTCACCAGTCTCGTAAAACTCCAAATAATCAAGTTGGCTTCGACTTGAAACAAAAAACTATGCAGACAGTTGTTGTATTGAATCACCAAAATCTTCAAACTCGTTAAATTCGTTAATTTTCTCAAACTGGACACTACGGCATCGATGTAGGATCAACTGTATAAAACAGACAGGTGTTGGTTGATGTGCCCTCCCATCCACGTGTGCCAGACCCAGCAACCATAAGCCGCGACGACTCATCCACAACTATACGACATCAGGTCAGATATAAACGATCATTATGACTTAAATACACTTGTATCGAATAGCAAAAATGTGCAACTTACGAAGCGACGAAACAACACCACCATGATGTCCAGGAATAATGGTAAAAGGTACAGACAAGTCCTGTTCTGTCAATGCAATAAGTTTGCTTAACAGCTTATTGGACTTTTTTTCATGGCGATCAGCAGTGGTGAGGGGTCGAGTAACAGGCGGAGGTTGTTGGAGTTTAAACACTTGCGCAAACGGATCTCCGTCCAGAAAATCTCCAGAAAATAAAGGATACCGCGAAGCAGAATCATCTCCCAAGGTATCGACATCGGGTTCATTTTGAACTGCTTCAGGAGCACTAGCCGAACCACCTGGAGCAACTTCGGGTTCGTGCTGTAAATCCCATAAGCGGATATTATCATACGATGCACTAATTATTGCAAATTAAAATCAGTCAACCCTCGTGACGTAAAATAGCAAGAGCAATCAACTCTATTTGTTTGAACTCCAATCCACACTTTACCAAATCAAGCTACGACCGTTTGGAAGACTTTTGACTAGATAAACTGGCCCGGAATCGCGTGGCATACGAATCGATCTAAGCAGTGCACCTTCAGCAACATCAAATTCGTCCACTGCAAGACAATATGATAGTTGAAGCAAATATAATCTTGATGACTATAAAGTTATAAAAACAGATGCATTGCAGAGCAACTTACCAATTCCGTTTCGACGACCACAGTATATTTTAGACCCATCTACACTCCAACATGCCTAGAGTTGGATAAAATATTTTAGTTGGCAATATACTGTCTTGCCAGTCAAGTCAAATACAGCTCCAAATATATTTACCGAAAATGTCCAAGGCGGAGAGGAACCCAAGTTGTTGGGCAATTTCTTGGCAAGACCACCTGAGATCCTGTGATCGTATAAATATATAGTGCCATCAAAGCTTGTGACCAAAGCCAGTGCATCATTTACAGAGGCTTTGGAGTTGGATAGTTTGGCAGATATAGGCTGATAGGCAGCTGATGTGATTTGTGATGTTGGACCTTTGAATTCGTGTATCATGGTTCCTGTTTCAAGACTCCAGAGCTACAGGTTGAATGCATACAAACAATCAGTTTTTTGAATACAGCCAAATCTATACTGCTTATGTCAAGACTTGTGTATGTTGGTTTATACCTTGACTGTTTTATCCCATGATCCACTTAAAACTGATTGTTCTGTCCCATTAATTCGGATCACTGACACGGTGCTGCTGTGTGCATTAAATACATGAGCACACTAAATAGAATGCATATCCAGTTAATGAGTGGCATTAACGACACGTGTTAAAAAATAAGTGTGCTTACTGTTCCTTCGTCATGACGCACTGTCCATAGATTCATATGGCCATTATCTAAACCAGAAATGCACCAGACTCCCTCAGAATGAACATCTAGACTAAACACGGGTGATGTTCTTGCTTGCGAGTTTGAATGAGAATGCTCGTGTCTTGGACCTATAAAGGTCGAGATGAAAAATAAGTGCAGATTCTATTGATTTCAAACAAAGGTACCAGAATCGATCGCAGACATATGCACACACCTGCTAGCCTGTCTTCATTCTCCCATGCCGAAATCAAAACACCAGCCTTGACAAAACAGTATTACTTGGTAGTTAGATTCAATATAGTTCAAGATCGGTTACTAGATTTGTCGATTCAATACATCACACCTTTTGAATACTATCGACAAATCCATGCCGCTGGTTTTGAGTTAGCATGGCGTCACCATTCACTGACTGTTGGCAATCAAACTTTCGAATGAATCCGTCGTCAGAACCTGAAAAAATCCATCTCTATAATTTTGAATCAATCAAGTAGTATAGTAAGATATGGTATGCATGAATGCTTTACATCTAAATGTGGTAAGCGGAGATGCCTACAAAGTCCTTGGTTGCAGCAAGACAGTTGACACCTGTAAGATGGATTGCATTTCCCTGTCGAATTGAATTAGTTGATAATAATAGTCTAAATTTTGATCTCATATTTGATAGAAACAAACATGTCATGGCATTCACGAAACTACTCGATTAGCCAGGATAAAACTTACCACTGGAACGATATCGTACGAATAGCAATTATGAACAGTCAAAGGAACTTGCTTGCTACTTGATGCAGATTTATCTTCCTCTTTGCTCTCGTTGTACGCATCACTTCTTGCAATAATATATGTTTCCACTTCCTCATCGTCCATATCTGAATCAATGCTCATTTTTTCATCATGCGATTGTTGCATGCTCTCGCGCTGTCCGTCTGTAGTCATCTATTCAACAGAAACAAAAAAATAGCTGGACTAAATATGGGCCATGAATGTTGCTTGTGTGGGCAAGGAAATCCCAACTTACTATATTTATAGTAAAGGCTGTTTATGCCTATTTGGATATCGTATTGACTGCAAGATTGCCAATTCGATTTATATTCATACATCACGTGATGAACAGACCTGGATCGTTATCGCTCGCAGAACAGTTTTAATGTTATTGAAGCTGACTGAAGACAAAGAGAAAGTGTTCAACTCAATCTCGGTGTGTTTTGGAAATATTCTCATGGCATCAAGCAGACTGTTGCAGTATTTCAAAGCGTGAATTTTCTGTAAAACTACACAATTAGTTTAGGTCAATGTAGATTCTAAATGGAACACCAAAACCCATGTCAAAACAAGATCAATAGTTGCTATCCTATATTTAATCGAATAGAGTAGCAAACTGCTCGTGTTGACAAGTCAGATTGTCGTCAATACACGAAATACGAACAATACACCTGCTATTCAAATTAGAAATCCAACACTTTGTAAAACACCAAACAGAAACTAAAAGTGGGTTGAATTTGTAATACTTTTAAACACATGATACGCACTGATGGTTGCTGGCAATTTCTCATTTTATCTCGTCTTTATTCTCATCCCCATTGTCGCTAACTGTAAACTTGGTCTAGATCTGGCATGCAATCATTCACACTGCTTAAAGTCATTGTTTTTCTAATCATTCCTATACAAGTGGTGTTTTGTAATACTGCAAAGCTTGTTTTTTTGTATCCACCGTCTTTAAGCAATGTCTTGGTCAATAGTAAGCTATTTATTGACCCGTTGATTGTCAAAAGGTTGGTAAAAGTCGGGTGTTTTAGATGCAATAAGATATGCTTCAAGTGCTATTGACTGCTAATACATGACTAAAGTCTTTCCTTGAGATCTCCGTTGCGCTGGCCGTATGATTATACTGAGCCGATTCAGCTACAAACGTTTCCTCTTGAACAGCACCAACAGTACGCCACGATGTACATTCTGATTCAAGACATTCAATCCACATCTGAAATCAGAGTCAATTGGCCAGCTACTGTAAGCCAGTATTTTTCAAATGGTAGTGTTGATGAAATATTCACCCATTCCATTACTCTAGGATCCGACTGATTTCAATCTTGAGTTGATATGCAGTTCAAGCAAGGTAGCTATTGTCTGTTTGTTTAAACTATGTCTAAACGCTAATCAACCTGTTACGACTATAACTAGTGCACGGAAATCATGGTAAAGATTCAGGCAAGATGCTCAGGAGTAGCTGTTCCCAACCATTCCGATGGTTTACATGCACAAGCTCACTTTGTGAGGTTTTCTGTCGGTATGACACATTTGGACTATTGTATGTACGAGATGTGGTTGATATTGTTTCTAATGATACTCATTCTGGCTTTATATCTGAATATACATCAAGTGTTGGAACGTGTTTATTTGGGAGTCATACCCGAATCGACAATAGGCTCAATCACACTGATTGCAATCCTCATCTCACTAGTCATAGGATCATTTGCAAAAGCTCTATCCTTGTTGCAGCGATCGACATCACCAAACCTCAAGACTGAATAAATCCCTAAAATACTAATTTAACCTTTATTCATCAATGCAATACTATTTTCCATTATGCATTATATATTTCCGGATAAAATGACTTCTAATGCCTGGTTTTCATCACCATCAGTCTGCTTTAGAGCTCGAACAACAGTCTGACGTTCAAATCCCATTTCCACAAGTCGCTGGATTGTTTGTTGGTTGAGTCCAGCTTCCTCATTCACTACTGATACAGTATCAGCTGAAGCATACGCTTTCGTCCAATAACGAGCAGTATTGTCGAATCCAGCTCTATCAGAAAGATAGTGTTTAGCCACTTGAGCATCTTGCGGATCGTCAGGCTGTGGTTCGCACAATAACGACTGTAACGAGATCAGCTAGAGTTTAAATGGTATGAGTGATCATGAACATTTCAGATTAGATGATTTTGAGTCATCATTATGTAGATCCAAACCCATACTGTAGCTTACCGCGGTTTTGAGAGTAAGAACCGGCGTCCATGCATCCTTTAGAATATCCAGACAAATGGCTATACATATTTTGATACATGATAACAATGAGCATCAGCATTTTCCAAATCAGAGATCTGCACATTGCTGCTTACCTCCAGTCTGCGAAGAGATGTTTGGATGGTAGATTGGAGTATCAAATACCATCTAAGATGGAAAAAACGATTAAAACTATACATTAAATCATGGTTTAGAGTCGACTGATGAAGCAGTCGTAATATACTATAAATACCTTGGGCGGTTTGAATGGATACTCGTCAGGTAACTTGATATCAATAACAAACTTGCCCCCTGTCAATCATCAACCATTCAAGTAGATGTTCATAAGTACTATAATTACCAGCATACGTTCTGGAAATGGGGTTATATTCCATCTTGATGGTCTTGAACCCATCCAGCTTAGCTTGGAGATCATCACGAAAAGTGATGGTACTGACCTTCGTAGACAGTTTCAGATGGGCCTTGAAAAAACCCCTTGATATGACATAGGTTGTCATTAACTGGCTGGACAGAAATAGTAGTGTCTTTGTCGGCATGACATTGTCGGATTTCTCGCTCAATCCTCTTTATATCGACCATTTAAAAGAGTTGAATCAAGGAAAGTGACTTTGCATGACATTGAATCTGATCTTGTTGAGTTGGACTAATGCTTGCACAGAAACTCAAACAGCATCAACAGCAACACATTCAAAGTTCAGATTGGGTTGGAAACTCCACTGCTGATCCTTCTGTTTCGCATCTTATCACCACTCCACCTCAAGCTAATCTGACTGTCATCCATGCATCTGGATCAACCAGTAGTGAGTGAGTCGTTTTATTATCCATCAATGAATTGGACTAATAAAATATCAACTGTTTTACTTTCAGCACCATCACAACAACATATCAAGGCAATAGTCGAGACATTGTCTGATAAAAATAATACAATGTAAGATTCAGGTTGGGTCGAGTATATGTGACACTCGTTTAGTCTTGCACATGTCTTTTAATCTGTTGTGTACAACTGCAAGGGTATCGACTGCATTCAACAATGAAAAGGGAATCGAACACGACTCGAAGCTTCTCCAAACACAACTGGCCACATATCAAAAACAAACCAAACAATGGCTTTCTCTTGTAGATCAGCTTAATTCTTCTCTCAAGGTACAAAGTGGTTTAATCTTTTATCAGTGTTTTAACCAAGTTTCGTATCATGCTGATGATTGCATTTTAAAATAAACTAGTCGCTTGGCGATCTGACAAACTGGTCAGGTGTGATTGAACGAGATATGCAAGAGATTGCGTTGACATTGGCCAAAGGTAATCTTACGCAGGTCGATTTCATCATGATTTACAGATACCATTACTGATACTGAATATTTCTGCCAGTATCACCATCGCAGTAATCAGTCGTTATTTTTGTATTGATGCACACAGAACCGAGTCTCGACCAAACAAGGCATAGGTTACATTCACCAACTTGAGTTTAGAATCAAACAGACTCCATTTTTCCGTATTAGCAAGTGTCCCAGCAACGGCATGAACACCATGACCTAAAAACATGGGTGAAACCGTTACAATAAGCGAGTGAATGGGCAGCATTGGATTTGATAAGCACTCTTTAATGACTTGAGATCCTCCCTCGATCATAACTGAATGAATATTATGAGAATGCAAGTACTCTAATGCGGACACAATATCTACACGATGAGTTGAATCTGAGTTTATAGTGATAGGTTGCGCACCAGCTTGTATAAGCGCATCCCATGAATTGGAATGTGTAGATGGTGTGGTAGTCGTAAATATAAATGGATTTCTGGAAAGTACTTTTGCATTGAGAGGGCATCTTAAATGCGAATCAAGAATGACTGGACGAGGTTGAGAGGGTGGTGTTATACGATCTGGTGGTGGGCCATAATCTACAAAACGTGTTGATAAGGATGGATTGTCGCAGATGATGGTTTGAACTCCCACTAGTATGGCATCATGAGTTGCCCGCAAAGCATGAGTGAGCACCATGGATTGAGGACTGGATATGGCAAGTTGCTGACCTGGCAATGCTATGAATCCATCAAATGTTTGTGCATAAGTGAGTGTTATTTTTGGTAGTTTATGCAATGGGGTTTCTGATAGAGTGGATTGATGAATAGCGGATAAGTTTAATTGATCAAGTAGTTTGTATGCAGATTCTTGATCATCGTTCAAGTTTTGAGTAGATATGGACATTGGTCTTGGAATAGATTCGGTTCTAGTATTGAATGATGAGTCGAATCTATTTAAAGCCAGCGATAATGAAAATCAAACTCTAATCAAGCAATACTATAGTCGACAGTGTAGAGTATCAATTAGACTGATGCCAATGAACAACTTTATGGGTTGAATGTCAAGAAACCAAATTTGTAACATTTTGTTACTATTTATAGTCATCTTGACATATAATAAACCGCTTGTATTTATCTTGTAATAACTATTTTAATTTAAATTACACAATGATTAAATATTGATTGCGGTTTCCTATTAGACATTCTCAATCAACACAATGACCATCGTATGATCATACACTCTCATCTCCAATACATTCGTGTTATAGTTTACATTTTAGGAATGCAAGTTGTTTCTATTTAATTGTTTAGTATTTGGTTTGAATGAAAGATGAAGATTGAACAAGTGTGAAATGCACTAAGAGAAATGTGACCATTCATTTAGTTATGCAAAGACCAGCAAGAGTTCAAATCACTTTAATAAACTGACCAATCATTTCATCAGATTGTCTTGTGTGTTTTGGCATTCATTTCATGTTTCATTTTATATGAATACAGCGATAATGCCTGGTCAAGATACGCACAACTCTACTGCCACCACATCATCAACTACGATGGAAATACCATCAACTCATTTGCAACGTAACTGCAGAGGTATTCGACTCGAAGACTGGTGTTTAGACTGGCCTGTATTCTTACTAGAATCTGATAGCTCAATGTTTTCTGTCCAGCAGCACATTCAGTCACTGGTTCGTAAAGATCCTGCCAACATCACTGCTATTCTGGATTTTCCTGCTGGTCAGGATGAACCAGTCTGGCAATACGAGCATTTGAGGTAACTATCACAGCATAATACTTTGTAGATTGGGTTCAGGATTCCAGTTGATGTTCAGTAGCATTCTACATCTACTAATGCTTGCAAAGGATTGTCTTGATGATCTAGACAAGTATGCAACGAACTCAATAGTCTTTTTGTCATTCTGGCAGAAGAGTGTCTTCCTTCAACCTGTCCGGATATGAAGGCTGCAGAATGGTTGTATCTTTGTGCTGCCCATCCGTCTCCCCAGCCTTGCTCTGCAATCGACTACATTGTACATACCATCGATGGTGCTTCTGCTTTACTAAACAACTCTGGCATGTTCCCATCCAGAGTAACAATTCCCAAGGAATCTGTTAAACACTTGCATAATATTGCAAGACGCTTGTATAGGATCTTTGCTCATGCCTATTTTCATCACCGTGAGGTGTTTGTCGAGTTCGAGGCAAGTGTTTGCACAACGATCTGCTTTTGAATTTAAACTAAACCATTTCTGTGCTGTTTAGATGACTACACATTTATATGAGCGATTTTTGGAACTTACGACAAAGCGATACCCAATGATATCAGAAAAGCTCGTTATTATTCCAGAGCACATTTAGGGATTGAATATGCAAGACAGGATCAAAATGATCCACTTTTTGCCCAGTTAAACTGGTGAATAAACTGGATTGCACCCAATGGCAGATTTGATGCATTGTTAAAACGTTCAAGAATCCAATTATTAAAAACAAGTATTGAATCAAGTGTTTAAAGATTTTCTTTGTTGGTGAGCAAAAACAATTACACAACTGGTGCAACAGCCTCTGCAACAGCTGGTGCAGCAGTGGAGACAGAGACGGGAACAGGTGTGGGTTCATCATCCTTGGGCTCAAGGATGGTAACAAGATCGGGAAGAGGCTTCTTGGGTCCAGTCTTTCCAGATGGATCCCATTCTTGCATAATCTTGACCTTGATACCAAGAACACCCTGACGAAGCAGAACGTGACGAACGGCATAGTCAATGTATTCCTTTGCAGGCTGACCAGAGTGGATCTGATGATACAATAATTTACAAAGTTAATAAAAATAAATGATCCAAACCGACAAGATTCAGTATTGATATTGGTATATAAAAAAATAGATCCAGAACAACGCACCATGAATCCGTCAACAAACTTCATTGACTTGGCACGAGCAGCACGGAGTTTGCCAGAAATGACGACTTCGCATCCCTTGGCACCAGACTCCATAACAAATCGAACAACACCATAGCAAGCACGACGAACTGCAAGACCACCGAGTAGCTTGTAGCGAAGAGACTCTGCCTGTGCAACAGCGCTAAGACCACGGTTGTTGACCTTTTCGGCGTAGAGTTCAACGGTATTCTCGGGGTAGTTGAAGCGCTTCTGAACAATCGAAGTAAGCTCACGAATACGACGACCCTTTTCACCAAGAACGTTCTGGGTACGAGTAGCACGGATAACAATCTCGGTACGAGCAGGAGTGACACGAACCTCTACTCCAGCATAACCTTCTTCTGCAAGCTCACGTTGAAGGAACTCGTTCAATTCGGCATAGAAAACACCATCGGCGACAAACTAGAAAAACAATAATGTGGATAACCAAGATCCAAACAGGAGTCAGAGTTGATTTCCAAATAGTCCAATTGATACACAAACTTCAATGAGTGTTCAGCAATCTAGCAGTGTGTCAAGATAGTAAATGAGTACCTTGCGCTTTTTGGAAATGATGGTAGTCTGAGCAATTTAAATGTAGTTGATGACAGCCAAGTGTAGTTGATGTTTCCGATTCAAATCAATGTAAATGTTAGTAATTTGATAGCAAGATGAATGCAAGATGAATGCATGATGGATGGATGATGAATGCATGTGCTGGATGGATGCTCCAGCGTGGTGATAACAATGCGAATTACTACCATTCTGGTGTGCGAGTAAAGTGAAGTCCAGTGTGCGATCAACTCGCTTGAAATTCATTCTTGCACACGTGATTTCTAATCTTGTGTTGACTCGTTTGTTCTGCTTCAACTTGGAGTTCAAATGGAAGCTGAAGAGGTACGAATTCATGTCATGTTATGGTTATTGCAACACATCTTAACCGAGTCTTGCTGTTTGAAACTAGGCATTGAGAGAGGCCGCTGCATTAGGAAACATTGCTGCCATCAAAATCTATATCAACAATGGTGTTCATATTAACGCTTCAAATCGCACCAATGGATGGACACCATTGCATTGGGCTTGTTCTAGAGGAAATAAAGAGGCTGCTCAACTTCTGATCGCTAATGGTGCAAAGATTGATATTGCTAATAATAATGGCATGACACCTGTTGATGTAGCCAAAGGAGATGCGCTTAAATGGCTTCAATCTGGTATGCAAGTCGTTTGATTTAAACTGTCTAGTTTTACTGCATATTCATGTAAAATGGAACACTTGCATTAATGGTCTTTTTGAAATAAGCAATGCTTGAATATTTGTTACGCTTGCTAGAGATTGGCTTTAATTGGTATTCTCAACTCTTTCAGACACGCCAACCATCATACGATGCGTACAGAATCAAACTCTGTACACATTTACCTTTGTTGTCTTTTAAAAACTCGCAGATACGTTTGCATTCTAGTTTGAAAAAACAACGATTGCACGTCCTGAGTGATTGTTGTTTCCATTCTAACTGCCAAGAGTTTAAGGGACAATTTTGTCCAGTAAACTAACCAATCATTCCATGAAACTGGCTGTTCATTATACACTGAAACCTTTAATGGTTTGTTTTATATGAATACAGTCGGAAATGTGATGTTGGTTTATGATTATAAAGTTGATAAAATTGTCATGAAGAAAATCACAGATTGACATTTTAATTCATGTTTATCGACACTTATTGTATCTTGATAGTCAATGGCGAGCATCCGCTACCATCTGAAAATAGCAGCGATACTCCCCCAGAAACTGGATCGTTTATTCCCAATTACTTGAGATTTCCCGATCTGAACAAAGCGTGGAGTGTGCCCGAGTCTATACCCACTCAAGTCAGATCTGTATACGAAACAGCACTAGCAAAACCTCAATCTGATACATCTGCTAATCAACCTAAAAGTTCATTGCTGCCCAAATCCATGGATGCACTGGCTTCACCACTACAACAAACCAACACTGGATGGGCCAAGAGTGAAGTTCTTGTATTCAAGGACCAATTCAAGTCGGACGCGATCCTCGGAGCCGTCTTTATCGACCGTAATACAACCATTGCAGAGCTGTGCAAGCAAATACAAGCAGAGATTGATAACGTTCCAATGCATTTTAAACTAGCAAGACTCAATGATAGGTATCAGATTCCACTGAGTAAAGGGCAATATAACCAACAAGCATGGATGCATTTTAATGGAGGATACAAATCAGAACAATTGTCATCAGTGTTAATATTGATTGAAACTTCCGAGTCGAGTTAATTGTATGAATAAAACATGATATTTTGTAGGATTTGAGATTCAGTCTTGTAAAACGAAGTTGATTTTCTAGAATTCTTTGCAGTTATTTCGTCACTTTATATTGCAGTTATGAATTCCGAACCTACTGATGATGCTCTGTATCCCATTGCTGTTCTCATTGATGAGCTCAAGCATGATGATGTAGTGCTGCGTTTGAATGCTATTCGTCGTCTGTCCACTATTGCTCTGGCTTTGGGCCCAGAGCGTACCAGGGATGAGTTGATTCCCTTTTTAGATGGTGAGCTGGATGTGTTCATACACACTTCTGCATCGAGTGCAGACCATAAGTCGTCTTTACAACATGAATGGAATATACACACAAATGACTTGCTCATTCACACTATAAAAAAGCAACCACTTTCAATACAGTTAGTCTGGAGATTCAGTTGGACTAGTGTCGGATATGTTGAATATTTTCTTATACGTTGTATGCATCTGTCAGTCTACTGTCCACTTGCAGTGTGTGTTGTACTTTGCTTATTATCCATCAAATCCTCTTCGACTACTTGGTGGACTTGCTCATTCGACGCTTGGGTTGTGCTCGTCGCGCATGTCCATGGCATCGTTTGAAGCTGCTCTCGTCTAATTCCCGTTTAAATTCCATCTTCAAGCATTGCTTTGACTACATGATTGTGATGCACTAAACTAACAGAATTGTTGATCGTGTAATCGCTATCCATTTCTTTATTGAAATCATCAAATCTGGCTCTATCAATATTTAGAATCTGTCGATGACGAGGACGAAATTCTTCTTGCTCTTGCTGAAGAACTGGGTGGATTTGTTGATTACGTTGGAGGTCCTCATTATGCACATATTCTGTTTACACCTCTGGAAAACCTGGCTGCTGTCGAAGAAACAGTTGTTCGTGAAAAGGTAAAGCTGCAAAACAATATTGTTTTTACAAAAGATGAGTCCAATATTAACGATACATTCAACATTGGTTTGATAGGCAATTGATTCTGCTGCTAAAATTGTCGTGACGCTTTCTCAGCACCAGATTGAAGAGTTCTATTTGCCTATGCTCAAGCGTCTTTCAACCGGTGATTGGTTCACCAGTAGGACTAGTGCTTGTGGTTTATACGCTTCTGCATACCCACTTGTATCTCCTACGCATCAGGATGAACTTCGCACGTAAGTATTTCTTGAATCTTGTCAAGATTCCGACATTGAAATGCATGCACTGACAGTATGTTGTTTGCAATTTTAGTCTGTACTCTCAGCTTTGCAACGATGACACTCCTATGGTCCGACGTGCTGCTGCAACATGTCTTGCTGTAAGCGCATGATTGATATCTGGCAATATAGTTTCTACTATATCAATATACTGATCCTGTTTGTGATGCAATGGTATTCAATAGAAATTCACCAGAGCCTTGTCAAAGCCTCATGTGATTTCAAGCCTATTGCCATTTTTCAATAGTCTTGCCCAAGATGAGCAGGTAGCCATTTAAACTTGTTTAGTAACAGATTATAGCTTGCTGGATAGGCTTATTGATTAAATAATTTTTAAATGCAGGACTCTGTTCGTCTTTTGACTGTTGAAAGTCTAATTTCAATTGCCGAAATCATGCAGCCTGAAGAGTGTAAGCAGCATCTTCTGACTGTTTTGCGTAGCCTGTGTGCTGACAAGTCGTGGAGAGTGCGCTACATGATTGCCGACAAGTTTATTTCGGTAGATATACATGGATCAATACGATGCAACTATTCATGCTAGTCAGTCCTCGATCATGTTTTCTTATATAATTGTCTGTATTTAGCTTGCAAAAACCGTTGGTGCGGATATTATAAAAGAAGATTTGACTCCTGCATTTGTTCAAATCCTTAAAGACAACGAGGCAGAGGTGCGAACGGCAGCATCTACCCAAGTTCCAGGGTTTAGCGCTCTTATCCCTCTTGATCTGATTCTCAGTGATGTTTTGCCCTGTGTCAAGGAGCTGGTGAATGACTCCTCCCAACACGTTCGTGCTGCTCTAGCTACTCAGATCAGCAGTTTGGCTCCTATTCTCGGCAAAGAGCAGTACGTTTTTTAAATCCCAGTTGTTCATTCATGCTTGAATTAATCATTTTTTATTGGTTTTGTACTATAGCACGACTGAGCACCTTCTTCCCCTGTTTCTGCAACTCCTCAAGGACGAAGCTTCGGAAGTTCGTCTTAATATCATATCGAGACTCGATCGTGTCAATGAAGGTATGTTGCAATCATTTGATTTAAACAGAGCGTTTGAATGTTGCTGATTGCCATGAACGTTTCAACCCAGTGATTGGCATTGAGTTGCTGTCTCAATCTCTTTTGCCTGCCATTGTTGAGCTTGCAGAGGACAAACAGTGGCGTGTGCGTCTGGCCATCATTGAAAACATTCCACTTTTGTCGAGTCAATTGGTACGTATATCTTGATCACTTTGTTTAATCGTCTGGCTGTTTAATTTAAAATGCTTTCTATCTAGGGTGTTGTATTTTTTGACGAGAAACTGAGTGGTCTCTGTATGTCTTGGCTTGGCGACTGTGTCTTTTCTATTCGCGAGGCTGCTACCAATAACTTGCGTCGTCTTGTAGAGGTTTTTGGTGTTGAATGGGCTAAACAGACGATTCTTCCCAAAATTTTAGCTATGGCTCAGCACTCCAACTATCTGTATCGCATGACCACTGTTTTTGCCATTGCGGTATGTTTAGGGTGTAATGATTCCAAGATGTCTAATTTTCAATACGCTGACTTGTGCTGTATTCATTTTTTAAATGCTGGGTTAGACTATTGCTCAAGCTGCCAATGCTGACGTGATTAGCGAGTATATTGTTCCCACTGCCACGACACTCAGTGCCGATCCAATTCCCAACATTCGATTTAACGTAGCCAAAGCACTCGGCATTCTGATTCCTATTGTCAAAAAGACAGAAAACAACACACTGCTAAATGATCAAATCAAGCCTGCATTGACCAAACTTTGCGAGGATGCTGATATGGATGTGCGTTACTTTGCTCAGCGTGCACTTCTTACTGCTTAACTCATAAAACGGGACTGTTTACAGTCTTGGCTGTTATGGGATGAATTATGACTGGGTATTCAGTACTCTTTAAATAAAGCTGCTTCAAGGTTACATTTGAGATTTACACCAACATAAATGTGACTCTTTAACACTTCATTTAAAGCAATGTAAAACTTGTCTATCCCAAACCAGGAGGGTTACAAGAGAGTATCTTACAATATTAAATTGTTTACTATACAGCCCAATTTAGAGTGACGATTCCAACTCTTTCCACACTCGGGTTGAATGGGTAAAGATCAAAAGTCTAAACTGTGAATCAAATCTATAATCATTTACTTTCCAACTCATTGACCAATTCTATAAAAGCAAGATAACATCGTTCGAGTTGCGTGTCTAGCGACCATCAAAGATACGATCAGGTATAAGCAAATAGAAAGGATAGAGAATCAAAAGCAAAGATTAGGGTTTGAGGAAACTAACAAAAGGGATTAGATGGGTAGACGACGCGAGTTTTCCAGAGTGTGTGGAGTGCTTGACTGTGTAGAGTCTAGATTGGACGAAGAGGGTCGAGAATGCAGATCCTCTTCGTCCGTATCGTCACTAGTGAATGGCATTGCCCAAGACTCGGTCAACGAATCATGGCGTGTCAAAGGAGATTGAGTAGCACGATGTGTCGTTTGTCCCCGATTCAAACCAGGCAATTCACTACTATTAGATGAAGACCCACCTAAAGGATCATGTCCAGTGGGACTATGTGGTGGTGATTCGTTTGCTCTACGTTGTGCTCTCAACCGAGAATTAAGTCGCATCATTCTCCAATTAAGTGCTGCTCTGAATCCATCAAAACCCAAAGCAGAACGAGGCGAGGATGACGGTGCAAGTGAAATGCCCAACTCGGATGTAGTGGCGGGCCTCAAACGTCGTCGTAATGACTGACCGCTTTCTTGGTATATTCGTTTAGCTATCAAAGGCACATCAAAATCCATGGTGAATACTGTGCTGAGTTCTTCTATGGGTATGGAGGGATATGCATTCAATGGAATATCTTGTGGATTATTATAAGATCCAGATGGGCTCGACTCGGCAACATTCAAACTTTCTCGAGGTTCTTCAGTCATCACATGTCCTACGTGTAATGGCAACGAAACAGTTTCAGATACTGATGGTGTGGTAGGAGTTTCTGCAGAACGACGTTGACGATTAGATCGACGTCGGGCTCTAGGCAATGCAGGAGTTATAGTGAATAGCTGTCGTGAAGCTCGAGTGGATGATTTAACAGAGTATAAAATCACTGTTCGCAGTAATTGTAAACATGTTAGCAGTAGGTCATTGAAGATGAGGAACAGTCGAGTAGTATTTTTAACTATAAATCAGTTATAAAAAACAGTATAAGTATTTACTATTTAAACCATCTGATTGCATGTAGAATCAAAGCCATTCAAAACATCAAATCGTATACTCAATCCACTGCTGTGAAACCAACTTACCAGGACCAAAAAAGTCGATAATTACACTGGGTCCAGTAGGAGTGCTAAAGTGTCCAAATAGAAACAGTCCATTTACAACCAGCACATAGTTGATGCTTACGCTTGCTGACTTGGAGTGCATAAATGGAGACTGAAACTGCAGCATTAAATAGTGAATGGTTAGCACCAACTCTATTGGCATTGCTAAAGCATCTGATTGATAGAAAGAGCAGAATACATGCGAATTCAATAGCAAAGGGCTTACAGCGAGAGCAAGGACTCTTAAAACAAGAGTCAGGAAACTATAGTCTAGTAGAAACAACAACACAAAGTTGACGTAGATGACATGCTCAAGAGAATTGATTAAACCCTGCGAAACTTCTAATGGGCCCATTGGCAAGTAGTAATGTTTGATGTTTTCCTAATAGCAGCTTGAATGCGACCCCATGCAGCACTATCAGCAGCAGTTTTCAGATTCAGAATTGGATCTGATGTTAAACTAGAGGAAAACCTCAAATTTTATTTATTGCTGCCATTCCATAACTTGTTAATATTGCTTTTCAATCCAATAATTCCATAAATCGGATTTTTGTAGTGTGTTGATTAGTCAAGAGTTCGTGTCTGCCAATTCAGATTTGATATTTTCAGATTCATCGGTTAAAGTATGTAGATTACAACTGGCTTCTGCTTCGAGTCGCTTCAATAAACCAAATCGAGCTGTTCGAGGTGTAACTGCATGTTTTGCAGCAAAACTCTTTCGATGATTACCACGAGGAGTTTGTCGTTTCTGTAGAGCTTCTGTGGAAATTTCAGATGCTGGTGGAACTTTAAGACTATCCAGAGTCCGTTGAGCTCTTTCTGCCTTTTCCAACTTGAGCACCACCAACTAGATTAACACATTCAGTCAAATTCGTTAGTGTTTCCAATGCTAGTTTGCACATTCAATTATAAAACGAAACATGTCAGATTTAAACTTTTTAAATCCGAATTCTTGCCTTGTCAACTTGATTGCATGTAGTGGAAATATCAGAATAGTCGCGCTCAACTTCATCAAACTCGTTGTCTAGAATACCTGCAATCAACACCATTGTATTGTAGTTAGACTAGAATTCAATGTTATGTTTACAAGAGTGTCTGTCAGTTCAAGTTACCAAATTCCGGAATGGGTTCGTGGCCAGCAGCCTGAGGTTCAACCATCGCAGCCTTGCTAGTGATATCTGTCAAGATTTGAACACTGTCTGAGATCATCAATTCTAACTGTTGTGGAATCTCTCTTCTCATCTGGGTTGTTCGTACAAGTGCACTTTGGACACTTGTATGCAATTCATCTGCCTCTTGTCTTAATGCCTCATCAATAGGTTCATATTCTGCCATGTGTATTAGAATCCAGACTTGAAAGTGTAATGGGTCGAGTCTACATACCTTGAACCTCTTCAAATGCCTTGTTAAAATCCATTCCATTGACCTCGATATTCGAGGCAGCATATTCAAATGTCAAGTTGATCCACTGTATATATGCAAGAGTGTGATGTTCATGTCCAGAATTAGTAAATGTTTCAACAGCATCAAGTCAACCAAAAAGACGAAACAAGCAGTAGGCATGCCTGTGCTAAACGACGTTCGACTTCCAGTTGAACACCTTCAACATCCGCTCTAGGAGGTTGTTTATCTGTCACTCCAGTGGTAGAGCGAAGCTTTTTGGCTGCAATAATACGAGTGCGAGCGTCCGAAACTGTCTGAAACTGTTGTCGTCGTTTCTGAACAGCTTCTGATATGGCAGTGTCCAATTCCTTGCGCACAAACTGTACATCCTGTCTAGACTCGGTCTGTATTTTGGTATGAACAGCATTTCCTCCATTAGTAGCAGCAGTGAGCATATTACTAGTTGCTGTCGAATCAATTCAAATAATGCTTCCAGTTAAAGTACAGATTTGCTTTCTATTCAACTTTAATCCAACAATTCATTACTGCATTTTATTGAATTCAACGATAGTTTGTGTAGACTGCTTCTGACATGACTGCATGAGGTGGATGGCATCCAGTCCAGAGTTGAAATTGCTCGTATCCTTGCTCAATCAACACATCGATCCCCTCGACGCATGCAAAGGTGGATGAATGCTTTTGATTAGCATGTTGTGCTGCCATGATAAGTTTGGTTTGACGGGGTCGGTATGCCATTTCTACCACCACTCCACCAACACCATCTTTGAATAAACTATCCAGATCAAGCGCGTCTTGAGCAGTCGATGGAATCGTTCCTACGATCGCATAAAGCGGTTGTTCATCTTCCATTGGCTCGGCAATAGGCACAAGGTCTTTGAGCTCCTCAACAGCAACGTATTTGAATTCCTTTGCCATGTCAGCAGCCTTGTGTACCGTGCGGTTCCATACTCGTACTTGTTGAATATATGAAATCTGACTCAGTGCATAGCATGCAGCACGAGCAGTTCCACCTGCACCAAGAACGATCCCTACAACTTTTCTACTGCAGCTCACTCCAAGATGACGCTGAATGCATTGCTTAATTCCAATCCAATCGGTATTGTGTCCTACAATTTCTCCATCAGCTTGCATATGAAGAGTATTGACTGCACCAATCTGTTTGGCTGCAGAACAGATTCTGGTTGCTATACCAGATTGAATCACATCAATCTTGAGTGGAATCGTCACGCTTGCACCACCAAATGTACCATCGAGTTTTCCTTGCTGAACCACTTCACGTACTCGATCAATAGAATCAGTTTCTAATAACGAATAGTGATGTGGAAGCCCCAACTGCTTGAATCCAGTATTGTGGAGAACCGGTGACATGGATTCTGAAATTGGCTTACCAAACAGATAGTACTCTTTTTTGGGTAGCATACCAATCAAGTGTCGAATTGAATGAATCTGTGAAATTGTCAACTGTCCTGGTGCTGCAAGCATAGGCATAGATGCATGAGTGACGGGTGTCAAATAGGTATTCAATACTCGGGACAGCTGTCCTAATGGACCCATAGCTAATGCAATAAGAGGTTTAGGCGCCAATCCAAGCTTTGGAACAAATTGATTGCGAAATGTAGATACTGCTATACTATCTGCTATATTATGAGCAACACCAATGAGCTTAATACAGTCTGAATGTGCATAGAGATCTTGATATATGTCAAGCATGCAAACTGGTGTTGGCTCACGACATTGCCGTTTCACAGATTGTTCTTTATCTGCCATGCTTACAACTGTGCCAGTAATGCGAGTCGCAGTGTGACCATCAGTCCATAAAGCAACTCCTCGACAATCATGATACGATCCAATAATGAGCGAATTTCCTTTGGATTTGGTAATCGACGAAAATCTTTCAAACGGAGCAGTGAATTCCACATCAATGTACTCGCATCCCAGTCGTATACCCAGCTCTAGCAGAGAAATCATGTCCCGAGTTTTATCATCAGGAAAACGTCCACCTTGACTTTGTGTTCTAACAGTATACACAATAGGTAACTTTGATAAATGACGAAGCATGGCAACTTGAGAGCCAACAAAGTCTGGTTTGGTGGATTCGAGAAGATCCACGCGTAGCTCAATGGCATTGGCACCTTCAGTAACCTGCTCAACCAGTGCTGCAGCAGAAACCACGTTAGGGAAAGTCAATGACACAAAATAGCTCGTATCCAAACTCTTGTCATTCACATTGGGCTTAGTAGTAGCCAACTTGAAATGCAAAAATTGCATAAATGATTGCTCCACTTTGTTCCAATACGCAGCATTCGCCTGGTTCAAACTAGTTGGAATCACAAACTCGGCACTAGAACATTCGGTATATAGTGGTGCACGACGAGCAAATACAGATCGCACATCCTGTCCAAACGATGGTCGTGTGGTATCAACGCCTAGATATGCTTCAACCTCGTCTATATCGCGACGAATGTGAATGACAGTGCCGCTCCAGTTTTCAAGTGCACTGCGCGCATCAGGAGTTTCAACAATACCACCACCAGAAGCAATCACCGCTCCTGTAGGGTACGTTACTAGAATGTCTTGCAGACATTGCAATTCCTGTGTACGGAATCCTTCCCAACCTTGTGCCTTGATGAGTTCAGGAATTGTGGTAAGCAACTTTTGTTCAAGATACACATCCATATCAATAAATGTACGTCCAAAATGCTTTGCAGCTGCACGACCCATGTGTGTCTTCCCCACACCTCGCATACCGACGAGTAAAATAGAGGATTGTGAGATTTGAGAAGAATGGAAACATGCAGCAGATTCAGTGGTAGTATGGAGTTTTGAAGCATGCATGTGTTTTGGTAAATCAACACCAGTAATCTTGGTTCCAAGAGTATTTTCCAGTGTATCCCACCATGACGGCCAAGTCTTTTCAACACACTCTCTTTCGGTTATTACCACACCAGTGTTGTGCTTAGAATCAACTGCACAAGCAAGAATACTAAAACTCATGGCAATACGATGATCATCAAAACAATGGACACCCGACAATGGTTTGGTATGGCAAAGTTTGGAACGATCCATACCATGGATTTGAATTCCATCAGGAAGTTCTGAAGCGCAAACACCAAAAAGGTCAAGTTGCTGAATCATGGCAGCAATACGATCGCATTCCTTGACACGTTGATTGGCAATTCCAGTGATTCGAGTTGTATTGTCATCGACATTTCCATTACTCTGTGCAACAGCTGCAAGGACTGTAGCTGTCATAAATGCATCCGTCATGGTTTCCATATCAATACAAGGAAGTGGTACAAGCTGCTCAGGTCCTTGAACAGTGGTTGTAGTTTCGGTTTGATGAACACTACATCCCATTTCTTTCAAAACACGAATAGCAAACATGGCGTCGCCTTGAAGAGAGTTGCTGCCAATATTAGTAACCGTTACAGTTGAGCCAGTTATGGCAGCAAATGCTAGAGGATACGTTGCAGATGATGCATCCGCTTCGACCATGTATTCGGTAGGATTAGTGTAGATTCCCTGTGGGATATTGTACTTGTTGGTGCCAGGAATACGCGTAACATGAATACCAAATGACTTCATCATGGCAATAGTCATATCAATATATGGTTGTGACACCACTGCATCGCCATCAAGATCCAGTGTAACCGGACTAGAGGCATAAGGTGCAGAAATGAGTATGGAAGATACATACTGCGAGCTAACGGATGCGGAGAGGTGAATCGTTCCACCAGAAAGACCGGTTGGACTTGATTTAATGGAAATAGGTAAACAACCCTTTGTTCCAAGATACTGGATATCACAATGGTTATCTACAAGAGCATCGACCAAAGGACCAATTGGTCGTTGTTTCATACGAGCATTTCCAGTCAACACCGCAGACTCCACATTTATTGCACTCGACTTGATAAGAGTGCATACAGTGGTCAAAAACCGAGAAGCCGTTCCAGCATTTCCAAGATATAATTCGCTCTGAGGACTACGCAATTTGCCACCGCCGCCGTTTACAACCAATGTTTCGCCCTTATTTTCCCACGTATATGAAATTCCAACAAGCTTTTGAAGAGCATCCAGCATGACTTGCACATCATCTGAATGTAACAGTCCATGCAAGCGACAAACGCCTTTTCCAAGAGCAGCCATAACCAAAGCTCGATTGGATATAGACTTTGATCCAGGAATTGCTAGACTTACATTTAGTTTTGTATTTGAAGGAGTAACAAGAACAGCTGGTGAGATGATCTTTTGGATGACGTCGTCGGCAACAAAACTAGCACGAGGCTCCACAGTTGCACCAAGAGCAGATAAAAGCACTATACGCTTCTTGTCGCCTTGATTCTTTTTGTCAACGCGCATAATATCAAGAAGGCGATGCGTAGGAAACGTTTTGTTTGGACAGCGTGTCGATACAAGAGGATCATTCAAGGAAACTGGAAGACCATATGCTCGAAGACATCGAACAAGACGACCAACAGACACGTTATTTAAATGACCGAGAAACCGAGACACTTCTGCTTCTTTTACCATTCCGATAGCAACGCATTCACCATGCAACAAATGTGGGAATGCAATAGCTTCAATAGCATGACCAATTGTATGACCAAAGTTCAACAGACCACGAAGACCAGTTTCCTTTTCATCAACTGTCACGACATGTGCCTTGACCTTGATAGATCCCAGAATAAGTCTAGTAACAAGATCCATGCTTTCCTGATCTGAAATCAAACATGTAAATTGATATGAGCCACAAAAAGCAAGTTTATGCAAGTAAAAGTATAAATCAATCTTTACAGAATAACAGCAATGCACTCACCTTGATTGGAATCAGATCCGACCAAACCAAGAATCCTATCGGAATGGTTTTCAAGCATTTGAAAATCCTTTTCATCCCAAATAGCAGCAGTCTTGATCACTTCAGCCAACCCATTCACAAACTCTCGTTTATTCAACGTGGTTAAATACTGAATATCAATAAATATACGACGAGGTTGATGGAAAGCGCCAATCAGATTCTTGCCATTGGGTGTATCCACAGCAGTCTTTCCACCCACAGATGAATCAACCATTGCTAATAAAGTAGTTGGAATCTGAACCACTGGGACACCTCTCATGAATGTAGCAGCAACAAATCCTGGATGCATGAAGTGTGAGAAGATAGATAGACAGCTTAACCATACATGCCAACTTTAAAGATAGCCAAATGCTTACCAACCAGATCACCCAAAACACCTCCACCCAGAGCAATCAAGCAACTGTCCCGAGTACAAGCCTGCGACAACAACCAATCCTCAATACTGGCCTTTGTGTCTCTGGTCTTATGAACCTCTCCAGCAGGGATTACAACAGAGAGGATACGAGACTTGCTTGCAGTGGCAGCAGTCTGGTTGGCAATCTCTCGCTGGAATGCAGCCAGTAATTCATCCAGATGCAACTTAGCCAAGTTCTCATCAGTGATGATGGCATAGGTGCTGGCGGGAATACAAGAAACCACATCAGCAGCAATGTGACCAACAATGCCTTTTCCTACAACAATACTCTCAGTACCGAGGATCGACACTTTATGCATGGATGGTTTTCGTGAGTCCAGAATGAATATTAATTAGACAGTCGTTGAGCAAACCTTGCGTCGGTTGCTTCTGTTCTTGCACATATGCACAGCCCATACGATGGGAATCAGTCACAGCTTGTCTGACTAATTACTGCCGTATTCATGTAGAACGAACACTCGCAGCGATCGCTTTAGAATAGTCAATCGTTGAATGTCCGTTACGCTTTCCTAACATTCTCAATTTAATAAATGCAATATTCATCATATAATGCAAACTATAGTTTTAAATCAAAACTGTCCTCTTTGGTATAAATTGTACAATCACTAGACTCGTCCATTGCAATCCACATATTGGATTCATTTGTTCTGACGTTGTCAAACCTTATAAACTCATATCTGACATCCAGCGAATTGAGTGAGAATTAATATTCCATGAAATTGGCTGTTTATTATACGACATTGATATTTAGTATTTAGTTTGGCGTGAATGACTGTAGTGATAATCTGACAGATGATACTTGACATTCATGTGTATTTGCTCGTATCCAAACTCTTGTGAACTAATCTTGAATTTAATCTGATGTTTGTCATCTGTCTAATAGCTTTTATGATTGTTTTATGCCATCCATCATAATACGGTGTGAATCATATCTCACTGTAGTGGATTGACAGCAGAGGTTAAATAGCTTGGTTTCAGCCGTTCATTATTATCTTCATCTTGCCTTGTTATTAATTACTCTTTAAATCCTTCCAACTCTTTCAATATGAAGCTCGCCACTATGGTTTCTCTCGCTGTGGTTTCCACTGTCGTAACTGCCTCATCCGACAGCTCGTACATCAAGTCCTATGATGGGAGTGATGATTATTATGTTGCTGATCAGCATGATTGCGATCAATATGGAACATACGGTTCTGCTTATGGTGGTTGTGTTTCCAAGTACGAAAAGTAAGCATCTTGAGTACATGAATACAATCGCGTCAAACTTGACTGATTGAATATCAGTCTGCTCTTAATCATGATTTAATTACTGACTTTGTTGAACTGTGATTTTACTAAACTCCAGGGATTATTATAGCTACATCAAGCACTACAAGCGTGGTGATGTTGAAAAAACCGATGAATACTACGATAAACCCGTCGAGAAAGTCAAGTCTTACGATTCTTACGACAAGGATGCTCACTACGATTCTTACGACAAGGATACTCATTACGAGAAACCCGTCGAGAAAGTCAAGTCTTACGATTCCTACGGCAAGGACTCTTACCAAAAACCATATGATTACAGCAAGTACTACAAGCGCGGTGGTGATGATGTTGAAAAAACCGATGAATACCACAAGAAACCTGTCGAGAAAGTCAAGTCATACGATTCTTACGACAAGGATACTCATTACGAGAAACCCGTCGAGAAAGTCAAGTCTTACGATTCCTACGACAAGGATGCTCATTACGATTCTTACGACAAGGATGCTCATTACGAGAAACCCGTCGAGAAAGTCAAGTCTTACGATTCCTACGGCAAGGACTCTTACCAAAAACCATATGATTACAGCAAGTACTACAAGCGCGGTGGTGATGATGTTGAAAAAACCGATGAATACCACAAGAAACCTGTCGAGAAAGTCAAGTCATACGATTCTTACGACAAGGATACTCATTACGAGAAACCCGTCGAGAAAGTCAAGTCTTACGATTCCTACGACAAGGATGCTCATTACGATTCTTACGACAAGGATGCTCATTACGAGAAACCCGTCGAGAAAGTCAAGTCTTACGATTCCTACGGCAAGGACTCTTACCAAAAACCATATGATTACAGCAAGTACTACAAGCGCAGTGGTGATGATGTTGAAAAAACCGATGAATACCACAAGAAACCCGTCGAGAAAGTCAAGTCATACGATTCCTACGGCAAGGATACTCACTACGAGAAACCTGTCGAGAAAGTCAAGTCTTACGATTCCTACGACAAGGATACTCATTACGATAAACCCGTCGAGAAAGTCAAGTCATACGATTCCTACGACAAGGATACTCATTACGATAAACCCGTCGAGAAAGTCAAGTCTTACGATTCCTACGACAAGGATGCTCATTACGATTCTTACGACAAGGATACTCATTACGATAAACCCGTCGAGAAAGTCAAGTCTTACGATTCTTACGGCAAGGACTCTTACCAAAAAACATATGGTTATGAAAAATAATCTGGCTAATTTACTCATACTTTCAATGTAAAATGTATCTCGGATCTAATACTGTGCTGATACATTTGCTAATCGCGAGTTATTTCTTATTGTCTTGGTGCCTTGTGCATATTATCTCAGTCATTATGAGCTAAACCATTCTTTATTTATTTATCTATTCTTGGCTAGTTTTAAAGCCGAATAAAAATTCAATAATTAACTAAATCGATGTGATTTGAACATGTTGACTTTACATACAACCAAGGAATATCTGATACGATCGTAGTATTGAATAGATTCATGTTTTAGTTCAAGATAATGATTGTAATCTAAGAATGCAAGAGTTTTGGTGATTACTCAATGATTTGAAGAATTGAAACAGAAATGTGGTTAGTTTTTTTTAGACAAAAACCAGCCAACTAAAGAGTTTAAAGAACAAATATCGATCAGTCAATTGACTCATGAAATTGATTGGAATTTATTTTGTGTAAAGACGCTGTAAATGGTCGAGTTGGAATTTGTAATAAAACACGAATATTCGACCATCGTTCCAAAGCAGTCGAGTGTTGAATCCAATTGTAGTTTATCGATTTCTTCCATTCATCACCCATGTTCAAACCATGTATTCTTGCATTGGTGCTACTTGCACAGACTGTTCTTGGTCTGCATTTTTATCTGGAATCAGGAGAGCGAAAGTGCTTTAGTGAGGATCTTCCAGCAGGAACAAGCATTATTGGTATGTATTCGATACTAAACCATTGTCATATCTTGAATTCTCTTGTTGCAACATGTACATCTGCACATGCATTACTCTCCAAAACCAATATCTTATAGCGTAGTTTACTGCTATCCAAAAAGCATGTTCACTCCAGAAACTGCATTCTACACAATCCTGGCATCGGTTATGCCGCTGATGTTTGATTACATTCGTTGGACACTTGTTCGATTCATGCTTAAATGAGCTTTTCTTTCTAGGCGCCTTTAGTTCTGAACTGTGGAACTCTCAAACAAATACCTTTGTTGAAAACCCTCAGACCAAAGTCCAAATCACAGTTTTTGTAAGTTGGTCAGATATCGCTATATTGTATCTTTTCTCTACAGCTTTGGCTACACCAGTTGCTTTGCTAACAAGAATACATGTTGATCGGAAATCATACTTGAATCAATATAGTCCGTTGCTACTCAACATAACTTGGTAGATCAGAAAGGTGCACACAAAGGGAAATTCACTTTTACTGCTGCTGATGCCGGTGATCACCAGATTTGTCTGTATGTTGATCTAATTTCCGTGTAAATTCGTATGCTCCTGATTTACCAATATCTGATGTTTTTGGTACTTTAGCTCTATTACTTCAGATGGATGGTTTTCAGTTCGTTCGGTAAGTTGATTAGATTCTAGGTCTTGTATTGTTGAATACACTGTTTTTCACGATATGAATTATGTGGTTGTTGTTCTGGTCAACCCTAAATCTTTGTTTAAATTAGAAATTGTACTTGGATATCCAATTTGATAATTCCGAAGAGGCCGATCATACCGAAGTCAAGAAAACATCGTATTATGGTTAGTTTTGGATCGACATGTCATATGTTGCAACTGGTTTCCGCTAACGTGGGATTCATTTTTAGAACTCAAGAACCGGATCAGAGAGCTGACCAGTAATGTGCAGTATATTCGCAGTGAAATGAAACATCAAAGAGTATGTGTGATGATCCATTTTGACACCTATTTGGATTGACTGGACAGTTGTTCAGTTTCAAAGTTTACTCAATGATTGTGTATCTCAGGCAAATACGCTAGGTTTTTGTTATTTACTAATCAATACTATGCCTACTTTCAGGAACGTGAGGCCGAGTTTAGAGATAGCAGCGAGCTTGCTAATTCATCTGCCGTTCGCTGGACCATTGTGCAGATGGTTGTGCTCGGTAAGTTTGTGTCGACATGAATTGTTAAAGGAACGCATAGCTGTACATCTGTTATTCTTGTTTTGGATAAATATATGTATTAAATATTTATGTGTAATGATTTACGAAATACAGGCGTTACTGGTGTTTGGCAGCTTCGCCACCTCAGACAGTTCTTTCTTACAAAGAAACTTGTCTAAACTTCTCATCTTGTTGATTTCTAATAAAATGAGACCAGGTTTCTATTGCAAATTTTGAACATTGGACGAATGGTGAAGCAAGTTTTGTGTCTTGGTACGATAGCATTCCACCTCCTACACGTCATTGGATTTAGCTTTATATTTTGGGTTTAGACAAGTGTTTAGATGCCAGTCATCATATACCTTGATTGTTCGAGCTTGCCACTCTGCTGGAGAGATATCTACTTCAGTAAATGACCAGTCAAATGGTGCTGCATCGTCTGACTCGCTATCAGGGTCATGAAATGCTGCAAAATAAGGATGGCTCAATGCTATGCTAGCAGATACACGTTCTTTGGTATCCCAGACAAGCGTTTTTGACAAAAGATCAATAGCTAGCAATATCAAGTGTTAATAATGCATTCAATGCTCTACATGGTAGTAAAACTCAATTCATGACTGTTCAACCTAAGGGATCGTAGTTGGGAAACTTTTCAAAAAGCGAGATGGGAGCTCGTTGAGGAAGTGCCCGTACAAATTTAAGAGTCTGGAAAATAACAAAAAGCATAATGGTTAAAAACAATAGACTATACAACCAGTTGCTAATTAAACCTACATTTTCACTACAGATGGCATCTATAACATAGTCGGGTGGACTTCCAAGAACCTCGACAATCTGAGCAAACTGGTCCACATCTATCAGTTACCGAATGCTTAGTACAAGTACCAAATTATATGCTACCTAAAAATAAAAAACCCTCAATGGAAACTCACGATCTTTTCCAGAGAACAGTGGCATGCCGTGAATCATTTCTACACCAAATACAGTTTGTTAAAAAGCAATATGCGTGTGTATAAAAGAATACTATTAATGCAAAAGTTCAAGAACCATACCTGCTAAAATACACCCTGTGCTCCAAACATCCACTGCCTTGTCATATCTTTGCCAGGTCAGCATGATTTCTGGTGCACGATAGTACCTAGTTGAAACATAACTGTAAAAATGGCATGTCTTAGTTCAACAGACATGAATTAAAAAACCATAGTCAAAGCATTATCACACCCAGTCATTAATGATTCTGTCACACGAGCCAGTCCAAAGTCGCAAATCTTCAGGTCGCAATTTTCATTAATAAGAATGTTTCCCGGTTTCTAAAATCATAAAGGTGGAAAGTCGGATTAAATATTGTCAAGTGCTTAGCCATTTCAAATACAAAACAGCATGCTATCTAACCAGATCGCGATGCACCACGCCGGCTGAATGTACATATTTTAGCCCACAAAAGATCTGATAGGCAAAGTATTGTATATATTGTGGTTCAAGCTTTTTGACACTCAGCAGACGTTGAAGGTCTGTGCCAAGCAATTCTGTAATAAAATAGCTACACGAATAGAAAATGAGTTTCTTTGCATAAATAATAGTTTTAAATTTGACATATACACGCCAATAAAAAGTTGCACGACTTCATACAGATCATCTTTAGATGGTGATAGAACAACGTCTATAAGGCAGATTACCTACAAATTTTAAGAATAATTAAACCAGTGAGTTGGTATTAGTGTGGTTTACTATTTTCAAAATGGCTTTTAGTCTAGCCTGATGCGCATCACATTTCTTTTAACAAGGTAAATTACATTATCATGATTTAAATGTCTAAGAAGCATAAGTTCACGGAATGCCCGCTTTGCTAGTACTGGTGCTTGAAATGGCTTTGTGACTTTTTTGATTGCTCGTCGTTCTTTTGAAACAATATCCAAAGCAGAGCTATATGATGACAGATTCCAAGTCAGTACAAGGCATAATGATTGGATTTAAACAACCAATCGTTGTTATTTTAAATCATTAGTCGTGCGGATTGATGGTGCACAATTGCTTACAAGTCAAGCTACCCTTATTACAGGCGTATTCATGTAGATGGACCACTAAAAGTCACATTAGACTGCTAATCTACCAAATTTACTGGACAACATTATGTTTTTGGGTTTTCTGTAGCAATCAGCATCAAAATAACTGAACAAATGTTCACGTCACAGTTTCAGTAAATCTGAGTTGTTTAATCTTCAACTCTCCTTTCATTGAAACCAAACATTGGGTGATTGATGGAAACAACCATTGTATTGCCGAGATTGAAATCTCTGTTTGTTTGAATTGGTGCACAATATATGTAATTCTATAATACAGAAGGTTGTACAGGTTTGATTGAAAACAATCAAATGCAATATCTGGATTGTAATGAGTGAATCTAGTGACTGTGCAATGCATGTAAAAAAGGACAGACAAGTTGGGTTTACAATGTAGTCAGATTCCAGTCACAAACAATTGAATAAAACTACCTACCAGACTAAACCAAATGAACCCATTCCAATAGCTTCTAATTGTATATACCTAGAGAGTATAAAAAGTAGTATCAAGGTACAAGGTGTTGAGTATAATCAGACGAGTTCAATTTACAAGCCCGTTGGTATGAATTTATTCGTCACTCACCTCGCAGGGAGTTCAAAGGTGGTACCAAAAAGTGCAGTAGTTGTACAATCATCTTCATCCATGGTTGTGTTTGTTGATAGAATTGATCAATGCAATGCGGGGGTCGTTGATAAGATTATCAACTCAAACCGATACTAAATCTGTTCAAGTAGAACAATTTTCAACCCCATTTTTACAACGAATGCAAAAGCAGAATCTGCAGTTAATGGTAATATTTCAGCCTGGACACGATCTGCCAGCACATATTCGCATTGACTGTGTTGTTAGTAGTTGAAATATGGTTTGAATTGGTCGATTAGTGTTGCATACACTGCAGATGGTTTGTTCGTGCTGTTTGAATCTGTCTGCAGATGGAATTAGTCAATAAAACTAAAAGTCAATTTATCTTCACGTGATTGTTGATAAACTGGCGAGTTCTTTTTTTTACGTTCAATTACTGTTAGCTTGTCTTATTCCAATTTATTGCTGCAAACATGGCTGTTCGTAAGTTGACTAGCTGGTTTCGCTATATGCATTGATTTTTTCAAAAATACTATTTAAACATAGTGGTGCTTTTTTGCTCTAGTTTGGCCATGTCTAGACTGTTGGTGTTAACCCATTCGATCTGATGATTCTTTACAGGTGCTCAATTCGAGAATTCCAATGATATTGGTGCCTTTGCAAAGCTATCAAACTCCTATTGCCTTGTTGCAATTGGTGGATCTGAAAACTTTTATAGGTATTGTAGCATTCAGCCTGAATTTGATGTATGCAATGAACTTTGATAGAATAGAAAGGCTTGAATCTAACCATCAACTGGCGTAATGTGACCCATCCATTGTCATGACAGTGTTTTTGAGAGCGAGCTTGCTGATGTGGTTCCTATTGTGCATACATCGATTGGAGGAAACCGCATTATTGGTCGTTTGAGTGCTGGTAACCGACATGGTTTATTGCTCCCCAACTCCACTACTGATCAAGAACTCCAGCATATCCGCAACTCACTCCCCGATGCTGTGGCAGTTCAGAGAATTGAAGAGCGATTGTCCGCCCTTGGAAATGTGATTGCATGCAATGACTATGTTGCACTGGTTCATCCAGATATTGACCGAGAAACTGAAGAGATCATTGCAGACACCCTCAAGGTTGAGGTGTTTCGCCAAACCATAGCTGGTAATGTTCTAGTGGGTAGCTATTGTTCCCTGAGCAACCAAGGTGGACTCGTCCATCCCAAAACATCCGTCGAGGATCAGGACGAGCTTTCGTCGCTACTGCAAATCCCTCTCGTGGTAAGTGTGTCGAATGACTCATTTCATGTCTCCCAAAACATACCATTCAACACTCGAGTCAGCACGGGTTGACTGGACTGCATTCAGTCCTTTTGGCTGTCTTTGAAGAATCTAAACTAACTCGTTATTCTCACTATATGTTGTGGATCTGCTTGACATGACGTTGCAACATCACTAGGCTGGAACAGTAAACCGTGGTTCGGATTTAATTGGAAGTGGACTGATTGTCAACGATTGGAGTGCATTTGCCGGTCTCGACACCACAAGCACAGAGCTCTCTGTAATCGAAAGCATCTTCAGGTTGCAGGATAAGCGACCCACTTATGTTGTAAACGAAATCAGAGACTCTCTTATTGACAGCATGGCATAAGATTTTCAATAAACTCTTGTTTTTTGAATCCATTTCGGCAACCCAGAATGTAAATGGAAGTTTAATATCAAGTTCATTTTGCTACTCTTAATCTGGTTTCAATGGTGCGTTTGGATGCCACGTACCAGTAGAAGCGTCGTGCTTCAGAGCCAATGTATAGAAATCATCATGGCACACGCACTGGCTTCACATTCCAGATACGAGTGGCATACTCTTCAATGGATCTGTCATGTTGGATCGAGTATAAAGTGTCAATCTTCTGTTTAAACAACACTCAAAAATCATGGCTTACCGATCACTACTGAATTTTCCCATACTGGCAGCAGCTACAATCGATTTCTTTGCCCATTCAGCCTAACAGTACAGTTTTGTTATTAATCTAAACTGTAATCATACTAAAAGTCAAATACTTTACCTTGTTCTTGAAGCATCTGTCCACCTTGGCCATCGTCTCAATGTCTATTTTAATGCACGCCATCATCACAGAATCAAAATCATGATTAACACGCAAGTAAAATGAATTCAAACCATCACTCAATATTGTCAAGAGTTGAAGTAAAATACTCTTACATGAGGTAAAGTCCTTGTGTAGCAGATAGTGGTCGCTTTGCAGAGTGTCTGTTCAATAAACGAGTCAGTGTCAAATAAATGTATTACAGTCGGATTTCTAAAATATTCCAACATCAGTCGAGTACTACAAGCTTGACTCACTAAGAAGAGGCTCAAAAATAATTGGGTCGCCATAGTGTCCAGCATGAATACTGTCAACAACGGAAGATAGTTTTGGATCTCTTACAGTGCCGCCACCATAGGTCTGCTGATAACGCACGTCTTCTACTTGAGGAGTAAGAGTGCCAAATAGGAAAATGTTTTCCTCGCCAGTCTCTTCACCAATCTCAATGTTTGCTAATAGTATATTTAAAAATACAAAGTAATTAGTAGATTCAAAAACACAATATACAAGGTCAAACAATAGCTTATTGGTTACAATGCTTGCACTTACCTCCGTCAACAGTTCCAATAATCAAACCACCGTTTAATACAAACTTCATGTTCGAGGTTCCCGAAGCTTCAGTACCAGCAGTGGAAATATGCTGAGAAAGATCGCTGGCTGGAACAATAATCTCTACAAAAATATTCATTAGTTATAAAAGATGTTGAATCAAAAACAAGGTCTCTTCCCTAATCATACATGACCAACATACCTGCCAAAGAAACATTGTAATTGGGAATAAACACAAGCTTCAGATAGTCTGAAGTTTGCTTGTCATCGTTGATCACCCGTCCAACATTGTTGATCAGCTTGATGATCATCTTGGCAATGTAGTAGCCAGGCGCACTTTTTCCAGAAAAGATGACTATAGTAAATGGTTAGCTATTCTGTGCGTAGCCATGCACCAATTAATACTGATTACACGTACCAACATGAGGAACAACGTTTTTCAGTTCAGCATCTGGCATTGCCTTGAGAGTCTCGTAGCGATAAATGACAGCCATGATGTTCATAAATTGACGCTTGTACTCGTGCAGTCGCTTACACTATTCATGGCATTAGACAAAAAAGACAATACAAGGTTTTATAAAACAGATTTGTAAAGATTGCTCAGCACAAACCTGAACATCGAAAAGTGCGTCAGGAGAAACTTTGATACCACAAGCAGATGCAATGTAATCAGCAAGTCGAATCTGATGATTTAAAAATGTTGGACAAAAATATGAGTATGCTTGATGCTTTTATGAAAAAATCAATACCACACATATTATCAACGTATATACCTTGTTAAGGCGTTTAATCTCCATCCAGCGTTTCTGGAACTGAGCATCAGTTGAGAATTTACTGAGATTCGATAAAAGATTCAGGTGCTAAAAAACAAATCATTTTAAATAATCAGTACTGCAACCCAATGACTTGAAAGCAAGCACGCCAGACCATGTTGACAATTAGTTATACTATGTTACCGAAAGCCATTTGTCAGTCCCTAATTTTTCAGTGATTAGATCGCTCAACAATGGATTTGCCTGGTGCAGCCAGCGACGAGGTGTCACACCATTGGTGACATTGGTAAACTTTTCGGCACCAAAAAGTTCAACAAAGTCAAAAAATAGCTGTGACTTGACCAGCTCAGAGTGGAGAGCTGACAAAGTTATGTAAATAAACAATCATACGTAAATACAAGTTCGTATATGTAGATAAACATAGCGCGATTAAATCCAATTGCAATCCAACACACCTGCAACACCATTTACGCAATGAGAACCAACCACTGCCAAAAATGCCATACGGACATATTGAGGATGCCCTTCTTCAATAATAGACATGCGACGAAGACTGATCAAAGCAGCAGCATTTAGCATGTCAATAAAATTGAAGCATCATCGACAGGTCAAAAACTACATACCGATCACGATCACCAGGATATTTTTTCTCAACACTTTGCAGGAAAAACTATAAAAGATTAAAAAGTTAGAGCTTGATTCTTCATGATACTTGTTACAATGGGACAATAGAGCGACGAGTTTGATGACATACCAGGTTAATATCAAAGATAATCATCATGTGTCGAGGAAGGAGATCCGAAACTAAAGACACGGCCCATTTTTCAAGTGCCCTAAAACCAATATTAAACAAATTAATTATATGCGGCACACTAGTTAAACTCTACATATTTAGTCAGTATCTTACTCGGGCAAAACAGTATGGTTGGTATACGAATATACTCTTGTAACGATATCTATTCATTAGACATTAGGGTAAAAATTAAGTCAGTCGCGTATAAACAATGTGCTTAACCCTACAAGTATATCAAAGTATCATACCCCATGCTTCATCCCATGCCAAGTGTTCGTCATCAATCAAAATTCGCTGCAGCTCAACAATGCTGTTTAAAATAAAAAGTCGGATTGTTATGAGTGCCAAGCAATATTAACAAACATCAGCTGCAGATGCACAGGTATTACCCGAGAGTAGGATGCGTGTCTGTTGATTTCATCAGCATATTGAATTAGCAAGTGAGTATAAGCAGATTCAAATAAGCTCAATATATATTTACCATTCAGCTGGATGGCAACCTGGTCGGGAAACTCTGACCAAGGACGCGATGACTTTTTGAATCGGCGAATGATATCCTGAAGCGTGGCACATACAAAAAAGTATTGCTGCTTCAAGCGCAAAATCTTGCCAACCGTGTGATTGTCATTTGGATACTGATTCCAACAAAAGTGATTAAATCAATCGTAGAGAGTGGTTAATATGATTCAGGTTAGAGGCGATCTATTATACGACAGTCAGCAAATAGAGTACGTACAAGAACGGATGTAATGTTTTCTGCACCCTTTTGTTCTTCAACAGATTTGTCGTAGTTGCCCTCATTGAAACTTGCAAAGTCGAATTCTGTTGTTGGTTTGGAGCTCCACAAACGAATATTGATTGTATTTTTGGTTCCAAAGCCAGGGATGGGATAGTCATATGCAATAGCAATGACTTTTTCACCGCCTTCCCACGAAAACCGAGGGTTACCTTGATCATCTGAATATTTATTCACATGTCCTCGGAAACGAATCTCGTAAGCAACATCAAGTCGCTGAATTTCCCAAGGATTTCCTAAACACAGTGTGTAAGAAAATGTACGGAAATGGCCAAATATATAATACTGGCTGGACCAAGTATCCAAGATAACGTCAGACATTTCAAAAATAAAATTTACCAAATGCAAGCCAATAATCAGGATATTCTGTCTGATAGCCATCAACGATACGCTGTTGGAAAATACCGTATGTATAGCGTATACCATAGCCTAAAGCAGATATAAAAACCCAAAATAAGATTTACAGTACAGTTATGTCATACATATCCAAAGCATTATACAAAAATGATGTGGTTTTTTAGTAGTCCAATCAAGTTATCTAAATTTATATCTATTCAACCTACCCCAAGCTGGATAGTCCAGAGTAGCCAGAGAGTCTATTTAAATGGGTCAGAATTAAAGTATTCGTTATAGACATGAAACGTGCAGAATTAGTCTCGAGCACTTTAAAGAAACTTGAACTCAATGCGATGTTTCTTACCCATGAAGCAAGCAGCAAGTCGGCCTATTAGCATATGTCGAGACGTTTATCAACAAATGTTAGCCATGGTATGTCATGAAAAGTAAAGTGTAGTTTCAGAATTCAAATGACATATCGGTTTACCTAGACCGCCGTTTCCTAATGCGGCATCACACTCTTCTCCAATAAGGTCTTCAACATTGAATCCAACCTTTGAGATGGCATTCTTGTATCCTGGTTTCAGATCAAGATTAAGAAGTGCATTGTCAAGAGTTCTTCCAATTAAAAATTCAAGCGACAGATAGTAGACACGCTTTGGATCTTTTGAGGAATGAAGTTGCTGGGTAGTATTCCATCGCTCAAGAAGACGATCGCGCACACTAAGTGCAACAGCTTGATATGCAGCCACATCGTCCATGTTAAAGGCGCTACGAGCCTGTTTATTTCAAGATCACATGCATGGTTGTGTTACAATTGAAGTTCACATGTATTGGATGGTTTTATAAAGCTGAAGCAATATAAGCGATGCAAATGAATTGAAGAGCGATGAAGACAAACCAGGGTTTTGGTAACATGGTTCACAAATGAAAGCTGAATAGTTTTTTCATCTATTATGTCAATAAATAGAAAGCAATTCAATTAATTAGCACAGTAAAAAAGCCATATCAAAGGATAGAGAATAGCCTGAAAGTGAGATAAAACCAAGAATCACGGCTAGCCTAATGATAATAGTGCAGGGTTAAATATGAATAGTGGAGTGTACGAGATTCCCAATACACGTTATATGATGCAGGGTTAGTATGACATTGAGATGATTCCGAGATCTTTATGGAGTGATGCCATGCAGACACTATTGGTTCAAAACAGTGAGATCAATCACTCGTTTGTCGAGTGAAGATTGCTATTCGACATGTCTGATCTTGCTCAACAGAGTAAACTGAATGAATAGCAAGGGTACATCAACCAGCCATCCATACAAGACTGAATAGGATTGCAACACCATTTGATTTGGTATTCCAGATCAGACTCCAAGCATGCCATACAAGAGTACTGTCAGAACCAAGTAGATTGATTCATGTGCCAATACAGACTATCCAGCAGTACAAAAGTGTAGTGATTGATTACCATCGTCCTGTGGTTTATTGAGATCTTTCCACAGTTTGGCAACTTCAGGCGAGGGTTTCCAGGTAGGCAAAGAGCCTGCACCAGAAGGGCCAGTCGCAGAGCGAGAGCGTGGAAGCGATGATGACGACTGTGCTGAAGTAGAGCCAATCTTGGACATGTTAGTACGAGGCTGGACAGGAGTTTGGTTAACCGAGGCCATCAATGATGATTGGGTGGATAAAAGAGAAGGATGAATATGGAGTGTTGATGGACTGAAAAGGTGGATAAACGGCAGGACGGATTGTACTTGGATCTGCTTAGATTCACTTGCTGTCTTAAACTATCGTGTTTTCCAACTGTATTCAGTCTTGACTTTCTCTAAATGAAAAACCTTGTTTTATACAAACTGTATCAAGACTTGCATGAATCTATCACTCCATTCACTGTATTATCGCATCATTCATACAATTCTATAATCAAAACTCGATTCAGTTTTATGTATTCACGTCCTGATTCGTCAAGTCAAAATTTAAATCGTGTTTTCTACTAATTAGCTTAACATATATCAAGATGTTGCCAGTCATCGCGCAATTCCAGTCTTCACAAAAACCTACTCAGTTACAGCAGCAAGTTGGTCAAATACAGTCATCACAGCAAGGTCAACAGTATCTACTCTCAAATCGAAGTAGACTTTCATCTATTACTGAACCATCTGGCTCCAACTTTAATATTAAAATGAGTCTTCAAGAAAGTGTCACTCCTCCAGAAATCACTGTAGAGCAAACTCTAAAAGGTAATCTAGACTAAACAACGTATCTCAATCATATCTGAACAGACATTATAGTAAATATATGCATCAATATGCTCTTATTCAACACACAGGTGGATACGCTCTTCGAAAACTTAAACAATATTGCGATAGAATGCATGAGCTAAACCAGAGTATGTAACGACTTGGCTTTTATATCAATTTATATCAAGATCGCTAATATAGTTCAAATCTAGTGCATGTGCGTGATTATCATCAGGCACAACAGCAAATTATGAGGTTGACGACTGAAAAGGAAAATATCATAGGTACAGTTTATCTTGAAGCAAAATACTTGATTGACCTAGTCTTGTAACTTGGTATTCTTTCCTACAACTCTAGCCGAGATTTTGGACAAAAATGACAAGATTGCCCGGTTAAGGCAGCAAGATATTTCAGATCACAGATATGCACGTTCACAGTTGAGTCTGCTTTTACTACCAACTCTTTCAATAGTATGCTACATTATTAAACAAAAACGTGCTTGTCGAATATTGGCATCGTTTCATGGTAATGTGTTTATAAACTGACTTGTTCACGTACTATGTGTTTGTAGAGAAGAGGCAGAAAGACTATTATTGGAAGAAACCAGAAAAAGAATTGATACAGAAAAGGAATGCCAATCTATCAAAAAAGAGCTCACTGATTGCCGAGATCAATATGAAGCATATCAAAAGTAAAAATACCAACTCGCTTTTAAAAATTCAGCATAATATTAATGCCAAGCTGCTATATGTACATAGATCGGTTGTATCAGAGGAGACGCAGCAAGAATTACGTAAACAGCGCATTTGTGAGCAGGATATCACCATTGGCAATCTCGAACAACATAACATGTAGTGTCTTGCTTTGAATCTATTGTCAGTATATAACCAAGTGTGTTAAAATGCTTGCTGTAATGACATAATTCTCTAGTCAGCTCAGTTATAAAATCAACGAACTCAAAGTAGAATCCATCAAACATGAGCGAAAAATTGACGACCTGGAAAAAAATCTCTTGTATGATTATATGTTGGTCGTTATGTCAGTTTGGCGTATTCTAATATCTTTTCAATTATCAGGAATGCAAATCAACAGAATGCACATCTTACCCAGTCAGAAGGAACCCTAAAGCAAGAAAATACACAACTTCAACGAAGATTGAGGTAGGTTATTTCGCAATACGCGATATATCTTACCAAACGCCCATCATATTAAAACCAATTCCACACAGGGAACTTATTGATGCAAACAAGGAAGTAACGTCCAACTATCAAATAGTAAAAAAGAACCACGATCTCAAACGGCATGAATATGAGGAGCTCACACTTGAACTATCAGAGGCAAAAGATGCATGTCAGTTTGCTTTGGTAGGTTTCTAAAAGTGCCGCTATACTGTGCTAACCATCTGATTCCAGCTAAAATTTCATGGATGCTCTTTTAGAAAAATAAGAAACAACTCCAAAATGAATTGACAGCAACCCAAAAAACTAAGAATGAGTTGCAAGAAAGGATCAAAAATGTCGAGGCAGTTTTATTACGAAAGGAAAAAAACATTGCAGATCTTTTGAACAAGATCAACGAAACTATCAATGAATACGAGTTGAAACTAGAACGAAAAGAGGAGCAGATATGGGCAATGAGCGCGCAACTCAGTGAAGGTTGGTGATATATCTACCAAAATCTGAAATAGAACTGTTTATAAGACATGTCACATTGGTTTTATTTACGCTCATTTAATTGTTATAGAAACTCAAAAAAATCATGCAATACAGCAAGCAGATATTGTAAAAGAAAAATCTAATGTGTTTACGACTGATCCCGATGTTATCGATGATACAGAGAAAAAATCACAAAGTATAGAATCATTGTCTTTAGTCCTGTAGATAAATTGCATTTATAGCTAATGGTATCTACATGGTGTTGTTTTTATTATACACGGTATGGCTTGCTACAAACTAGTCAAGGAAAGGTCACTTTTAGATGAAATCGATCGGCTTGCTAAAGAGATGCATATACGAGATGATAACATCACATGTAAAACACTACTGATACTGGACATACTATACATAGTTTTTCACTACTTTATTTGCTATATTGATATTCTAACCAATTGTAGTGCTGAGAGAGCAAGTATTAGATTTGTCCAAAAAGCAATTTCATCCCAGAATGGAAAAACTCAAGGCGATTGAATTGGATATTAAAAGTCGAATGGAAGAATACGCTTTGGCTGAAGAACGCATGGAGGTATGCAGGCTATATTGTACATTTGCACCAATACACAACTGAGTAACATGTGGTTTTAGACTGGATTTTTATGTCCCCGAGATCTGAAGTTTTTCAAAATCCCCATGACATTGTCACCATGCGGGGTAAGTATCAGATGCTTGAATTGAATCAAGTTTGTTTCAAATCTTTGGCTATATTAAATCGATTATTTTCCCATTAGCACACATTTTGTAAATCTTGCCTCGAGGCAATACAGGAAGAGAATTACAACGTCATCAAGTGCGAAGTTTGTAACACTACTGCAACTGCAGTGCATAGAAATCAACAAATTGAAACGATTGGCGAGCAGTTTTCTCGTCGCAAGCACCTTACTTTATCGTTTCTTGAATGGTAACAATATTTTAAAACTTTACACAAACTACATGGATCGACTTTGATTCAAATATTTGTATGAATTTTAGGATCAAGACTTTGCGTGTATATCTGCCATCTGACGAGACTAGTTAGCACAACAGTTTTAATAGAGCCAAGAATTGAATAGATTGATTTTCATTTCAAGTATTGTTGGGATTGAAACAAGTTTGTTTCAAGATATTGAATTAGAATGAACGATATTGTCTATGTAAGTGTCAACAGGCTTGTCCATCTTTATCCAATCTTATTTTTAGTGTTTCGTTTTGCGTGAATAGGCTGCAAATGAGCCAATTCCCAAAATCATCAGTAGGTAAACTCATCTATGTTAGTCCTAATGAATCTATAAGATTAGAGACTGAGGAAAAAACAAGACTACGCTTGGAACGAATTTGTCAAGTGAGTATTCTGTTGATTATGGCCAATTTGTTGCAGTTGAAGGCTGATGTTGGATGAAATAACAGGTTAGAACTCAAGAAAAGAAACTGGCAGCAGAAAGACGAAACAACTTTAAACAGCAGAGCGGCCAAGAGTGGTCTAATGTTGTGGAGAAGCTCCATGTAGGTGCCTTTTCTAATTCTAACATTGGGCCATATGCTATTTAGACCAGCATGTCTATGTTTCCATCTCATTATTTCATTATATCAACATTTGACTGATTTCAATGCAATATCAATACTTTCGGACATTCAGGTCAAATGGTCCGATGACAAGGAAAAGGAAGAGAACCATTTGCATGAATTGATGGACAAGATGTCTAAGCGTATTGGAGAGGCTCATCTAGATGCATCATTCAAATCTCTGGATAAAGTATGCTTTTATTACTATAGATTGAGTTTGACTTTATGCTGGCAATCTGTTGATTGCGCTTCTCACGTTTCAACATGTGTTTATAGCGCAAATGTTCTCAGCAGTTACTCGAGTCTATTGCACAAAGTCAACAAACAGAAATAGTTCGCAGCAGAGTAGCTGCCTCGCATGTATGTACTGATGATTTGGCATTTCAGATTTACGAGCCTCACCAAAAATTGTTTTTTGGAATCGTTACATTTGCGGCTTGTCGTGGTTGATTTTATTAATTGCCGTCATTGATGTATAGCAACGTCGTCAACATTATGATCGTATTGAGCCAATTCTTCTTCGCAATGCAATCCTTCATTCAGTACAACAACAAGAATCTTTTCGGGCACGGCTTGTTGCTAACCAATATCGAGAACAAAAACGCTCAAGCTTTCCTATTGTAGAGATTGTTTCTAAACCGTTGGCTCAAACCCATTATAGATCCTTACAGCACAGACCTCAAAATTATGATAATTCAAGCCTTCATCGTGAATATGCTGTTATTAGATGCCAGCAGCCACACCACCCGGCTCAGAATTCAAAAAATGCCAAGGCTGTAGCTGTGATAGAACATCAAGCTCGTGCTCAACAGCTGTATGCCCGACGTGAAGTACTGCAAACTCTTGATCAAAATGCACGAGTGCGACATGAACGCGCTATTGTTGGAATCCAGCTTAATAAGGTTGATTGGTTGTTCAGATTAGGATTGATCACCTTGTTTAAAAGATTGAAATCAGGACTAAACAGTATTTTGTGACTTGCTAGAAACGCGATAAAGTGCTATCGGAGCTGGACAGACTTGACATGGATGATCGCCAGCGAAAACAAGTCAATGCCGGACTATACTCGGCTAAATTTCGTCCAGATCATATTCGGGTGGGATCTGAGCAGCTTCATGCTCAATTTGGAACACAGTTTAATATGGGTAAACCTTGTGCTAAATACTTTCACTCAATTACCAAGTTTCTAGATTGTTAATGCTGACATGCAATTATTTTCAGACAAAGACTATGGGACTGCACTTCAAACCACAGGCTATGCAAGGTCATCACACAGAAAATTGGATCAGAGATCAAACGCTTCGTATAGTATCGAGCTCACAAAGAAAGCTGGAGATGAACTTGATGTTATCTGCACAAAACCTCGTCGTTCTACTACCATAAACTCAGATCACTACACTGCAGAGACTTTAGATAATAAAATTTGATGTTTTATTTTGGAATGCATAAATAGCCACGCATTAACATTTAAAAGGCTCTCCACTTGACACCCTGCATTCCATTAAAAGCTGATTTAAGAGCTTTGGTGTCAGCCCATGAGGAATTGAGATACTCGTCTTCATCATTCTCTGCGAGTTTCTATATTGTGTACACGTTTTGATTAGCAATTTGAATCATCGAGTTTGTGACCCATATCACTCACTTTTTGCTCCTCCTGTTTTCTGTAGTAATACGCCATCATTTCTTTCTGTTGTTGCTCAGAAATGGGTGCTTCTCGCAGTGGCGGTCCCTGACCTCGCTAGTTAATTGAGCAATGTCATTTAAAAGTAGATAAAACATTGATTTAACGGTATATCAGCAGAATATTTAAATGTTGAATGAATCAAACCTTTATACCTTTTGTAGCTTGACAATAATCTTAGTTTTATCATTTTTACCAATATAGTCGCACAGTTTCTTCTCTCGCTGTAGCTCTTTGTTGGCCCACCAAATAGAGGCGTCTTTTGAATCTATAATTTCCTTTGAAGCCTAAAAATTGAAATGCAGACAATATAAGCAACAATTTAATAGCTAGTAATATAGCTATTTAGCAATATGGAAATATATACTACACTGACCGCTGTTCCAGATAGATCCTCAGTGTCCTCTAAGATATCGCGAAGTGGTTCCCACTCTGGAAATCCTTCTGGGTGCACAATGCAAAACGCACCACGAATGTCATCCAACAGTGACTTTAAAACATCCAATTTGAGCGAAACTCCTTTAGTGATTTGATCCTAGTTGATACACAATGGGATGTATGTCATTAGTATGAGTGAGAATGGCTTGATCAACAAGCCCAATTCAAGCCAAATTACTTTTGAGATTGCATCCGTGGCGGCGTTGAGTGTTGTGACAATCACATTGGCAGCTGCTTCTCCCATTGCTAAATCATGATAGTAATCAAACCCAATAGTTTAAAATGACTATATACCCAATAGCATTTTCAAACATACAGCCAAATAGACTATGCGTATCGTTGACATTACCTTGACCTACACGTCGACCACTTGGGTCGGGGTTATCATAAAACATGAATCCGTTCTTATAGATCTCATTTCTAGGCTTATCTGGCAGTTCAGTATCAGGACTCGAAAACTTTTCCAACTGCTCTTCAGTGTATCCTTGTTCATTGTCTGGTTTCAATGGACCATATTTGATAAACTCCTCGGCACCTAGATGAGCCATTGAATGGCAAGGATTACAATAGGTGTATGAATGATAGCATCAACGTTGTTTACACGTATGTATACAATGGCATTAGTTTGTTATTTATCCAACTCAACATTACAAGTACAATAGTTTGAATTTCCGAGTACTTTTTCCAATTCAAATCAGAGAATTAAACGTACATGAAAGCAGGCGACCAATACGCAGACGAAGGTTGTAAATAGTGGCAATAGAAGGAACAAGGTCAGCCAAATCAGAGACTACTGGAGCCTCAAACAGAAACATAGAATCTTCTGCACGTTTGACATGAATGACGACCATTTTTGAATAGATTCAAGACAGATGCAATATGCAAGGCTCAAAAGTCCGATTATTTAGTGGCATAGCAGACATCACGTGGCTAGTTTTAACAGCTTTAAATTCCAATCGGAATATGACTAGCCTAACAGCATAATCTTGCTGGAATCATTCTATTAACCAACTGAAAGTGTCATTACGCTTTCTGGTTTGCTATAATTTAAACACTGAGACTGCAAATCATTTAAGCTTTTGAAAATACATTCGAATTCTTTTTTCAATGTAATTTGTATCCACTTTAATCACCACGTTTGACCATATGCGGTTCATTCAGCACAGATTCGTATCTGATTGCTTGGCAGTGTTGTCAAAAAGTGAACTAACAGTTCACGTGACATGCTGCTTAATTCGATTTGATCCAAGCCTGCAACTTGTTGCTCAAAAGACTGCAGATGATTGCCAATTCTTCAAATGTATGCCATATGAATGACCGCTAATTCGTTTGCACTAATATATGCTTAAAATCAAACCACCCTCTTTTAAAAGTATTCAACTGTCATTGATAGTGTGCTAATTTATTCAATTCTTGGAATCTAAACATGCCATCTGTACTTTATTGTTCAATGCCGGATAACCGCATGCAACGCACTCCTATGACAACGGCCTTTCTATTCAAAGGCTATTGCCCGCCGTGCAATGCAAGAAAGGCGTGAGAGGGAGAGCAGGCGTCAACAAAACATGCGCGAGGACATGGTAAAGCATTTACAGAGGGACACGCTCATCAAGACAACATTGAGTTCTGACAATCGCGTTGAGCAAGTTCGCCTTCATCGTGCGCAAAAGCTTCAAGAGCAGGAGCAAGAGACATACAACTATTTAATGGAGGTAAATTGATTGAAATGGGTTAATTGAAAAAACTATTAGTGTGTGAATCAACGGTGTTGAGATTGTCTTGCTAACATGTAATGACAACCCAACCACGGATTGCTGGGTGCTATAGGATGACCAACGTCAAAAAGATATCAAAGACAACCTCAAATTTGAAGAGGAGCTATTAGAAGAAATGGGACGCATTCAACATGAGCGGGTGAAGGAGCAAAAGTTGCGCCAATCTATCCGTGAAAATAGCGTGGAATTGAGAGAGTTGGAAAAAAAATTAAACTATGCTTATATGAACAAGGAGCGCTCACTTCAGTTACAAGAAAAACAGTTGATTTCAAAGCAATCCAAAGTAAGTGATACTGACGACCATTCCTGGTGTTTTTGTTGAAAGTACCATTAACCGGCCGACTGGTATATTTCTTATCAATATAGATTCAAGAAGATACAGTTATTGCGGAAATGAATGCTCATTCCTATAAAGAGTATGCCAAAGAGGTAGACAAACAACGTAAAGCACAAGAGAGAAACATAGAATATCATCAAGCCCTGAATAATCAACTCGCAGAGGCAGAAGTTAAGAAGCAGCAGGAGTATGAGCAATTTCTTAAAGAAAAGGCTGTTGTTGACGAGATTGTTAAACGAATTCTTGAAGAAAACGAGCGGTATGCCTACTTGATGTCGAACCAACTCTATCTATAAAATCACTAATATTGGGTTTAAATTATAAATATGACCAGTGAATCAAATCTGCGCTTGGAAAAGCAGAATGAAACCAAGCAGTTTATTGAGGCTTTCATGAAAGAACGTGAGCATTGGCGTCAAATGGAACAGGAGCGTCAAAATCTCGAAAATCAGCGCATTCAAGAGTATGCCCATCTTCAATATCAGCGCGAGGCTCTTCTTGAAAATAAAAGGCAAACAGTGGCTGCTGGAAAGAACGCTATATACGATAAAGTAAGTCGAAATTGTTTCACACTGCTTTCATATTGTCTGGCAAACTTTTGGTATGATGTCTATTTTAGTTGAGCTCACAGTTTTTTCTTGATAAAGCTTGCTGCTGAAATACAGTTTAAAGAAAAAGAAAAACTTGAGTTGGAAGAGCTACGAATTGATCTTGCACAGGAAGAACAAGAAGCAGTCGCTCGTAAACGCGATCAAGATACGCTAGAACAGCGAATTCGGAAGCGTCTAGAGCTGATTGACGCATACCAAATGCAAATGCAAGATAAGAGAAGACGCATGGAGGAGGAGCGAGTTGATGAAGAGCAGTTTAGACACAAAGTAAGTGGCATTTTGACATTTCTTGGCAGAGCCTCTAATATAAAAGCATGCTTTACACTAATTCTCTGATATGGACTTATCTATCAACCTTTTATGTATTTTTAATTTAGATGATGCTTAAATTTGCCGAAGATGACAAGCTTGATCAAATTAACCAACAAAAAAGGCGAATGAAGCAGATTGAGCACAAGCGTGCAGTTGACGCTTTAGTAGAAGATCGCCATAGAAGGGCTCAAGAGGATATTGAAAATCAGCGTATTGTTGCTCAAAAGGAGATTGAAATTGAGAAGTATCGCCAAACAGTCATTGAACAAGAAAGACAGCGCCTGCTTCTTGAACATGCATCCAAGCTTGTTGGATTCCTCCCAAAGGTAAAAGCTAGTCATTGGTGCTGTCATTTATAGAGTTTTGTATCATTAATTGTAAATATCTCTTACACTATAATGGCTCGTATTATTCTAGGGAGTATTGCGAGATGAAAAGGATTTGGGACTATTTGATGAAGAATTTCGTAAGCGCTTTGAAAAGCTATCGACTTGAGGTTTAGATAACCCAAAATAGCAATGGCTATATGTTTTTACCTTTTCACCACTTTTTCTAAAAGTAGCCACCTATCAAGAGTACAAAAATGTCTTTATTGATATTGTTCATTATTAAAGGTTTAATTTTTGATATCAGATACAACGTGTTGTGTCTTGACCAAGGCTGATATATCAATATTAGATATTTGTCAACTGTAATGGTGATTTAGTTTTTATTGGATCTAGACTTGACATTCATACGATTGTTGCATTTGACTTGCCAATCGTGTTTGAACTCGACAATAAACCGTATTTTTGGAATGCTAGAGTCGAAAATGACCAAGATTTGAGATAACATTGAATGTTATTAGCCTGATGTTCATTTTTCTCGGATTGATATGGCACAATGTTTAGTAAATTTGAATGGCATGGAACTGTCATGGATTTCTTTCATTGGATTTCAATGAAATGCAAGACATTTTACTGTAATTGCTCAATGCGAATGCTTTCAGACGCAACAATAAGTTGATGTTTTAAACAGCGAATTGACCAAGTTGGAAGTGCAAGACTGGAATTCAAGCGTCGTTTTGCTATTCAGAAAAGCCAACATTCCGATTGCGGTGGATAAGCCATAGCTGATTCAAGTTGCACATGCTATGGGCAGAATGGATATATACATGCTTTGCTTGTTGCTCTATTCACTTCCAAGTGGGTTTCCTCTGTTGAATTCTAGACATGACTGCAACTCTTTACATATTTCCAAATGCAGATATGCATCTCCACTTCAAGTTTCATTCGAGTCTGCCCCAGTCTGCTGTCCTAGTAGCCAGTCTGAATATGATCAAAAAACTTCAAAAGATCCAGCTGTTTCTGGTATGTTCTTGTTGGTGTGTTTCATGGATGTCAATAATGGTCTTGATACTGGAGCTCATTGGCAATTCTTGTCTATTTCAATCTTGAATACAAATGCAGGAGTCCCGTCTTACACACTGCAGAATGCTAACCATGGCCCGATAAAGGAGCACACATTGAAGTCACTAGCGAGCCAGATTACAAATATTGATTCAAATATCTTGACTGAAACAAGATCTGATTCAAGTACTGCAGGATCTGTCAGTGGTATGTAGATGCTGGGTTTCACATGCTTTGCATAGTTGCAAGTAGTTTAATCTGTTCAATGGTTTGGTAGTAATGTCTTTTAGCTATATTTCTACGCCTGTGCTTGTTTCTGTATCTATAGACACTACAGATTCACTACCAAAAAATGAGATTGAGCACTCCTTGACAGACAGCTTGGATTTTACACAATCTACCAATTCCGATGTAACATCAATAGCATCATTTGAAGTTGAAAGCAATGCAATCGCAGACTTGAATTCAAACCAAATTACCAAAACTACCTCATCTGATGATATGCGTCCAACTCAGCCGTCGCTGCCATCAGCACATCTACCCCCTCAAGTAAAGAATGAAAAGGAGCGATTCAATTACGCATCATTTGACTGTGGTGCACTTGTTCGCGCAGTTAATCCCGAGGCATCATCAGCAACGGCTATTCTATCTAATAGCAAAGATCAGTATATGCTTAACAAGTGTTCAACAAACAAGTTTGTCGAAGTCGAGCTATGCGAAGACATTCTGGTAGATACAATTATGTTGGCAAATTTGGAATTCTTCTCCTCTATATTCAAAGACTTCAAAGTTTATGTTGCCGATCGATATCCACCGATTACTGGCTGGAAAATCATTGGTACATTTACGGGAGAAAACTCGCGCGAACGGCAGGTAGAGTTCAATATTCGACTGTTTGAATCCCATTGACTGAAATGGCCATCAAAATTGACCTTGATTTACTACTGCACGCTAGATTTTTAAAATAGACCATCCTGCTTTTTGGGCAAGGTATTTGAGAATCGAATTCTTGACTCATTTTGGACAAGAGTTTTACTGTCCACTAACAATGCTCAAAGTATACGGGACAAGAATGATTGAGGATGTCAAGGCTGATGAGTATGATGATGACTTGAGTGGTACTGAAACTATTTTGCCGATTGTTCCAAAGCAGGATAGTGGAGACGCTTCGTTGAGCAAAGACTCGGTACCTTTGTCACAGGATTTGGATATCAAGGACACTACATCTTGCACTTTAAAAACATCTACAAAACTTTATTCCGACACCAGTATGCCAGAGACTGTTTTAAACGACAGTCCAACTGTAACATCGCTGCAGTCTGAGATGACTCGATCGAATACAAAAACTGAACTTGACCAATCGGCAAAAACACGACACGACAAGACTTTAAGCGAAAAAGATGAATTTGCTTCCATAGTATTGACAACTAGCACTTCTGGTGTACTTGATGAGAATGACACGACCTCAACCCTCTCGTCCAATTCAGAATTGACTGATTTAAGTCACACATCTATACCTGGGATAACACCAAGCGTTCAGCCTTCCTTCACTGGAAAAAAAGAAAGCATATTTAAAAACATCATAAAGAGACTGTCAGCTGTTGAAAAAAGCATTGCGTCCCAGCTCATTAGCACAGAAAAACACTACCAAGACTTGAATGATCGGCTTGAAAATTTCGAGGTTTTGCAAGCTAGTATTGTGGGCAAGCGTTTTGACTCTTACAAAGCTGGATACGATTTAGACTTTCAAACCATGGTAATGTTATCATATACCCTATAGTCGCAACACAGCTTCATAGTGCTATCATTATGCTAACATGTAATCTATTTATAGCTTGAGCTATTTGCCAAGAGAATGTCCGAACACGACAACGTACTCAAAGACAAGGTGCGACAGCTAGACGAAAAACTTTATATTGTCAACTCGCTGATTGAATCTCTAGAATTTCAGGTATGTAACTCAGTTTGTACTTTTTATGTACCTTTTAGTCTAGCAAGCTGACCCATGAGTTTTCTGAATGTATACCACGATCAATATAAATTTAGATTAACCGAAATATTATAGCCAATTTTTTGATTGTTATCATGATAATGCTGGGGAAAAATATCATTCAGCGCATCTTATCATTCTTATCATGGTGTTTGGAACTGTTGACCGATCGTAGTGTTAAAAATACAAACACTATTATATTTCAAAAAGAACGCCATGATGAATCAGGCTCTAGTTTGACGTCTCGGGAGTATCTCGATAATGTGCACTCGGCCGAGCCAGATGTAAATACGATCTTGTCCAGCAAAAGTGGCTTCCTGGTTTCAAACCAAGACCCACACATGCATGCTTTTTCAAATTTCGAGCAGGTATCTGCAGACAATCAAATAAGATTGCCATCTCTTCTTTCAGAATCTTCACATATCTTCGACAGTCCAGTATCTGATCGTGAAAACATGCATACGGTCGCTCAGATGAACACAACCCATTCTGCACAATCGATCTCATCAGAACTGACCCAATACCAACTATTGCTCAAGAAGGAAAAGTCATTACAGGGAATGGGATCTCCATCTATGTCATGCAACCCCAAGCGTCGCAAAAAAAGAAAATCTCCGCCCCGTATCAATGAATAGTAAAAAGCTGTCAAGGTTAATTTTTATCATTATTGTCTATAGTAACTGTGGTGGGCTGAGGTGGAGTCATAGTTTGTGGTTGAGAAAGTTCCTCCTGCACTAATCCACCTAGAGACCGTTCAAGCTCGTCTAGACGAGAACCCATAGTGTCCACTAATGCAGACAATAGATGGAATAGCATGTCCGAATCTCAGAATTAGCACTTATAGCAGTGAATTGACATTGCATTCGATCATGTATTCAAGCCCAACTTACTCTTTGTAAGGATATTCTTGGACATGTTTTCAAACTTTGACTGAAGCTGCTTCAATACTGTCTCGACCTATCAGTGTTGATATTTCAAGACAAGTGAGTTAGTGAAGCCTAGCGAATCACTTGAAACCCACTGGAATTGAACTCACATGGTTAGCTAAATCCACAGTAGGTTCCTCTGGCATCTTGTCCATTTCGGTCTGGCTATGAGCACTTTCGTTGTCCATGTTTATCGAGTCTTGGTTTGTCAAGATCAACTGCCATGCATTTCAATAGTTGGATCATCACGTGGCCAGTTGCACTAGCAAGTTGGACTGAATGCAATCGCTTAACACAAACTGTCTCCCCAACTCAATCTAACTCGATGATCTATATTGGCCTTAACCCAGCCAACCTATTTGACTGTATGGTTTAACATCATCTCAGTCCCTACAACACTCGCATATAAATAAATGACAGTGTCAAATGCTACTGATGCAACACAAATATTGAAACAAAGGTTTAATTGTGGAATTGACAATGTAGCTCGAAAACGTAGACGTGCGGATCAATCTGTGTTAAAAGTAGCAAAAAGTGGTATTTGATGTTTGAAGCAAAACCCACGACTATGACAAGAGAAAGATGACAAAGGATGATAGAATCCAAAGTTTGTCCTTTTGGGTGTTCTACGAGTCCGACTGATGTCCGCCAACCATTAGCACTTTCAAAAATGCTTGCTCAAATCTAACAGAATGGGTTAGCACAAGTCACAGCACGTGTAGATTCGCACTATGCTTTAAAGCAATTCACTCACTTGGTATTTTCAAAAATGGTTGCTGGGTTGTCACTGGGACATCGAAGAAAGTTTGGAGCAAATACCATGGCTAAATTTCCAACTGTCATCTTGGTAATGGGTTGGTTGCGTGCCTCGGCAATGATCTAATCAACATATTGCACAGCATAGTTTAGATCAGCACATTCATATAGAAAATATAAATCAATATGATGTAACAGACATGAATGCATACTTTAAGAAACTGAATCATGAATCGAACCACTTTACGATTGATATCTGAAAAATTCAATACAAGACACCAACGTCAACACATACTGCGCAGTAGCCAAGTAGTAAATTAAATATCTACGTACCTGGAAGTCCGTCAACAATTCGTATAGCAGGTATGTATAGATCTTGTGAGCTCACATGTCCATCCTGCTGTCCCACCTGAATGCATCCATCGTAGTATTCACCGGGAATCAAAGGCTCAGCAAGTTCTCGAAGCCACAACTTAAGAAGCGAACTAGGGGCGTTTGGATCTAAAAATTCAATCCAAAATAATCCAGTTAGCAACCTACTATGGGCCACCAAGTTGTCTTTTATACGCTGAAATATGAACCAAATAAATGGTGTATCAATAATAAAATACCATGAATTCCATCCATTCTATATTCGTCTTTATCAATGCGGCATCGAAGATCTATGTGACACGAGTTTGAAATATTAATAAACACGTAGATTAAACAAAATTGGTGTAAAAGGAACGCACCAGATACTGCCTCGGCATCACCAGGCACTCGAAAAATGCCTTCTGTTTGGCACCCATTGAGTGATAGAATAGCATCAGAAAGGAACAAGAGAATTCTTGGAAGCTCTAAAGTAGGCTGAGACTTTATTTGTCTCTCCATGATATTTTCCAACGTATCTCCAAACACCGAGTTTTTAAATGGAGCCTCCTACAAGTAAAATACAACCATATTGTTAAAAATAAAATCAAGTGGATAAAATTTAGCTAGTTAGTATAGAATATCAAAACTCAATCCAATAATTTACCAAAACTTGATTGATTTCTGCAGGTGTCATTGTACGACCTCTAGGACCAATACGACTCGTCCGTAAAAGACTTCCTGAAGTGTGGCGAATAATAGTATCAAGTTGGCTACCAGGTCCATCGATGCCAAAATGCTGCTGAATAAAGTTTTTCAAGTAGTTGTCCAAGTTTTTGGAAGGTGGGAATGTGGAACAGATGATATCCATTAGCTGCCAACCACGTTTAAGACTTTCGCTATAAAAGCAAAATATTGAGAATCTGCACCATATATCTGATGATCAGAATACAGAACCATGTGCTACCAATTCCTATACTTACTTGCTAGGATTTTTAGTTAATTGCTATAGGTTTTTGAAATGAATAGATTAGAAACGCCATGAGTCAACAACAGTACCACAATAACTTGTGTGAAGCTTATAATCAAACTATACGGGCATCGAAATAAATCTTATTTTTGTATTACCTTGCAAAGCTGTACACAAATCTCGTCTCGGAGACCACCTATACGAATTCCCTTTTCAAGAAGTTCCTGAATATCTACAAATTGTGACTCGAGAGATACTCTTGGATTCATGATTTTTTGAATTGCTTTAAAACATTTGATAGCATCTTTGTGAAGCGAAGGACGTAGTTGCATCAACGGTGCTTTAAGCGCGTCCTAAATAAGAAATCTAGTAAGCTACTGGCAAGCTGGTGGATAGGTTTGCTCAGCATTCAAGCATACCTTTTGAAAAATCAACATTTTTTCAAGAGGAACCTTTCTTCTAAATATTCCTCGGCGATGTTCTGAAAAATACTTTTTGGCAAAACCATCAATCTTGAATTGAGTGATGTCTTGTAATAGCTTTGGAGGCAAAGTGCGAAGACTAGATATGTATAAATAAGTAATGATTAGTAGCCAAAATACCTTTCAGAGCTATGACATGATATAGCATCAACTTACGATTGAAGAGCAGGCAGACTCATTGATTGAGTATTTTGAATATTATTTTGACTAAATGGATGCATAGCTTGAGCAGCATCTGAATTCCATTATATAAGCAGCATGAGTTTGACGTCGTAGTTGAAATTCAATCAGCCATAAGTATATCAAACCATTAAAATTACCTGGGCTATTTACCGGTCCAGAGATGCCCATGGAACGAGCGTTTTGCACTGCTGTTAGACTAGGAGTCGATCGCATCAATCCAGCATCTATATTGATCAAAAAATGACCAAAAGGTTAGTATACAATAAAATATTGATAGCAATCAAAGCACAGGCCTAAACCAGTTTCAAACTCTTATTGTCAGACAAATGTACTTGCTGTTGATATCTGATTTAGAAGGAAATCCAGAGTCTTTTGAAGGAGAATCAACTCGCATATCATGTATACCAGATACCAGATTTCCAGAATGAGATGATGCCTTTTGTGAATGGTGTTCTTTTGGAGAAGTTCCCATACGTGCTTGAAACATATTTTCATTTGACTATTTAAGAGTTGCCAAAAGGAATTCATTTGAAGGTCAGAAAAGTATCAATTTGTAAATCTTTTTTAAAACAAATTCATATAGATAAAATACTTACAGATCCACCAGTCTCGTAGTTGTTTGGAGTGTATGAAGTTGCTGGATTGAAAGAAAGTGATAGTCGCTTACCGATTGCAGAATTCTATCATATATGAAATTAATTTAAATGTGCAAGATGGATTTATAAACGATTAAAACATCAAGCCAGGAAGAGTATGGGCTGAATCAGTGATTTGAAAATCAATGACAACGCGACAAGTCAACCAACCTGAATCGCAATCAGCTAAATAATGATAAATTAAAATAATTAGCAGTTGGTTATTTATTGGTATATCAGCATATATACAGCCATATACTTACAGGTATAATTGTTCCAGTTGTTGGTCGAACCCATTCAGTTTGCCTCGTTTTAGTATTGTAGAAATATGGCTTGGATGGCAAATCATACCAACAAAAATAGATGAGTGTTAGCAGGTGATTACTCGATCATAATTTGATATGAAAGGCTACTTGACGATACTGAAATACCAGACAAGATGTAGTGGACTTACCAGCTTGTGTCCTTCATCAAAGAGCTCCCACCATTCTTGTCCAGTTGGGTCACGTGGTTCACTTTCAAGGTGGCAAACAAAGGCAGCGAAAGAGGCGTTTGGCAATAGCAATCCATAGGCAAGTATACAGAGCAATGTCCCGTGTGAGCATAGGATATGTCATGATCAAAAGAATGGGTTAGCTGCATTAAAAACGTATATTAACTTTATAGTGCATTGAGACGGGATGGGTTGCAAGTAAATGTAGTGGCTATTGAATTGCTAAGCTGAAAAGCTAACGTGTATAGAACCCCATTATGAAATAGGATAACAAGCGCTAATCTGAGCCAATACAACAAGTCATCAGCAGGAACAGTCTAATCTGAAAAAGGAATAAAATCATGGGTTTCTGCAGATACCTATACTAATGGTATAGGTATTCACTCAATATAAATAGATTGCCATGTTGGAAGAATCCAGATAACACGAGTTGAATAAGGTCGGTGCATCAAAAGAAGCTGATTGCTTACATGCGAGCATTCTGAGGCAATTCCCAACTGCATTCTCCTGATAGCAGATTGGCATAGAAGGTTTTGCCAGTTTGAGGATCAGTGATTTCACAGAATGTAGTAGATGAGGTTCTCCGTAACCCATTTGCAATGATGGGCATTATAGGATTGTTGGATACTGAAGGGCGTCCTAAATGCATAGGTGAGCTCATGGTAAGTGTAGCAGCAGCGAAAATCCAAAAACAAGGGATGACTCGGCTTGACGATTAGAACAGTAGTTGACAACCAGATGGTGAGCTACGGATGGTTTTGTTGTGTTCGTGTTTTTGATTGCACATTGTTAGATTTAGGGTATATTCCCCACTCTAGTTATACCGACCAGTCCCTAATTCACTGTGTTTTGTGCTGCCATCATTTGCCATCGAATTCATTTGTCAAATTCAAACAGCATGACTGGAAACCATGTTCAGTCTTTTGTAGGTCGGGTCATTGGCACTGCCATGCAAAAGACAATCAAAGTCAGAGTAGAACGAGTAAAGATCCATCCTATTGTTCTCAAGGTCAGTCTCAAACTTGTGATATTTTATTCTATATAGAATTACATTCTTTTGATTGCCCCACTTATCTACGTCAAATCCATCTAATGACTTTTAATGCTTTTGGAAATCAAATAGCCGATTCGTAGACATAAAAACTTTTTGGTTCATGACGAAACCAGCCAGTGTGTCGTGGGCGACTGGGTTCGTATAAACTCTTGCACAAAGATCAGCAAACTCAAAAGTTTCACATTAGGAGAAATAGTTAAACCTGCAGATCGTTTCATTGATGATGAAGGAAAACTTCACACACAAGGGGCTTTAAAACAGTAGACTAGCATGTTGACTAGATTTGTTGTCTCGAATCATCGATTTCTTACAGCTATCTCAGTATCCATCGCAATCGTTTTAAATCCGTACTCGCGTAAAATGAAACACTTTTCTGTATTTATCTTGTATTGATTGTTTTGCTCCAGAGGAAACAATGGTTAAATATTCGTTGTTATTCGAAATTGATGATTTCTTTCATAGAAACTCCCAATTATTTGGTGTTTGGAATTGCTCGACGCACAAAGCTATTATTTATTACACTAACGTCATTTGCTGCAGGATTTCAAAATCAATAGTAAGAGGTTGTGTGGTATAGTTTCAATCCTCGTACCGTATGTTGAGCAGCTGGTAAACCATGTCTAATCAGGCAGATGGTTTGTGGAATGGAATGTGTCCAGTAAATTGACGCCAATCAAACATGACTGTTTATCTTGTATTTCGGCACTTATCCAGTGTTTCATTTACGTGAATATGGCTGTAAATCCAATCATTGAGTAACCTAGCTATTTGTTTTTATTCTTTTTAACCATATAGTATTGTATTACTTGCGATAGTCTCGATTAAATGCATGATCGGATTTTGGGCAAACAATGCCACAAGGTCGATACATTTTGAGGATAAAATGCGAGTTGCGAAGCGCTTTGCAGACAGCAGTAAGAAATACTGCCTCTCCATACGTAAACCTAAGTGGAGTATCTAGTCATGCCAAAAAATAACATATTTTATGGATCAAGATAAATGGTTGTAGATTAGTATCATGCTTATATCTTGACAAAAACATAAAGTCGGCATGTACAAGTAGATATAAACTTACGAGATCTAACCCAGAATCCTCTCCATAAGGATTGGATTCGAGTAGATGCCTTGTTTCGTGTCTTTGCCTTTTCAGCGCAAACTCTTTTATATAGTACTTTGCGCCAAGCTCGCTGAATAATGTATGCGCTGCGAATCTCCAAAAGACTATGTCTAAAGTGTAATTTGGGTTAGACTAAAATCTATTTGGGCAATATTATATGCAATAAAGAACAAATAATCACATCCTAAAGATATTCCTACCTTGCTTTTGCAATGACACTTCCAAGTTCAGTAAGCTTTTTCCGAATATCAGGTCGAAGTAGCCTTCGCAATGCAAATCCTAGCATATTAAAGTGATTATATTTTCATTTTAGTCAAGTAGTTATTGATTGCATTATATCAACACGTTGAAAATCTTACCTCTGTACACTCTTTGAATGTTTGTGGCTGCCTTGTTTCTCTGTAAAATTAACACATAATGATACGTATTAAATTTCAAGTAAATGCTAGATACAGTGTTTGGTATTGGAACTTGCTCTTCTGGTTTCGTTAATCTCGGCCATTCGACTGTGTAGAGGACGCCACCACCGAATAATCCGATTGGCAGCAGCATGCAGATCTTTCAATATCTAGTTAGCCGACGCAAATACAAATTTAAAGATTTTGAACCCAAAGCAAAGCACAAATTTTACCTTCAATCTTGGTCTGATACTTTGATGCAAGAGGAGAGTTTTTAAACATATGCCAATGTCTCCATTTTCGTTGAATAACTGTTGCTGCTCGATGAAGTTCTGGAATAGGCTGTTGGTAAATACATCCTGATATAGATTTCAGCCCAAAAAGTGTAGTTTAGCATCATGTTTAATTCTAGTGTATTCAACAACGACGTCATATTCAGGTAAAATAAACTACTAGATAAGAGAATCTGTATAATAAACTCCTAATCTCATAATGTGATTGGTGCCAATCCGCATCACATTTACTAGGCAATATTGTGCTCTGAACAATGTTTAAAGCAGCATTCCTATTTTTGTTTTAGCAAACTCCACATCCTTGAAACTTGTTCAATATCCAATTCTTACTCCATCCCATTCAAACATTATAATATTTGATGATTGGCATGAAAACAACCGTTGCATTCTTAGGACATACAGTCATTAGTTTTTTGAATTAGAACGCGAACCGGAATTTTTAGGATCAAGAGTTTGATTGACAATAGTTGGACTCAATATCTAGATTTCAATGAATAATTTTGAAAATCGTACAATGCATGCTAAATAAGGACAATCTCAATTCAAAAACATGGTTCAATTGTGTGCATCATATGATGGCGCTGTGTTTTGAAGAATTGAGAATGCCAATTAAAGTCAACTGTAGTAGGAAAGCGCAATGAATATTCAAACATTGCTTATTTCAGAGTAAAAGAGGCAATAAATTCAAGATAATGTTCCATTTTACATGAATACAGCTGTAAAGCTAAAATGTTTAAATCGATACTTACGCAGCAATGCAGCCCATATAAACATTTTTTTTCTCCAAAATTTTTGAATTTGCTCGGCTGATTCGTTTTTAATTTGGCGAATTTTACGCAACTTCTTTCTGGCCATTCGTTGAATCTTGACAGCGGCAGCATACTGTTCCTGCTTGATCTTTTCTCGCATTTGATGTCCTTTGAATCTTCTCCAAGCTAAAATACAATTACAGGTCAAAATGGGCCAGGCCAACTTAATAAACAATTTGGCAAATAAATATATCAAATGAAAACATTACCTCTTTGCAATCTAGTTGCAGCCAGTGATCGGCGATATACTGATGGAGGAAACTGTGAAAAGCTTTTGATAGCATCTGGGATATGCGACACACGAAAGTAATTTTTTTCAAGCGACTAATTCACCATTTACATGAAACAATAATGGCAACGTTTAGTCTATCAATATACAAGTAAATAAAGTGTATGACTTGCCATGTGCAGTTTTTCATCTTCTTCTTGTGATAATCGCTCGCGGTTTGCATTAGCTCCCGATATTTCCAGAATAGATACGAGGTCAATTCCTGAATTCAATATAAAACCCAATGGTTAGCATAAATGATTGTCAGCATCCATAAAATTTTATTTTACCTTTGGTTGAATGTGGCTGTATCAAGTTATTCATTGGCAGAGCATTAACATGAAAACTAAAAGGCTTATCCCCAAAATTCACTCGAATAAATGGTCTTTCTTCTATGCTAATTTCATCTGGAAATGTAAAAGAGATTGGAAATACAAAAAATCAATCATGAGGCATGTATACACCCATATAGAAACTGTATATATGGATATATACCTTGAACGGAAAACGTTGGTATTAATTGATTTGTTAAAATCAAGTGTCTAAAATAAGGAATATTGCTGTCAAACCCTCTCTCCTACATCCAGACACAATTACGCGCAAAAAGCATACTACTGTACTTTTGTCGTTCCTGTTCGTAGGAATCAAATGCACTTGCACTATGTCCAAATGCGACATGGGCAACGTTTCCATTCAATACCAAATTTATGGATCCGGCGTGTAGATCAACCATTACACCCCATGTTTTAATTCCGATGGGCAAAGTAGATTGTGCCAAGTCATGAACATATCTATAGTTCAAAATACTATATATCAGTGAAAAATAAAAGGCTTATTCAAGCCTGCGGTTATCAATTACCGAAGTTTTTCGCCATCCATGAATATCGATCCGTCATTTCCAAATCCAAAACTAAACGAGTCCATACCCGGATATGCAGTATTGTTGAGTACCTTGACATGCCGGCCAGTCGAGAAGCCTATTGTTGATAACCTAGTTAAATACGTGTATTTCTTTCAAAGATTGTGCATAATCTATCATTTACCGATTCTCCATTTAGTTTTTGGCAGAGTAGTCCATTCAAAATAATAGCGATGCTCCGTTTCTAGTTTCTTATATACCTGGCTCAAAATGTCCAATGCCAGTTTATGGTCCAGTATCACCGAGTCCTCATTTGCAGGATCCATACTATAACCCAACGATAATATCCTTTTTTTAAGTATTTGTACTCCATATAATGGAAAGGCTAGAATAGTTGCTTGAAGCTGGTGGGTGGGATGAACCAGATCAATTGTGCGAGCCAAAACATGTATATAGGAAAGACTGTCTGCATCTTTGCTTATGTGTCGGATTTGTTCTATGGACTGATGAACCAAGTCTTGCACAAGTGGCTTGGAAAACAATTTGATTGCCCACGGTCCGCAGGTAGCATACACGGTATACCATTGCTCTGGATCGCGCACAGCCATATCGTCTTCTATTTCTTTAATCTGGAATTCTAGTCTGCTTGGAAAAACATTGATCCGTTTCATTTTCTTTGGTGAAATCAATGTGATCTATTTTAAAGTACAGACGATTTAAAAGGTAACTATTTTGAAACAAATCATTTAATTGTCAAGATCATTCATATTACTTTGTTGTTAAAAAACCCAGGCACGTCATCATGGTCACACAATCCAGAAGTGATTGCTTCTTTGCATAGTTTTGCCAAATTGTTGCGCTCAAATGTTTGAATGACTTCCATATTTGAGTCTGAAATCAGTTCACCGAAACGACCAATCATTCCAGGCCTATGTACAATGTTTTACAATAGAAAGTTCAAATCATGTGCTGCTATAGTTTGACTAGACTATTAAAAATCAATCTATACTGTACCCCGCTTGGAAAAGTAATCGCAGATCCCGTCGCGATTGAAGTCGTCGTTTCCAAATAAACTGTGTAAAGTCATCCTTGTGTGTTTGCATCATGTTATTTAGCTCTATAATAGTGCTGCGCTGTTATTTATACACACATTTTATTTTTACAATTCCTTATTGTAACGCAAATAAGCTTGCCTTTTTCATCACTGACTCTACTAACAAGCCGTGTTCGTAGCATCTGTTTTCGAAGTCCAATGTTGATAATACCCATAGCTGCTTCTGTTCCCAAAAGTGCCAATTCATCATCCTGTTTAGACTTTTCAGTCATTTCCTGAAAACACGCACATCATACACATCCATTAGAATAGCATGTTAAAGCCAATATATCCTTTACTGACAACATGAAGTAATCAAATCTGGACTAAACAGTATCAAGTATAAAATAAAATAAACCATACTTTGAGTTCATTATAATCTTGATTACGTTTGAATATGGCTTCTTGACGTTGAGATTCTTCCAATTGTTTTAGCTGCCCACATAGTTCGTGGATATATTGGAATTCTTTCTGAAAATGGGTTGGTGGTTGAAACTTTCGTGGTGCTCTATAAATAAGCGTCAAAATAGTGAGTTTCAATAGTCAACTTATACACTTGAACAGTCGTCTCAAGTATGCATGAGCTCATCCTACTTTTGGACATTCATGGATTGATGAGGATTGAAATCAGTCCAAGTCGGTAGAACGCGTTTTACAGTTGTGTTCACAATAAAACTTTACTCATCCTGTAAAGAGTATTTTACTTTGAAATAAGCAATGATTGATTATTTGTTGCATTTCCATACTAGAGATTGATACTCTTGATTCTTTAATGGACACAACATTCATGTGATGCATACTTTAATACAATTCTATGAAAACTCATTCTTGGTGTATTCTGAATCTCAGATACGTTTTAACTCAAGAAGACAAAGATTGCAGGAATGCAATTATGCATGCCAATCACTAAAATATCAGTTGAAACATGTTTAGTAGATTTCACGAGATTGTATTTTTGCACCCTTATTAGCGATTTATTTTACGTGAATGTAAATGATTTTTACTGTTATCAGCATCATCAACCACAGCTATGGCCATATTTGAACCTGCTGTTGCATTCCATCTACTGCAGACTTTCTCTTCAGATGAATTGACTTTTTTACAGAAAGAACTGTCGGATCATCTGGCTGAACATCAGATTCAATCTCCTTCTTTCGACCAAATCGTCAGTCTAACCCGCAAGATTCAGGCATTCCAACTATCACATAACTCCTCATCGTCATTATCTCCTATTCGTATTCCAACTAAACTATTTAAAAACACTGCTAAGAACGGTTCCTTGTTTGAAATATTAAAGTCTGCTGCCCTTCAATCTCCGTCTTCTCCTTGGGATAATGCTCGTTTCCAAGACCCTGCTCAGGCGGATATTGACTGCATGTGTCTGTTAAAGATATCTGAGAATCTGCAGCGATCTGGCCATTGGAAACTACCATTGATTTACTTTGCAAGCTCGGTGCCTGACCATGTTAGACAAAAGTATATTCCTGCAATATATATGATGCAAGGTATTTCCATGTTATCTGACCTTGATGAATTTGTAAATCCATCAGCTTCAATTTTGCTAAAACTACCATTATTAGGATGTGTTTCAGATAAAATGGTCAATCAAGTCACACATGTTATTCAAGGTGATGATTGCATTGACGAGGAAGATGATCGAAATATCTACTTTAGAACACTGGAAATGAAGGACGAATTTTGCTTACTGCACTACTGGTAAGAGTTGTTTGAACCAGTTTTTGAATGGTTTCTGGCTTATTGGTTCCAACATTTATGTTTTCAAAATGCATAGGTTTTTACCCGACTCTGCTGATGTATGGGTTCCAAGAAGTAGCAGCGAATTTTCAGATCCAGAGGTATACACATTATGTGGCTATAGTTTCTCATAATTGACCCACCTTTATTCAGATATACTGTTGTTACTTTGCTATCATTTTCAGGAACATCAAGATCACGAAGAACCATTCGTTGTAACTGTTCGATGGATCAAGGACACCATCAAGTTTCGAGAATGGATGGTGAATTCCATTGTTTGACTATTCATGACTGTATTTACAATGCCATTTTTGCTAATCCATCGTTTTTCAATACGGATCAATAACGCTGCTGCTAATCAGAATGAAGATGATTATGAGATTGACAATCCAGATGAACTATCCGATGTTTCGTCTGCATGTGCTGAATTACAAACTTCACACGAAGAAGTTCAGAATGAACCCATCAACGATATACTTAATACAGAGGAGCTACAATCAGACCAACAATTCTACGAAGATTTCAATTGCCCGGATACTTTTGAAGCTACTGAGCTTAATGATGATCAGGACTATAAAATTGATTCTGGTGACGAGGATATAGATGGCGACAATCGCGATTTATTTCAATCCGATAATGCGTTGTTGGGTCATGGTTTGAATTTCAAAATGACTCAAAATGACTACTATGATTCTACCTTGCAGTACCACGATTTGTTCATCTGGCGAGTTGCAACAACAAATTTGGATCGTCGTCTTCAAGTAAAAGTAAAACGACACGAGTATGAGCCTTGGCCTAATGGAGTATTGCTTAATATCTCCTTACCCGCCATGCTTCGTCGAAAAGATCATATTCACAGTACAAACACTACACCATCTTCCAAGAGCAAGCTACCTGCCTGGTTCTCTGCAGAAAGTGTTCATGAAATAGAGTCTCAGGCATTTCATGACATAGAAATGTATACGTTAATTAGAAATCAGATTTTGGATATAGCGCACAACTCCTCTGAAAAAGTTTGTATTGTCGATTGCTGCAATCAAATTCAATCTGATACTATGTATGTTGCACTGGTACATGCGTTTCTTGAATATCACAACATTATAAATACAAAGGTATTATATGCTGGATCATTGTACACTGTTTACGTATTTTTGATTTTGTAGCTAATCAGACTACCATACAATTGATTCTACAGAGCTCTGACAACTCTGAGCCAACTGCATCGTCGGTAGCAGATATACCTTTATTGCGTGGCGATACATACTTGCTTCTTGCATCAACAACGCCGTCGGATCCAGAAAAACTAATATATGATCAGCAATACAAAGATCTTTTTCCGTCACCCCCACTAGCAACTCCGTATTGGAAAAGTTTCTGTGCTGTGTGCAATGCAGATAGCTCAAGTTTAAGTTATCACTGTGTCAAATTAGATGGATTTTCCATTTGTCGCGAGTGTTTTGTTTCTGGGCGATATCCATCCGATTTTTCAAGCAATAGTTTTGTACGACTTCATGGTTTACGATGCGACTCGGAAATACCAGATCAACCTACTTGGTCAGATGAAGAAACTTTACGGCTTTTAGATGCTATACATTTGTATGGATTTCAATGGAGTTTAGTTGCCGACGCTGTACAAACTAAATCAAAAACAGAATGTATCGAGTATTTTTTGCAGCTGCCTATAGGCGAGTTACCAACATCCAATTTGTGCGGTGCACCTACTAATTTTGAAGCAGCCGATAAACCAACCCAGCGGAACTTGGATGAGCTTAAACTTTTAGCTCAGCAAATAATTGGAGATGCGCCAAATCCACTCATGTCATTGATTCACTTGCTTTCTGTTGCCGTACAACCCGTGTTGGCATCTGAAGCTGCCCATGCTGCCATTCAGGCTATGTTTGGAACTGCTGACTATCCTGTGCAAAATTCAAAGCATGATATTCATCAACTATCAATGACTGCAACAGTGGAAGCTTTGCGTAGTGCATTGGATTTTGCTGACAGACTTGTAAAAAAAGACGAAGCTACTCTTGAAATTTTAGTGCATGAATTGACAGAATTACAGTTGCAACGAATTCAACTGAAATTGAATCATCTTGAAAATATATATCATATGTAGCTTATTTCTATTTTTTAATCGGACGTAATGGTCTGATAAATTTGATTTGCCATCATATTCACGTAAAATAAAACATTTATTTATCTTGTTTTGAACTAGACCATGGTTAAATACTCGTTGCATTTTTCTATTAAAAATTGACTATGTATTCAATAAACACAACTTCCACTATATGATACACACAATCAACCTATAGTTTTAAACTGAGATTGTCCTTTTTTACATGCATTGCACAATCACTAGATTCACTCATTACAATCCAGATATTGCATTCGATTGTTTTCAATCAAACCTGTACAACCTTCTGTATTATAGAATTACATATATTGTGCACCAATTCAAACAAACAGAGATTTCAATCTCGGCAATACAATGGTTGTTCCCATCAATCACCCAATGTTTGGTTTCAATGAAAGGAGAGTTGAAGATTAAGCAACTCAGATTTACTGAAACTGTGACGTAAACATTTGTTCAGTTATTTTGATGCTGATTGCTACAGAAACCCCAAAAACATAATGTTGTCCAGTAAATTTGGTAGATTAGCAGTCTAATGTGACTTTTAGTGGTCCATCTACATGAATATGGCTATAGGATAGATAGCAGATCGAGTTGAAAAATCAAATTTGGTACAAATCCATAATATAAATGACAGCAGTATTTCCACTACACATTGTATTGATCAGCATACTTTAAAAATTCAGAAGAACATCAGATAATCTATTCATTTAGCACAAATCATTTTTCCCGTACAAAGCTGATTTATTGATAAACTTTATCATGAATACTAATCAGTTTTGCTTACCCAAACCATTCTTGTACCGTGCAGCAATAACCTTTTGATTGGACCGATATGTGTTGCTTAGTTCTTGCATTTTTTTAAAGATATTAGCATCCTTTTTTTCCTTTTTATGTTTTTCAAGCCAGCCGTATCCCCAAACCTCAGTTCTAATCACAAGATAAAAACCAGTAGCAGTTAGTATTAACTTTCAAATCAAAATAAGCAAGATTTGATCAGTCTGTTCAAAATTAGCCAGTTGCATTGAGATATGATGCGTAATACCTTTTTGGAAAGAGGATTAACATGTCAACCAAAGTACGAGTAATGGTGCTTCGTAGTTTGAACGCATTTGCGGTACGAGAGCTGTTTCGTGAAGAAATTGAAAACTTGATTTCGTCCGTGTCAATAGCGTAGTTGATTCCATAGCCGTCGGAAGTGGCTGGTCCAAAACCACCATAAAAGAGATCTCCTGGTGACATATTGCTTGTAGAAAGATTAAACGTTTGTGAAACAGAAAATCCAGCATCATTAAAAATGCTAGGCTGGGTCTTTTCTTCGTCTGTAAGCATAGATTGCAGTCCAAGCAAATGTCGATCAATACCCTGTCCATTTGCTGCTTGCTTCATGTAGCTGGTCTGAGTAGCAATTGCCTTTGAAAAGAGATCGCGCTTATCATCATACTACAAAAATGACTTAGCAAAAATGGATAACAGATCCATTGTAAATTACCAATGCCCTACATTTTACACATACCAAAATATTGTCATCATCAAATGCTTCCACAAATGCTCGCGTCTCAGCCGACATGCTACGCACAGTTTCAGTACGACCATGTTTGAATCCTCTTGTTGAAACCGTTTCGTAAACAGCCGAAACTGATCCGCTTTGACGATAATATGAAAGTTGAAGAACCAGTTGTATATACGCATCTGGACTCGTTTTAGCAACCTCTTTGATAAAGCGAGATCCATATACATCAGTGTGAAGCAAACAACTATCAATAGATGCAGACATAGTTTTAGCCAACTGTATTTCAGTAGAGATACACTGCTGAATCTCATCGTCTATTGTCCAATCAAGTCTTTGTGGTGCTGGGAGTTGTGTGGTTGTGTTGGCATTCACAGGATCTGTAGCGGGCTCACTAGCGATTATATATATATTTAACATTAATCGCAAGTGATTGAAAAAATCATTTTCCAGCAAACCACACACAAGTCCGTGTAAAATGATACTTACTGTGAAACAATAAAGCGAATCAGGTTGCCTGGAACAACAGCATCTGCGGAGGCATGCTAACATTTATAATTTACCAAAGCTTTAGTAATGGGCATTTATATTTAATATCTTGTCAACCGATTTGAACTACCTCGCCATTTACACCAGCCTGGCCGCTAGACGAAATAATAAACGATATCGCTTTATCAAACCATCTGTTTCTTCCGCCACGATTATGGAACATTTGCAAATGTGATGCATTGACATTATGGAAACTAGCGTGGTCGTCTAGAGACACTGCAAAAAGAGCCTCGTTTATTGCCTTGAAATTATCTTGGTTGGTAGAGCTTAAACTGCATAGCTTTGAGTATGCCTTGAACCATACGTCACGATGAGCAGCAGTCAGAATACAAACAGCTGGTTGTGGAGCTGCTTCTAAACTACTTTGGCCGACTGCATATAATTGTCTTGAGAAAATAAGCCAAAACCACAATTAATTAATAAGTCGAGTCTTGAAGAATATTTAAAAATAAACTTACCTTTCAATTTCCTTAAGAGAAACACGAGATCCATTCTTGTCAAGAACCTCGACTTTGTATATTTGGTCTTTTGTCAGTACGATGATGTGAGTAGACCTTGAAGGGTGCTTGGAAATTAAAAGATCTTCATATTTTCCTGGAACTCTTGTAGTGGAAAACAGATTACGGTATTGATTCATGCACAGTGGAGTAGATCCGCTGTATTCTGGTGGAATCTGCTGACTATTGGAAATATCAAGTTTAAATGGTCATTAAAAACAATAAATTTTTAAATTAAACACTTGTAAGCACATGTTCAACAAAAAGTATTGTACGTTCGATTCATATTGATAGAGTCTATACCTGTCTAACAGATCTTTAAAAGTCAAGGCATTTGAAATAATTCCAGCAGCACGCTGAATCTGGAATGAACTTAGTACTCCAGACGGAGGATGCTTTTTTAAGAGATCCACAGGCTGATTTGGAGGCTTGACAAATAAGCACCACCAATTGGAATTGGTTAACAATGATTCACGCCAACCTAAATAGGCTGCTTTGAGCCAAAAACCCTCCAACCACGAGTTCTAAAAACCAGACAAAATGGCCATTATTGTTTGGTTGAATGCAGCATATTCAGATAGCACTTGTCAGAAACTAGGCATGACTCTATTTATAATACAAAATTCACTGCTGTTACGATTAGACTCAACTGGTTCCTTCAGATCATGCTCAATAAGGCGTTCTTGGAGTCGTTCACCAAGTCCATTAGGGGCAATAAATTCCTTGACTCGAGTCTCTGACTCGCTAAAAAGCTCACTTGAAAGAAGCGGCTTGCAGCTTGAAAGATATTTGTCAGCCAAGTTTTGCAAAGACGGGATCGGGAGTCGAGGGAGCTTTTCATGATTATCGAATGTTCGAGGAGCACCTGTAGAATTTAGACGTAGTTGTGTTTGCAGAGAAGCATTGTGTCTATACAAAATAAATCCAATAATATAAATCGATAGATCAGAACAATGCATTGGCCATTAAAGAATGCCAATGTTTACAAGATCAAGCAATTGCCATGTAAAACAACATCCACCAGTGTTTGAAAGGCAATGTTGAGCAATTTATCAAAAGGACAGAAATGCTTTATTTAAAATGCAACTTTCTTAAACACTCGAGCGCTGATTGGCATGTACGAACCTAATGCATATATATCTGGTTGCGTTGCCTATTGATTTTGGTCGAAACATGTTTTAATTGAACTTGATGAAAAAATTGATTTAAATTTCCATTTTTTCGAGATGATGAAAACAGCTGTAAATATAGATCACGTGCTAAAACACAAAGTATAATCAAACAAGACTCGGTCATATCAGACAAGGTCGCAATGAACTAGACAGTGAATTGATCCAAGAAAACAGACTTATAGTAAAACCTCAAATTTTTAGAATATATATCTGGTAAGATCAGCACCCAATACTTTGCTAAACAATTCCAGACATTGAAAAACAATCAATCTGTAGTAGGAAAGCATAACGAATATTTAACCATTGTTTATTCCGGGGCAAAACAGAGGAAGTCTGCAAAATAAATTCAAGTTTCATTCTACGTGAATACAGCTGTAAAAATAAATCCGAGTCTAGGTACGATCTTACCAAGATTTGTTCTAGATAGCATTGGTTTCGTTGAAAATTCAATCTGTAGTTATCTGATCTACAAACGATTTATTCAATGTATTTATGGCGAATATCCTTCCATTGGCGCTGATGTTTATGATACAGTTCATTAGAAATCATTAATGAACACGTTAGTTGAATCCATGTTTGAATAATGTCTTGAAGATAGAGTTGGCTTCAATCAAAGCAAAAACAGGCATGCATCATTGGGGATATCAGAAACAGGCGAGGCCTTGATGGAAGCAGCATTCAAACAACTTACACCCTTGTTGACAGAATCCCACATACGGTCAGAAAGTCCGTCAAAAGAAAGCTCATAGATAAAGGCAGTGGCAAAGATAGTCGCCATAAAGGACGAACTTTTTTTGAAAAAGGCTGCACAAACGGTGTGTTGGAGTAGTGCATGGCAATGGTAAGACAATATACCAGAATAGGAAGAGCATAAAATCAGTTAGTAAGATGAAATAGTCATATACCAACAGTTACACTATATCAATAGCCATGTATAGAGTAAATCTTCAAGTCGAGCAACTCAACTATTGTAAATGAGCTTCTGCATTTCGAATAGATGCCAATGTCAGAAAAACGGTTGCCTGAAAAATTAAATTTAAATCAGATTTTTGGCCAAAAATAGTGTCATAGGGCACAAGATGGTCAAAACTGCCTAAATCCAACCAGTTGTAGCATGTTGTCTATGTGAATAGATTGGAATATATCAGTCGAAACTCTATTTCAATGCAATCACTTCAAGATAAATACAAAAGTACTTTATTTTGCGTGAATACAACTGTAAGCAATCATCAAGAGAGTAATATTTTTATACCAAAAATATGTGCTGATTTGTGCCATTTGTCTGGCATTTCATTTTATACTTTTGAGCTCGATTTGCATGACATCTCCTACTGCAACATCAACATCTGAACCGTGTCTTGTACAAGATACCCTATGTAAGGCAATAGCCGTATATAAAAACAACTGAGAATATTGAACAACTACCAAAGCGTTTTGGTTTTAAAACTAAATGCTTATTCCACTACTATCTCTAGCACTATCAGGCTTAGATATTCAAATACAAAATGTCATTGCTGCACTGCTGGATTGCACCCCTTCAGACCCAATATCATTTATATCAGATTAGTTGAGTATCAAACTGTAGAGTGTTTTAAATGCTTATCATGTAGTACTTATGAGATAAATGTGTGCATGCATAGTTTTTTTCATGCAGCCCATGGATCTGCTACAATGCTTCGTGCATACAGACTAATCTGTCAAACGAACTGGGCAAAATCTACTGCAATATCTAATATTGGTAGAGCATTTGAGATTTTAATTACTCCAGGTAGAATTACCACTGTTGAGCATTGGGTAGATCCAATATTGTTGAGTAGATTTACATATGCAATCTGATGTTGCTGTTTTACTTTAACGCACTAAAGGACTTGGACTGGGCGCAAAAGACTGCCGAGAATTCTTGTCGTTTTTTTGCTGGTATGGACTGTATTGTGTTGTATTAAAAATGCTTGCGACTAATAAAGCTACAATTAACCATTATTTTTAAAGCAGCCGCTCTACTTGTATCTCGACTGGTGATATCGAAAGTATTAGATATTCACTGGCAAAATGGACAGTTTCTTATCTTGATAAAGGACAAATGGTCACATTAGGCGACTTTATTGTACTTGTAGTATATCATACATTTATCCAAGGTAAACTCATTGTTTAACCTGCCAAGGTTGCTAAAGAAATCACGTTAGCCTAATAGACTCTGACCACCATCACCAAATATATAGATTTTCTTTGCAAGATTAAGCAAGAGCTAAAAACTTACCATCCTCAACAAACTATAAGTAGAAATGCTATCCTTGATATTATGGAGGATGTTTTTCGGATCGAACAACGAGATGCGTACGTTTCGAGTTTTGTATATTTAAGCTTCAATGTGTAAATACTAATTTGTTTGGGCACACATTGAACAACAGACTTTTTGAGACTCGATACGATTTGTATTTGGCAATATCCCAATCATTTGATTTGAGCGCGCAACATAATCAAGCCTCCAATATTTCTTTTGAGGAAGTATTGGCTGAAGTCGAGTGTGCGATCCAGCATATGCAATGAATATTAAATTTTGCCATCAATCCGTAGCGTTGATAACTCTTAAAATATATAACTAAAGCAGTAGTTCAACTACGTTTTGATGATTTTCGAAGCATAGAAATGTAGAGATTCGTTTGTTTCCCTATGGTTTCCACAACTGCAAGAGCTAACGTCCTGCTGAAGAAATAAAAACTAATCACGTGTTCTGATGAGAAAATGTTGAGTGATTTTTGATTAAATGCGAGTTTACTTTTGAATATATTCGCTTGTAATGACCAAAATAGAGCAAGAGCTCTCCACCAACGAACGGGAGTTTGTTGTCAAAGCCATTCAGTCTGGAATTCGCACAGATGGTCGCACTTCCAACACTATTCGCAACATCAAGATCACTTTAGGACCGCAGCTGGGATTTGCGCAGGTTCAACTTGGCAAAACAAGGTATTTTAACAAACAACAGCCATGGCTTTCTTAAATAAACAATATAATATTCCATTATAGTAAATATAATCAGCAATGATGGTCAATGATCCATCACTATGCAGCAAAACTAAATACTAAGCACATTGTATTCATCTCGTTGGTATATCTTGAAGAATCATGTCCACTGTGTCGTGCGAGATTGTTCGTCCCTCGTCAGGAAACCCAAGTGATGGTGTAATTCACTTCAACACGGAATTTAGTCCCATGGCTTCGCCAGCCTTTGAGGTAGACAGCACTAGTGAAAATGAAATTCTTATTAGTAGAATGCTTGAAAAGGCTTTAAGACGGGCACGTGTAGTTGATACCGAAGGTTTATGCATTGTAGCTGGTGAAAAGGTATGTTCAAGACTCTTGTCGCCTTCATGATCATAAGTTTATCACGTCATCGTACATGCAGTTATATCGATTCAATTCATAAGGATCATTTTCAACTTTTTGATTAATGCATTACAATTTTGAATATTTAGGTTTGGGCAATTCGAGTTGATATTCGTGTGTTGAATCATGAAGGAAATATCTTGGACTGTGCCTGTATTGCTGCAATGTGTTCGCTACTGCATTTCAAACGACCAGACGTTACTGTTATTGGAGAAGATGTGACTATTGTAAGTCAATCAGCGATGTTGAAGCAAATGGATATATCCAACGCTTGATGCTTTTGTCACATTGAACAAAAAACAAGACATGATTTTGTCGAGAATGATTGCGGATAGATACGACATGATACTCATTCATCTGCTTTGCCGTGTTATATAGCATACGTTGGAAGAAAAGAACCCAATCGGTTTGAATATTCATCACATCCCAATCTGTGTTACATTTGCTTTTTTTCACCAAGGGTATGTGCATTTTAGCTACTACATTTTACATATTTACCAAATCTATCGGACTGTTTGTAAGCTAACGTTTTTATCTTTCCACTAAATCTCAAATTAAATAATTATAAATACAGAGAGTATCAGGTCATTGACCCATCGCTCCTTGAAGAGCAAGCACAGGACGGTGATATGACTATTGTAGTAAACATTCATCGTGAGCTCTGCACACTTAGTAAAGCAGGAGGAACTCCAATATCTCCAGAACAAGTGATTCATTGTGCAAATGTTGCGGCAATCAAGTCTGCTGACATAACCCAGCTGATTAGACAGGCAATCCTTGAGGTATTGTATTGACTCGCTAGTGTGCTGTTAAACATTGATAAATTGTTTTATTGAATATCTGTTTTGGTTTGGTGTCTTTGATAGGATACCCAAAAGTGTCAGACACAGAAAAAAAGTCTTGCTTCTACAGAGACTAATTCTCTTGGACATACTAGCATTGAAACAAATTAGGATTAATAAATGGCGGAAACTTTGATATTTCCGACCAATCAAGTTCTAATCCATCACCAGTTCACTTACATTTGAAGGAAAAAGCCCCTTTCGGCCGTTCAAAGTGCCTGTCCACCAGCCTGGATCATCCTTGGAGGTGATCACTACAATCTCACCGACTTTAAATGAAAGTTCATCAGCTTCTGTAGCATTATAGTCCTATGTAGAATACATTTAACAAGGTAATTGAAACCCCAAAATTCACGCATTGAGTGTCATTAATCGGCAGTATTAGCACAAACATAATATAAAGCAATGCCTACATAAAGAGCTGTGCATCTCGGAACTTTTTTAGCAGGTGGTGGTGGAGGAACAGGTTTCTTTTTAGCAGCTGCTGCAACCGCTGAAATGCTGCCAAGTTGATTGTTGGATCCATATGGAGTGGTGTTTCCAGATAAATTGGCGGCTCGCTGGCCAATAGATGATTGCAACGACTGATTGAGAATCTGTTGTGATTGCATTTGCTGCTGAACCTGATGATGCTGAACCTGATGCTGCTGAGGTTGCATTTGCTGTGGTGGTGACACGATGTGGTTTGGTGAGTGATACTGGTTGGCCGCAGAAGGTACATACTGGGCAGTGGGGTGATTCGTGACTTTGGTTTGCTTCTTTTGATTATCAAACAGAGTTCTTGGGAATGGCTTTGAATCTTTTGGTAAACCGGGACTTACTCGGATCTCAGTCACCTTGTTTGAATGTTTGGCAACAGGGAGTCGAACAGCATTGTCAACAATAAACCGAAGCTCCAAAATACCGCCACTTTGCCAGGTTGTCTTTTTTACAGTATATTTAATACTTGAAATAGAATAGTAGTTGTAAGCAAACGCATTTCCACCATTAATTCAAAAATAAGCGATACGTACGTGTCTGTGAAATTGATCACCAAGGGACGCCCAGTGGCGATTTGGAATTTTTCGCTATAATTACAAAGCTGATCAGCAAAGCAAGTGTATTATTTAAAAATATCAAAGATGGCATGATATTGGGTACCTAAGCACAGCAACAAGCTCTGTTTTTAAAACATTCTCAAAAATGTTGTCAAAATCCGATGCTACGTGTAAAACAAAAAAGTCATCACATTTGGTACTGAGGGATAGACTCGAGATATCACCCAAAGGAATTTTGCGTTTCACGACCTTGACAAATTTCCCTTTGTTAGGACCATTTTTTTGTTTTTCGGCACCAATAAGGAACAAATGAGTGTCTGAAACAATAATTTCCCGCTGAGTTGGTTTGAAGTTCCGATCGTATTTTGTAACAGCATCAACAAAGCCTGCCTTCACATCTTTTCCTAAATATACATATAGCAACATAGCTTAATATCTCATACAATACTAACAGACAATCATATGAGATCTGAACCGAGCAGCTCGATAAGACAGCACAGTAGTGGCACAAGTCCAATCCTGTTCAAAATAAAGTACTAACCAACAAGACTTTTAAGAATTGGATTATCTAGAAAATTGATATAGTCTCCGAGAAACTCGCGATTTAAACTAAATCTCTTTCTTTCCTTGTTGTTAAACATTACATCCGCTGCCTTTTTACGCATCTCCAAAAAGTACTTGCGACTCTTCCACCTGCGATAAGCACGCTGTATAATCTTGGCATAATGATGATACTTTCGATCACGCTGCTCTTCTAACAAAAACAATGATTCTGGAGACTTGATAAAGACTTTGCCAACTCCAAGCTGCCATTCGCTCGGCTCCATGCATACCGAATTCATAACAATGCCAATGCCATCTTTTATTGGACCTTGCCAATTTGGAAAGGTCTCTGGTGTTAGAATCGCAAACCTTGATTATATCCAAAAACAAGGTTATATAACTATTGTATTCAAAAATATTTGTAATACTGGCATCACAGATACCGTATATCTAAAATGTCTACAATTATCAATAGATTTAAAAAATGCAAGTGGTCATACCTCCGCAAAAACTTTTCAAAGGTGTTACGATAGCAAAAGCCAGCACGTCTAAAGCAACATGAATCACCCAAATCAGACACAATAAAAAACATACATCTTTAATAACAACGCATATAGACTTGCCTGACTTTAATGTTTTCCTTCAAATTCAGATATCGAACTTGATGCTCCACACGCTTGGAATCCCAGTCCTTGGCACGCTTTGTTTCGTTGGGCTTGATACAACGTACATACGAAGGTGTAGACCGCATCAAGGTATCCACAAGCTCCTGGGATTGGTTCTAGATTCAAATTCCAAAACAAGGCAAGGCAATTAGCTATTGTTAAACTATCTTCATTACTTTGTCAATACAATTGAAACTACCTTGATTTTAAAAGAAACTGTCGTAGGACGCTTCTTATCAGAATCATCCACCTCTTCAGGAAACAAGTTGCGGATAAACTGACTAGATGGATAGTTTTTCAGAGTTTTGGCTTCATTAGCATTGAGCTCGAACAAAAAATAAACTTGAAGGCATAAAATAAAATCACCTAGATGTAGTTTGCATCAGTTGAATAAGGTCCTTAAAAAGAGTGTCTTTGTTGGATTCGGTAAATCCGTCACAATCGTATGTGACTGACCCAGCATAATGATGAATAACAAATTGACTTTGAGTTCCCTGATAGTGCTTATGGCCACGAACGGCACCTTCCAATTTCTAAAAAAATTATTAGCTGATTGATCAATGGTCATAACCAAAGAAAAATGGACAAAATTACAACATGGAGATACCATGGCTCAAAATGTAGCACCTACTTGAACAAACTTTTGGTCTGCTCCTTCCGTGACAGCATGCATTGTAAAGCAAACATCGTCAAGAATGGCCATAACTCCCGGAGGTTTCTGATTCATATAATGAAATTAAAGTATACATAGAATTAATATCTACTAAACACACTTTCCAAAGCAATACAGATGAAATACCTTGCTTTCAATCAGCTCAACTACAATCTTGTTGTTAAAATAGTCAATGGGTGTCCATTTGATCCCCTCTCGTTGATACTCTTCCTGCTCAGACTTTAGTGTGAGTTCAATAAAAATTTGTTGCAGCCGCTCATTGACATAATTGATGCAAAACTGCTCAAATCCATTCTTATCAAAAATCTCAAAACCAAAAATGTCTAGTACCCCAAGGCACAGGATTTGATTATTGCGTATCATATTTTTAGCCAAGTCTGCCATGGCACGGTTAACTGCTTGAACAACCCAGTCAAAAACTCGACTATATAGTGCTTTGGAAAGAGCATCTCGAGTATTTTGCGCCTGCTCCACGTTAAGCGGTACATTGTACATAGATGCACGCTTAGAGCCAATTCCTCCAGTACGCATCACTCGGCTATGATCAATCATATGCATTTTCAAAGCAATTAATTAGCATAAATTTCAGTTACAAAAATAAATGTCGAGCATTTTCAAAGCTGTATATGCTGTATACCTTAGTAAGCTTCCCTGGAGCATCTCCACCGATACACCCTATAATAAATTGCAAAAATGTATTAAAACTCATGTTAAGCAAGGACACATTTGCCAAATTACATAGTTACCAGTAGATATGCTGGAAACTCTAGTGTTTGCACATCTCGAATAACTGCAGTTCCAGGTTGCTCTCCTTCTACAAAATCAATATTTCCAATATGCAAAATAGCAGCAACCAGTCCCAATATGGCATGCTTATCGGCAACGGATATTTGGCATACATCCATGGCAGCTTTCATGCCATTAAACTCTTCCACGTCGTTGATCCCATCAGCATGATATTCCCCACTCGTATTCAAGTAATGAAAATACTTTGGCTCCATCATGCCAAGCTGTTCCTTTTCTGTGGCAGATGCGGCTGTCGTCATTTGGTAAAAAATATGGAAATTACGCTCGCCTTTGCTGGGACCAACTACTCTAGACTAGTCAGACACAATATCAGTTAATGTTGATCTTGGTTGGTTGAAAGTATACTAACTCAAACTAATGGATTGTATAATACATACCTTTTCTAAAAGAAAGTTGGAAATCTTGCCACCCATGGGAGACCCATTTTTCGAAAAATTAATTTCAAAATACTTTCCCTAGATGTACACAGAATTAGTAAAAGTCGTTGAAACAAGGTTATGAAAACAAGACTGCACTTACAAAGCGACTCGAATTATTATTACGCAAAGTTTTTGCATTTCCAAAAGATTCAAGCAAAGGATTCGAGCCAAGAATAATGCGTTTGATCTCATCAACTAAACCAGCTGTAGTGCCCGACCCTCTGCTTGAGACAGCAGCAATATAGTTCCTAAATAGGGAATACGTAACCATTTAAAAATTCTATACAATATAAACTAGACATTACAATATGAATAAAAACACGTACATGATAAGCTTCGCCGACTCAGTTTTTCCTAAATAACAAAGTCTGTCAGATTGGGAATACAAGATTTGGCTAATAGTAAAATGGCCAAAATAGACATAAATTCATGTTTTAGCTAATGTACCTGCTCCACTTTCTCCACTGATGATAACACATTGATTTTCTTCGTCAACAATCATATTTTGAAACCTATATACACCAAAGAAATATTGAGTATCCAAATTTGAAAAACAAAGGCATGAGATTCATCCAAGACACGTACATTTTGTCTGCAAGCGCATATATATGTGGAGGGTGCTCATATGCTGCCGATCCATGATATGTTTCTGTGACAAACGAGTGAATTTTAAAATGGGCGTAAGCGTACCAAGTCAAATGTCAATCTTGGACAGGATGGAGTTTACCTATTTCTTTGTCTGTAAAGTACGGAAGTTTCTTGAATGGGTTTACTATAAACAACAGTAGTGTTTCAAATGAAAAGTAAGATTTTAAACTTTAACAACAATGCATGAGGTTATCAAAAGAGCACAAGTGGTTTCAAACCAAAAATCTATATAAGCTCGATTGTTTGCATGATGCGTACCTGCAACAAGAGTCGGTCCTGTATATGTAGAAATAGATTAATGCAGCATTAAAGTTAATTTTCCCAATGTCCATTATTGACAGAATGCCAAGATCATATCAAGACGGTCAACTTTTTACGATATACACAAGCTAATATTGGAAAATCAACACAATGATGGTAGCGTTACCAATATACGTAAACATCAGATCTGCCTGGATTCTAAATTAAAACATTGAAGAATTAGATGGGACATGATATGACTCCAGTTGTGGCATTAATTTAATGAATGGCAACGCCAAAGTTGGCTACTACAGTTTGTGAAATAAGGGAAGCGCTTGATAATCTTGACAAGGGCAAACTACGAGCCAATAAACGAGAGCTAAAGCTCTCCTCAGAGACCCATTTTAAGTGTTGTAAACCAGGGCATGATATCAGAAACTCACCTTTTTTTGAGATTGTCTGTAATCTGGTCATCAGTAACTTTACTCAACAACACCATGTCTTCCACGCCCTGTTATCCATCCAAACAAAATGTAAATGACCACAAATTAATAGTCTGTATTGGCAGATAATACTAGCCAAGAACCAAAAAGAATGAACACTAGTCTACGACATTTACATTTTGGCCCTGATTCTTTGAAGACCATTGAAAACTCATACTGTCTTGAAGACCACTTTAACTAGAGGCTCAACTACTCAACAAGAACCTGAATACTGACTGTAAAAATCCAATAGAATTAGTCGATAATATGATTGACTGAGTTGTAAGTGTATTGGGTTCACCAAAAAAACAATATATTAAATACCTCGTCTGTAGAACGACCTAATATAGCTGAAAGATACTGAAAGATGCTGAAAGTGGAAAACAGTCAGATCGAGATATTCAATCAAGTTTGGTTTAAACAATTTAGATGTTGGTTATTGACTCGACCATAAGTTGCAATCGCATATATCCAGAATCGATAATCGCATACAACTGTTGTCAATGCATTGACTATTGTTCGTATGGAATGAAGCTTAATCTCTAACTCGACCGATTACACCATCTTGTCATACTACCAAATCGATCCTTATTTGATAAACTACTATTTGTATGATAATGTCTGCAATATATTTTAAACTCGACTGCATTCTCTCGTTGCATCCACAATCAACCACCACTCTGCTAGCCAATCTTTTCATAAGGCGTTAATCTACTGTTGTATTTATTGGTAAAAATGTTTGGCCAAATCGTTCAAATTAATTTCTTGTAATTGGAGCCAATTTCTTCCTGAACTGCTCGACACTTTATTAGAATCTAGTTTCTGTTGCTGCGTCTATTTCTGAATCACTTGCAAACAAGTCAGTCTTTTCAAGCGTTTAAAATCTTGGGAAAACATCAAGTCAATGCAACCTTTAGCAACTTCCGACTATGATGTTGACGCAAAATACTTTGCGACTCATCTGCGCATCTTACCGAGTCATTATACCCAGGCAGATACAAGCAGGTGAATTGCAGATATCAAATAATTTTGAACTCTCGTATCAAGAGTTAGAATTATCTATCAATATTTGTTTTGTGTATTTAACTTTCAGCAAACTTGATTTGCCAATTCAATTAACACACTGCTGTAGGATGACATTGGGCTACTTTTGTGTTGGTGGACTGGATCTGCTAGGAAAGCTCGAGACACATATCTCGCAGCATCAACGCACTGCGTGGATTGACTGGATATATGCTCAGCAAATCCATCCATCAGAACATTGTAGGTTTTATACTTGCCTTGACTAGTCGATACACTACTTTTGAATTTTTATTCCATCGTTTTCAAATATAATCTTGATCGTTTGATCCTCAATCTCAGTATTCATTTGTATCTTCATTTGCCACGCCATTATTTTGTTTGAATAATGTGTTAATGTATTGTCATGTTTAAATTCTGCACGTCCACACTGTCCAATATGCTATTGTAGTTGGCCCCGACTCGGGTGTCTGTGGATTTCGAGGATCTCCATTCATTGGGGCCAAGTACGACTGTGCTCATGCAAGTAACCCAAATCATAATTACCATATTGCATTCTATACTGCATTAATAATCAATTATATACAACCATTTAAACCATATAGTCAACCGCAGTTCATTCTGGAGATATATCTCATATTACAATGACATATACAGCGCTTGCTCTTCTTCTCACTCTAGAAGATGATCTATCGCGTGTAGATCGTGAAGCAATTATTGGGTCATTAGCACGTTTACAATGTGAAGATGGGTGGTAAGCACATGTCTATTTAAAACCTGGTTGCTGAACAAGTGTATACTATTTTCAATTAATGGCAATTGTCATTGTAGTTTTTCTCCCACTTTAGACAGCTATGAAAAGGACATGCGGTTTTTATACTGTGCATGTGCCATTAGTTTTATTCTCTCTGACTGGCGCGGAGTAAACAAAATCAAAGCTCGAGAATATATCATGGCTTCGCGGGTAAGTGCTCAATCGATACCAGTCATTGGTGCTGAATAGCTGGCTACATTTAAAATTTTACTTGACCAAGCTTGTACTTACCAATTGTAACGGCTTGATATATTGCAATACTTTGCGTATGTAAGGCTTTTGATTACGGCTATGGACAGGGACCTGGGCACGAATCCCATGGTATTGTAAAAGATTGGTTTTTATCGACTAAATAACTGATATTCTATGCTTGGATTGATAACATGTTGCGTATTGCAGGTGGTTCTACCTATTGTGCGATTGCATCACTATGGCTTATGAATGATCTCGGCGACGATGTGATCAATAAAGAAAAGACAATATTTTGGCTACTTTCTCGTCAAGAAACTGGATTTCAGGGCCGTATCAATAAGGCGCCAGACACTTGTTACTCTTTTTGGGTTGGTGCATGCCTAGAGGTAAAAACTATGTTGCTAATCCATCCTTTTTTTGTAGTCAATAAAACAATGCTATTTGTTTTATAATTTGCCAAGACTTGAAAACTGACAATATATTATCGTGGCGACTTTTAACTAGATGCTCGGCTCATACCAACAAATTGTAGACGTGAATGCATTGCACGAGTTCTTGATTCTCACACATAGTAAACATGGCGGCTATAGTAAAATTCCAAAAAACTACCCAGACATTTTACATTCGTACATGGGTTTTGCCGGTCTTGCTATTTCTGGAAAGCCAGGACTAGGAAAGCTCGTTTCTGCCTTGGGGATTTCACAGCGCTCATTTGATTTTTGGAAGAATCTAGGTTTAAAGGCACGGTCTTGAGTTTAAGGATATTTTAGCACGTTTATTGGTTAGCTTGTGATTAGCTTTGGGTTTGAATCTTTTGATTCAAAAACGCTTCAAGCCTAAACAAATCTTTAATGCTTTTTGAACTTATATAAATTGCATTTCAAAGTTAAATCTAAGCTATGTTTCTTCACAAACGGCATTTCTAAAAAGCAAAAGTTGAAAAAACAAGCTTATAACAGCCATTGTATTGATAAAGTTGCTTTGCATACTTTTTAAATGCCATGGATTGCAGATATCTCATTGGGCTTTGGCAAAACGCTCTGAAACGTTCTTCCAATTGACGACGCTCCAGATTGCTTTCAGATAATCTGGACGGACATTTTTGTATTGAAGATAGTATGCATGCTCCCACACATCAACTCCAAGTAATGGCACCAGATCTAGCCACCATATTAAAGCAGTATTAGAAATATATATTCAGCCGTAATCTGCAACATAAAAAACTACCAGAGCTACTATAAAAGAGTATAAGCAAAAATCAACACATACGGATAAGAGGATCTTGATTGGCTGTTGTAGCAATTTCCAGACGGTTTTCAGCCTTGTTCAGCCCAAGCCATCCCCAACCACTACCTTGCACTCCTGCAGCCTGGTTAGCAAAGTTTTTTTTGAATTCATCCAACGAACCAAAATCCCGATTGATGGCGGCAAGAAGAGATTTGTCATGTAGCTCGCCAGCTCCAGATTTAGGAGATCCAAGATTGGTCCAGAATATGCTAATTGCACAAAGATTTCAGATATTAAAACAGTTTGCATTTAAATGCCAGTTGCCATTCATGTATTCCAAATTAGCAAGGCATTAATGGATATTAAATTCAGCAGCTATGCTTTATAATCAAATGAAAAGACATTGATTCAATACCTGTGGTTAATATGTCCGCCACCATTGAACTTGATAGCACCCTGAAGTGCGATCTGAGAAGCAACATCGTTCTTTTCAATTGCACCATGGAGCTTCTCCTCCGCAATATTAAGATTGTTGACATATGCCTGATGATGTTTCGAGTGATGGAGCTGCATAATTTCGGCTAAACAAATCCGGATTAAAAATTAATGGCATTCTATATTAGTCAATTATAGCATGTTGTGTCATGGACTGGTTGACAATTCAGTGGTATTGTTGGTGGTGATTGACATGCAAACAACTGTTGCATTACTGACATGTGCAATCATTGTTGTTGAACTAGATTGCGATTGTATCCGTGATTCAGAATACAACAAATGAATGTACATAATTGTATCAACAGCACCAGACCACTCAAACACAACACATGTATTGCAATACATGAATCTGGGTTTAGATTTGGTGATTGTACAGTGTATGGTTATGCCAAGAATGAGGAAAGGGCAGGTTCAAAAAAAAATCTTGATTCAAAACTATAGTTTGATTGTGTCAGCATCATATGATGGTTGTTATGTTTGAAAGGGTTGAAAATGATAATTGAAGGAACAGTGCAGTCGATGCAAGTTTCATTTTACGTGAATACGACTGTAAATCTAATGTACATACCAGAAATAAACGGCTCCAGCTGTTGAGGAAATACACATCGTCATACCCATAATAACAATAGCTATTAGTGCCATATGGAATGCCATAAACCCATTATATGTCTTGAAAGGCCAATAGAAAAATGCTCCACAACTGAATGAGTATTTTAACTTACAGCATTGAAGTCGTAAGGAAGATCAGGCAGAGTATGCTTGAAACAAATAGAAACAGTCTGAACTGGAGCAGTAGCAAGAACTCGGCCAACTTTGGCTGATGCAGCAGTCTTGATAGCAGATTGTACCAACATTTTTGATCAATTCAATAGTCACAAATTTGGCAGAAACAGATTTGCAGCCAAGACAATAAAGGCATCCAGCCTATCACGCGATCAACTAGCTGGCACATGCTTACATAGACTGCGTTGCTATTGGCTACAGCATATCAAACTCTTTACAATGCATTCGAGTAACAGACTAAAATGTTTAATTTTAAAAGCTCATTCCAGGCTTGCATTTGAATGCAATATAATTTGCAATCCATTAATCAACTCTTGTATTGTTATAATTGAATACCCAACTTCACTTGCAGCCGTATTCGCGTAAAATGAACCACTAAACTAAAATACATAATGAACTGCCATGCTTGATTGGTGTCAAACTTACTGGATAACAACGTGCCTTTTAAACTCATTAGTCCACTGGTATTTCTCCTTCATGCTCATTACTGTACAAAATATAGAGTGAATGTTCACATCTCTGTTTCACATCCTAGACATCTTTTCAACCTTTAACTTTCTTTTTTTCAATCCAAGCATTGGGTGACCGGTATGGAAACAACTGTTGCATTCCTGAGATTGCTTTTTAAACTAGAGTGCAAACGTATCTGATATTAGAATAGAGTTTCAATAGAAAAAGTCATCAATATCCAATAACGAATATGTAATGATTGCTTATTTTGAAGCAAAATAGAGTCATTACAAGATCAATACAAAAATATTTCATTCTACATGAATACGACTGTAAAACGTACATTGGTTTGCCATACAAAAATGCCGTTTCATTTTGTGTGCGTGCATACAGTTGCATCCAGATTTTTGATGACTTGAAAGAGTCAATTGGATTTGATGTGATTATTTTCTGCAATCACAAAGCAATCAAATATGGCATATATGTCGACCGCTTTGACTTGGTGTAATAGACATGATATGACCCAATCTAAATTTTATTAGTATATATGATATCGATTGAGTGGTGGCCGTAAATCATCAACAAGCGTGACCCCAACATCCTCTTGCTGTCTATATTTTGCTGTAACAGATGATATGTTGATGCGTCTACGCGATCTGCCTATATCAATCTGATGTTTAGGCGCGCTAGTGGGTGGAGTTGGAACTGATGCAGTCCCAGCTAATTGTGTATAAAAATTAGAATTAATGATAGAGGAAGTGAAATATAAACCATTATTGGCTACTCTAATACATAGATCAAGTGGACTATATAAAATAAATACCATTTGTTCCATTAGGACATTTACTATTTAACTCTGTTTTTTCTGTAAAGACAATTTGAGAAAGTGTATTGGAAGTAGCAGACAATAATAAATTTGCTGTCGGCATTTGACTATTTAGTAATGTCGCATTTTTGTTTTCTGAATTCGACAGTGTTGGCAATTCAACAATATTCATGCCGACCAAAGGTATCCTTTTTTCAACACATTCTGTACAAGAAGTTGATGGACTAGAAGGATGATCCACCGTAAATGATGCATCCTCAAAAGCAGCTGAATAATTTGATGTCGATGTAGACCGTGGCCGATCTTTACGTCGAGCACGAAGAAGCATAATAGGATTTCCCGTTAAAACAGTGCTTATACCTAATAAAAACACTATTGTTAAGCAAATACGCCTTTCACAATAATCATCCGTGACTACCAGCACATCTTAAGCAGGATTACCATGTGTTAGATTGCTACCAGTATCTGATACTATGACTTTACTGTGTATAGAGCCGAATCGACTTTGAGCAGTAGCGGGGCGTATTGGGACCCCATGTGGCTTATCTCCACTCTTTTCTAAAGCATTACTACACGCTTTAAACAATGCACTAGGATATTCTGCTGCAAGGTTAGAACGCACACGAAGCAAAAGTGACAATTATTAGATGATAAAATTAGAGTTATCACAAGTATTCCCGCTTATTTGGTGTATGTACCTGTGTTAATGTTAAAGTTGGTTTCGTATTGAACATGCAGCTCTCCAATACTATAATCATCAAGTATTTTAAGCTGAGGGATAGTCTTTCCAATAATTTCTCTATAAGCCTGAATAGTATCTATGAATTTTCCTTTGGGATCATCCATGTTCTTATTCAATACTTTTTGAAAAAGATCCAAAGGATTTCCCTGCAAACTCAGCTCCTCAAGATTTGGACATACTGCAAGATGCTCTATCTGTTCAAGATCCGATATAAGATTACTAGCAATCAATAAGATAAAAACAATTCCTGTTAGCTTGCCAATCCTTTTATATTTGTGCATGAAAATTGGAATAGGTTCTCAGTATAAATGCCTATATAAACGGCCATATCATTGACTATTTAAAACTAAAATCTACCTTTCTAGATCCAAAATCTCCAATTCCTCTAGCATACCAATACTACTTATATCTGTAATGCGGTTATATGCTAGATACAATTCCTTAAGTGAGCGTAGCGATCCAATTCCGTCAATAAACGCAAGCTCACATCGTGGCATCCATAAAACTCGCAGATTGGTAAACCCTGTACCCAAGTCTCTGTATAGATTTAGTGAAACTTTGGTTTGCTATGACAATACAAGATGAATACCTAATGCATTCAACATGGCTATTGTTCAACTTGAGCTGCTCTATATTCGGAACAAACTTTCCTGGTGGTTCAATGAATTAATACATTCGACTAACCAAACCACATTTTATACACCACTAGTATAGACCAGCTACTTACCTAGTTGGCCAAGTCCAATGCTTCTGCTATCTACTTGTATTTCCAAGAACTTGACACAATTAAGATCTGTGACTCCTGTTAAAGAAATCTAATCAAAACAGACCCAAAAAATCGTCATGAACGAGTTAATAGGGAATCGGTCAATGTTGCTCTATCCTACTGCTATACTAATCACTCATGCTTGTACCAATTTTTCTTGAGAAAGATAATCGTCTAACAGATCTGTCAATTCTGTATTCAGAGGCATTGCAGAGTGGGCTAAATCCACTTCACCTAACACATTTATATTGCAGTGTAAGCATAAACTATTATGGACTAACCATCTAGATACTCAATACCATGAGTATTGTCAACAATGATGAACTAACATGAGTGGGCACTACTATGGAATTTTTTACTCTGAAAGTTCATTATACTTTCCTATTATAAATGAGCAAGGCTTTTTAAAATGACTATCAGTATTATTGTACTTATTTGTATGTTAGTGAATAACAAAGTTCATTATCCATGATATTTCGACAATACCAAACCAAAGCAGTTTCATTTCATAGAATTTACAAGGCTATAAAACATACATCTATATTAGTGTTGGTCAAGCGTATACAAACTGTACAACTTGCACGTCAACTGGTTCGCGTGTTTAGTTTATTCTTGCTCAAGTCAAAAGTAGACGGCCTTACTTGAGAAGCAGGTGAAATATGTCAGATTCTAATACATGAATGGGTACAAGGCAAACCTTTATAAAAACATTCGCTTTACCTTTATTATCAATTGATCAATAAATGCTATTAAACTCGGCCTTGGACTTATTTCTGCTCATCCTTTCAGTGACTACTTCAAATATTCAATACACGATACGAAGTCTCTGTTGCTCAAGTACGTTTTTGTTGAAAAATAAACAATAGTTATTAAATGATTTACAGTCGTATTCACGTAAAATGAAACTTGCATCGACTGCACTGTTCCTTCAATTATCATTTTCAACCCTTTCAAACATAACAACCATCATATGATGCTGACACAATCAAACTATAGTTTTGAATCAAGATTTTTTTTTGAACCTGCCCTTTCCTCATTCTTGGCATAACCATACACTGTACAATCACCACATCTAAACCCAGATTCATGTATTGCAATACATGTGTTGTGTTTGAGTGGTCTGGTGCTGTTGATACAATTATGTACATTCATTTGTTGTATTCTGAATCACGGATACGATCGCGATCTAGCTCAACAACAATGATTGCACATGTCAGTAATGCAACAGTTGTTTGCATGTCAATCACCACCAACAATACCACTGAATAACAGTGTTCATGACACTGACTGTTTATCACACATCAACACTGTTATTTAGTGGTTCATTTATGTCAATATGGCTGTAATGATCAATCAACTATTAGTATCCACTCGACTATCATCAACTCAATACATGATGTATGATTGTCTGTACACATTTGTTGTGTTCATCACCATCCAATTCAATCTCACCATTTCAATCAATCTTGGTCAATGTTGATGATTTACACGCCAATTCATTATCCAATCTTGTCTGACATTATTATTGGCTTTAATCACGTTTGGTTTGTACAACTGACATGAGTTGTACTACCATTATCATTGTGTATCTGACCACCAAACATTCCAATACATCAATAATACCACAGTATAAATAGTAATACAGTTGATCAGTCTTGTGGCAAGACTTTTCATTCAAGTTTGTATTTGGAAATACTCGATGGTTTAATCACAACACACTGTTTGTAATGCGATTGTCATTGATCTCATTTCATTCCACTCCAGTCCATCCGATTTATGATGATGTTTAGTAATCCATTACCATGTGTTGTAGTAAACTAACTTGTTTATTGAACCAAATCTACAACGATCACATTCAGAATATCAATTTACAGTATTTCTAAATGCATGTTTGATAACAATCCAATTTTGTTACAAAAAACTGATCAAAACAATACTAAAATGGAACAACTCGTTTGTGTGTTTTACAACAATCCAAACATGAACAATTGTTGGCAATTGTTGAACATTCGCATGAATGAAATTGTCAAATCAAAATTCAACTTTACTAATTTTATCAAACATGAAGTTGGAT